AATCCGAACCCGAATAAGCTAACAAACGACATGGGTAAAGATGTGCGGAATAAATAGGCTGAGTGCTGTAATCCGGACCGCACGGTGGGCTTCCTAATCGCGAACTAAATAGCAAGCCTCGTTCTCGCCAGCGTCCATAGCTTTGGCTGCATGTTGACAGTAGGACGGGGCAAAAGTCCGACAGCCTCCGAGGACCAGCTGACCACGCATCGTGTTCGAATCCATGTCGTGTTCGTCCACGTTAGCATCGAAATACAGTAAGATGCCAGCTGAGATGTGATATGTAAGTGAATAAATTCCATGATCCATGGTCCATGAACGAATCCCTAAAGTACTTAAAGTATCATGATGAGTAAGTTGCGAGTTGCAAGGCGAACCAAATAAATTAACCCTGAGTCGATCCTTTTCTGGCTTGACCAATCACAGAGCTGGGTGTCTTCATCCGCCTACCAAGAACGACAAGAGGAACAGGATGAGTGGATTTCAAGTCGGCAAGTTGAAGTTGATGCTACGGAGAGAGTTTAATGGATAAATATTAGCACTTAAGTAAGTTTCGCTGTCGTTTAAGAGAACTTGTACATACCTGGTATGCATGTAAAAGTATCCAAGAATTTAATGTATTGGATTTAACCATAAATGGCTTGAATGTGTTCCACAAGATGCTTGGGGCTCATCGTTTAATGGCAACGCTTATGTAACAATCCCACCAAACGCTAATATTTAGGTGCATATGCAACCACTTTAAGTAGCCCCTCTCAGCGCTCATACACGTATAGGTAGTATTATCTTTCAAAAGAACCTCAGATTTTGTTGCCTTAAGGTAGCTTTCCTTTTCTGATTACACGCATCAGATATACGATTTGAAAGTAATTCCGTTCCACATATATATCCGGAACAATGTAGTAAGGAGTTCCTTCGAGGTTCAATGAAGCTTCTTGCACCCAACAGCAGCCGTGTTAGGTAGTCCCAGATTGCTTCTTTTCGCAAGACTCATTGCTGACCCTGCGATTTGCCCTGGTTGCTAAACCCTTGCAATTAAAAGGCCTGTTCGTAAATGAGTATGATGCATCACAACTAAGTAATTTTGGGTAGGACAGCATATGATTGATTGTTTCCCTGGTGTAAGTTTTCAACAAGTTTACGAGGAATATACTACCCGCAGGGGCTTTTTCAACATGACTGCGTCAGAGGCGGGGCAGATATCGAATGGGTTACCACATAAGTAAGTAATACGCAGGGAAAGCAAGCGGATATAGGCGTTGCAGGCCAAGCGGCTCAACATTGGACGTAGCAGGCTCGCCGTAACATCCAACGGCCGTAGACAAGGGCTTGGCTACCTGTGCGCTGAATCTGGTTATTTGATGGACCTGCGTCCTGGACCTCGGAAGATGAGGAGAAAGGAACACCGACTTCATACGTGGTGAAAGGTCCCCGGCCGGCCCGCTACCAGTGACTTATCTGCACGTAGTAATTCATTGTCACTCCTAGCCTTTAGGTGGCCAACATGGCCTAATCATGGCATAACAGGATGGTAAATCTTCGACCGTTTCAACATCTTTTGCTCCGTGGGGTAGCGAGTTTAATGGATAAGTAGCGGTCCGATATATGGTTGTGTACCCGCAGGACAGCTATGCAGGTGCGTAAATGGAGTTCGCTAGGTACGGAACCGTGTTTAATACTCCGTAAATCGGTACATCCGTGGATCGCATTTTCCTCCTCTTTTGTTCCTCAGTATTTTTTGAAAAGGATATTGACGGTGACGTTACCCTCCTCCAAGACCCTGAACCTGAAAACCCTACTTATTGCTTTCTACGCACACCGCGTAGTTAATAACCGTGGGGTCCGTCCTAGAATTTTCTTGACTTTCTTGGGTCGTGTTAGGTCGGTCCGTGGACCGGACAGATCTTTGTCGCGGAGTATGCCTGTAACATGTAAAGTATATAAAGTATAGAGAGCAGCGAAATGCTTGAGCGCGTAACAGTCTATGTCTGCGCACAGACAAGGTTGTAAGAGACGACGATTCGTGGTAAACTACTTAGGCCGAGAAAAATACAAATACAGAGGGGGAAGCTGCAGCACCGGCGACCAAGGCCACCTAAATCAATATTGTATGTACTTACGAAGCACTGGGATGATTCATCCAAGTCGGACTCCAGGGGTAGGGTAACCTGGCAGGTACCTAGTGAGTAGCATTGTGAGTAGCATTATGATATTATCATGGTATCGTGTAGCCGTCCACAAGACCTCCTGTATGGCCGGCTGATATATAGTTACGAGCTACTCACTGGTGCAGCAATTCTGTGGTTGGTTAGCAAAAAGTGAAAAGGGTATGCTAGCTGCAGCGAGGCGCCGGGCTCCTCGGTTGTCTCGCTCTTATTACCATGTTCTAGGTAATGGAGCGAGGCAGGGCAGGGCATGACAAGGCATTGGTGGTGGAGATGGAGGGGAAGGGGGGGTTTAAGGGATTTAAGAGGGTGGGTTTGGGGGGATTTGGGGGTTCTAATGACAACAGGATGAATATGGATAAGTGATCAACAAAAAATTTCATCCCTATAGTTTCCGGTTGGGTTTGATGGGTTTGATCAAGGCATTGATTTTATCATGTGGCATGTGGATGAAAGAGTGAGTCAGTCAGATATTGACTTATTGTGCATCGTAAAAACGGGGTTGACTTCAGGTATTTAACTTCCAAGTTTCTAATGGCTAGAGCTGTTTGATTCCCTAGTGGGATGTTACGACTCTCAAGGAAAGGCAATTCAGCAGCTCATAAACCTTGTGCGACATTTAAAAGTGGACACATCCATTCATCTAAGAAGGAGGGGCTGGAGGGGTCATCCATCACTTTTATCTTCACCCAATCCACCGTATTTTACGGCACCACACTAGCCGGGATGGTTTTCCGCTACTCGGTCTAAGAATTACCTAATAAGGAAAGACAGTGTTAAGGTGCCGGAAGTTTGAGTAACCATTGTTTGTAACTTGCAACGATAGTATACATTATATACCCAAGTATCAAAGCATCTTGGAAAGTAGTATCCATCGCAAAGAGCCCACAGCATTTAATAAGCTTCGAAATTATTGAATTTTATGTTTTTCTCAATATTTATCATTGAACTAGGCTTGTTTATATGAACCCTATATTATCTCGTGTTACTTAGGTGGGATTTGATATGACGGAATTATGGAGTTTAGACGGATTAACGCAACATCGAAGACTGATAAGGGATTGAAGGGATTGTATTAGACAGCATTGAGATTAGTGTGCGCAATTCATACAAATACCGAAATCACAATGTGAAACCAATTCTGAAATCTATCGACCCAGTCAGGATACATGATAGAACAGCATCATCCTAGCACTCAGTGCCAACGTCGATAGTTCCGAGCCGCCGAATCAATGCAGCAAGGAGCGTCGGTTGCACAGCACCTACATATATGGGTACGACACATGTTCACGAGTCGACTTGTTTTGATTCCTGACGCCAAACAACATTACAACAATAGCAGCAGCAACAACAAAGCTCAAACGGCTCATTCGCTTTGCTTTCTAGTGCCCGGACGTGGGCACCAGCTGGCAGCGTCTAAGCCTGCTTGTTCAAGCTGCTCGAGGAGTCAGGGACCCTCTGAAGAAGAAAAGGCCAAGCAAAGCCAGCCAGGCCTTGTCTGTATGTAATCGGTAATCCATCTGTCTTGGACCGCCCGCTTTCTCACCCCAGCCAGACCAGCCCGACCAGCCAGTCCCGGCTCAGCTTGGACCAGGATCAGAGGTGGTCAGCCAGAAAGGTCCTTTTTGTGAATGAAAATCCAACTCCGTCATTTTTTTCATTCCCATTCCCGCAGGCAATGATTCCTTGATTCGATCCACCGCTCCAATAGTAACATACTATTGCATACGAATACATATGTATGATATGTATGTGCCCAGCTGTTTCCGGTACGTACCAAGTGGTGATGGTACTGATAGTACTAACGGTCTCATGGTACCTGTATGTGCATGGGTCAGCGAGTGAGTCTGATTCGGTTGATTCGGTTGTTTTTGAAGAGCCAGAGCCATCCATCGATAAAACGGATGTGGACAATGGGCAATCCCTTGGATAACGCAAACTACCCAGACCACCCAGACTACCTAAAACTTGCACTCACACATGTTAAGCATGTTAGCTTATGCTAGGTAGGTCGGTCCAGATGTCATGGTAGGTCATGGATGTAAGGTGGTAAGGTGGATTAGGCCTTGTCTCTCTTCGTCTGGTCTTAGAACTTACCCACCTCCCACTTCTCGCTCTATTGCAATTGGATGCATGTAGACACCTCGTCCAGTCCCGTCGTATCGTACAGTGCACTATTGCGCTATTCCGTATGGTAGGGAGAAGGTAGGCGAGGTAATGCTGCATCGCACTCACTGCCTCGGTGCTCTTTGGGGTTGCTCTTACTTACATTGGTAGTACGTCTTTAACTTCTTACCTTGATAGCCTTGGTTTTTTTCTCTTCTTGTCTCCTTCCTACCTTCCTCCTACCCTCCGACCTCTCTTACCTTTCCGCTCTTGCTCTTCCTTTTCCATCTTCCCTCCGCTCGTCTTAGAACTTCGACGTTCCTTCCGGAGGTAGATACTTATTCCTCAGGTAGGTCCGAATAACCTCGGACGCTGGTCTCTGAGCATTTAAAACCAAACCTCCACTTATCGGTAAAACCGTATCTTTTCCATCTCATCATCTTACCTAGCGACATCACATATTTTCTCCAACGCCCTACAGCCTAACTTCCTATAATCCATAGGCCGTGACACTTAACAAAGGATCTAACCCGCTGAATCTTGCTGCCAAATATTTCCATATCCATATCGAAGTATCGTCAAAGGCAAGCGTTTGCCCGTCCAATTACCACATCTACCCAACATTCCGGCGGTTAGTTAGAGCGTTAAGGAAAGCGGTAGTCTTTACACGGAGGGTCAAAGAGTTATAATAAAGGGTCGAATATTCTACCAAACTTCAATCCCCAGCGACAATATCGATATTGGCCAGTATATCCGAAATCCTAGGCATCCCCCTAAGGTAGACACCTATCTCAAAGAGTCACATCGCTAGGGCAACGTAGGCAGACAAAAAGTCCAGACTTCCCACACAGTAACCCTGCTTCCTTGGTCTCATACACTTGGATCTTCGTCACCATTCTTTCGTCACCCCGCACACGCCTCCAGTGCTCATACAGGGTGGACAGTATCTCGAGTACGCTAACGTACCTGGACACACCTCGATATTCGACGCACACTGTACCTTGAAGCAACGGTATCGGGAATGCACAATATTTTTCACTGCCAGTGTTAAATATTTACTTGCGACTATCACCACCACTCGCCGTTGACCACACTACTCACCTACATATTTCCGGGCATGATCTTCGTTCTTCCCAACATTGATCGATATCTTGACAATCAACCAGCCAACTAATCCACTTTCAAGATATCACATCACCTTCTCATATAAAGTAGTAGTCAAAAAATCCACTCCGTCACTTAACGCCAAGCACATCGTTTCGACGATATCCGTTGGAATACAGTAGCGGGAGTGACGGCCTCTTTAGCAAGGCTGCCACTCTCCAAAAAGTATTCAACATGGATCCTTCACCGATGGACTTCATGATGCATCAAGACATGCATTCACCTAACCACGCCGGCTCTCCTACCTCTTCGTCCAACATGGACCACCCTGCCCGCTCAGCTTGTCCAGCCTTGCGTGCTGCCGCCGAACAGAACCAACAATCGCCGATGTTCTCTTCTCGCCCTAACTATCGTCCCGACCCATCCAATTCCCCTCCGTCTTTTTGGCAGAACATGCCCAACGCTTACGGCCGATGGCCGCCCGCCGATTTCCACCAAGCTAATATGCTTGCCTTGGGCATGCCGCCGACTATGAATGCGGGTCAAGGCAGCCCACCTCATTATCCGTCGAGGGGTCCCGAACAATACAACCCCCACATGTCACCCCGATCCTATTACCATACACCGATTATGAGTTTGACGAGAATTGGAGGCACGGCTCCGGCCCAACACAGCCAAGGAAACTTTTCGGGCTCCAACCAAGGTCAAGCTCACGGTGGAATTAGAAGTGGAACTGGAAGTGGCCCAAGTGGTCCAAGTAGCCAAAGTGGTCAAGGTGGTCAAGGTGGTCCAGGAAACCTAATGATTACCTCTGGAATCCCAGGGCGACAGAGTGGGCTAGCTAACGGTCGCCTCCCATCTATGAACTCGGTTCCTCCGCCTCTCACAAACAACAATTTGCAAACGCAAACGCAAACATTTCCCCAAAACTCTCGTGCGGCTCAGCAGTCCGACCGATACACACCTCCTCCTCTTCCTCGACATAGTAGTACACCATCAGCATTATCACTCCAAATGTCGGAATCTAATATAGCATCCACCGGTGTAGGAAGTGAGTCGGGCCCTGCCCAGAACGGTATGTTATCCTCCCTTCGAATACATTTATGGCAAAATTTTTTTTTTTTTTTCAGATTATTTCAAATGAGAAGTCAAATTTAGCAGAAAATTTACTAACGGCATCTTAGATTCGTCGTCGCCTTCCCGTCGCGCGCCTAGCACTGCCGCATCTACCGCGCGATATGTGGAGGTGCCGGAGGGGTATCTTACCGACCCGCGCCGAGTCAATGCGAACCGTGATAGACGAGGTCTTACGCGATTGCCATCTTCGGAATCTGGTTGGTCTAGTGACGACGACTCCGACCCTGATGCGGTTGCAATGTCGCTCTTAGAGGCCGCGGTGGCCGGACCGCCCGCAGAAGGTGGAACGGACGGACGTCTCAGAGCACAGCAAGTAATGCGAGGTAGTATCTCGACTAAGCGAGTGGCATCTAAGAAGGCACTCACATCCCTTGAGAGTGTGACTGTCTCGAGTCTGCCACAGAACGAGAGAAGTAAGTTTTACCGAAACCCGATGGATACGTTCTTAGTTAACAAGACAGCCTGTGTGATCTGCTACAACGACTATGGAGTCGAGACCCCCGAAGGCATTAGTGAGAACCCGCTACGATTGCCACGATGTAAGCACGTATTCGGAGATCATTGCATCAAGAAGTGGTTTGAGGAATCGGACAGCTGTCCCTACTGCAGAGATAGAGTCCCTTCCGAACCTCAGTATCGTCAGGCCATGAACGCTCATAACGTGTACCGATTCTTGCGCCAGCATCACCAGATGCAGATGCAGATGCAAATAACCCGACCAGGCCGAGAACATGAACGAGGTGATTCGGAAGCGGGGGGTCGACTTGACTCTATCTTGAATGGGTTCGCTTCAAGGTATTTATTTCCTTTATCCTGACAATGTAACATCCTTATACTAACTTGACATATAGCCCATACACGGGGTATGACGAGTATGGAGCCGCGGGAGGCCCTCCGTCTAGACGAGCGGATGGCATGCACATTGGTCCTCGAAACCCGGCTTGGCATGGAAATTCGGGAGAGCGCCACTCTCCCCTTCCGTTCAACGAGATGGGCGAGAACAGGCGTAGAGTGCGTCCTCGCCACGGCAGTCTGCGTGGATTCGCTCCGGGACGTCCGCATTTTACACCGGCCCCGGCGAACAACGCTCCTCAACCTCAGGTTAGTCCTAATAATTACCCCCCATTATCCCCATTTTATATTTCCCGAAGCTTCTCAAATCGATCAAGACATGGCTAACAGCTCAACACATCAGTATTCGAATTGGATGCACCGCACAAATCAGCCTCATTCACTCAATCGACAGCATTCGGTGTCTGGACAGAATGGACAGAACACTGCTGGCCGCACCGCGTTTGACGCGAACGCCCCCGCCTTTCCATTCCAGACAGCGATGGGTGCGCACCCCCACGAGACCTATTCAAACCCGTTGAACATGAGTAATTCAACCGGTAACAACGACGAGTACACTACTCTACCTCACATGCGCACGCAGCACACTGCGCCTCTTTCCCCGACATATGCGGGACCGGAGGTTTACATGTCGAACGCGGACGAGCCTATGTACGGCGGTTCAGTTTCACACGGACAGTTGTAGGAACGCGATTTCGTGGGAGCTCGACAGCAAGCTAGAAGCTCTTCTCCCCCGAGAGCACGCGCCGATTTTGCGCTCCCTCCTCAAGAGCAAGCACGACGAAACACACGTTCTCGCCGAGGCAACCATTAAACGGGTGCGACTACTTATAACTTCCATGGACGATACCTCGCGATATCTTATCAACCCTTTTCCTTTTTCACGCATGCGACGTTTAATGGAATGGGTAAATCGCATAGAAATTTGCATTGTCTTCATTTTCGTCTTACGGCATTTCGATGGTTCGGCAAACGCAAAGGCAGATTTGACGGGTGGTTTTTTCTCATTTTCTTCTTCTACGCAATCCCGCGAACATCTCTGCTCGGCGTTAGGGGAGTTTCTACGGCACGGCCAGGGTGGCCATGTGACGCACGATACGCACCAGGTTTTTTTCGACGATTCTTTTCTTTTACGTACGGCCGGTTTCGTTCTTCGCGGACCGAGCTTCATTTGACGACAAGGCATGAGTTCACTTTTCTGCAGGAGACAAGTTGCTAGACTGGGATAGTCTCCTCCCTCACAAACAAAGCCCCATATGGGTATATTCCGCCTCAAGGCGACGACAGATCGATAGGTCATACCATCCACTGATGTACATACTTCCCCCAATCCCCCCAAATTCACCCCATTTTCCCCCGAAGTCCCATCCCTGATAATTTGACGCGATGGGTTATCCTACCTTAATTCAGCTAGGTAAATAGGCTCTTACTGGAGCGCTACGCTTCGCTTCGGCAATGCCTCGTCTGATTGCCTTCTCTAGTGACATGTGATTTGTATTAAATGATTGAAATGTAAAGTAGAAGGTAGCTGTGTTCACATAGAAATGGCTTGTCTGTAGGAACTAAACATGGTACATATATAATGCACTGATGGGGCAATATGTTCATGTAAGGCTTGTAGAAGACGTAAATTCAAAACTGATGCTATTAGGTGTGTATCTTGAGACCTAAAACTCATTCGCAGGTCCTTAATGGTACAAGAGCCAAACATTGATTTCAGTCTCAACATGGTCTTCTCAAATCTGGTTAGATTTCCTCAGCCTACTCTCAATATTCAGTTCTCTCTGAACCTTAACCTCACATACCGATATACCAACCACCCCAACCCGGTCCATCCTATTTCGAAAACAGCAAACCAAACCATATCACATATCGCTCGACTTATAACTTGGCGCCCCCGACGCCCCTCGCCTTCCCCTTCCCCTGCTCCCGCCTGACCAGGTCCCAGGCGAACTCGCCGAGGAGCGGCATGGCGGCGGCGTGCTTCTGGGCCTCGGCGCTGCTGGCCTGGCGCCGCGCGACGCGGGCCGCGATCCCTTGGCAGATGGCAGCGAGGCGGAAGACGCTGAAGGCGCTGGCCCACGCCACATCCTCGGCGCTCGGCGTCCAGCCCGCGGCCGCCGCGTACCAGGCTAGGATCTGCGAGGGCGTGGGGAGTCCGGGAGTTGCGCCGGGGAGGAAGCCCGGGTGCGATACCGCCGAGACGGCGGCTTTCTTGTTTTCACTGGCGGCAGAGGAGGAGGAGGTGGATGTGGATGTGGACATGGAGGCGCTGACGTACGGGTGTAGGAGGTTGGCTAGGTCGCTTAGCGGGTGTCCGATGGCGCTTAGTTCCCAGTCGAGGATGCCGGCGACGCGCGGCTCGTCGGCGGCGAAGACGACGTTGTCGATCTTGTAGTCGCCGTGGACGAGGGTGGCGCGGTCGGCGGGGCGCAGGGTCGCGTCGCCGAAGAAGGACATCAGCTCGGCCATGTGCGGGATCTCGCCGACGGGCGCGCCGGTGTCGACGTCGCGCGTGCGGGCCTGCGCCGCGCAGATCTGCGACCAGGTCGCTAGCTGCCGGTCGTAGAACCCCGTACGTTTTCCGAAGGAGCCGAGGCCGACGGCGTCCGGGTCCACGCGGTGCAGCGAGGCTATGGCTTCGACGGCGGCTTTCCAGAGCGCGGTGCGTTCGGAGGGGGAGGAGGCGGAGGGCATGGCCGCGTCTTCGAAGATGCGGCCTGAGACGAAGGACATTAGGTAGAAGGGCGTGCCGAGGACGGAGGGGTCCTCGCAGAGCGCGTACGCGCGCGGGACGGGGACGGGGGAGGATCCTAGGGCCGAGATCACGCGGTACTCGCGCTCGACTTTGTGCGCGGCTTTTGAGAGGAGCTCACCGGCGGGTTTCTTGCGCAGGACGTATTTGGAGCCCGTGGGCGAGGTGAGTTGGTATGTCGGGTTGGATTGGCCGAAGCCGAACTGTTTTTTTGGTGAAGAGGTTAGAGAATGGTTTGGTAGGTTAGGGCGGGAAGGGGGGAATGGCTGGTAAAAGTGAATATGGTATGTCGACGAACCTGCTTCACGTCCAATGGGACCTTGATCTCGGGCACATTCTCGCTGATGTAGCGTTCCAACGCCGCCGTATCGATCGGATGCCTTACTTTCCCAGCCATCGCTTCAGCTACCAAAGAACTACGCCTGCAAAAGCCGACAAAAAGAAGAGACAATTCGTTTCTATTTCGCTCCTAAAATCAAATGCTAAGTATCATCGCATGTTACGGCGTTGGAGTATGGCCAATCGATTTCAAACCCAGAAACAAAATAAAGTAAAAAGAGGCTTGGAATCTACTATCCATCTCGCATCTCATAAAATGCGGCGGTAAGCCTCAATCTAACAAAAGAGAAAAAAAAGCAAAGAGCTGACGTCGAAATGGGTGCCGAGGTAATTTACGGACCTGGCAGGCGGTAACGGCTAGCCCCACTTGATTGGCCGGCGTCCCTCGCCTAAGTGCGGAAAATATGCGGGGGAGGGGTATAAAGTCACTTTTAGTCCCTTGCCAAGACCTTGAGCTCTCTCGGTTCCCCATCTATTCGGAGTTAAGTACCTCGAAGCTATGATATCATTGGCTGAATCTCGAATTGAGTTTTGCTCATATATACTAATTTCTATTTTTATATAGTAGCATACCTTACCTAGGTAGATTAGGTAGGTGTGCGTTGTAAGTAACATCTAACTCTGTCACGATACATGTACGAAAGCTCGTTTCTTGACATTTTGAGCGTCGGTGCCGTCGTCCCAGTTCTCGTCCACGTACTCCTTGATTCCCTTATCCTGGATTTGCATCCCCGCTATCTTAAGAGCCGCTATGTTGTATCCCATTTCGTCTTTCTGTTTTTGAAGAGCTCTTCGTAGGTTCGACCTGATGCCATCTAGCATAGCCCGCATCGTCCTGCTAGCTACTATCTGGCGGTGGTGGGTTTTCAGCATGAAGAACAGGACCTTACACGTCAGAGGAATGTTCATCGACCTCATAGCAAAAAGGTTGAGGAATGTGAAAAGCATAGGGACCGAGGCGAACGGAAGGACGAGAAGCGCATCGTTTAGCGCTGAGGCTGCTGGTCTTTGCAGGACCTTCATAACGTACTCCTCGGCACTGATCCCGCCGTGGGCCATGAACATCGGATCGCGCTGAGGCGACGCAATATGCGGGTTAGACGCCTTGGCTTCTTCCCATTCCTGCATAACGTGCAAATCAGCCATTCCTAATTCTAAGGCCTCTGCTATTCGTTCTCCATGGTTCAGGGTTTCTGAGGTTTGCTTCGTTGCGGCCCCAATCTCTCCGTTTTCGTCGTCCTCGTCGGCATCTTGTTCCAGGGATTTTGTCAGCGTGCTTTCGTACAATTCTTCGATTTCCTTTTCTCTTTCTTCCTCGAGGAAGATTTGCTCATCCGTTTCTTCCCAGACTCGTATGCTTTTGTCGTGACTAGCGCTTACGATGAAGGGAGGTTCGCTGCTCTGACTGATTGCAAGAGCCCAAATTTCTCCGTGGTGGCCGTCGAGTCGTTGGATTTGCTCAAACTTGTCGCCATCCCAGTATTTAATCGTCCTGTCTTTGCTAGCGCTAAAGAAGTGGTGACCGTTACCTTCCCGGTTATTTGGGAGGAATTTGACCTGTAGGATACTGTCTTGGTGTCCCAACAATGCTTTATGGCAGTCACCAAAGTCGAGACCCCATATCCTAATATTCTTATCCGCCGAACACGTCACAATTAGTTTGCTGTCATATGAGATATCCATATCCAATACGGGTAACTTGTGACCATAGAGATTGAGGTATAGCTTGAGGGAGTCCACAAAAAACACCTTGACCGTGCTGTCTAATAAAGCAACAGCTAGGAGCTTCGCATCGGGCGAAAACTTGAGGCTCAGGATATCGTCCGCGACTTTTAGCGTTCGCGAATGCGATAACTTTAAACGAGACGTAGTTCGAGTTGTTCCAAGGACTTCCTCCTGAACGACCTGAACCTTCCAGAATTTGGCTGACTTGTCCGCGCTTCCGGACACTATCGACCTACCATCCGGGTGAACCTGTAAGGACCAAATGGCCCCTTCATGAGCGCTTACACTGTCAAGTAATGCCCCTGTGGCCACTTCGAACAACTCGATCTCGCCACTTTTCGTACCGATGACAACAAGCTTGTCCCCAGGTAAGAACGCACAGCACAGCGCATACCCGCACTCCAGAGTTTTGCCGCATTTTTGTGTCAACATTGACCAGATTTTGAGATTTCCGTTGGAGGCTGAAGCGAGCCATTTATCGTCAGAACTTAAGGCCAATGATCGGATATCTGCTCGATGACCAGGAAGTTCGATGGATAAAGCTCTTTCGTAATCGGGGACATCTTCCTGCTTCGACTTCTTCTCTTTCAAAGGCATACTATACAGCTCTAGCTGGTTGTTCGTCGCGCTGACTAACAGCTCAAGTTTTTTCTTGCTACGAGTATCGGCCCAATCGACTGACTTCACTTTTCCACCGGTCCGAATGATTAGGTGCTGAGCGAAAGCATCGTTTACGTCTGCGCTGCTAGGATCTTCGTCTTGATCTTCCTCTCCGTCTAGATGAGCATCACCATTCTCCGCTTCTTTCTTCTGCGCAAGCTTCTCTCGTCTTCTTTTCTTCTTTCTTGCCAAGCTTTTCTTGATTTCGGATTCACTACGTATCCTCCATATCTCCACGGATTTCTCCGATCCGTGCACGGCGAAGTAATCTCGGCGAGGATGAAACACGACTTCGGTAGCCTTATCCTTTCCATGTCGAAACAAGGTTCCTCGATCTTGTAAGTATTGTATATTGGCAGGCACATCGACTTGTCGTCTCGACGCGGCTAGTGTCGTAGCATCGAGACCCCAGACCTTGAGTTCGCCAGCATTTCCTGCGGTTATACATCCGGTGTAATCGGGTGAGAGCCCTAGTGCCCAACATTCGCCGTTCGTTTGCGCGATATGTGTTTCGATGCAATGTCTTGACCCCAGATCCCAGAGTTTGATCAGCGCATCCTTTCCTGTAGTAAGTAAGAAGCCCTCAGACGAAGAATCGGCTACGCCATCGAGAACCATTGCCTGCGAGTCCTCCTCTTCCGTGACCTCCTCTTGGGGTTCCACAAATTGTAGTCCTGTGATCTGGTCCTTGTGACCCCTCAGCTTGAATTGGCCAACCTCCGCTACTAGATCCCAAACGATGACATTGGTGTCTTTCGAGCCGCTCGCGAGTCGGACGCCGGATCGGTCGAATGCAAGGACGGTAATGGCCGAGCGATGCCCATTGAAGGTGATGAAGGGGCTCGGGTCCTTGCTCCGCCAAAGCCGGACACTACCATCCTCATAACCGGCGGCAAATAGATCGTCGTTGAGTTTACTCTGCGCAATGGCGGTCACTTGAGCGGAAGACTTCTCATCTTTCCACCTTTCAACAATATCCCCTGTTTTGATATCCCAACATAGGAGCTCTTCATTTGCTGCGACGACGGCTTGGCCAGCACCGGTGCTAGAGCGATTCTGCTGGGTCCAGAGGATATTCGACGTGCTGGAAGTTACGAGACCAAAGGAATTGGAATGCTCATACTTTCTAAATAGGGTTATAATTAGCCTAAGTTGTATGCGACTACATATGGGTGGATTGCAACTCACAAGTATGACTTAACCATCGTTGCGATCGGTTTGATTCCTTGGGAGCTTCATTTGCTTCTGCTTAAGAAATTCAATTCATAACTTTTTTTTCTTTAGAAGGGATAAGGGACTGTCGATAAGAAATTCTTATCGCTTATCACTTATCGTAGGAGGCCCGTGCACAGACCTCATCCCCCTACGTAGCTGCGTATGTAAGCAGAATGAGCCCCACCAAAGGCATCCTTAAACACCATTCCACATTCAAGTCCAGCTCCATACAACACCAACTCAATCTAGAAGCAAGTATACCTGTCAATCTCGCCCAACATGCTGCTTCTAGATTACCAAAACGTTTTAATAGAGTCTATACTCAAGGAGAGACTCTACGGGTAAGTGGAAGAATGAGATATTTGGATTCTGTAGCTTCAAGCCTAACGGTGTATTTAGAGCGCCCCCTACTTCTATCGACCAGACGGTTTCCGACTTCGACGGCGTTATCTTCCATATATCGACCCCCGAAGCTAAGACTAGGATCCAAGTATCCATCCAAATCCGATGTTTCAAGGAGCTTGTTCAATATGGCGCTGAGCAGGTCCTTCAACGTGAATACGGACAATATGTTGTAGCTCCAGAGATCGGCTATGACTTCTCGGTTATGGTGGATCTGGATAACCTCCCAGCAGAAAAGGGTAATTATACGAAGACTAATATCCTTTATCGGTGGAGATGGTGTTAACAAACGTTATAGAGGAACGAGACGAACTAGTTAAGAAGATCTCCTTACTAAAACGAAATGCAATGGCCGCCCCATTCGAGCACGCCTACGCAGAACACTACAAACTCAAGGAGGCTGCCTCGAAGTACACGTCGGAAGAAGCACCACAAGGTGTCCGGGAAGGCGGTGATGTTATGGCTATCCACTACCGCGACGAGGAAGCTATCTACGTCAAGGCAAGTCACGATCGTGTAACTGTCATCTTCAGCACCATCTTCCGGGAAGAGACAGACCGAGTATTCGGGAAGGTTTTCATCCAAGAGTTCGTCGATGCCCGAAGGAGAGCCATCCAGAATGCACCCCAAGTTCTGTTCAGGAATGATCCGCCACTGGAATTGCAAGATGTTCCCGGTGTACAGGCCACTTCCGGTTCAGAGGTTGGATATGTTACCTTTGGTAGGTTTGGATATCGCATAGCTCTAGAGATTTTGACTGACTGTGAAAGTTTTGTTCCCGCGACACTTGACGCCCCAGCGAATGCCTGATGTCATCTCCCACATCCAGACCTTCCGAGACTACTTCCATTACCACATCAAAGCGTCTAAGGTACGAAATCCCAACCACCAATCACTCTTGCTTTTATATTAACGAGAATATAGGCATACATTCACTCTCGTATGAGAAGGCGGACGGCAGATTTCCTCCAAGGTAAGATTTTATGTCAACCAATGTTGGTATTAAATACTAATCATCATTGCAGTACTCCGAAGAGCAAGACCAGAGAACGAAGAAAAGGAGAGAAAGACAGCGAGTGGAAGGACATTCAAAGTCCAGGCTTAGGACAGCAATGCCTAGAACGAGTTTTTTGAGATATATTGGCGACAACGGACTCAGTACCCTCCACGTATGCAAATCACGAACAATACCAAGACGAATTGACCAAAATGCCATCCAAATAATACATTATTCAGTTCTAAAGCTGCCTTTTTGGAATGCGTAATGATGAAAATATCGAAACTAATATGAACAGTCTTGATTAAATCCAAGCTTCATCCTCTGCCGTTAGCAAGTACAATATTTCAACCCAGGTTGAAATGCTTGTTCTCCTATTTTCTCGTCTAGTAAAACCAAGGCCCCCCTATTCGAATATTGCATGCGAACAGTCTATATTCACTATCGGTTGCGAGGTCGGGTCTTAATTGCTATCATGGATAGTCGGGTTTCGACCGTTTTCCATGAGGTGTCTCCTTATTTGTTTTTCTGGTCAAACTTAACTACCGCGGAGCTCACTGATTCTCGCAATAGATGGTCTATCTCGAATTTAAACCAGTATGTTGACTCATGTAAATGGGATAGGGGTGATTAAATGATGGAAGAGTAAAGGTAGGTTACTCGGGGTCTAGTATATTATAAATGCTTTGATTATTAGTACGACTTCCATTCGCAAGAAAGTTCACAATGATAGCTCAGAAGCTTATTATCTATAATCTGAAGAAAGCATTGCTTCTAAGTGACAAAGAATAAAGAAAACAAGCTATCAGGGCACGGTCTAGCACTGCCAAATTAGGAGCTGCCCCTGAAGCTTAATCTTACAATATTTCACAGCTTAGAATATTCACGTAGTCAAGTAGGTCAAGAGTGTTTTAAAGGGGATAAATCGTATTGGTTTCCAATTATTCGTAATTACCTAGACTGCTAGGCATATTCCGTTTCAGAGCGCATTTCGCTCAACTTACCTGTAATCCGATAGCATCATCATATGCGCATATTCTTCCTCCATCTTCTTCCGCAAGAACTCCTCAGTAGCATTGAGTTTTTCAAGACACGAATCTAGCGATGAATCTGCAGTTGGCGATTGACCGTTCTCAGGCTCGAGGCCCGCCTCCTCTAGATGTCCTTTACAATCGTCATGCGTCTTCTCAAGTATCTCCCTAAACACTGCTAGGCGCTGTTTTATCAAGGCAAACTTCGCGTCGGTACTTTCCTTGCTTTCATGGCAAGGAAGACATAAATGGTTGATTTTGATGTTATTCCGTGGGTGGGTTTCCGTGGTGTTGCATGGCTCCGACCTCTGCCCTGACTCGTGATCTTTCTGCTCCTGACAGAGTTGTATAGGGTCATCAGAGATCCTAGAATGGTTACATTGATATATGAACTTACGGTAATTGCACATCTTGATATACCTTGATATATACCTAGGTGTTGAATATATGCCTTAACCAAGTAGACAATCTGGTGGAGTTTGGATAGATTGAGAGTAGTTAAGCCTTACCTACCTTGTTGACGTTGATTTGTGGAATCTGGTAACCTAGGTAGATGATAAGACACGTAAACGGAACACTCAAGATTAAGCCATCCGTATTATATTGACTTCATTAGACAATACCATTGTGTTGTTCCCTCCAAGGCTGTTTGTTCTCTAGTTACAGGTTCTTTGTTGGCCGTACTTTGTTGCGATTTCTGTAGTGATCTATGAAGACCAGTACTCTGGGTTCAAAATCCATTGTTCGTTAGAAAGACATGTTTGAATATCGCCTTAGGTTGCTGGTTCAGATACCTCATTATAAGACTTAACCTCTAACCTCTCGCAGTGTTACTATAACACGTCAAGAATGGCAACTGCCCCATTAGAGGATATTTTTCAAGCATACGAATACAATTATGGTTTCACATAAATTCGTGTCGTTAATGCTAGAACGAATCAAACATGGCCAAACTAAACGGGGTATACCAGCCCCAAAGCAACCCTCATCCCACCCCCTAAATTCTCACACCCCCATAACCTTTTCACGCCCCTTTTCTCACGACCCCCCGGATGATCATAAATACTGCGTATTCGCAGCCCAAGGTCCATACGCATTCCTCATCCTCACATCCTCCCACATCTCATCCACCAGCGCGCCCTGATCATCCTCGCTCGTATCGCCGTAATCGTGGAACCCATCCACCTCCTCCACGCGCTCCTCCGAAACTTCTATAAACAGCGCGCGGTACGCCTCCCGGCTCCGCGAGTACTTGTACACGCACAGCGGCGGGACCCAGAACCTCCTCCTCTGCCCCGCCGCCGACCGCGACACGCGGAATACGTACCCGGCCTGCCGGTACCACGGATTCGGATAGCTCGCCAACGTATCCTTCAGCGCGTCGGCAAGATCCTGCAATACGGCCTCGTTCGTGCCCGCACGCGGCAAAGTGACGCAGTACACGGGCGCGCGCGACAGCGTGCGCCACCTTATCGCGGGCGAGCGCCCCCGCTCGTCGACCTGTACGGGGTACATGTCGAACTTAACGGGGGGCTGCTCTTCCAGGCCGAGATGGTCCCTTACGCGGCGTCCGACGACGCCGACCATAGGGCGGAAGATCGGGGTTAGACGGAGCCGCAGCTCGGCTTCGCTGAGGAAGATGATGTTTTCGGGACGCTCGTGGAGGGAGATTGGGGTTTGGTTTATGGGGAGGGGGGGCGGACGCGGGTTTATGCGCGCGCTTAGGGGGAGGTAGGAGGGGGGCCAGTGTGGGTAGTGGTTGAAGGGGCGGAGGGTGTTGCGGGAGGAGGGGCGGGAGGGATGGGGGTGAGTATGATGATGATGGGGATGGGGATGAGGAGGTGGCGGTGGTTGTTGGTATTGACTGTAATCTGGATACTGCTGAAGTGATGGCTCGGCATAGTAATATCCATGGTGATGTTCAGGGGGCAGCCAGGTCGCATGGTCGTTATATATCGGGATATATACACCATCGCTTGTCCGCGCGTAGCCGGGATGAGATCGGGAAGGACGTGGTGCCTCATGTGCTGATCCATCTGCTGGCCCATTGGGTTGTCCATACGCCATACCGTACGCTGGTCCATAAAGTTGCTCATAGGGTTGCCCATAGGATTGCCCATACGCTGGTCCATATCCATACTGAGGATTAGGAGGTGGTGGTGGCGGGGGAGGATAAGCAGGAGCAGCATCAGAGTGGCGGGCAAAGTACGAGGTTTGGAATGAAGTCATCCCTGGGGGAGGATCAACCCTAGCTTCGGGAGCATGTCCGACTGGATTTGGCGGTGGTATCCACGTACCCCGTTGAGTTTGTCCGAATCTTTCCCAACTGTTCATGTTGAAGCTGTCGATTTGGTGTCAGGTTCTTGATATTTAGAATGTAAGGTGTTTTACGAACATTAAGGTGTCCGCTACTATTATTTATTAGGGAGCAGTAATCTGGCGAGTAAAGAGTTGTATTTTTGTTCATAGCAGCGTGAAAGGGCTTTTTATAATCTTCGTATGGCGTTTAGTAGCAGTCGAGGTTTGCATCGTCATTATAGTCCAGCTCATTTTCCACTCTAGGTGTATGTGAACCACCCCTGACAAGAAATCAAATGACGTGAATGGCGACTACGAACCGTCGTCAGGATATCAAGGTCAAAAGACCACGGCAACTTGTGCTACCGCTGTTTGACGTACCGCCAAAATTGTACTACCAAGTTTGAATAAAGTATATGAAAACCATTCAGGGGTAAAACATGAATGTCGATGAACTAGATAAGTAGCCATACAGTTAACGCTTACTTATTACCTATACAATCGAAAGTACACTGGATTGTATATCCAAATAATGAACTCTCAATAATTATAGAGGCTCCGGCTTTTGTCCAACCCAACAACCCCTGACTTGATATGCTACCCTTTCACTTATATGACGTTCACGTCGTAATCCTATCACAAGATATATATTATATCCATGGTCTTCTATCCTAGGGGAGGGATCCATATTGGTCAAGTTCAAAGTACGTCCTGAAAATACTGAAGTGACGCCCGCATTGCTCAACGGGTAACTAACATGCTGAGAAATAATCTCAAAGCAAAAAAAACATCATTAGTATACCTTGTCAGTTGACACAGGTCTAGTGATATGAAAATCCAACTCAAATCATATCCCACCAATCCAAGGCAGTCGATTTAGGTGTTGCACGTAACCACCAAGAGTAGAAGTAGGTGCAAACATCTAGACATGACAAGTGAGGAATATACATCTATTGGAAGAGAGTGAAAGGCTAAGGGGTTATGTGATGAGGATATACCTAGGCATAACTGACTCGGTTTCTAGAGATCTAGTGCAATCGGTGATAACAACCTGAATGAGATTGAAGCGTCTTAGATTCTTTAACCATCAATGGATAAGCTGCCTAACTCTTGCCTAGCTCTTGCCTAGTTGAGCTCCTTTATGTTAGAACCTTCCACCTAAGCTTGGTAACTGCTATTGGACTTCTCATCGTTCCTACCCAGTGTACATATGCACCACTCACCACAAATCAGGTAAGAAGACTCCTAGGAGGACATATAGGGTCTAAATTAGCAAACTTCAGCATCCTTGAAATGGAGAAGGCGGCGAAGGGCTGGACTGGAGTGACTTAGTGGGGTCAGCATGACTTCTTCCAAGCGTTGCTATACAGCGTATAACTACTAAGTTCAAAGTCGCGATGGCTTGGTGAAATCAGACTTCACCACTACGTCTGGGGGTTCAATTCCTCCACTAGCCAATCTCTTTTTTTTCTTCCCTAGTATTTATTTCCCACATAGTATTAAAAATGCATGGGTTTGGTGTTTTCTTGCATAAGTTGACATTGAGTGTATTTCATAGATTTTCATTGTTTGATATGTAGGGACCACGCATATTGAGTGATCCCTACGCAATAGCTTTTCTTGGTCTTCTGTAAGAACTTATAAGTCCTGCGTCAATCTTAGTACGCGAATAAATTCGTACAGAGGGAACGCTATTTACTTATATGTACTCAAAGTATCTTTGGCAGTTTCCCTGTCGAAAGCATGATTAAACCACCATAAATATCTAGGAACTCTTTTTCTGTTTTATGTTTTACTCCTTTCCAGGACAAACCTAGTCGCCGGTATATCTTCATAATTCGAAGTCCATGCAAGCTTACCTGCCGTACTCTGATCGTGATCCCGTATATGAGGAACATCCTTGCCTATCCTCCTAAGAGTCTTCAATAGCGATGAGTCCTCCTTATCCGAAATAACGAACCCTAGGTCCGCAGCAAGCAGGCATTCCAGATCCGTAGTGGAATCGCCAAAGTATATCAACGGGTTCCGGGACAATCCCTCTGCTTCGAGTATGGCTTCCATGGCGTCCAACTTATCGCGCGAGTTCGTCAAGTTCCTCTGTTCCTTGGCCCCGTCGCCATTCAACACCTTAGGCCCAGCAATCGACCCGTCCTCTCTCACATCGTTCGCTATGACCTCCACGCCCTCCAACTCGCCACACGCGCCCTCGATGAACGCCGAGCTCCAATTCACACTCAGCACCCAAACCCGCCACCCCTCCCTCCGTCTCGCATCCACAAACTTCGCAAACCCATCCCTCAGCTTTACCGTCCCCTGCTCTACCAGCTGCCTCCCCGCTTCTCTAAACGTAGCCGGGTGGATCCCGCGGAAGAGCGCGCAATTATTAATGCGGCCAAGCGAGCGCGTCTCCACGGTCTTCAAGTCCCTCAGAAACTCAATCTCGTGCTCCGGCAAGCTCCGCGAGTCCGGACGCGGGCTGTAGGAGGAGACGTGGGCGCCGTGGTCGTCGACGTACGATTTGACGACTTGGTCCCATTCCTGCTTCAGGTCGTGGCCCTCGGACGCGCGGACCCCGAGCGCGAAGTCGGCGAGGTGGTTGATGGTATCCTGGGACGTGATGGTGCCGTCGAAGTCCAGGAAGATGCTCATTGCGATGTTAGGTAGGTGTATTACCTAAGCTGGGTAATAGTGTGGAGAAAAGGAGAAAAGGGGATGGTGAATGGTTGTTTGTGGCGGGTGAGATTTGCGGGGATTACTCGTGAGACTTAATACTGAGACCCATGTGACTGGTACTAAAAAGGAGGATTGACATACAGTGTATGTATATAAATCTATGCCAAAGGCAGGAAGTTTCATTGAACGGAAGGGGTTTGAAGTGTGAACTTAGGCAGTCGGTTTGCCAAGACCTGAAGTAACAGGCGCATACGTCAGGATTAATAAGTCTCAATTCACTCTCATAGATATAAGCGTGAAGAAACACAAGGTTTCATATTGCAAGTCATGATAGGAACTCGTTTTATAAACTGTGGAGTTCCTCATGCAGAAATGACTAGGCATGCTAGCTCAACTTCCACAGGCAATAGCCAATAAACCTCAGTTCTGCTTGTCACGCCGAGGGTATCATTTATGTATGGTACAAGGAAAATCGCATCATCGATGCAATTGTAAAAGACGCCGTAACTCCTTTTCTGAGTACTTCCATGTACTTCCGTGTACTGAGTCCATCCTGTAGCTATCACTGCCTTCAGTAGACGCTCTTTTCGCTCTTAAATTAAGCTGGCATAACGTCTTCCATTTCCGCATCGGAGTCGGATACATCTCCCTCACCTTCACCTTCGGGGGCCGTATCAGGCGCCACACCGTCGGCCTTAAGAATGTTGAGGGCTCCTCTGTGGTCCGCGTTAAGCTCCCAGTTGTTGGCAAACGGACCGGTCTTGTGGAGGATAGCAATCTCCTCCAGATTCTCTCGGAGCCACGCCTCGGGTTGGCGCAGTTCGTTCCTAAAGGCTCGCATGGACCAGTAGTTGTAACGCTCGAAACACTCGAATAGCCTGTCGCGTAAGTCGCTCTTGGGTAGACGGGCAGCCTTCTCCTCCCTTTGCTTCTTGCCTCCTTTCTTGACCTCGGGAGCGGAGCGCTAAACTTGATGTTAGAATGCCAATAGATATAGGAATGCCAGTAAGACTTACAACAAAGTTGCTGAACTTGTCGTTGGAGACATGCGCGCCGGCCTGGATGAGATTGGTAGGCCTGGCAGAAGAGGTAAGCGTCGTAGTCGCCTTGGGTTTCATAGCGTCGGTGTTGCGTATGTTCAGCCAATGTCTGGTCTCCGGAGTCCAAACAGGTTGGCAGTTCAACTCATGACGGAACCGGCCTCGAAGAACAGTTTTCTCTGTTTTTTTGTCAGTGATATTGAATGCAGCAGTGAGCAAAGTCATCACTAACTAGGTATGGCCTTTCGGTAGTAAGGTTGATAGCGGCCTTTGCGGCCGCGCTTGTTGTCGCCTTCTTGCTGCGCATTGTCGCGACGCTCTGGCTTAGGACGGAGGAATGCGGGGATATCACTGTTGGCTCCCTGCGACTTGGACTTGAATCCCGGGAGATCTTGCTCGGTGAATAGAAACGTGTTGGGTAGATTCGTATCCTTGATGTCGAGGTTGTACTCCTTTGGTAACTGTTGATGAGGAGCGAGGTTGTGGTCTAGCAAGACTGCCATGCGTTGCTGTGAGAGACTTGTTAGAATTATTGGAAATGTACATGTTGCGCGATGGTGATTGGCGACTTACCTTGACTTCGCCATTGGGACCTACTTCGTCCCATCTACGAACCGTACCGATGCGAATCTCGGCATCGTCGTCCAGGTTTTTCCATGCGTCGTAGAGGTATTTGGGCACGTGAGTTAGATAAGCAGAAGAATCGCTGATGTTGTTCGGATCGTAGAATTCGAGGTCTCCAGCATCCTCGTAGATATCATCTTCAGACATAGCGGCGGGGGAGCGACCGAGGTCATCTTGTTCCAACTTGATGCCAGGTTCAGGCTTGATTCCCGGCTCGGCCTTGACCCGAGGGGTGGCCATCTTGATAGACGCGCCCGATAATATTTGACGTTCGATATTCAATGACGCAAGAAGACTTCGGGATATGTGGATTTGCGATTTTCCGATTGGTGTTGGGCTGTTAAGTTGGTAGAATGTTGGCTGTTGCGAAACAGTCTGAGAGTTGAAGGTGAAAGGTGAAAGGTGAAAGACAGAACGCGGCTCGTGTTGAAGGTCAAAGAATGATGTAAAGCTAAATCAATTGCTAGGTACCAGGGAAGCTGCGAACAGGCACTGGATTACTTAATATAGTGGACCCTGACTTTGGAAGCTGGATGGGTTTGATTGGCAGGAAATTGAATAAAGTTTGGATTAGATAAGTATGGTGCCCCACCATTGGAATCACCTGCAATGGGCCGTTTGATATTCAATTCCATCAGAATTCAACTTATCAACTTATCAACTTTACCTATCACCTTCGTACCCTCACAACATCACAAACATCGCAATTATTCAAGAAAGTATTGTGATACTGGTGCCGTCAGTTATTCTAATTTCAAATACTTTCTCAAGGTTTGTTCCTCTCAAGAATCAAGAATCGTCCGCAATAATCATCAGAACTATCACCGTTCTTTTAACTATCAGTTAAATGACGACACTCCCATAAATGCGCGCCAGGATACCGAATATTAACATTTACGTATTCCTGGTATCTTCTTTGTTCATAGCAGACGCGTGGGCCACGAGATTAATCGCAATACGAATGGTCTTGTCTAAGAATTAAAAAATACAAAAACCCCGCTATACATATTCTACCTTCTACACATACTCTCGTTCGCCACCCTCCAACTTAACTCCTCGTTCATCTTTTCACCTTTCAACCGTCTCATACGCACTACAAACACACACCCTTCAGTTTTTTATTTGACGATTGACTTCTATCCGCTTACATCATAATATTTAGTTGCCATCATGTCATCTCCCGAGGACGAAGAGTTGATGACCAAGATCTCCAACCTTGCCAGTGCGTCTCAACAATAGTATTTTGTTAAACCCTATGCTCATCTTCATTTAGGTCGGATCAATCGTTACAAGGCACAGCGCGATGGCCAACCGCATACAGGTTTGAAGTCCCCTTGAATCGTCTAGATTCCTAGATTCAGCATTCCCAATAGTAATGCTAACACGTCAAGAATCTCACCGTCCTTCTCGCGCCTCGGGTTACCGTGCTTCCCCGTATCCTTCTCCCTCGACTTACCGTGGTGGACGCGGCGGCCGAGGCGGATTCCGGCCAACTTATCGCAACAGAACATTAGTCCTCAATGGCCAAAACCGACCTGCTTCCGATTCAGGCGAAGGCGCCAACGATACTTCCGACCCTCCCACTCCTACGGCCTCCTTTGTCACCAGACACGATCGCCATTTACAAATGATCAAGACCGATATCTGGGAGAAGGAATCGGTGAATCGTATCAATGCAATGGAACAGACTGTTCGCCAGAAGCAGCTGCGAAGAGATAAGAAGGAGAAAGCTGCTTTTATGAGCAGTGTGGTTCAGAGTGGTGCTAGCGCTGCCTCAGATAACCAATCTAACGCACCACAGTCAGCTTCTCCGTTCGAGGTTGTGGTGGACGGTATTCGTTTCCGAGTCATTCAAAAGGGTAGCAAGCTTGTCAAAGCCCTAGGTGAGCACTTCGATATGAAGGTACATAATCTTCAGTCGCTGACTGGTTTGCAGATGATGTCCATCCTCCTTCCGATACTCCGAAAATGACTACCATTGGTGGAGTCAAGTTCTATCGAACCAAGCACGGCAACCTTGTCCGACACGGTGTTGTTCACGCGCAGCGGTATGTATATCGAAATTAGATGTGAAATTGATACTAACAAAATGACATTGCTAGATCTGCTGGATTAATGAAGGTCAACGAGCTTTGCAAGGCCTTCTCATGGACCGGTATCGTCTTCCTTACAACTACGGAAAAGCCCATTTCGCGAATCATGGAGGATTGCGGCGTGGTAAGATCCCCGGTGCAGATACTAATACTTTCTCGTAGGATCATGTCCCAAAGGACCCTCATGCCGCTACGTCCATGACGCTTCCAAGACGGCTATATGCCGGGACTACTTAGTCAAGGGTAAATGCCTTCAAGGTTCCCATTGTGATCTTTCACATGACATTACAGAGCAACGTACCCCCCTCTGCGTGCATTTCGCCAAGGGCAATTGCCACAACCCTTCGTGCTCTTACGTCCATGCAGAGCACTCTTCGGCCGACCCTGTGTGCCGCTCGTTTGGAACGTACGGATACTGTGAACTGGGAGCTTCGTGCCCCGATCGCCATGTATTCGAGTGTCCCGAGTTCAGCAACACCGGCACTTGTAATAGTAAGGGTTGTAAGCGTCCCCACATCGAAAGGGCGAGTGTCCTACGCAAGAAGAACAATCGCCTCTCTGGCGACGATCTAGAAGACTTGTCAAGCGATGACGAGGGCACTACGGCTGACACTGACGACATCGATTCCGATGATGTCGAGGAGTATATTAAGAAAGAGGATGACGACGACCTTGATTTCGCCCAGCAGAAGGACTTCATCGGATTTTAATGAGTCTCGCCGCGACTCGTACTAACACATCTAGGTCTTTTCAACATTTGTCAATTGGACAATGGTCAATATGCTAAAGGACAGTGTTCTAATTTCTACGATGCGGTTTTAGTCTTTTAGGCTAGTATCTAAAAGGCACATGTATGCCACGGGCTTTAGTTTGGCGTTTGAGGGATGCCTTGCGTACTACGGACTTGATACCCCTTTCTGCGATGATGCGCTTCGGATGAGGCGTCCGTTAGGGAGTTGATACCCTTAACGAGGAAGAAACAGAGAAATGTGAAAAAGAGAGAGCTAGATAATTGCTGCAGTTAATAAAATGAATTGCTTTGTAATTGTCGTCTTCGACGATGAGATTTTGCTTCTAAATCTATATTACCTACCTGGTAGGCAAGTAGAATATGCGTGTTGAATGAAATGATGTCGGTATGTCTTAGGCTACGCCTAAATGGTATACATCCACATTGCAGTTACACTGTTATAAGGAGATAAAGGGGCTTCCTCGGTTGTAATTAGGGGCTTGCGCCGCTGCGACCAACAGGTAGGTCAGCCACCTAGGTCACGCCTAGGTCACCCCACCCGAAGACTCCAAAGATCCATTCTGCGACCCGTCAAAAGGTCTCCGAAACAGGTACGGTCAATCTTGGGCCAATCTTGGCACGCCGGTTCTCTGGAAAGAGGCCAACCCGTGCCTCGTACCGGAAGGATTGAAACAAAGGGTTGTGCGTCCTGTCTTTTGTTACTCGAAGGGGCTGCGAATTGGAAGCTGAGAATCACTGCCCCCTTTCCGCCCTTTTGGCCCTTTTTAGGGCATTTTGGTCGTTGAAGAGCGCAGCGAAGGGCTCGGCGCATAAGCCCGGGGCTGAAATGAATGGGCTAGCTCGAATGATGAGCGCCTATTAAAGAACCGAAGGACGACTATCCATTGCTGCCGCTGCTGCTGCTCCTGCTACTCCTACTGCTCAAACGAATACAAATTCTATAATTACTTACTTTCTAGCGTTTTGCGACTACAATTCTCTTACCATTGGATCGTTGGATTTATGTAAACATTGGTAATTAGAAAGAGGGAGAAGTAAAGAGAAAAAAAAAGACACCCAATTGCGATTAATTGCGACCAATCACACAACCGGCACGATGGGGCTTCGCGACATGATCAAGAAGAAGGACCACTTCGACGGCGGCGTCGATCGCGAGACGCTCGACAGGCTGGCCGGCCCCGAGTTCACCTTCATCCGGTCCGACACGCACACGCAGGAGATCATCCACCCGCCCACCAACAAGAACTACCTCACGACGACGACGACCCGAAGTAATAATAGTAGCAATAGTAATAACGCAAGGGAAGGAGGGGGAGGATCGCGGACGCGCCGCAGCCTCGACGTGTTCAGACCTCGTTCGCGCGGCTCGAGCACGTCTTCCGTGCAGAGCGACAGCAACAACGGGTTGACGGCGACGCCGGCCGTCGCGCGTTCGTCGACGCACCGCCGCCTCTCGCAAAGGCTGCACCTGTCGAAGGCGCCGCAGACGTCGGAGTTCGTGCCGGAGAACCTGCCGCAGATCAACGTGTGCGCGGCCGATGGCGTCGGGGGTGCAGGAGGCTCGCGCAAGGGAGGAGGGGGAGAAGGAGGGGGGGTCATCGGAGGGGCGCTGGTGGGCGCGGGCGTGGGCTTGGGAAACGGAGGAGGCGTGGATAGAGAGGCGAGCGAGAGCCAGTGGGAGAAGAGGGCGACGATACTGGCCGAGGCCAACGAAAGGGGACAGCGCCGGAGCAGGTCGCCTAGCGTGAACGTCTCGCCGCCGCCGTCGCACGGTAATTCGCCGTATCCTTCGTCTGCGGACTTGGCCGGATTGAGACTGTATGATGATGTAGCCGGAGGAGGGAGAGGAAACGGAGGCGGATACGGAAATGGGGGAAACGGAGGAGGGATAGGGAGATCGGACGGGGTCGTCTCGTCGAAGGCGATCGACGAGCAGATCCAGGAGGCCATCCGATTGCACGAGGACGGCCAGCTCGACCAGTCTACGCGCTTGTTCGGGCGCCTGGCCGATCCGCAGGGGGCGAATAATCCCCTGAGCCAGGTCCTCTACGGGCTCGCTCTGAGGTCAGTAAATTACCTATTTACCCTTGTTTGGATCGCCACCCTCTGCATCTTACGTCTTTTGGGTTTATGCGATGCGATGCGATGCGATGCGATGCAGAGCGATGCGGTGCTATTTTTGGAAGCATTTGAATTTGGCATCTTGCATCTTGCATTTCGAGGTCTAAGTCGTGTCTATCTCTCATGCGCACGTTTCTCCTTGCTTTGCGGGTCTAGAAGCATCTTCGATTTTCATCTTCATCAGGAAGTGGAAGACGGGAAGAGCGAAAGAGAGTTACGGCTTCTGGGTAGCAAACATCATAGATGGGTTGAACTTGCGAATAGACCGACGGTGGCAAAGTTGTCTATCTACCTATCCTGTTGTCCACCTACTGGCAGACATACGAATACGAAGTATTGCAGCAGCATAAGGGATATCGAAAGTTACATTCATCTTCAAAGGGTCAAAGGAAGCGAAGCTAACGAACCGCTTTGGCGGGCACTTTCAGGCACGGCTGGGGTTGCGAACCAGATCCCGAGCGAGCTGTCACGTACCTCTCGGCGGCGGCGTCGAACGCGGCAGCGGTCGAGAGCATGGCGCTACAGGCGGGCCTCAAGAAAGGCGGCGCCGCCAAGGGCGAGCTCGTCCTGGCCATCTTCGAATTGGCGAATTGCTTCCGCCACGGCTGGGGCATCCCTCGAGACCCAGTCGCCGCAAAGCAGGTGGGTCATGATCCAATCCAATATTTGCATTACTGTCACCGTTTCATTATTGAAGCATATTGAAAAGCACTCGGCCGGAAAAGGGGTAGTAGGAGTTATGTCAAGTGGATGATTAATGAACATCAAGAGTTTTGTGTGTGTGTGAAAGAGACAGAAAGAGGAAAAGAGCGAGAGAAGGGAGGATTACGACACTCTACGCTTGCCCACCTTCCTAGCCAGAGAGATATCTTGCTGTCGTTGGGAGTCCCGCTGTTTATGTGATGATCGTATCGGCTAATGTCTAACATCGGGCAGTATTACGAGACGGCCGCAAACCTTGGAGATACCGGTAAGTGATGTGGTCAGACCTACCTGTCGAGAACAGACCACCACCTCTTCGCTGCGTGGACGAAGAAACTTGCGGTATGCGGTAGGCTAACGTACGGGGAACTCTCCTCGGTCTACGCAGATGCCATGAATGAGGTCGGATGGTGCTATCTTGAGGGCTTCGGGTGCAAGAAAGACAAGGTACGTGAGCTTAGGTTAGGCGCGAAGGCGTCGACCCTCTCCCTCGCCGCCCATCTATTTCCTCTCTCCGTCACATATCACTTCCAAATCCGTCGCCTCACGTCCCTGCCCAAAGCTCAGACAACATACAACACACCATGCACCCATGAGCGACAGCTACACGTCGATGAGGTGTCAGCCTCATGTGGTTTAGATTGTGGCTTGTTCATGATCAGCTTCGGCTCGCTTAACGTTCACGGTTAGGTCAGGATGTCTTGTCTCCGTTCTAGTGCTCTGCAAAGGGAGAAGCGGCGAGCTAAGTATGCCCTGTTGGCTGTCTTGTAAATCGCGATCCCTCTCCCGTTGGGCAGCAATGAGGCTTGAGCTCGGCCGCAAATCAGGGCCACTCGGCGACGCATACCTGAACCGTGAACGTGCTTACGTACCTAACCTGACACATGCCCCCCTAACCAACATGCCTCTATATGCCCATACCTACGTACATATTACACTACCCTAAGTAAGGAAAGGGGGGAGGAAGATCACATGAGACTAACCGTATGCTTCCTCTATAGTATGCCGCTGCGAGGTACTACCGGCTGGCGGAGGAGAACGGCAATAAGACCCTAGGGAATACATGGTAAGTTGTCATCGATCTATTTCGTCCCAGTTTCGTAAGATCCCTCGTATGACGGGACCCTTTATTATTTACCCATCTTGGCACGATCTCCCTCTCCCTTTCGCTACCTCACCCCCCGTGCGTCGGCGGCGCAGCAGCAGCAACAAAGAAGTAGCTGCAGGACCCCGGCCGTCGCGGGTGAGTGGCCCCCTCCTCAAGGTAGACGACAGGGCTCTCCGTGCTCCCGGCGCCAGTAGTTGAAGTTGTTCGCCTTACTTTTTTTTTAAGCTTTTGGCGAAGTTGGTTCTCCGGTCCGAGTCTAGAACCAAAGCTCCTCTTTTTTTTCTCCTTTTTTTCTTAGGTTTTTACGTCTTTTCCAATGTTGTTCTTTTTCTCCAACAAGTGGACGGGCCGCGAAAACGGGCCTCGCGGGTTGGGGTCTAGGCGAATCAGAGCCTCATCTTTCACCGAACCCGGGAATTGTCGCCCTTTGTTTCCCTCTCTCTTAGGGTCCCCCGTCTTTGACCAGTTGTTTCGTCGCTGGCTAGCTAGCTGGCTGGCTGGCTGGCTGGCTGACTAGGCTTATCCTGTGGCCGCGAGCGCTTTAGCACCCTCACGCCATGACCAATGTAAATGCCTCAGTTGCAGTAGCGGAGCTGTCCGGCGCTCTGTATCGTCGCTCTCTTTGTCTATCTCTGCTCTACGCTTACCTGCTACCTACGCTACCTACCAGCCTGCCTGTTACTCTCTGCTACTCTGCGCTGTTCCTTTTTCCCACTGGCCTTTGCCGAACTTCTCCGAATCTAGCATATTCACTGTCTACCTCTTACTGCAACGTTCGTTCCCTTTACTAACCAATGACGCGCCGCGCTTAGGATTTGGAAGGACAAGTATAATCCTACGAACCCCAAGAAGAAATAAGCTGCACATCCCGCGCGGTTCGGGGCTTACTCATAGGGTAAGAGGGAAAATGCTATGGTAGAATTTAAAAAAAAAAGTCGGCCATTCGTCAATTGGGTTTGGGGGGAATATGCAGTGCTCCGGTCCGGTTCGTGGCCCTCTATTACGGCATCCTAGCGCAATGGATACGGAGTTCTTTGACAATGCAAGCAGTGTTTATGTATGTATGTACGTAGGTATCTTGGTATCTTGGGGGAGGGCAGATTCCTTTTTGTACTTGCAAACATGACGATAGACCGACCGAGCGAATACGCGGATAAGGGGGGAAGACGGACTCCTTTCTCACAAGTTTTGAGCTAGTCACATTTTTTCTTTTTCTTTTTCCTCATTCGCCGGGTCGCAGCATATGTAGTAGCGACTGGATATGCTTCTGTACATCATCTCTGCATATGCATCGCCGATTGTGGGGGAATGCATGTTTCTAAGCTCGCCTCTCTTTCCCGTCTCTCTCTGTCTTCTTTTGCTCTCTTCGCCGGACCTTGGGGGGAAGAAAGGCGTGCTTTTGCGGCCGGGAAAGTTGCGAGAGGGGGGGTGGGCGAGCGGGTAGATAGGTTAGAAGACTGGAAAAGAAGATGGATGTGTTGCTCTACGCCGTAGATCCCGTAGAACAGCCTGCCTGCCTGCCTGCCTGCCTTGGCTTTGATGGGTTTACCTGGATTATTCGAATGGACAGAAAAGTTGCACTTTGGGGTATCTCGGCAGCGCGCCCCTCGTTGCGGATTTGCCAATTGCGAATGGGGGGGAGCCGGTTTGCATAATGAATTGGTTTCAATTGGGGTGCTTGGTTGGTTTGGTGGCTTTCTCGGCGGGTCTTGTTCAAGGCAGACTTTAGGTACACTACTGCTGCGACTTTGCTAGCAGATGGCTGTTCGACTGGAAGCTGGAGAAACTCGTGCCATATGTCCATCCCGTCCCGTACATTACAGCGCCTCTTAGCTTCGCTACCCGTGTGGAGAAGGGCATGCGGCTGACTGAGCCTGCCGCCGTTTCATATATCTTTAATATACAGAATTGACCGGTAAGGAGCTTAGCTTTTTGCACATTGAGGATCCCTTCGGGTTGGAAAGGCAGACACTATTTGTTTTTGTTTATTCCTTGCGTAGATTACGACGGCTTAGCATAGGCCTAGGCTTAGAATATATGGAGTTATGTCGGCTCGAACATAAGCTATTTGCTCCTATTCCCTATGTCTTGCAGGGAAATACAGTCAGCTCAGCGTCAGCATTGGCTACGATATGCCTCTCGTGGAGAAACGTCGATGATCCACCATCCGATGTCATCCGGTTCCTTCGTGAGGAAACCGCCTCGCCTTGGCCTTGGATGTTACTTTGCTCTACTCCTTGCCTTAGGCGTTGTCTCCTAATCCGTATAACCCGAAGACCCCCAATCCGTAGGTATTCTACGGCTGGTTGGTGTAACGCGCCGCGAATAACGGTTTCTCCTTTACGATGGGGGGATGGAGATAGAGATATGTAAAGCCTTACCTCCTTGCTTTCTTACGTCTCATCGTCCCGGCGATCAGCAAATGCTTAATGCTTAATGTTTCCTAACTTGTGGTTCCGGGACCAGACGCCGCACGTCCCGGATGGGCGTAAAGCCGTGTAAGCGTGATGTAGTAAGTATACGAAGGAGAAATTTATAAAAAAAAAATTAAAAAATAAAAAACATTTATGCTGCGAAACCGTATGCGCGCGGTTTTTTCTCCGGCGGTTGTCTACCTATGTCTGCCCATGTCCTACTTCGACTCTCGGATATCTCGATCAAGCCTCTTCCGCATCGCCCGTGTTATATTCGTACGTAAAGGCCCCTACCTATCTTCCCTATCGACACCCTTCCGCCTCCGTCGTCTTATCGTCAAGGTTATAGGCCTTTCTATGGGATCTGTAAAACGTGTTCTGTGCGCTCTGAGTGGGCGCGAACTTACCTTAGCTACAGGCGGTAAGGTACTATGTAGCCGTTCTGCCTTTGTAGCGATTTGGCGATCCCGTAGTACGCCGGGGCTGCGTGATGCGCCGTTGTGTATAACGTACCTAGGTAAATACTACATGATACATGGGCGATGTAGTATATCGTGAGCTTCGTGGGACATGCGCCTAGTCAATCAATGGCCTAAGGCATATAGCGACCTGAGTATATGACGAAAGGGAGTCATAATCCAAGCAGTGGAAGGTATGCCAATCGTAGAAACGTAATATTTAGACACAGCACACACACACACAAACAGGGCAATAAACGTTCGTGATACCTTTTCAACCTTTGGAGGAAGAGGGCGGCGGTGTTATCGTTGCCCCCTCACAGTGGATCTAGGTAGTATGTGAGATCATATATACGCTAGATGCTATAGCTATTGATAGGACGAGAATTACACCTGGACGGACGCTGCTTAAGCCCCTGTATTACCTTAGCTATCTGCCTAGACGTGCCACGAGATGTATACTCCGAACTTGCAAGTGCATGCGCCTATATCATCACCTAAACCGGTTTATCTCAGGGCGAATGAAGACCATTATGTCTCTATATGCTGCTAAATCTCACTCTACTTGTGACAGTCCGCAAGCCACTACTGCTAGCACCCGTGGTCCGTTTTTTTTTCCTTGGTACCTACATACCAGGAATATTCCATACCTAAGGTATTGTAACACCAGACGACTCAAGAACAGCCCTTCCCATCCCCGTGGGGAAGAGAGACATGGAAGGAAATAAAGTGCCGAGTGCGACGGCACTCCAGAGGAATACTGACACGTACCACAGGCGAAGTGGGCGATGGCATGACTGACGGGCCCCGCGAAACAGAAAACAGGAGACACAAGAGCAAGGCAAGACAAGGCAAGCAGCGAACAAGCAGCTATCCGCACCTCCTCGCAGCGCGCCGGCGCAGGCTCCGGGGCATTCCGGGCTCCCGGCTGCCTGGTCGTTGGTTATGCGCGCGGTTGGACGAGCTGGAATGAGCAATCGTGCTTTGGGGAGGGATAAGATAGCTGGTAAAGTCGTAGGTAGGTTATAGTGGTAACATTAATGGTAGCTCTGGAGGTATTGTATGTACAGGTGCTTGTGTTTCTTAGTCACGGCCGGTCGGTCGATGGTCTAGGCCTTCAGGCAAGACGATGCGATGCCTCCTGTGCCTTGCTCAGTTTCCCATAGTACTTACTTACCTAAGATATCTCGATATAAATTTGGTCATTTCATACTCTACACATGTTCACGTAGCGCGGTTATCGTCATAGATGGGTTCGCGGTAATCGACAAAGGTCAGGCAGATCAGTAGAAAAGTTATGGCCAGTCAGCTACCAAGGCAGAGTAGAGAATACGGTTAGCGAGTAGGTGCGCTACCTACCTATATCGGTAGTAGATGCGCAGATGCGAACATCCGTATTCCGATCTCACTTGTGATCTTACATACATTCGCTCATACCTACCGTACCAACCTTTGAGGCCCATTAGCAGGTAACAATATGAGTTCGGGGGACCTATAGAATAGACCGCATGCGCAGGTCTGCCCACACACACGAACAAAGTCTGCCTTGGTTAGGTAAAGGCACTAGCGCTACTGTAGGGAGAAGCTTGTGTGTGCATGTATGTTTATACGGGTGGACGTGGTTCTCCATGGTTCTGTATGGGCAGTATGTAGGATCGCGAATAATGTGTGGATGGATGGGGGAATGGGGAATCCAGAATGGGGAAATGCCAGCTGTCAACCACGAGATCAACCAACCCCTCGTAATCTACCATAATCTACCACACCCCTTTCTGCTCGGCCGGACCGCAAACCTGTCTCGCGTGAACACCACCCATCCAGCCCATCCCACCAACGGCGAACCAACGAGCTAAGATATGTATCTGCTTCCCACACTAAGAAGCTCCCAAAACCTGCATGCTTCCCCCGGAGTCCCGTGTTTGAGACAGCATGTGGGCGTCTCGGTGCTGTTATAGGGAAAGGTGCGTATGTGGCTTTGCGGGTGGTGGTGATGGAATGAGGTCACGCCTGCGCGCTATTTGATCCTCCTAGTAACTTAGAATATTTTCCGGGTTTATCTTTATTTATCTCTTTCTCTATCTAGATTTAGATGCCTTAATCAGAAAGAGTAAGACAGGAAATACTAAGACATGCAGACGAACACACGAACGCTTTGTCATACCTGACTTACTTAGTCCCCGTATTGTTACCCATCCACCGTTACCTACCGATGCGCGTTCCTGTCTTGGAATAATTCATATATATGCGCCGTGACGGCCGCTCTCACTGGCCTCGAACCACACAGTTCGTCCATACACTACCATACCATACCGTAACTAGATTCATATGGCAATGTTCGGGAATACGTGGGGAAAAAGGCTAGATGCGCGTGTTTCGCGAGAGGATGAGAGAACAGATGAATAACCGTAGAAGTTCGAGACTTGGGGAAGAAAAAGAATAGGAACGCGCAAGCAATAGCCCATGTGAGCTCAGATGCATACGGCATACTGGGGTTGTCTTGGCGGAGAAAAGCTACGTTATCCGAAGCCTTCCAATAAGCACGTAAAGTCGGCATCTTCTTTATTGTTAGCTCGATTTAGGGGATTATCCCGGACGTCTCATAGGCCCATCCCACCTACGGTCTACGCAAAGGTAAGAAAAAGTGAGCGAATCGGGATCGGGCGTAAGTTTTTTTTTGAAGGGTGCGAATTTATTACTATTTTTCCTGCGATGCTACTGGTTGCAAGCCGGGTCGGGGCGCAGCGAAGACGCACCCGCAAAGCATGGGAACGAACTACTCCAAGAAAGCAAATTAATTAGCCTACATAACCATATGTAATCTGCACATATGTAGGTATCTACCGTGGGCAACGCAGAAAGGGATGGGACCCGTAATGTACGTAGTAGTATGGAGTATGTAGGTATGTTATATGTAGTATTAGATAAGAATGACACCGGCCTAGGAGAAAAGGAAGAACCTATGAACGTATTCGAATGGATATAGCTGATTTAGGCAAGTGGAAGCACCCCATCTGATCTGACATTTCTAACCTAATGTATCCGTATCGTGCATATGCTCGTTCGGCATAAGTCAAGAGAGCACATGAGGCACATAGTTTACTCGGTTTATTCGTTAGAGGGTTACGGGTTAGACGAAACACGTTAGAGCACTAAGACAATATTTTTTTAATTAATTCTCATTTATTCTCATTTGTTCGTAACTAGGCTAAGGGCGGAGAGCGAAAAAACAAGCGAGAGGCCGGAGAGAGAGAGAGGCGGTCATCCACTGAAGTCGGTCATAGACAAGGAGAAGAAGAGCGAGAGTGGAACTGGTTTTTTTTGGGATCATTGTAGTTTTCATATTTGTTTTGGTTTTTGCTTTGCTTTGCTGGGGTTTTTCATGTTCATCTTAGACGTTTCGCTAATAAAACTGACTGATGAGCTGAACTGAGCTGAACTAATAAGACGAACAAACAACCGCAGATGGGGATGATGATGATGGGGGTGCCTCTAATTGTGCTTGCCCTCTCTCTTCTCTCTCTCTCTTGCCTTGCTGTTCCCAAAAATAAAGTAGTAGTGTTGTCCCTTTCCAGCTACTGGTAAGCTGCCTGTCTCTTGACTGCCTTCCTGTGTGCTGTTCGTCCGTGACATGTCTTCGTCATTCTCGTATGATGATGGATGATTCTCGCTTCCAACCAATAAACCAAACCGCCCTCCAACCCCCAGGCCTGAATAAACGGCGCCGCTTGAATTTCGAAACGAGGGGAAAAGTAAGAAAGGGTGAATAAACGTTGCTCGCGCTTCGATTGCTCTCGTCAGCTCGCTTCGTCTCGACCCTATCGGGGAGTTCAAAGTTGCGCCGACTACAAATCAACCCTATTATGTGAGACGTTATCCCGATCCTATTTCCCCTCAAGAGACGAAGTAAGCCGGCCATGGACCCCCGCCCCTTCGTGAGAGCCTACCGACTATTGCGGAGACATGTCGACGGAAAGGGGCGGTGGTAACATGAATAGAATAATATGAGAAGAGGAAAAGAAAAAGAAAACCAAAGAAATAACAATCAACTGTTCCCGAAAGAAAAGAGAAAAGGCCTCCCTCGCAGGCCGCGCTGGCTCTGCCCCAAGTTCCCAATGATCCCATTTGAACGTTGTACAATGAAAAAATGTGTAGCCTCGACAGTCCCCAGGGCTTACAACATGCCAATTTCCACCTCCCCCCCCCTTAGCCACCGCCGCCCCCCCTTCCCCTTTCCCACCCCCTTTCCCAATGACCGACCCATTTTCGCCATGCAAAGAATAACGTTAAGTGGTGCCGATGAAGAAGAAAAATATCGGGCTTTTTGGAAAATGGAACTTTCTCTCTCTCTTCGAGAAGAAGCTCATTCCAAATAAATGGGACAGACGAAGGTTAAGATTAAATCAAGATTGGAAATAAATGACGATGAATGCTGGCGCTTCGCTTGCTAAAAAAAAAGAAGTTGTCGACAATAAATGATTGCGGATTTGGAGATAGAGAGATAAGATGGAGATGGAGAGATTCGATAGACAAAGTAGATGACGTTTGACGGATGAGAAGATGATAGATGATGATGATTGATCGTAGAGCAGAAGAAGAAGAAAAATGGTCATAGTTCGTTTCGGTATGCGTGAGCATCGTCGGATCTGTTGATTTTGGGTTGTGCGCGCGAGAGCACCAAGTCGTAAAAGACGAAAAAAAGTGTAGTGTATGAACAAGAAAGTAGTTAAGGCCGTAGTAGTAGTAATGTTTGGCAAAACCGAAAACGACGACGATGTAAAAATACCAACAAGAGAAAAGTAAAAGCAATATGAAATAGAGAATATAGGAACGAAGTGTGTGCGTGTTGTGTGCTTGTGGTCGTGTGATTCATAAACGTGCGTCGGTTGCGGAAACAGTGTGTTTTCATCGTCAACCGCCAGATATTTTCATTGCTCTCTCAGATCTCTCATCTCTCTTTCTTTTTGTTTTTCAGTAGTAGGTTTCGTAAATCTCGTAAAAAAATTCGTATCATGAGTTGGCGTCCCCGCCACCAGCACCACCACCACCGCCGGCGGCCTGCGCGGCGCCCGCGCCGTTGCACTCGGCCACCATCTTGGCGAAGTTGCGGACGACGTCGCCGGGGATCTGGTCCCACAGCAGCGAGCGGGTGTAGACCTCGGCGGCGCCCTGCTGCTTCTGGCTCTCGGCGCTGCTGCGCATGTTGCTGAGGGCCTCGGCGAGGTTGCGGCGCCCTTGGCTCGTCGTCGACCGCGGCGGCGGCGGCGACCGCAGGAAGTCCTGCGACGTCACGCCGTTGTACTGCGCGGGAGTCAGCGAGAAGATCTGCTCGTTCGTCTGCTCCTGCGTCGGCTGCGTCAGCGAGTCCGCCAGCTCGCCCAGCATCGACGGCGCCACGCCCTCCATGCTGCCGCTCGCCATCGGCACCGACGCCGACGACGTCCAGTCCGCGGCGCCCGAGGGCTGCGGGCCCGCCGGCACGATCGCGTTCTCCGCGCCGTTGGGCACGCCGGCGTCCTTGAAGATGTTGTTGAGCAGCGTCGCCGACGCCTCGCGCACGTCCTCCGAGACGCGCGGGATGGTCGGCGTCGACCTGTTGGACAGGACGAAGGCGCCGACGAGGAAGAGCATGAAGAGCAGGCCGCCCTGGGTGCTGGACTTGTCGACGTCGGCCGGCAGCGAGACCTCTTGCTTCTTCTGCGGCACGATCTGGAGCTCTTGCTTGACCTCGGTCTCCATGGGGAACTCGTTCATGAATCCCATGCCGTCCCAGGACGTGTCCATGGTCAGGCTGTCCATGTCGTTGAAGCCGTTGTTGTAGCCGGTGTTGCTGGGCATGGCGGCGTGCTCGAGCCGCTGGACGTGGTCGGTGAGGACGCTGATCTTCTTGCGCAGGTCGCCGGTCTCGATCGTGTGATTCCGGATCAACTCTTCCTTCTCCAAGGTCAAGTTCTCGACGTGCGCCACCAGGTACTCCCTCTCGCGTCTTTCTTGCTCCAGCTTCATGTGGAGCTCGTTCATCTCCTCCTCCATCGAGCTGATGACGCTGGTGAAGTGCTTCTTCTCGTCCTCCAGCCGCTCCGTGTGCATCTTTTTCCTCTGCCGGGAGTCGAGCGCGGCTTGCCGGTTGCGCAGTAACCGCTTCTGCTGCTTCAGCTCCTTGATCTCCTGCTCGTCCGTCGTCGAGGCGATGAGCTGATCTATGTTGCCGAGGTTGCGCTCGGCGGGGATGTCGAATCGCGCGTTCTTCTTGCGGATGCCATCACCGCGGCGAAGCTCGTTATGCGACCTGATCGTGGGCGTATCTGGCCGCATGCGCTTGACTAGAGACTGGTTTTTTAAGTCCTGACCCATCCAGTCCTTGTCTGACGAGGCTTGGATGGAGGGGTTGTTAGGACCGACGGTGGAGAAGAGAGGTACTTGGTGTCCGGGGTTGCTGAAGGGGGTCTGCATCTGAAGGGGTCTTTGCTGGAAGATAGACTGGTTGTTGTCGAACGCAGTCTCGAGGCCGTCATACTGTAGCGGTGTGCAGGTGCCAGAAGTCTGTCCCATCCATTGCTGGTTTTGCGAGCCGTATGCGGCCTGCGGGTCAGCTCTCGTGAACGGGTTGTTGTTCTGTGGCTCTAGGAAGGGGTTGTTAGAAGGCACCGACTGCATGTCGACGGATTGCCAATCCCCCACTTCCGTCTTGGGCGAGAATATCGAGCCCGGCACGGCGAACGAATCTCTTCGGCTCCCGGCCATGGGCGGCGACAGTTCTAACCCCGAGTCCATTCCACTGCTGTCAAGTATGTTGTCGTCGAGGATCTGGTCCTCTTCCTCAAAGTACTTCTGTGCATGGTTGGTGTCGACGGATAAGTGATTCGGCCGGTAGAAGGCCTGCATCTGAAATGTTGAGACCATTGCTGGTCTTTTGTGTGTGTGTGTGCGGTGAGTGTGTGTGTGAAAATGTCTTGCAGGAGAAATGAGAGTCAGGAGCTCTGCGGGTTTGTGTGCAATATAGTCGAAGAAGTCGGTATTGCTCTGCAGGGTTGTTCTTGTTAGTGCATCGAGCGGTGAATAATTATAGATACGACTAGTGTGCCGGGTAGTGGTCGTTGGTATAAAGCGGTATAAGCCTCTTTTTTTTTCTTGTTTTTTTCTCTTTCCCTTATGTAAATCGAGTCCTAACTCGGTATAATAATCCAAGGTTTGAGACGATGATTAAAGGGCAATGTTGTGTATGAATGTTATGAGCGAAGAGGGCAAGCGTTTGTGTGTGTATGTATGCGGGAGGGATGTATGTGTAGGTGCTAATGGAGAGACAATGGGGAGGGGAATGTTGCAGTCATGTATGTACGGGAGGCCGATAAGAGGTCGGACGGATTGGAGGTGTAATGGTAAGAAGGTAGTAGTAGTATTGGCAGCGTGTGTGGCGGCGGGGAGACTTGCAGGGTGGGATAGAAGGAGGAGAGAACCGGCACTCTTTTTTTTCTTTTTTCTTTTTCTTCTCTTTTTCCAAAAAAGAAATTGATAAAAAAAATAAGACCAGAAAAAACGAGAAGGTGGTAGGTATGAGTATGTTACTACACTATGAAACAATTCTTACTTACAACTTCTTCGGCTATATGAGAGAATGGCTTCTTGTTGTGCGTGTATGTCGTAATAGTAGTAGGTATAGCAATGTCGTCGGTCTGGGTCCGTCTTACAAAGATATGTTTATGTAAAACAGAACGAGTGTAAAGAAGATGATGAGGTGGTTGTAATAGATGTCGCTGGTAATCGCGTGATTAACGATCTCGACAGCAATCCAGATGTTTTTCTTATAAGTTATTCCTTATGGTCGGGGGGGCGATATTGATGGGGGGTGGAGGGATGGCAGTCGTACTTAAAGAAAGAGATGTCAGGTTTCTTGACTCCCATGGATTTGCTTGTGGACTCTTGTGGGCTAAGGGGACCGGGGGGTTCACAAAAATACTGTCACCCAGAGCGCGGTGGGGAATAGGAAGCCCATGAGACTACCAACTGACGAACGGCATCTTTCTTCTGCTTGGGTTCGCTCGTGGAATGGTGTGGGAGGACGTGGGTATGGTCCCTGTAGGTACGGTACGGGGGTGTGTGGCAGCGAGATGGATGCTGTTCCGGTTCACTGGTGATCCTCAGCCAAGAACGAGCTAATCGCCCATCGGTCCACCGTCTATTTTTTACTCTTTTCCTAACTGGAAAAACCTGCCCGCACCGTTTTCCTCTCTTCTTCCCGAATAGTCTTGTGCGACGGTAAACTTGGGCCCCTAGGGCGACGAGAGAGCGTAGACGACCCTGATAGCCCAGCTATAACGGTTGGGTGGATCGTCTAGCGTGCGCGGGAAGCTTACAAGATCCTTGACTAACGAAGATAGTACGATAGTATAGCTTTGTCTTCCAGCCACTGGGATACGTGCCACCGAGCTTGCAGCTACTATGTATGGGCTCTTGTTACGGTAGGGCAGCGGATCATTGTATGTTCTGTGTATGATCTGTAGGCAGACGCCCACACGGGCTCCGTCCGCACTCCCTCCTCCGACTGGACAGCTCGGAGCGAGTAGAATGGTTGGAATCCTAAAAGATCTCCTACATAGTATGCCGACGGGATGGAGTTGATCGATGGGGAGGGTACATGGTACTAGCCAAAACGGAGCTTTATTGATGCTTGGAACCGAAACGGTGTTTACGAGAGAGCTAAGCAGTCTATAGGCCAAAAGTGTTAGCCCTGCCGAGGTTGGGCATCGACGGCCGTCCTTTGGGTTCAATTGCTACCTAAAGGCCCTGAACCATGCACCCAGAACGCCCACGAGCACCCGTCTAGCGTCCACTAACAGCCTCTGGATGGCCTCTTGTGCCTCTCATTGCTCAGCAGAGACGTGGTGGGGTGATAGAGATCGTTTCTTGCTAGGCACTCTTGCTCTTACGAGTCCACCGGATCGGTCGATACAATAGACAGACTAGTTAGTTTCTTGCTTTCAATGGCGACGGTCGCTTCCCGAGCCGTACATAGACAAGACTGTCTCTGGAGTAGTTTAGCTTGAGCCCAAGAAATGGTTAAGTGGTCGAGGTGATGGGCGCTGTTCGATGACGAATATCCGTCTAGCTATAATTCGAGACGCACGGGAGCAGCTGCGCCATACAAAAACGCGATGGGCTTCCCCGAGATCCTACTGGAGACCTGAGAGACCCGGGATACTCAAGATACTCAAGATACTCGCAGAAGATACCCAGATGTTGACGTCCTTCATGCCCTTCATGCCCTTCATGCTCTTGCTGCCACCGGTGTCACCTGACCATAACCCAACCAGGACTGCTAACTATTGCTGTTTGTACTGAGGGCGTATAGTATACCGCGCCTGAGCTTTAAGACATAAAAACATAAAAAGATTGCAGCCTGAACAGCAGGAAGCTTGTGCATCCGCGGCTCTTACAGTTATGACATGGCCGCTTGTTACGTCTCGATGTGAAGCAAACACCGACTACAACATATCCCTAGAACCGCGGAGAAGCGATGCGGCGTCCGTCCCATCATGCCCGGTTTGACAATGACAGACAATGACAGTAGATCACGAGGTAGTTACGACAGCAGCGACCGCAATTGACGATGATTGCATCGGCACGGCCGTTCTATGATTACTTGCTACAATCTTCCCCCTCCACACGGTACCATGCCCTTCCATGTTCAGATCTCGGAACGGGACGACGGGAGCGCGATACCCAAGTGTCAGGTTAAAGCGAAACCGGGAGCCCGGGGTCGATCCTTTCCTTGGTCTATGCTTTGGTAGCGACTCTTGCTACGAAACCTTGGAACCCTGGAACTTGTCGGCATCTCGTCGGTTACTTGTTATGGAGATTAGGTAGGGATTGGAAGATTGGCAAGATTGGCAGATTTGTGAATATCCTCCGTTCGGCGTTGCCTATATGAAATCCTCCAACCCTTTTTTGCCCCCTCTCTCTGCCCTTTCTTCGCAATTCATATGACTCAGTCTGATAAAGGATTTCATTCTAGCTTGACATGTGGATGGTTGGTTTCAATCGCGCGAGATACAGTACTTGCGGTGAAGACGATCTTTTGTCAAATATCGTTAAAAATAGTCAAGGCTCAGAGAAGAATAAGGGCTCAGTTGTGGAAGATTGAGCACAGACGATGGGTCCGACTCCTCGATATCCACGTAACGGGTTTGACGCGACGGGTCCTCTTCCCTGCTGACAGGCGGGTCTTCCGGGACTAGGGTCTGATGGTCTAATGGCGCTATTGACGGTTTTGGGAGGATGGCTTGCTGTTGTCAAGAGAGAAAAAAATATACAATTGCACTTTTGGGGAAGAATTGTCTGCATATCGTGGCTATCGAAGTTGGTATTGACTCGTGCCTTGTCGACTCGGTCTTTGGGCAAGATGACGCGAACGCACCACCAACAACAACAACAGACATCATCCATGAACGTACTCAGCCACCCCGTATAAGTTAAAGGGATGGTGGAAATGGGGGCCAACAAGAAAATTTCCGGTTCGAACGATGGCGCGCAGCTGTAGATCCCGGCGACGCTTAGTTAATGAACGCCTCGTGGAGGATCCGTTCGAGGCTCTACTAGGGGGAAAATGGGCATCACGGGGACGGATAATCGGACGAAAGCCAAGGACTTCTGTTTATAAGTAGATGTCCGAGAGACAGAGGAGGAAAAAAAGATAATATCCTCTGATCGCTAATCACAGCCCTGTCAGCACTTAGGACCAGTAACCAGTATTTTCCCATTTTCCCCGAGCCACCGCGACCAGAGTTGGAATGATCATGGGCTCTGGACTGGATGTTCGCAGGTGGGAGTAGCCAACCGGAGAAATAGCGAAAGAAAGTTGTCATCGGCGACAGCAGGTAACTCGGTTGACGCCTGAATGATACGGGTAGAAACTTGGTGATCAGCTCTTAATTCGTCTCAATCCGAGGCAAGGAGCTTGAGGGATTGCTTAAACCGCACGTGCTATTCAATTGCTACTACTACTGTTCCTAATGCTCGTTCGCCTCGTCTGAGTGATTGGCTGTGAGTTGTGCATCCTCTTGCGGGTCGGCTGAAAAAGAAGCCATGAACCAGGCCACGCTTGTCGCGGCGCGTGTTTTCTGCTTGTCTACCTCCCTACCCGCGATACGCAATGTCGAGGATCGAGTATCGAGTACAATTAACCCGGTCGAGCATGAATGAATTGGACGATTCTAGATCAAAACAAGCAGTAGTAGCAGGCGGGTAGCTATGTACTGTAGCTTTGGGCGTTACGTCCAACACTGGCTTCATGACGTACCAGCGAGCTCACCACTATTCAGTGGGTGCGACGCGGTGTGGACGAAACAGGTCGACCCTGTTGCAGCAAGGAGCTCAGCCAATCGTGCGACCTACACCGACTATGGCCGCGGCCAGTATGGTACCTTATTCCGAGATACCGACGATACATGCTGAAAACTGCACAAAAAAACACTGAAGAAAAAAGAAAAAAAAACTTGAGCACTTGCCCGGATTGGAACAGCTCCTCGTTAGGCACGAACTGCACACATGCAGCACCGTGACACCTAGCGGGCCGGCTTTTATGCGGCCTCTCGCACATAAGACTGATCACATCCCCCTTCTGGTACGATCTGAAGAGAATGAGAGGACGGATTCGGGGCTGATGGAGAACACTAAACTTCAACAGCTCTTGTCTGGCTCGTCTGAGCCTGCCGAGTGCAAGACATGTGCACCAGCTCGGGACTCCCAAGGCCGAAAGGGGATAGCTCGTAATCGGCGGTGAGTGGCATTTTTTTCTGTGCCGACCAACCAGCGTCCGAACATCGATCCTGGTATGGAGTACTACGACTGATAGTCAAATACGAAACCTTCGTTTCTGCCCAAAGGGATAGGAAATCAGGGCGAGATGGAGAATTCGTCATGAAAATGTCGATTTTTTAGATGATCCCTAGGCTTGCCTGCCCTGGCGTACCTATCCAAGGAGCAGCTTGCTCGATGCAATTGCATTTGCATTGTGTTGATGTGGACGGCTTCGAACGAAGCAAATGGTCTTAATGCTTCTACCTATCGGCCTCCTTCGAGCGCCCGTTTCTCAGATCTAACCTTTCATCGGACACCTGCAGCTTCAATGGCAGCCAAGGTACCGTCTGGCTCCACCGGCCACATGCGACATTACGTTCGAACCACCAGGAACCCCGATACTTGCTTGTAACATGCCTAAATCGGGGGACTGAAGAATGAGTCATATCTAAATCTGTTGTCACACAAGGGAAGAGAGCGATATCGACGTTTTTTGTCTGCCTTTGTCGTCTTCGTTTGCAATTGTCAATTCCATCTCTGCCAAGCTGGATCTGAGATTCGTATTTTCACTAGTAAGTTAAATTCAGGGATAGGCGTCAGCCATTATGGCGGTGTAGCCCCGATAGTCCGGGAGAACCATGTGTGCCCAGGTGCGGCTTGCCTTCAAAACAGGCAACTTCTTAAAGGATAATATACTTGACATGTTGGTTGAATCCTTCTTGGTAATTTCGACCACTCATCTCGTCGGAACGTGAGCATTCTGAAACGTATTTCTCGCCCAACGTGAACACCTGAAATAGCGACTTCTTCCCCACTTTCGCGTTACGTAGGGCAAGATGGAAGTTTGAGGCTGCGCGTCGAAGCATATTCCAAATCGAACGATGCGCAGCAGATTGTCATTCCGTACCTTGCGTTGGTGTACCTAAGTAATATGGCCGTGGTAGCACGGAGTCGCGTGAAGCCGTTGAGGGGCCTAAAAAAAGATCCCAACAGTACTTTCGAGAATTCAACCTTTGGAAAAACAGGGCTCAGCGACGGTGGCGACGCAGCCAGTCGGAGCGGTGAGAGTGGCTTCGTAACCGGACGATCTCGTCCCTTTCCCTTTCGGCATCGACCCGAGGGTCTATTTGACTATCCATCGAATCCATCGAATAGATGGCGTAATCAATATCGGGGCCGATAGTCATAGTAAACTTGACACTGTTGATTAGGAAGCCTTCTTGCCAAGATTTTCAAGATATCCTGATGGTTATCCTGACGCGGTCCCCATAGCTCTAGGCTATACGAAACGTCTGACCCGGTGATCATTGAAAGTCCCAGAGCTTGGCTAGAAGGCTCTCCTCCGTCCCCGAGGCTGGATCCTGCGGGAGGAATACTCTCTTTGGTATCATGAACTCCACAACAGGAGCCTTTTTAACTTGCTTGGAAAGTTCCGCATCGAGCAACTAGATAGATTCGTAAGCAAAAGAGGAACTGATGGGCGAGCCGGCGGCATGATTGACTTACGCTACTGTAAGAGTGGTCTAAGAAATCCTCAATATTGTATGACTGCTTAGTGAATTGCTCCGATATTATTTTCGCGATGGTCGCAACGTTCGGGTGATAGTGCGACTGTAGCTGAACCACTTCCCATAGACAGGAATCTATGGCGCGCGTCTCCATTGGGTCTTCTTCGTCGGCGATGAACGGATCTGCCATCCCTTCATTTTCCAAGATCTCTTTCTCTTCCGGAGTCCTTGGTACGCGATGCATCATGAACGTGCAAAGCGGATGCTTCTTGAATAGATTATAAATCCAGGGTATGACTACGACGATGGCGGCAGGGGGTGCATTGAGGCACAACCTCGTGATCCGCTTGATAAAACTTGCGACAAGGACGGCGGGAAGATGCGTGGAAGACAGGAATGTGTCCAACAATCGGAAAAACCTAGACCGATGCTTCGAGTGAAGGATGTTTGCATCTAGCAACGAGTACAATTTCCGATAAAAGGACGGATAGTCCAGATTTCGTTCTTGTATCAGATAGAATACTCCCGATAGTGCCAAGAGCGAAGTTGCGCCTCCCGAATCATACGAGTCTGTCAAGAAGTCCATCAAAAGCTCGGGTTTGGTAAACCACGGAGCGATAGATTTGGTCATGATTTGAAGCACGTTCTTCCTTTGCTCCCGGTTAGGATCTAGAGCGAACAATGCTAGCCACGCCTCCTGGGCCTGTCTCTTATGTTGATTAAGGGACTTGACAGGATCAGACTTTTTCTTAGGTGCATCAACGTAGAATTGGCTCATATCTTCTGCAGAATCTGGAACATCTTCGAAGAAAGAGAGCAAGTCAAATGCATTGTCGAACAGATCCTCATCGGAAGATTCATCCGATTCAAGAGAAAGAATATCTCTGCGAAACTGTTAGTATGTATGATCAGGTTTTCGACAAGAGCCATCCACCTACTTCAGCGCCTTAAAAGTATGATACCGTATATCCGTGTATTCGGCCAAGAACTTCTCACAGAACTCTTGTCTAATATCTTCAGTTCCACTCCGAACAAGCGCACCTACTATCTCCCTCAGGAAAACCTTGGGAAAGTTGGACTCGTCCTTGTCGTTCGTGTACTTGCCCTCGGCTTGTAAGATGCGCATAGCTAGTGTTAGGGCAGTTGATGCAGACTCTTCTTGACTAAAAGCAGAGAGTACGAATTGTTTATAGTCTCCGAGCCTCTTCTTAAGCCATTGGACGACTACAATGTCTTTCTCCGACTGCCCATCTCGCCTTGACATGTTTCCCGATGCAAGCAAGCGCAGAAATACTCTGCACAATGAAACCATGGCAAGCTGGGTCGCGTCATAGTCGCCATCTTTTTGCGCCAGCTCGAGTAGTGTTGTTATGTTGTTGTAGTTCTTCTTTGACTCTAGTATCGCATTTTCAAGTAGGAGGATCTCGGCCTGGGGATCGGATTCATCTTCACTGCTATTCTTTTCTAGCTTAGATCGTTTATTGACTTTCGCTGAGGCTTTCGATAGCTTCCTCTTCCGAGATTCTTCGCCAACACTTCCTGACATTTTCGCGCAATCGATCAAAGTGGCGGGTGGAAATGTTAGAATAAGAAGAAGAGAGAAAAAAGTTAAAATTGTCAACAGCCTCGAGAAAGAAACCATGCAAGGCTGACCACGTAGTTGCCGTACCTTAGCTGAGTTTGAGGTGGGGCATAATCGGTAAATCACGTGCATTTTCAGCCAATCAAAGAAGCTTGTTTGAGCCTGAACCTAGCAAGACCGGGAAAGTGCGAGTTCCGTTAAAACCTCATCGACATCAATTCCGAAGCTCCTCTTTAATATTGAAATAATTCAATACATATCCCCTCACCCGAAGCCGCCTTCAATCGCCATATCCTCACAATGGCCTCCCGCTTGGCTACTCGTGCCGTCGGTAAGTTGGATTATGCTACTCATAATATCAATTGGGTCGTTTAAAGCTCATCGCGAATTGCAGGGGCCGCCCGTCTGCGACCGTCGATTGTTTCGCGAGCTCTTCCCGCAGTCACCATCTCTTCCACCACAACCCGCCCGGCCTCCAATATGCCCGAGCCCAAGGTGAAGGCGCAGTCCATCATCGACTCTCTGCCCGGCAACTCGCTCGTCTCTAAGACCGCCATCCTGTCCTCCGCCGCCGGTCTCTCTATCTACGCCATTAGCAACGAGTACTATGTCGTAAACGAGGAGTCCGTAGTCGCCTTCTGTCTTCTCAGCGTCTGGGCGGCTCTGATCAAGTACGGTGGCCCCATGTACAAGGAATGGGCGGAGGCTCAGAACGCGAAGATAAAGAACATCCTAAATTCCGCGCGTGCCGACCACACCCAGGCCGTCAAGAACCGCATCGAGAACGTCCAGCAGATGTCCGGCGTTGTCGACATCACCAAGTCCCTCTTCGAAGTTTCCAAGGAGACTGCCAAGCTCGAGGCCCAGGCCTACGAGCTCGAGCAAACCACCGCTCTGGCGCACGAAGCCAAGGCCGTTTTGGATTCGTGGGTAAGATACGAGGGCCAAGTCAAGCAGCGCCAGCAGAGGGAATTGGCCGAGAGCATCATCGCCAAGGTTAAGAAGGAGCTCGAGAGTCCTAAGGTCCTGTCGCAGATTCTTCAACAGAGCGTCTCCGATGTGGAGAGTAAGTCGCAGGTTCTGTACCAGTCCGAAGAGCTGAAATAGCTAACAACTTTCTAGGAATTGTGTCTCAGAAGACTCAATAGACAAGGCAATTTAGACAGATACTCCATGGCGCATAAGCACTATTCCCTTTGTGCCCTCTACCTGTGTTTATAAACACCCCTGTGCATTAGTCAAAAGAAATCTATTCTTAAAATACCGGCCTCACGATCCATTGTGATTTAGGACATGACTTCTGCTACGGGAGCAATTCTTGCTATTTTCATAGCCTTGCATAGCGCCGTGGTGATGGGTATTGGGGGCTGATAGGAGTACCCAATTGAATAAAACTAAGGAGTAAAAACATTATCACATCTAAATGACATATAAATTTGATTTGACTCGTACAATTACGTAGTAATGAATCGTATTAACGAACCGTCTTGTTTCGCAATCTATCATCATTCGGGGTTATAAATCGACATCAGTTAACTTTGTTGGATTGTCTACTTATGAGGAAACTAAGGGGTCTTTTCCATCCCACTTCTCCAGGAGACCAACTTTCCATTCCTTCAGTTGGCGATCGTTCGGAGGTAGCAAGCCGTTGCTATTGTCCAGAACACCAATGATCTTCTCAATTGCATCAGCTGGCAGAGTGATATCTTGTACGTCCGATGTCATGGAGTCTAGCAGTTTGTCTGCTTCATTCTGGCTAACCATACGATAAAATAGCCTGACTGCTTTGACAGGTGACCTTGTCTCCTTAGTGGATGAGAAAGTAATGTTGCTGTTAAAGACCCAGATGTTTAATAAAGATTGAGTGTTACCATCTCCTTGTGGTATGCCTTGGGCTGGCTGCCCTTTCGATTTCATTGGCAGTATGATGGACTTAGAACAGCCCGAACGGGCCATGGTTGCTAGAAGCATAGCACTGATGCAATGAGAAAGATTCGGAGAGTTGTCGATATTTCGTTGAATCTGCTCATTCACATGGACTTGCCATTTAAACAAGGAGACAGATGCATCCTGGTCGTTTAACACTCCGAGCTGAGTCTTACAGGAACCGCAGATAATGGGTGTATTTCCCGTTTGCGATTGATGAAGTTCTTCATCTTTGGACACTTCGTTACAGACATCTGCTTCCCTTGATAACTCTGCCGAGAATGTAGTTTTTATTATCTATCGAAGTTTGCATTAGCAAAGCTTCTGATATGAATAAACCCTGGATACTACACTACACCAGAGGATTGGTGTCCACGCAAAATGTACCTCTAGATAATCCCAAAATTTCCACATCCAAGGAAACTCTTAGTGAAAGACAGAGGAATCTTCTAGCACGCAAGTGCCGATCCCATAGCTGAAGCTTAGGGTTCAACGCTTACATACTAATATGGAAGATAATATCAGTCTAGGGTATGAGTATCGGTGACCATACCACTGATAAGCTAAAGAGCTGGTCTGGCCACCTTCTATATACCCATTTAAATTAGTTAATGAGAAACGTACTTACGTTAGATGCAGAAATATCTGTTTCAGATAACAGGAATGAAGTAAGATCCACAAACCCAACACTAGGCTGCGTTGATATTCTAGAACTCGCTCCATATCCTTTGGAAGTGAGACCTTCATCATCATGTTGATGCCCGTGTCCATGGTCATGTGGTTTATGACAATGCCAGAATTCCATCATTTCAGCCCAATTCTCACTTGGCAGGTCTTTCCATACTTTGATAATATTGGATTCAACAATAACGGCACTGCATATTCTGCAGGTAAGAGATGACTCCGATTGGAGATTGTTCGCAGACCATGGAACGATCTGATCTTCTGGCGTGGGTACGACATGGTGTTCTTGAGTAGTTGCTAGAGGCAACCGCCATGAAAGATACTTCGATCCTAGCTTCTGTGATCGGGGCAGCTTTTGCTCTCGGGGCGGGTTGTGCACATGAACTTGTCCTGGGAGACGGACGGACGTCTCCACGCCATCATGATGGATTGTGAAGACTTGGCTATCAGGCGAGATAATAGCACTAGTTGCCTCTCGACTTGGAGTAGGCAATAGGCATACAACGGAGACTTGGCGTATATTTGACAAAAGTTCGGCGTAGATCAGGACTGATTGTGATGCACTCATGTTGCAGCTCGGATATTTTGTTGAGAACTTCTCGGCAGTTCTGGCGTGATCGATATAAGTATTTCTGGACATGCACAGACCAGAGGTGGAGTTTCTTTTTTATCGAGTTAGAGCATATATGTCCCAATCGTAATACTCCTAAGAAATATCGGAAGTAGCCTCCGCTTTCAAAAACTCTTTATCTCCTATATAATATTTACAATATTTGAAGAGTTAGTTTTCTGGTTTATGGAAACGTGCTTCAACTCAGATTACGAAAAGTATATGTAATCTTAGAAGTTATGGTCCTGTGTTCTCTGGACATATAGCTACCTACACAGTAGCACAGTCACTAGGTACGTTATAGCAATATTCCTACTCCGAAGCTTCCGATTAAATGCATATATCTAATAGGTAACCTTTTACAGATTCACACAGATTCTTATTGCTACGTCATTTGTACTCCGCCACTTCATCTTTGATTCGGCAAATATTGTGATATTCTAGTATGAAGTTCAGTATGGCTTCGATACTATCTCACGTTCCCATCGTGAACCGGTTCGTCTCTAAGGATAATCAAAGCCGGACGATTGACATCCCACCTGTTGAGGTTCACAATGTGGAGACGGCGCCTGAGAAGCGACCAAGAACACTGAAGCACCTATTGAAGGCAAATCATGTAAACCACGCTATCCTTTACCACAGCTTGGAGTTTCACAATCATATGCCACATATCCTTGGCTCTGCTTATCTTCTTGGAGCAGACGTTGACCATCTGCATAAAATCTACGATGTGGAAGCTAAAGAACTCGAGCCGTGGACACCGTCCCCGGCCGAGATAACCCAGGATGACTGGAAAGACTTCCTTGGGGATCCAGACTACCAACGAGCCTACGTCGACTTCTTCGAAGACGCCCTAGCGTTGAGGCACAACTACCAATGGAAAGGCGTCGTGGATGAATATTTGTATGAAGGAAAAGAACCGTTGATCAACTGTCTTTTCGGAGGCCGTACGTTTGATCCATGAGATGCACCTGTTTGTTAGAGTATAAGCTAACTGTCTCAGTCGGTCATCCTCTCATTCACTTGGCATATGCTTATGAGGTAGATAGCCGCGAAGTTGCCATGGAGGCTCTCGGTATGGCCGCCACGCAGTACAATTTCCTTCATAAGTACATTGACGACCCTTCGTATTCGAAGCCTTCTCCGATTAAGTCGTCTTCGCCATTGGAACTATTTCACAAACTGGCAAGCGACAATCGCCTAAATGGGTTATTCAAGACGCCCGGAGCCGAGAATATGGAGCGACTATTCATCGACCACGAGAACATTGTGCTTGAGTACTGGAACGCGTGGAGTCTTGATGACCCAGTCAAAGATTTCGAATTGTCTCAAGAGGCAGCTGTTGCTGTCGTAATCGCGACAGTTCCAAATGGAACCCATGCGTACAACTTCTATTTATGCCATATACTCACGACGAGCCATGCCGTCAGAATTCTGCTTCCGTTCATACCACCCGAGCATCGCATCAACCTAGTCAGGCAATGGTGGTTGTTTGCAATTGCTGTCTACATTGTTGTATTTCGCCCGAAAATCGATCCTGATTATATCGGGGATGGTGGCCAGAAGCAATGGGACTATGTGGAAGAGAAGGCATTGGATGGTTCATTTGCTACCGATGCTCACTTCGTCAAAGGTAAAACTACTTTCAACCTTCTCAATTCCCAAAGTGAATCTGTCGTATACTAACTTACTATAGTTGTCCGTGCAATCAAGGAAGCGGCCCGGACTTGGGGAGACGTGCACAATCGATATTTGAATTCCGCGGTACGATTCGTCGACGATTTTCAAGGTTGGGTATTTTCTTGAGAACCTAGGTACAGTTGATGGCTCTAGACATTGCGATTGTCGACTTCATGAATTATGACATAGTCAGGTCAAAAAGTGAAAGGTCTCTTTATGATGAATGGATGTATACTAGTTCGGAGTTTTCACATGTGGCGCTTAAGGATTATGTGACAGAATGACCCGGAAAAGGATGAGAATGGAAAATTGAAATTGCTGGATTCAATATCAATAACAATAATGATCAAATGTTACTTCTGATATCAATTGATGCATATAATATCTCAAATGAGATTGAAATATGACTTCAACTAAGATAAAAATACTTTGGTACAGCAACTTGTTAGTATGCGAGTTTAATTGATCACATGATGTCGCATCTCCAATTATGGTGGCTTGGATCCCGCAAGACGCGCCTACCCCAGGACTTGTGCCGCGACGAGAGTTCCATTAGATTGGGTATGACGGAAAGTACACTACGTAAATTTGAAAAATCAGCCGCACCATCCTTTTCAGTATTCTCTCTTTATAATTAATTCTTGCTTCTTAAAATCTCAATTTCAGTTTGTCGGAAAGATTGGTTGAAAATTTATGTCGCTTCTCCCTTCGACGTGAGAAATTATAATCGCTAGCAGATGCCGTGCCCTCGTTGCTTCTCTTATCGTCATGGCGCCGCCTACGAAGCGTCGGAGACGAAACATCGTTCACGCTTCTTCGGACGATGAAGAGGAGTCGAAACCAAAGACAAACGTCCTTAGCCAGTACCTATTCTCTTCGCCTGAGCAACGAAGTACTACCGCAGGGGTCTCTCGAGCCACACCCACTTCACCGAGTCCAGTGAGGAAGACCTCTCGTCCCCTCGCCTCTCAACCTCCGAAGCCGAAACAGACGTCGAAGTCTCTTCAACCGAGTAATAATGGGTTCAAAAGTGCTAGTACGAGTCCTGAAAAGCCGAAGACTCGGTCTTTCACGAAAGGCAAACGGGTCGAAAAAGATAAGAGTGCGGATCTAGTGACTATGTTTTCTAGACAAGCACAACGGGCACCGACAATTTCACCGACTAAGAGAGATGACATTATGAGCGATCCAATTTCTGATGATGACGACGTGGGGGAGCATATAGCCGCGAGCAGTAGCCGGGTAGGACAGAACGCCCGCAAGCGTTTCCGAGATTCATCCCAGTCGAGTCAACCGACTAGTGGCCCGGCACTTATGTCTAGCCAGAAGTTCCTTAAACCACCTCGTCCTCAACAGGGCCTTGTTCCAAGCGACGAACAGCGACCCTGGTCCGAACGATTTGCGCCCGTGAACCTGGAGGAACTGGCAGTCCACAAAAAGAAGGTAGCAGATGTTCGCCGGTGGCTTGAAGATGTTATGGCTGGCCGGATGCGCCAAAGACTCCTTATATTAAAAGGTGCCGCAGGAACCGGGAAGACGAGTACAGTTCAGCTCCTTGCTAAGGATATGCGCTGCGAGCTTCTCGAATGGAGAAATCCAGTCGGTTCCCTGGGCGCAAATCAAGGGTTCCAATCAGCCTCAGCGCAGTTTGAGGAGTTCATGGGAAGAGGTGGGAAATTTGGGCAATTAGATATTGATCTTGACTCAACTCCTTCGAGTATCCCCAAGAACGATATTAACGATAATACAAGGAAGATTATCCTCATTGAAGAATTTCCAAACACTTTCACCCGCTCGTCAACGGCTTTAACCGCCTTTCGAAATACTATACTACGATACCTAGCCACAAATACACCATCTCTTGCTACATTTGGCCGGCAAACTTCTTTAGAACCTATTACCCCTGTCGTTATGGTCATATCGGAAACTCTCCTGACCACTACTTCGGCATCTGCAGACAGCTTTACCGCTCATCGACTGCTAGGACCCGAAATAACTCGGCATCCAGGTTGTTGCGTTATAGACTTTAACGCCATTGCGCCCACTCTTCTTTCGAGCGCGCTCGAGTTAATCGTACAGAAGGAAGCCCGAAAATCCGGTCGACGGAAAACTCCAGGACCCCAGGTTCTAAAAAGGCTAGGAGAGATAGGGGATATAAGAAGTGCGGTCTCTTCGCTCGAATTCCTCTGCCTTAAAGGAGATACAGCCGATTGGGGCTCTAAGGTCACATTTACAAAACCTAAGCGCGGAGCGAAAAACGAAGTCTCCTTAACTCAAGGCGAAGTGGAAACCCTGCAGCTTGTCTCACAACGGGAAGCTAGTCTAGGTATATTCCATGCCGTTGGGAAGGTGGTATATAATAAAAGGGATGAACGACCAATGAGTCAACAGACACCCGAAGGCCAGGCTGAAATACTACCTGACTTCATGTCTCATCTTTCTAGGCCAAAACGGTCTGAGGTTTCTGTCGATAGCCTCATCGATGAGACGGGCACCGATACTCATACTTTTATATCAGCTCTCCACGAGAACTATGTGCTTTCCTGCGAAGCTACCGGGCCATCTGATCCAAATTCATCACTCGACTATATCAGCAATTGCATTGAGTATCTATCAGATAGCGATCTACTTTCTCCATCATGGGATTCATTTTTCCGCGGGCGAGGCTCTGGTACATCTTCATTTTCGGGTCGAGACTCCGCGAGTCACGTATTAAGGCAGGACGAGATCACTTTCCAGGTCGCAACAAGGGGACTTCTATTTTCTCTTCCGAATCCAGTGAAACGTATGTCGAAAACTTCCGGACGAGGCGGCGGCGATGCTTACAAGATGTTCTATCCTACGAGCCTTAAGCTATGGCGAGAGAAAGAAGAACTAGAAGGCGTTGTAGACCACTGGGCCTCGAAGTTACTTAAAGGGGACGAAGCGGGCCAAAATCTCACCCAAGGCGCTTCTGCGTTCAGACGACCTAAGTCGGCAGCCAGCAGCGGAGAATGGATAAACAAACACCAAGCTCCTCGGCGCAACAACAGCCAAGTGAAGCAAGCCGAGCCAAGCCAGGATCAAGAAGCGGCTCCATTACTATTCCTAGGAAACTCGGCTCGCAGGGAATTACTACTCGAGCGGCTACCGTACATGGCGCACATAGCCCGGGGACGTAGAAGCGCCATAGGCGCGGTCCGGATGCGGGAAATCGAAAAGGTGACCTCGTTCTCCGGCATCGGGGACGCGGCGGCAGACGAGGACGCGCTCGACGGCGACGACAACGCGGAGCTGGACGGCGAGGCGTGGGCTACGGATAAACCGACGGAGGAAGGGTCGCCAAGGAAGAAGAGGGTTGTCGGGATCGGGTTCCGGCAGAAAAATGAGGCGGAGGTCGGTGAGGGGGCGTCGGCGCCGGCTACGTCGTTGCAGAAGTTGGTGCTTAGCGATGACGATATTGAGGATTAAGCTTTTCCACCTAGGTGCTAGGGCGTTGTGCGGTCTTTGTCCTAAGCAGGTGTATTATACGAAGGGAATTATGACTTTCTCGTGGATTAGGCTACCTAAGTAGGCAGGTACTTGGGGGGAATGAATGGAATGGCGTTCTGATCTGGGGGGATTATGTATGAAAATTTGTAGGCTTAAATGAATATGGCTACTGTTATTACTGATGTAAAATGTAGAAGGAGAGACAATAGATCGTCTAGCGAAGAGCGAGTCTGTTAATTACGTCCTAAGTGATTGTCTTTTGCGATACCTGACCGATTCGGATTCCGGGATGTACCCCGAAGAAACGCTCGAACGGGATACCCACTCGCCTAGATACCTATTTACAGTATGTAGGTGCTTACCTTGTTGGTGGCCCCTTGAAGAGGCTCTACCGGTCTTGGAATCGTGCTACTGGAAATATATAGGTATAGTGCAGATCTCCCGACGGAACAGCCTGCTGAATGCAGACGGTCCGCAGCTAAACGAAGGCGGTTCCCATTGGTTGTACATAACAACCCGGGTCGGTCGTATTTCGTATTGCTCGCTTTCGAGCAAGCCGGGCCGCCCCCTTTTTTTCTTTTGTCCATAAGCGCGTCAACGCCGCCCGGCGCCATCCTATCTAACTTATTGGAACCGATCGAACCGACGGTTGGGTTTACCGAGGAAGGATTAGCGATAGGTACAGATAACTTTGCTATACAATTGACGTTTGGACGTCTAAATAGAATTGGGAATTAGTGTTGTATTAGAGCGGATTTAGCTTCGTCTTCCTTTGTCCCCGTTTCCAGTAGGAATAGTTCCAGGAAATGAAGAAGCGAGGAAGCCTTGCTAACTAAGATGGCTATCGATGGTCTAGGTAGTATAGCAATGCGGGATTTGATCCGTATGACAGAAGCTGTGCCGTTGCAGGCGCTAGGCTCTCATTCCGCGTTGAGCAGGTTGTGGTTTCATTATTGAGTATACGCTACGATCTCCTTTGCCGCGCCACTATATTCTACGAGATTACGTAGGGGCCGAGGTGTGATGTCTTGCATACGTACATATGTTCCTAGTGCATGTATGGTGATAGCTATGGCTTCGGCAATGTCTTGTATTTCCTGCATAGGGACGCCAACGCTCAGCCGTACAACTCGTGATGCCTTACACAAACCAACATGATGGCAATGAGTCGTATTCTGTCCTTTCATATCGCGCCGTTGAGCTCATACACATTTAAGTAGGTCCCCGAGTTAATCTCGGGATTTGAAATTTGTTGGGCAGTAAGTCTGGAATGATGGTTAATGGATCTGATCTCTATACCGGAGGGAGAGTTCCTATTGTGGATGTAAACCCTATAGCTAGGTCATGTTTATCTTCACTATCCTCTTCACGACGCCTCTATGTGGGCTCTTTAGCTCAAGCTGAGCCAAATTTCCAAGACCCTCTTCTCCATTAACACGAATATTGCCGAGGCCCACCCGAGTGATCGTCTACCCCGGGTTCAAGCTCAAGGCCGGCGTTGAGAAACTGAAGCTGGAAGATAAAGGGACGAGGAGTCCAATTTACTTGTTGCTAAGAAGGTCCTTATATACCAACCCGCCCTAAATACCAACGCCAATAGTTCGTCGACTTTTCTAGGACGTCATTTTTCAATTAGCTACCATAGGAGGAACAGAAATAGAAACCAGAGCAGAGGCGGAAATGCCATCCGGCCCGTCTACTCCTACACAAGGATCACGAACAAGAACAACAGAAGACTCAGGACGGCCTCATGCTTCAGAATACAACCACAATCGAACCCCACGCTCAACATCTCGCCCTCCCTCATCATCCTCCAATAACTCAAACCCCCCTTCTCTATCATCATCCCCTATATCCCGCTCCTCCTCCAACACATCTACACCCACCATCATGAGTACAACCACCACCACCACCACTGCCACCAACAACTACAACGACGACGACAACAATGCAGATAACACCGACGACGTTCCACAAAGTCAGTATTTCCCCTTCCTTCCTTCCTTCCTTCCTTCCTCCCTTCCTTACACAGCACACCCTCCCTTTCCCCAAACCCTCTAGTCTCAGGCCACACAATGGAATATTCCACCGTACACGCACCATACTAACCCCATCCTCCCCAACCTTAGCCCCAGGAACACCGCGAACGCGCCTCTTCCAAGCGAACTTTCTCACGCTCCTGACCCTGCTCCCAGCGCAGCGCTACCCTCCCTCGCCCACATCCCCCACATCGCCCCGACCGCGATCTCCCACCCCGCGCTCCGATTCCGATTCCGCGGATCGCGACCACGACGGTACGCGGACGAGCGCCGAAGACCGGGATCGGGGACAGAATTGGGGTCAGGGTCGGAGTGGGGACGAAGGCGGAGGCCGAGGCGCAAGGGGTACATAGGTAGAGATGGCAATGAGAAAGAAGTACCTACCTGATAGGCCCCTTACGTCAGTTAGTAAGCAGGTATGGAGAAAGGGTGTGCGAATACACGTCAGCACGGGTAGTACGGGGTAGTGGGATCGATGTTGGGAAACGATAGAAGCGAAACCCGGATGGATAGGGTACCTGCCTAGGTACCTATTAGTTTACTCGGGGCTGCTCGGGGCCGCTCGGGGCCAAGCTACATCCTTGCGATTTGGCCCGGAAGGATTTTGAGTAAGGGGCCATAGCTTGGGATTGATTCAGGTTTTAGGTGATTGAAATCAAAAGTATCATCGGATCTATAACAGCCATACTTCGTGTAAGATAGGTGAGGCGAGACAGAAAGCAGGTTACAAAGCTCCAACAAAATGCGGAGCATGCTGAAGCAACATTAGATAGAAACAAGAACCTTCACATCACGCAAAATTTGACACAGGTAGGTACGACAAGTGGTATCATATTTTTGTCCTGATCGCTGTTCGATATAGGATATTGCCGTGTTGAAAAATGCAATGCGGATATTTACCCATCCGTCGCCTTTAAAAGGCCCCGGTGACCCCGTAGATGTCACCTTTATCTGTGCCTTTGCCCAAACCAGGTATGTTGAAACCGTACGCCATGCTGCCATGCCCGTTAAATTTTCATGACATTTTCCGATGAGGGAATCCTATGTCTTCTAGATAACACACCCAACAACGCCGTTCGCAATGCAGAAAGAAGTTGATTCTTCCGCTACTTTATAAATCTGAAAAATCCCCTCAGCGGAAACCTACAAAATGTTAACAGACTTAAAACTTCAGGGTCTTAGGCTGCTCCCAGGTGAATTCCTGGTTGGTGCCGAAGTGGCCGAACTTGGCTGTTTGGTTGTAGATGGGGCGCATCAGGTTGAGTTCCTTGGCAATAGCGCCAGGTCGGAGGTCAAAGTTGGCCTTGACGATGTCGACCAATTCCTCGGCAGTCTTGTCAGAGGTGCCGTAGGAGTCGACGTAGATAGAGCAGGGCTCAGCTACACCAATGGCGTAAGAGAGCTGGACCAGCGCTCGCTTGGCGAGGCCGGCAGCGACGAGGGACTTAGCAATCCATCGAGCAAGGTAGGCGGCGGATCGGTCGACCTTGGAGAAATCCTTTCCGGAGAAAGCACCACCACCGTGAGCACCCCAGCCACCGTAGGTGTCGACGATGATCTTTCGGCCAGTGACACCGGCGTCACCCTGAGGACCACCGATGATGAAGAGGCCGGAAGGCTGGAGGTGGAGAATGGTGTGCTCGTCGATGTACTGCTTGGGGATGACGGAGTCGATAATCTTAGACTTCAGCTCCTTTCGGACCTGCTCAGTCGTAACCTCCTCGCTATGTTGAGTAGAGATAACGATGGTGTGGACTCTCAGGGGAACGACAGCACCGCCGTCGTGCTTGTACTCCATAGTGATTTGGGTCTTGGTGTCAGGTCGGAGCCAGGGGAGGGTTCCATCTCGGCGAGCCTTGGACAAGGCCTGGTTGAGCTTGTGGGCGAGAAGGTGAGAGAGAGGGTGGAGTTCGGGGGTTTCGTTGGTGGCATAGCCGAACATGAGACCTTGGTCACCAGCACCCAGCTCCTCCAAAGCCTTCTCGTAGTGAAGACCTTGAGCGATATCGGCCGACTGCTGCTCAATGGCGACCATGACGTTGCAGGTCTTGTAGTCGAAGCCCTTGTCGGAGGAGTCGTATCCGATCTCCTTGATAGCGCTTCGGATGACATTCTGGTAGTCAATGGTGGCCTTGGTGGTGATCTCACCGAAGACCATGATCATACCGGTCTTGGTGGCAGACTCGCAAGCGACCTTGGAGAGGGGGTCCTGAGCAAGGCAGGCATCGAGGATGGCATCGGAGACCTGATCACAGATCTTGTCGGGGTGACCCTCACCGACAGATTCGGACTGAAACAGCCAGTTAGCAGGAGACTCGGGGGGAGAGTGCCTGCTGAGACAAGACATCTAATCCATACTTACGGTGAAGAGGAAAGCCCCGGCGTTCCGAGGGGTGCTCAAGGAGCTGGCAAAGCCGTTGGTAGCAGGCATCTTGAAGATGTAGATAGCGAGAGAGAAAAATAGAAATCTAGTTAAACAAGCTGCTATATGTAAGTTAATTCTAAGCAACCAAAGGAAATGCTAAGCCCAAGAGTGTCTCCTGGAGGGTAAAAAGAGAAAAGAATTCTGGGAGGGGGAGGTGAAGTTTAAGAAGGAAAAGAATTGGAAACGGGAGTTTTTCCTCTAGCTTTTCTATTGGTGAAAGGGATAAAAAATCGGAGGGGCAGGAACTAAAGGACTAGGTACTAGGATACCACTACTGGGTAGGTGCTGAAAAGAATACCCAGAATGGCGCAATTTCCGTCCACACAATATGCCGACTTTAAGCTAGGAGCTATTATCTAACGAATTAACGAATAAACTTGACGCTAGTTTTACCTAGGTAACTGCCCGTCCCTTTCCTGCCCCTTCTCTCCTTCTTTTGCTGTGACCTGTCCCTGAGCCGTGGGTCCTAAAGTTTGGGTTGGTCTGTTGGTGGTATCGCTAGCATCGCTGGCATTGGTGGCATTGGTACACATGGGACGACGATGTGGGGCAAGCCCAAAGGAATTTTTCTCCAAAGGAAGCAAGAGGGGCGTAGATTCTATAGAAGTTCGGAGTATCTCCGCTAATTGATCTTCCATGTTTGATAATAAAGTAACTCCATCCGGTTAGTTGTATTACATAACTTATAGAACGATCACTCTATCGGGGTGAAGGGACATCTCCCATCCCGCCGTCTGCTTATCTTCTTGCTTCTCCCCTCAGAGCCTCTCAAGGTTCCGAATAGTTGACCGGTGATGTTGTACATGCGTGAGAGAGGGTAAGATTGCGTGCTAGTTGCTTGGTTTCTCGCATCCTGTCAGCAGAAGTACATGGGTTAAACATGATTGCCAGGTTATGTACATTTATTTCTTCCTCGCCGATGGTTTCTTTTCTTTTTCGGAGTGTTTCGGTAGGCGAGTACCTTGATAATGAGTTTACTCGAGGCAACCTGACCTTTTTCCGACCTCCGGTCTAGTTCAAAGCTACCTCGAATGCAATATCGCAGACAATATAAGGAATATTATGCAGAGTGCGGGGCATTTCTATCAATTGAAACTCACCTCATCAGCGTCCATTGAATGCTACGATGATCCATATGCACATAGATCCATAGATCCCTGATTGCCACGGCTGCCCCTCTCCAAAACGTGCACTAGGCGTGTAAATCGACAGGGTCCCAACTTCGGCATGTGTCGCCCAGTCTTAAATGGGCGCCTGAGAGGATGAGTCTATGAATTATAAAGTGCTGTTGGTACCGAACCAGCCCAAAAGGTTACGATTGTTGCATATAACAGTCAGCCCGACTTATCAAGTTACGAAATCATCCAACCACTCTCCTTGTCAGATAGGTCGATCGGTTAACCGTCCCTCCCGAGCGAAGGATCTTGGGACCCCTTCAGTTTTATCTCTCGTGCCTAGAGTCCCAGAGACAAAGTCCGCAACCGGTGGTCCACTCGCTTACCTACAGACATTGTATGGGGCCTGAGTGCGGCTATGGGTGAAAGGTTCTGCCGGAAAACCCGGCCGTAGGTAAGCGGAGCGGGCCATCTGCTAAACTTGCAGAGAGAATCAGGGGTGAGACGCAATTGTAGGCTGGGTATTAGTTTATCCATTCGGGCGGTGAGCGAAGGTAGGGGTTTACCTAGGTCAAGTCGTATGTTCTATCTATTCCTTCCTATTATCATGTTCACGCATGTAAGTTTAGTAATTATACATTTATTGAAGTGACTTAGGTAACGAAACAATAGCACCCTGGAGGCTTAACATCTGAATTCTAGCTTACGAGATATTCTTGTCAGCTGAGACCCACATGTATTGTACTTTGGTACTTCGTACTACTCCACCATCTTAGACCCCTGCTCAGTTTCTCAACCCTGGACCCCTCTACCTTTTACCCCTCCATTAAAAAAATCCTCGACTGGGCGCAAGGCGACAACCGTCTAACCGGATCACGTCAGAGCACGAGGCTGAAGCTGCAATATCTCGTTTTGTAATACCGAACCTTATTGTCTTTGAATTCGGCCGATCGCATCATCAGCCTATTTACCATAAAAGGCCTTGATAGTACATCATGAGTAAGTTCGGGGTTATGGTGATGGGCCCCGCCGGGGCTGGCAAGGTATGTGATTATCTCTTTTGTTGTTATTAAAACTGTCGGATATATTATTTCTATATTCGATGATATACATGAACTAATGCGCTAATCTGTCTCAAGTCTACCTTCTGCGCCGCCCTCATAACTCACCTACAACTCAACCGCCGCTCATGTTTCTACGTCAACCTCGACCCTGCCGCTGAGTCCTTCGAACATGCGCCGGATCTAGACATCAAAGAGCTCATATCGCTCGAAGATGTAATGGAGGAGATGAGCTTGGGGCCTAACGGCGGTCTTATTTACTGCTTCGAGTTCCTCATGGAAAACCTTGACTTCCTCACAGAGGCTCTAGAGTCTCTTACAGAGGAATATCTAATCATCTTTGATATGCCCGGTCAGATCGAGCTCTACACCCACGTCCCTATATTGCCGGCACTCACTAAATTCTTAACTCGATCCGGTTCCCTCGACATCCGACTGTGTGCTGCTTATCTTCTGGAAGCTACTTTCGTGGTGGAGAGGGCCAAATTCTTCGCCGGCACGCTAAGCGCCATGAGTGCCATGATCATGCTGGAGATCCCGCACATCAACATCCTGTCCAAGATGGATCTCGTGAAGGACCAAGTTCGCAAGAAGGATCTAAAGAGATTCCTCACCCCCGATTCCGGTTTACTCGACGATGATCCAGTCGAGATTGCCCGGCAGAAAGCAGAGGGTACCACAGGAGAGGAAGTCGAGGCCGCAGATCCCCTAGACAAGGATGCTGTGATGAAAGGTGCCAGTTTTCGACGGCTGAACAGAGCAGTTGCAGGTCTTATTGAGAACTTCAGCATGGTCAGCTATCTGAAGCTGGATGTACAGGATGAGGACAGTGTTGGGGCAATTCTCAGCTACATCGACGACTGTATCCAATACCACGAAGCACAGGAGCCCAAGGAGTTGAAGGATGAGGAGTTTGATGATATGGATGGGATGGATGGTTAATATCCGGAGGCTCCAAATGATTACTAAGGCTATCAAGGGATGATAGGGTGAAAAAGATACAGGAAAATGGCAACTGATACCCAGGGATATGAGGGCACATTCTGGGAGTCATGTTACTTGCATAGCAACGGCGTTGTGGATTTAGGACACCTTGGCTGATACCAAAAAATTGATTTACATTGGGCAAATCACATCAATCATCACATATGAATCCGGTGATTTTGGCATGATGTTTATTCATTCTCTGTAAAGAGCTTCCTTAGTCATTTCTCATGTCCTGAACGAAGAACGTATCGTTACTCAAAGAATAACCTGCCAAATGGATATCCCTTCCAACCCCCATCATTAAACATTCATCCATTCATCCAGGTCCCGTGTAATTCGCAAGTGTCGTTCGTATTCCGCAAAACGGTGCGTTCCCCATATCATAATCCCCCAAAACTAACTACCAACCGTTATTATTCCTCGAACGGGAGTAGCCGCCGCCCGAAGAAGGCACGCGGGGACCGGTGCCGCCGAAGTCGCCGCCGCGCTTGGTCTGGGCGTCGAACTTCTTGTACTCGCTGAGCCAGATGTCCTTGACGAGGGCGGCGTAGCCGGCCATCTTGCCGACGAAGACGACAACATCGCGGATGGTGGCCTCGGGGCCGCGGCGCCAGACCACGGCCAGCATGGCGAAGACCACGGCCCAACCTAGCATGCGGAAGGCCAGGCGCGTCATGTACATCATCGTGCGGTGCACCCAGGCGACGATCTGCAGCACGAGCACGAAGGTGCCGAGGACGAAGGCGAGCACCACGACGTCGGGCGAGTCGTGCAGGGCTTGGAGGGCGCGGGCGAGGATCGGCGCGAAGAGCGGCGAGAGCACGGTGCCGAGCTTGTTCAGGACGGCGCTGGTTTGGCGCCATACGGCTTGCAGGGTTGTGGTCGGGTCTTGGATGTGTGCTTGAAGAAGCTCGAGGGCTTGCTCGGGGACGATGCCTGGTTTGTCCATGTTAGTGGATTGTCGTTCATTGGGCAGGAATGAGGATGTGAGGATTGCGAGATGGCGGTGGGTGATGGTTGTGGTCTGGGTATAGAACGCGACGTGAATGAATGAGGCTATTAAACATACCTTGCAAGGCGTCGAAGATGACGGAATCGCCTCGATCCATGGCGTCGAGTGTCAGACTGCCTTCTCTTGATAGGTGGTAGATAATCGTAGGTGGCTGCGTGATAGCCGTGGCTTTGTAGAGGAACGCTTCGTCCGTAGAAGAAATTCGGTCACTGCTATCTATGCTGGATGTCGTCGGAGAATTTTTGATCGAGTCGATCAGATTAGATAGACAGGTTCCGCCAAGATTTCAGCCCGGAGGCGATGAACGGTGAGCGAGCGGTCGAGGTTGCAGTGTATCTAACCAGATGGGTGCAGTCATGCAGTATTTTGTGCGGTTATTGATATGATAATGGTCGGAGATGGACACGTTGACTGGTTGATGGTGGTTGATGGATGGGTAAGGTTAGGTTGTGATGGAAAGACGACTTGCCGACCGGTGTGGTGTGTGTGTGTGTGATATGTATTTTTTATTTTATTTATTGACAGGTCGATCAAGTTGATTTTAACGCGATTGTGTAATGGCGGTGATGACGATAACTAGCATAACTAGCATAACTGCTAAAAATGGTGGAAGGGTCTGCTAAGTACAATCATCTGATTGGTCGATCATGTGTGTGATGTGGTATGTGCGTTATGGAGACCCGTTTTAATAGTGTGACCACTTTAATAGGGGCAGCCAGCTTTTATTGACACGTGCTTCAAAGGCCATCGTGGACTTATATTCATGACAATTCATGATAATCCATAAATCGTCTGGTCACTTCTGCAATTTCTTTATTCGGCATCCTCGGACTGACAGACCATAAAGGGATATCGGCTTGCTGTTAAGTTTGGCAATTCTCCCTTACTTTCAGATCCGTGAAATCTAAGGCAGAAATTCGTCGCCGTATCTCTCGTAGTCTTAGGTACTAGTATCTAAGCGTTGACAGATACTTCAAGTCACACCAACTTTTCTTTATAAAATTCTATACTCTAAATGAATTCTGCCTACTACTCCCTACTCAATGACTTACATAATAGCAACAAATAAGCCGCTTCCTTGTTATCTGTCTTGACTAACTCCCATCTTCGATATATCTCCGTGGCACTTTCCATAATAAGCGAGATAGGGTCTCTCATCATTCAAGAGCAATAAAGCACAGGCTTATACTCTAATAAGGAACCCATTGTACACTATTTCCCTAAGGTGCGCTCAAGGAATTATAGTGAACTTCCTTTGTTAATCAGAGATACCTAAGTTCTCTGAAAATAAGGCAATATAGTAACTCAGTTAATATTCTGACGAGGAATAACTGCTAAGATTCCTTAGATACCAGCCAACCTTGAACTACCTACCTAGCCAATGGCTCTTTACATCAATACATGGTTTGGATGTATATACATTCAAATTAAGCATTACATACATGCAATAAACCCATGTAATTATTTAAAGAGCCGTAGCTAAATTGAGCTGCCCTCGCCAACTTCGAGTTAACACAATACCCCTTGTTGCTTAACTCAGGATAGCTCCGGCTCTACTTACTCCATCTCCGAATATTTCAACATATAACAGTGTAATAATCAATATTTTATATGTCAATGTTACTACATTGGATTGTGTTGAGTTATTGCCCCATGTTACACAGCTGCCATTCACCACCACGGTCGAATAGGGGTATTTTGAATTACAGTCCGATACAGTAGCATTAGCACATGATACATAATCTGACGCCGTTCTGCATGAAGTAACAGGTCTCGTCTATTGAACCAATGACTTCAATGTGCCCGCTTCAGGGAGGGGAAAGACAGTAAGATGATGATCCGCAGCAGGACTTGCTGCCTCATCTGCTCATCCTTTTGTCGACTGGGTATATTCTGTGCTCTAATCTCAGCCTTACCTCTTTACTAAGCTTCCTGGAGACAAGATGTCACTCAAAGGGTCAGCTTCTGGACCACTTTCAGGTCATGTCGATATTTCGACTCCGGCGCTGTATGTGACCATGATGACCTGGTATTTGTCGAGTATACCACACTAACGTCGTTCCTCCACAGACCACGCCCATTCAAAAACATGGAAGAGCGCGAGCGCCTTTCACTATTCTTGCACGACACTGATGAACCATTCCACGCTTTCTCATTGAAAAACGACAGATCCGAGAGGTTATCATATGATGTCGATCAATATTCAAGACTCACCATCGATGACGCCCAAGTAACTGCCGTTAATAGTACGCACTCTTATCGTAACAATCGCACATACCGGGATATAGTTGCGGATTCTACCGAGTTTGCTCATCATTGGGAGAAGATCGTCGTCCCCTACTTGAAGCAAACCATCTTGAGACGCTCAGATGTGCTGTCTGTGGGTGTGGTTCAAGCAGCGTCCGGTGACAGGAAAGAGGTCATAATTTTATCCGGGCCACAATTGGACAATTCTCGAAAGGATGAGCTGCGAAATCGTATTCTAAAAGGATTGCCTGAAACTTTTCGGGGTACGCTTAACTTCCATTTTTCGCAAGGAACCATGGTTTCTGCTCAAGCACAAGATGACACCTTTTGCGAACCAAAGAACCCTTTCTGGCACCGAAATCCAATGATGGGAGATTCGGCAGGTGTCTTTGACGAACGGTATGAGGATGACACTGACAAACAGGGTGGCAGAACTCTAGGCTTACTCCTCCAGATTGATGGAATCGGATACTGGGTGGTGAACTGTCACCTGCTAGAGGGGGCTATCAAGAGCTTGAAACGTGATCAGATTAAACTTTACCAACCATCGATTCAGGACTATGCCTGCTACAAAGACCTGCTTCCCAAGTCAGAGAGCAGTGACAAGCCACCTATTGATGAACTTGGACCATTTGCTGCATGGTCTGGAGAGCCATACGGGACGACACGAGAGTCACTACATCCATTCAGCCATGATGGACTTGGACATTCCGTCGTTACAGATTGGGCCGCCTTTCAAGCTCGCAGCTCGCATATAAATAAATTGAGGATCCCCAATACGGAAGACGAAAGTTGTAATTACATCTGCTTCGGCTCCGACGTCATCCCGGGAAGGAAAGTAAAGATTTCTGGTCGGACTAGTGGTCTGACCGAAGCCTTTATCTCCCTTGTCCCCTCTATTGTTTTCCCTCACACGAGTTACCTCGAACGAGAAGGTGACCATTTCGTCATCAAACATGGGAATGGTACCGGTGTCTTGACGCGAGAGTGGGCAATCTGTCATGACGCCACAGTAAAATACGATGAAGAGTACAAGAATTACATCACGGATGGCGCTGGAGTTCCGGGAGACTCCGGATCTCCTATCATTGACGCCGTCAACCTAAATTACTACGGCATGTTATGGGGCCGAAACGAGTACTCGAATTGCGAGATCGTCAACGCTTACGGGCAGGTGCAAAGGACTGTCCATATCCCTCGCGTCGCCTATTTTACTCCGTATAACGATCTCTGCGACGATATCCAGGAGAAAATGGGCTCTCGAACACGCCCAATGCTTCCAGACGGTTCAATACCTTCTCTAAATGTTGTAGAAGATGAGACACCTGGAATTGATCTACCTCGGCGCTCGAGTGCGGCCACTCGTTCTAAGCCTAAGCGATCCTTACCCGAATCAATCAGGAAGATGCTTGCCGTTGCTACATCGCCACCAAGCAACACGCTTCATGTTCCCACATCACTTCCTATTCGTACCGTCTAGCACGTGATTGGTATAAGAAATGTTCAGCGTTGTCATCTTCATCAATACCCAGGCGCGATTTTCCGATTTGGTCCCAGGAGAACCATGGAAGGCAGTTAAATACCCGTTCCATTCAAACTCATAACACAAATAGAGTTGAATCAATCCCTTTGCCGTGACATACGAATTCGTTGGTAATTTTAAGACGATGATGACTTATGTAATAGGGGTAGGTTAGCCACTTTTAAACTTCGTTAACACGTGCTTAGAAAGATCTCCAACGGCCTCATAGGCTAAGGGAGATTAATAGAGTAATGCCTTCCTATATGTACATAAAAATTTGTAAATTGCCTTACTTCTTTTGAACATTCCTTTACTTAGCATCCTCGAGTTGGGATCATAAATTGTGCCCGTACTATGAAGCTAACAGGTTTTATATCAGTAATTCTCGCATTGAAATTGGCGGCTAGCATGGGCGTTTGGAAGATATAGGGGGTAAGGAGTAACCGCCAAGCGTCGAAGCCGGCTTTCCCCTTTTACGTCTCCCGTTCCCGCGCGCCGGTGTAGGGAGGAGAGCACGACAGCCCTAGTGGCATGGTGGGGAAGCCATGACCTCCTTATGCTCATTTTTCTCTTATATCTTCCAAAAAGACGTTGTTTCTATCGAGATTACCATGTAATTTACCGTATAAGAGGTGATAAGAACCTAACTGTCAGAAGCCTCCTCTGTGAGAGCTGATAGTCAGAGGTCTCGCTAGGGTTAGCTAGTAGCGGAGAAGGATCGGGAGTTGGCTTGTACGAGGCCGCCTTGTTGGCAGTTGGCCCTTGCCTGTAGACAAAGGAAGGTCTATGTATGTATACCGCATTCTTCGGAAGGGAGTACTTAGAGCTTCTCGCGCAACAACGTCGTTATTCCCTAGCCCTTTGGTTCCGCCTCGTGACACTAATCTTTCATCATAAGGTTGGCATTATTTGGATGACGACGGTACGACTCATTCAAATCTAAACACATGCCATTAGAAGTTTAAGGAGATCATTGATAACTTGAACCCATACTCCTATTCGAAAATCTCATCAGTAATTCAGCCAAGGACATAACCACACCATTCACATTCATAACGGACATCACCTAAAAGCCATCTATCCTCACCTCACTCTTCACAAACCAACCCCCCTCAAAGCCCCAAAGCAGCATCACCCACAAAATGCGTCCCCCCAGCACACCTATACCCCCCGGCCTGCTTAATCCACTCAAACCCCACGGGACAACGCCCGATAACCTTCAGCTTCGCCTGGACCTCCTTCTCCTTCCTCATCGTCTCCTCCTCCTCCCTCCTCTTCCTCTCCTCCGCGTCCCTGCGCCTGCGCGCCTGCTCCAGCAACCTTAGCTGCTCGCGCCGCTTCGCCTCGTCCTTTTGGCGCTGGAGCGCGGCTTCCTGTTCGCGGACCGCGCGCTCCAGCTCCGCGGCCTTGCGCTGCGTTTCGGCGAGCTCGCGTTGTCGCCGAACGGCTGCGAGCCGGTCGAGTTGGAGTTGCACCCACACGGCGTTGGAGACGCCTGCGTCGCGGATGGATGCCAGGTTTTTCGGTTCGTCCTCCGGGCCGTCATCTTTCTTTTTGGCCGGTTCGTCCTCCTTTTCCTCCTCTGGGGGAGGAACTGTGTCCGTCGCAATCGAGGTGGATACTTGTGGTGGGGGCGGAGGTTCCTGGGAAGCTTGTCGCTGCTGGACGGACAGTTCTGGAGGCGGAGTGAAATAGGGGAGAGCGGACGCGGCTCGGTCCGTGCGTTCCTTGATCATGGCTTTGATCACTTCTATGACGAGGCTTTCGGGTACGACCCGGTTTGGGTCGGGTGTCTTCGATTTCATGATCTTGGAGAAGACGGATCTTGCGAGAGTCTGCACATCGCGAGCGTTGCCCCACGATGGAGTCTGTGCGAGTGTGCCGAATAGGTTTAGGAGCTGGCTGTCCAAGGTGGGTGAGTCTTCGAGGACCTTCGTGTTGAGCTTCTTCTTCTGGAGACATTGAAGAAGTAAGTCGCGACAGTGACGTGGTGGAAGGCTAGAGAATACCACCGTTTCCGGAAATCTGCTGGTTAACCCGGGGTTCTGGTTCATCAATCGATTGATATCGTTGTCATAACCAGCGAGAACTATATTGCTCGAAGTCAGCCATTGCTCTCAATAAAGCCCCGCCATTAAACCGACTCGCAAAGTTTGTGCCGCAGCGATACGCTTTCACGTCGCCCAAAATTTGGGAAAATAGCTTGGAACGTTGAGAGACAAAGTTGTACTTACTGACGACAAGTTTGTTCTGGTACTTCTCCTTGGTGAGACAGTCGACAATCTCATCCATGGCCTCCTTAGCAAAGTGGCCTTCGGCAAGCCTGTATGCCTCGTCGACGAAGAGAACTCTGCCAAGAGCATCGTCGAACTTCTTCTGCACCTTGGGGCCAGTCTGGCCGACATACTGACCGATCAAGTCAGTGGCAGAACATTCCACGACGGTTGCTTCTGCAAGGAATCCCATATCGTAATAAACCTTCCCCATTTTCTTGGCTGTCGTAGTCTTTCCGGTTCCTAAGGAGACATTAGAACTGTTCGGATACTCAATAAAGAGCAACACCTACCTGGTGGTCCACGGAATAGAAATCCGAAGGGGATCTGCGTGACAGGGTCCATATCCATAGCCTTCATGTTTTGGACAACTTGCTGATATCCTTCTAACTGTTCTATGATATCATCGCATCCGATGACATCCTTGAATAGCATGCGGACGTTGGTGGCGGCGCGATCACTTCGGTCAAACTCGGGATCAATATCCTCAGGCTCCAGTATGTCCACGTTTCTTTTTCCGGCAAGTTTCGAGACGCGTCTTTGCTGCCGTTCCTTGGCTTGATCAAGGATGATGTCGACTTCGCCTGCGTTGCCAAAATTGGGCTTGTTACGGGCGCGGCGGAGCACTTCGATGACAACCTTCTTCGTAGCTTCACCGGCCTTGAATCCCTGTTGCTTGAGTTTCAGGTCGAGGATCTTTCGAAGTTCGCCATCGTCGTAGTCTTCGAAGTTAAACCCGGACGATATGGGGAACCGCCTGGTCAATCCCGGGTTGACTTTCTGGAACATGTCCTCCATCTGCTCCTTATAGCCTAGCAGTAATACGCATCTGTCTTCCAGGGCGGTACTTTGGACTTCCGCGACGATCGTGTCGATGACAGCCTCTTTGTATGGGTCACTGGTGCCTCCAGATTTGGAACCTCCGCTCGCAAGCATGTAAGCTTCGTCGATTATGAGGACCTTGCCTTTGGTTGAATCAAGGATAGCTTTGGTGTTTTTCTCTGACCCCCCGAGTACACTGCCAACGAAATCAGATGGGTTCTTGATAATCACTTCGCCATTGGATAGAAGGCCCAAAGCCTTGAGGATCCCGCCGTAGAGTTTCGCTACAGTCGTCTTGCCTGTCCCAGGGTTCCCAGTGAATACCTTGTTCAATGAACATTCGACTAGAGGCTGCTCCTTTAACTCGCGATCGTAGTTTGTCTGTAGTCGATTCATGAGAGCCTTGACTGCTTGCTTGACTGACTCCAGCCCAATCATGCTGTTGAGCTTCAACCAATCTTTGTTTCCAGAGAATGTTTGGTTTGGAGGTGGTCCAATAATGTCGATTTTTTTCAATAGCAAGTCGTCGGGTACGCTACCCTTTCGCCGTTCCTGGTGGAGGCGATTAGCCTGTCGTCCGAGAACAATTGACAAAACATTCTCGACCTCGCGAGCATTGCCGAACCCTTCCTTTCCCCGACCGCGACCGATGCGGCGTGTCAAAATGCGCATATAGAGTCCTCTAGACCCGCGCTCAACCTTCATGCGGCCGTTAAACTTCTTTTCAAGTTGGTAGTTGAGGATCTTCAAGAGTTCACCGTCTTCATAATCCTGGAAGTCCATTTGGATAGGAATTCGACTGGGAATACCTGGGTTATGCGCGAAGAATGCTTCCATCTGCTTCCGATAGCCAGCGAATACGAAGACGACTTTGCCTCTGAGATTCTCGATTTCCGCTAGCAAGAAGTCGAGTACTTGACCTCCTCCGAAAGAACTGCCCGAAACAATCTGGTACGCCTCGTCTAGGAAGAAAACACCTCCACCCTTATTGAGGATTTCATCTATCAGAGCTTTGCAACCCTGTACACCATCATTTGCCAATCGCGAGCCAGTCGTTTCCTCAAAATGGTCACCGGGGATTGCGCCGACGGAAGACAGGAACTTGGCATATAGTCTAGCCACGGTTGTTTTCCCTATATGGCTGTTAGTGCCCTAGCAAAATCAAACATACTGGGGGGTTGCTTACCCGTTCCTGGATTACCAAGTAGAGCTGCTCCAAATCTTTCATCCTTGATATCCGTTCCTTGACGAATAGAAGTATCAATCCTAGCCTTTATGGTGAGGAACTCTTTCTTCACACTCTCTAGCCCAATCATCCTACACAGGGAGTCGAGGGCTTCGTTGGAAGCATTCTCATAATCTTTTTGATGCTGCCAGTCTGCTTCAGCAGGTGAAGGATTTTCGGTAGTAGGCGGCTGGTCGCTTTCGTGACTGGTTTCGGACACGTTGTCGTCATCTGTTGGGTCTGACTCTTGCGCATTCTCGGTCGGGCCCTGGCTAGGGGCTTCGTCAGGAGATGGGCTATTGGAAGGACGACTCTCATCGCAGTCGGTGTTGGGTTTCGTGACTGATTGGTGCGCAGGCTTCGATTCTTGCATCGATTCTTGCTTCGCTCCTTGCCTCGCTCCTTTCTTTGCTCCTTGAGTTGCTTCTTGCTTTGGATTGAGAATGTTGCTGAGAGGCTTCCTGGCTTGTTCTTTCAATTGGGCAAGCTCAATCTTATGCTGCTTGATCGTTTGCTCTCTCCTCCTCTCCTCCAAGACATCTTGCATGATCTTCCTCTGTGCGGCAATATCATCTTGAATGGCCCTTAGCTGCTTGGCGTATGCTAATTGCTTCGCTTGTCTTTCACGTTCTAGATCCTTATCCCTCCGAGCTTTTCGGTCCCGTTCTTCCTTTTCCCGGCGGCAGGTCTGGCAAGCAGGCGGATTCTTGTCTGAGCAGCTCCATACTAACTTGTGTCCCTGGGAGCACACATCATTCATAGGATGGTAACAAGGCACCTTCGTGTGGTCGACTCGAATATGACACCTCATTGTGCACAAATGCTTGCCACAGGATAGCATCTCATTGCACGGCAGTGCGCAACCTCCATCTGGACATAGAAGATCAAAGTCCTCGACTGAACGAACAATATGTTTCGTCTCCGGATGTTTTTCACATTTGAGTGGAAATCCACCATGGATCTTCCCATTGGCCTTTAAGTGGTCGAAGAGACGAGTCCATTCTTCCCTCCCCTTCTTAGCATTTAAGAAGGTATTCGCATTGCCGATCATGATTAATGCATCCCTGGCTCGCGAGATCAGAACATTCAGCCGCTCTGGTGCACACATAAACCCAATATCACCATTCTCATTGCTACGTGTCAGGGAGACAACGACGATGTCGCTTTCCTCCCCCTGGTAATTGTCAATAGTGGAGAGACGAATTGGGTTCTTATTGACTCTCGCACTTTCCGGCGGAATAATGCCAGCTTGGACCAGATCATGAGAGTCCAGATCGTTCAAGATCGGATCGTGATCCTTGATGAGTAGGTCTCGCAACGACGAGAGTTGACCCTATTGAAAATTAGTGGCCTGGGGACAGACGCATACCGGTCTTGAAGTGAAGCTTACGAGGTAGGGGGTAAGTATCACCAGATCCGTAGTCTTATAATCTTGCTGGCCCAAGTAGCGGACACACTTCAAGATCATTTCCGCCTCAAAGATATTCTGCTTGCTTGATGAAGCACCTTGATCAAGCCGATCGGCAAGGACATCATATTTGACTTCAGGATAGTCGTGGTTAAAGAAAACGATGTCATCTTGGAAGCCACGGAGATGTGGTCGGGTTTTAGTACTGTCAGCATCCTCTAGGTCAGGGTAATTATGTCTTATTAATGCTGATATCTCTGGCCTCATTCTATGCTGTTTTAGCAACGTGCAATGAGGCCGTCCCTGGAGTATAAGCCTTTCAAACAGCGAACGATTAAGATCATACCCATGTCCGACTTCCACAGTGAGACTGTAGTTCTTCACTTTTGGTCGAAGTTGCTTGTGATCTCCGATCTGAATGAGCTGTTTGGTACTAGGTCCCATGGCCGCAAGGATATCTGTAACATATAAGCTTAGTGGTTGGCACTGAAAAGGAGAGACCTAGTTGAAGTGTGAGAAGGGTTGTTTTGGGGTATACATACGACTTTCTAGAATCTCTCCCGCCTCTTCGACGATGATAATACCTGGAGACGCAGCCTGGATTTCCTGGGCGTACATCGAAGCAGCCGTTGTGGTGCAACATATAATGCGCTTACTTCGGAGAACTTGCTCTGTGTTCTCTTTCTGTAGGCTGCGTAGGGTCTTCTGGGTTTTGTTAAAGTCGGCGGTCTGTTGCACGAGGTTGGAAATATGGTCTTGTCGTATCTCCCGTATCCACTGCTGGATTTTTGCAGGCCGTTCTGTTTTGGCCATGCGCCATACACTACCGCACGTAGATCCCAGCTTTTCCTTCGCAAAAGGACCCGGCCCTTTTCCATTTGCCCAGCAATTGAATAGGTAGTCGGGTTTCATTTGACGACCCTTTTTTCCGACTCGAGTCTCGCCGCCCGCTGCTTCAGGCACCAAGAACGCGTCGTAGAAGTGGCTTTCCTCCTCAGAAAACTCTAGATATTCTAGCAGCTGAAGAGGCGAAATTATATCTTCGCGATAGGCATCAAAGCTTTTGTCTATGCTCTCCACTAAGGAGTCCAACTTGGCTTTTTGGGAATCAATCAACTCGCGCCGGGTCTTTGTCCTCCTAGCAAGGTCAACTGTTGGCCGTCCTAGCAGAAGATGCCTGGTTCTATTGGTATACTTCGATCCTAGCCGCACGATGCTACTGTCGTTGATTCCGATATCCAGTAAATCCTCTATAAACTGATCAAGTGCATGATTGGTATACGACAGAACGAGCAACGTCTCCTCTGTATTATCGTGTAGAATCTTGGCTAAGAGACTACCCACGAGAGATTTCCCGGTTCCTGTACCAGTTCAGAATCTGCCAGCATCAGAGTACTTCCATTGTGTGCTCACATACCTGGAGGGCCTTGGATCTGGCATGTCTGGTACGTCAATCCGTGTATTAGAGCTTTGACTTGCGAAGGGTCTAGGTTGACTTGTCGTGTCGTATCTAGCAAGTTCTGCAAGTTATCATTGGTGACGAGGGATGCTTCGAGAGCATCGATGACAGCTACTGGTTGTATAGCCGACTCCATTGGATCCTGGGAGTGAATAAGAATATCATGGCTAAGCTCGATATCGGTCTTTCGCTTCAATCTCTCCAATATTGGTTCGTACGCGAATATAGGGGTAGATGCAAGCAAAAAGTCCACCATTCCTTCTCGAAGAGCTAGTAGAACACCGCTCAACGTATCGGTCCCTATGATTTGCAAGCATAAGCGTGGCGGAAGTAGGGCAAGCTTGTCTTCGTTCCTCTCTAGGGTTGCAAAGGCCAGGAGGTTGTCGTTCTTCATTATGCATCCAAAACTCTGGTGCTTCAGCAATGTTGGTCTCCTTTTCAAGGCATCCTTTCTCTTTGCAATGTTCGTGCCGTGACTTGCCAATACATCATCCTTACATTGGAGCACTAGAGTAAACGGCCGTTCTTTCTCCATAGCTTCCTTGTCGAGGCTTTCTAGGCGTAGATCTTTGATGATCATATTTTTCCAGCTCGGCTTTTTACTCTTACTTCTTGTGCGTTTGATATCTTCGCGTATCTCAGCGAGCATGTCTTCTCTTAGGAGGCGAAACTGATTGTCGAGATGATTGAACGATCGGTCTTCATTTTTCCACTCCAACATTGCGGAAGCTTGCAGATAGAAAGGTCTCTCGGCACACTGCAGCTCAGCGCACGTAGGAAGAATTGATATATCATGGTAATTGACGAAGTCATTATCATGACGGCCACCTGGATTGAAGTCGCGGGCATGGTTAGGTATCTCGGGTTGCGAGTGTTGTATCAAGGCTCGGATTTGTTGGAAGTAGGCCCTGGCTCCTGGTGGACTCGATTTCTCTAGAGAGCCGTCCTGGAAAAGCGATTCTGCCGTCTGTCGAAATGCTTTTGATTGTGATGGCGGTAGTACCATTAGTTGTAGCAACAACCAGGCGAAGCTTTCGACAGATTGAGCTTCGAGCTGTTGCATTTTCACATGTTGAACTAGAGCATTCCAGAATAACGGGGGGTCAACCATAGCCCAGAGTATCTGATTCAATAGCTCTCCATCGCCGACCCTCTTTAGAGTGGGATCTCTTAGGAACTCCAAGAGATTTGTGGTATATGCATTAATGAATTGGGCTGAATTTCCGAGGACGAGGGATTTGTGAAGGGCATCTTGGCCGGATTCTGACGTGACCAGTCTCTCAATGCAGTCCGCTTTGTCGGTCCTGTTCACAATAGACTCGAGGAATTTCTCGGCATCTTGAAGCTTGACAACGGTCTGTTTGCCTTCAAGGATATTGTAGAACAACTTGTTGAGTTGTCGAGTTCGGTACTCCGACATCGTGAAGTCTGTGATATCGAAAGGCCTCGACGGTTGAAGCCTGGAGAACACAGAAAATGGGACAACAGGCAATAAAATGATTATCCCACATGTGTAACCTTCGGGACGTGGAGAAATAACACCCAACGGATGGTTGAGAGATATCACTGGACAAAGTATCTAGGTACGTTGGTGGCTGAGATGTACTGATAGATACAGGTGCATATGTAGGTCTTGGCTCTACAGGTGTCAATGTAGCGGTACTTAAGTAACTCGCCGACGAATAGGTGTGATATAGATGCAGGCTATGTTATCTCATGCAGGCAGACGAGCGCAAACGGGATTCCTTGGTGTTACTTGATGCCAGCACAAACTAATACTCACAATGACCACAGTAACCGCAGTCGAGGCCGCACGCCGTGTAGTCTACTGAGAAATTATCTTCCTCCTCAGAACCCTCCGATTCGCTAGACCCATCATTTCGTGATGAAAAGCTGGGATAACTTTGGTCATCATCATCGCTCAAACGTGACTCACCATCTCTGCCTATGTCCTTACCACCCCTGATCCACAGGTTCTTCCAATCATTGGGAAGTACTTCCCGAGGCGTTCCAATCTGTTCCCTCAATTCTAGGGGCCCGAGGCCGGTTCGGCAAAGCTCAAGTTTGAAATTACCTGCCCGTTTGACCTCAACAATCAATTGCTGCAGGATCGAAGCAAATTTACGGAGCTCGGACTCATGGGCAGATTCCCATTCATCTATGTCTGGTTGAACATTCTTGTTCTGGACGTCTTCGAAGTTGCCTTTGATGTGATATCCAACGATAAAATTGGGAATCTGCCTGACCCATAGCCTCGGCCAGTGCTCATTCATTTCAATTTCTTGTCCCTTCAACTGAGACCTCGTTTTGATCTCAATGATTGAGTGCTGTGATACGGCCAACCCAGCTTCTTTGACAGTGATCGAACTAGATACCGGGGTTTTGGAGATGTTCAAGGTCCGTAGGCTATCTCGTTCAGTAGATGCATCCCCGGTATTGCTCAAGTGCCCGTCGCACTCAAAGCGAACAAGGCATTTCAAACCACCGAAAGAATAGGAGATTATACGTTGGTGGGACTTGGTCTCTTTCAACTCGGCTTGGTAAGTAGTGAACTTCTCAAGGAACGTCATGCCATTTCCGTGAACACCTTGTATGACCTCGTCCCGCTGGTTATTAACTAGAAATAACGTATTTCCAACCATCTCAACATCAAACCGAAATGTCGAGTCAACCGATCGGACAAAGCGGAGAATGTTTCCCAAGGAGCTGGCACAGCCCATGATATCGACATTTTCCGAGTCGAATGATTTGTTCAGAGCAAAAATAGACTGCACAGAGGGTTGCATAGGATGCTCAGGGAACCGCGCTCCGTTCTGATCCCGAAAATACTCGCCAGAGTCCTTTTGAAGTTGACAGGGCAACTGTGGTGGCTCCCATAGTGCTGGTTGACCTGGTCGCCATTTTAGTAATGAAACGATTGTCATCTGGGATGACGAACCTGGAATGATGATTCTAGGCGAACTAGAATCAACTAGAGAGTAGGATGCAACATATTTGCAATCGGTGATTCTTGCGTCCTCCGTTTGAATACCGTGGTTCGAAATATTACGCAATGTTATATTCGTAATAAGACGACCGAGAGGGGAGTCGGCTGCATCTCCCTTTTGCGCATTTCCCTCATGCTCGATCGTGCTTCGTCCTCGCCAGTTACTTGACCGTAGTGCATTACCGCGTCCTCGGCCTCGACCTCGGCCTTGGCCTTGGCCTTGAGAGTAACTTGAGGCCCTTCCGCGATACATTGTGTTTACCTTGAGGCGATTGAGGATGTGAATTGACTGATATCCGGTCTGAGGGGTTTCTACAAGGCATAAAGTATCATATACTTCACTTTTTAGGCAGCAAGATAAGCCTGCTCAAACGATTAAGACGATTGGTCATGGCCATCCAATACGTAGTCGGCGATATGCATCTTTCCGTTGCACGAGTTGGAGATGACCATCATCTAGGCACCGATGAGGAGTCGCAGGGTTTCATTCTAGCCTTACCAGGGCGAAGAATTAGCCTCAACATCGTGATCGTTATACTGATTGCTTAATCAGTAGATCTAAGCATTGTCCTCTAAGACGTTGGAATATTGAAATGGATTGATCGAATAGAATCCATGTAGTAGTAGAGGAGCGATAAGTTGAAGATGGGCGCGTTCAAGTTTGAACACGAAGAAACAGGCAGGCACCCGCGCCTTCCCGCACCCGTAAGGGATCTGAGTGGGCATTCATGGGAAAGAGCCAATCGGCAGCTTGCCGCACTAAGATCGGACATCGCATGCATGGATATACATAGGTACCACAGTGTCGTTACTTTCCGGCCTCCATACTTCACAGTGCGATCAGACTCTCACAACCACAGCATGATTCCTTTAAAGATTCTTACGTTGATAGGCTTGGCAAGAAACTTGCTTGAAGAAGAGTTCATGAAGAATTAGTAACTATTTTAATATATCACATCATCTATTTCTCTATCAAAATATCCTGGTTTAGTAAACCGACCTCCTGGAACGAAAAGCAAGGGAAAGAAAGCCAAGACGAAGAGGTTGGAAAATCCTTGATGCAAGTCATATGTGCAGGCCCCTCATACCTAGCTAAAGACATTACCAGCCAGCCCTTGGAATTTGCAGCGAAGAAGGCGGGGGGAGAACGGGAACCCCAGACTCCCAAAGGGAACCACCGGAAATGGAATCGTACTTCTCAATGGATTATCCCTTGCTTCCAACCTCTCTGACCACGAAGATGAAGTTAGCTCATTTTCCACCAGAAGCCAGCCAGTCAAAGTAACCTCAGCCGTTGAAAATCCGGCGGGGCCTGTGGGAATTATGATAGTTACTTAGCCAAACGCTAGCCAGTGAGTTCCGTTACCCAAGCGAAGAAAAATGACCCTGGAAAGATGACCCTGAAGATCATAAGCGATGAACTCTTTTGATATTGGGGAGCACCCGTTTGGCTATATATGGACCTATAAGAAGAGACTAGCTAGGGGTAAACTCAGAAAAGAGGCTGTAGTCCAGCCATCCCTAAGAACCCTTCGGAGCTGGTAGGATAGGTCAAAGTAATTCACCTCGTAGTCTAGGAAGATCAGAGGGCGCGAGCGTAGAGACATTCGGACCTAATGCGCATCGCGCAATGAGCGCTAGTTGCCCACCCACAGACGACAGGATCACTGTCTCGTACTGAACTGAAGAAGTCGCACTGGTTGATGACAATCTTGAAAACGAGCATAGAAGATAGAAAATGAAATAGTATAGTTTCAACAGTTGTAGACATTCAAAATGCTGGCAAATATTACCGCCGTCCTAACTATGTATCAAGCGCATTGTGCGCGATATGGGATATCATATCCAATAGATCCGTCCTCTCATGCGCCTGACCTTTCCCTTTTTTTCCGTAATGCTCTTCAAAGTACAACTAGAACTCGAAGTTGAGATCCGTAATATAATAGTAGATAGAAACGAAATAGATGTGCGAATGAATGACTGCAGCACGCGGACTTCACCTCCAGGTGCTGTGGATCTTGCTCCGTCGACTCCTCGTTGATTTGAGGCCGACATCCCCATTTATCATCAGACTCCTCCACCGTCGCCCGATACTACTTCTATCTTTGCCGAGACTCCGGGCGCAGTCTTGCCAATCTGTCTTGGAGAGTTTGAGCTTCTCCAAGACAAGCTCGACCAATATCCGGTCGTCTTCTTTGCTCCACCGTTCACCATCAGCCTCTATCTCCACTTCCGTGCCTTCCGTAGCAGTCTCCTCTTCCCCATTGGTGGTATGTAAGGTATGGAAGTCCTTTCGATCTAGGCCAAGCGGGATCACTTCCGGCGCGATGCGAGCGCGCTTTGGTGTGGCGGGTCGAAAGGTCGGTACTTCCTCAGTTTCCTGGTTCTGGCCTCTGTTGTGCGGGCTGCCGATCTCAAGATCGCTATCAATATCGTCGTCGCGACCCATGTCGTCTTCAATGGAACGACTCCGCTTGTTAACGCCCCGAGGGGGCGCCGCAGATCGCTTCACGACCCTCTTGCGCGGAATGGCCTCCCCGTTAGTGTCCGCTTTGCGCGATCGCAGACGCAGTTTTAGAGGTGGAAGGGCGGTGTGGGCCATTGGCGGTGTAGGTAGTGGATCTCGATGCGCGTCGACGTGTTCATTCGAAGGTGTTGTCGGGGGAACTGTAAGCATGGACTGGAGCGCCCTGCATGAGCTGAAAATGTTCCCGAGCGTGCTGCTGTGCGAGCTTGTTGGGGGGCTGGCGGGAGGCGACGCGAAAAGAGCAGATTGTAGCCTGGTGACAGGCGGATGCGACGCGTCGCACGAAAGCGCCGAAGGCATTAGCATCTTGACGCTTTATCCAAAATGTTTTTTCGAATTTTTATGTATCGTGCGGTTGCGCGTGAAGTTGTGGTCCAAAATGAAATGTCGTGAAGTTGCGAATGCGACCGCAGTAGTTGAATGTAATGCGCGCGCGACAATTGACTGAAAGCAAGAGGCGAAAGTATTTGCGCAAATCAATTTGAGCGAGTTCGAATAGTTTCGATCGTATTATATTTTCGCGACACCAATATAATAAAAGGCGACTTGAAGTTGTAACGCGACGGATGTTGTTGGCGATCAACGGTTGCTATGGAAGATGGATGTGTGTAAGGTGTAAGTGGGAGGGTGAGAGCTTTGAGACGAAATGGCTGGAATAATGCGCCTAATAAGACCAGCAGGAAAGAGCAAATCCCCCCCAAGGAAACCCGCCGAAAGTGCCCTCTGCCTGTCTTGTCTAGCAGGGTTGCACGAACGGGCCACATGATACGTACATTGTACCATTTTCGGTCTAGAGGTGTAGGAGCCAATAGTGGATCGCTGCACTGGCCGCCATTACCTCGATATGACTCCATAGTACGTACATTCTGCCCATAGTAGAGGATGACAAGGGAGTTACGATTTACAAGGGAGTAGCTAGACGAACCAGGGGTGGAAGAGGGAAAGAGAGGAGGAATAATTCCACTTTCACCATTTTAGACTTTGACACAACCCTTACACCATGATTCGGTACCATCTGAGTAATTTTTATTCCCTCTCAACTCTTTAGAGATGGTGTGCCACGAGGCCACCTTTTGCAGGGCAGTTAGAGAACCACTAAACCTGATCTACCCGTCTTGCCCGTCTTGGTCCACTGCCCTTCGTCTGCGTTGGGGATAGTCTCACAATCTAGTCTCATTCACAGATCCTCTTTTGTGCTGGTGTAGGGTTACTATACTCTCTTATCTACTACTAGGTAGACATTGAAGACAAGCGGGACTACCTACTCCAAGTTCGATTCTGTAACCGCCCCTTGCGCCTTCATTCCTAAGGGCGCTTTCTCGAACCTCCGGGTTCGCCTTGGTCTATTAGTTGACGACCGGTCAAGGATGCCAGATGGGCGTTGCTATGGGCGTTGCGCCTCATAAACGCCCATGCGGTGAAACCCACCGATCAACCCAGGCAGCCCAAGATACCTATTTTTACGTAGAAGCTGAAAGCGCAGGAACCGCTTTGCGAGCATGGCTGTCTTTAGGCTTAAGCACCGGTCATCCTACAATCTACGGTCGCCGGGCAGCTGCAGAGAAGGATGTGAAACAAGATCTCGAGTGTGTGCCTGGGCTTCTCGATATGAATAGATTACCGCAGATCTTTTCTCATCGCATAACAATCTCATGTGAAGATAGACTTCTATGTCGTCAGGCTCTCCCTATATATTCCCTATATTCGTCTCATCAAGTCGCAATAGAAACAGCACGAGGCCTCAGACCCCCCACACCAAATCTGAACCACCCCTCCTTCACGAGTTTCCCCTTGCATATTGATAATGCATGAAGGGCAATGGACATTGAAGAAAGTGATTCATGTCGTAATCGATGATGTATCCGTCAGCTGGTCATCTTTTCGGATAGTTTTTTCCCTGCTTTTTATTATTTTTGAAAATACACATGATGTGCTTTGAACCAAGCTTAGAGTCTTTGCACGGCCTAATTTAATTATATTCCGAGGGAACTGTTTATCGACTTTGAATTATGGATGGAACGGCTACAATACAAGACCTTCGTAGCTTGCGAGTCATTCACAGAGGCAGATTCCACAATAGAGGCATGGAGGTAGCGTTTGTAAATGATTGGCTTCTTTAGGTGACTCTGCATAAGCTCTGCACACACTTTAGAAGAAATTCCCCGGTTGGATTGAACCGGTACTTGGCGCGATCGATACCTAGACATCCCGCTCATCTCATTATCTTCGACTAGTAGGTATCGACATAATGGAGAGAGTCTGAGCGAACGTGGATGTGGGAGCGGGTGCGGAGAGGGGGAAAGGGCGGGACTGGGCGTGACGCGAAAACGCGTCAAGACGCGTCGAAGCCAAAGCGTGTTTAATTAGACTCGGCGAATTGACCAATCAATAAGCTTGAAGCTACAGCGATATTCGTCATGCAACCTCTGATTGGTCTCAGATGCTCTAGCGCGTTCTGGCCCTCAACGTACTCCGGTCGGATTTCACTTTTTTCTCACCACCATCTGCTTAGCTCATACGTCCACAGGTAATAGATATATCTCTATTCATACGTGGGTTGCATTTTCACAGCACGTGTCTTTCTTTCTCACTCTTTTGGAAAAATCTGCTGACATCCATTTGACTGACTGATGATGACTGTGTGGTAGGTAGACTTGATGACATCTCAGACTAGGGGAGATAATTAGGTTCCTATACTGCAAATCGATCTTAAGGTTCTATTATATCACCTCCCTAAGCTCATATGAAACTTTCATCGTTCAAGTATGTTTGATCTACCTGTCACTCTTTGGTGGCCAATGGTCTCAGAGAATATTCAAGCCCCGAGGGATTAAAAGATTGGCTATTCGTCATCATTTACGTGAATTCAAATCCACGAAGAGGGAGCTTGTGCTAATCCGCCTACAGTACTTATCTGTTTTCATACTGTGCCGTTTTCTCTTATTGTCTCTCATACTGTACTACCAAATTTTCTCCAATAATGCCGACTACGTTGAAAAGAGAGGGCTGTTTAAAAGTTTCTCACTGGCATCTCTCGAGGCTTAAGCGATTCATCGTGCACATTCGGGGTTTCCTGACCTTAGCAAGAATAAATAAGTTAAGTTTCATTCATTTATTGAGATTTATATATTCCTATCTTCCCGCAATCTTGGGTCTGGTGAACCCTTGGTGCGGAAAAGTGTGTTATATAGATGCCCGGGAATTTCAATTCCTATTTTTCTCTGTTTCGTCCGCACGATTGTCTGCCATTTCTGTCTCAAGTCCACAGGCGTATCACGTAATCTTGACGGCCGCGAAGTTGGATGTTCTGCAAGAGAAGCGACAATTTTCTCATTCTTCTCCTTGGCGTATTCGAGTTCGCCAGACTTATCTAAATCGAGGTGCCCTTTACCCCATTCTTCAGATAAATCCATTCCGTCGACAAGATTGGTGAGGTCAAGATATCGTTGAGTATCAAGGAGACATTGAGCGTAGCATCAAAGCCTAGGGAAAGGAATATCTCGCTTGCTCATTTCAAAATTTGAGGGTTCGCAGCGGAGAAAATATTCGAATGCGGGGATAATAAAGAGATAGAAGGCCACCCCTCTTAGCACAAACTGAGGATAGGTATGTTTTAGAGACCCGATTTGTGGTTGGATCTTGGCCCAAGATTCGTATGTCTTGCTCAACGGTGTTACCATGAGCATCGCTGACGCTTTCTCAAAAGAATCGGTTGGAACGCAAATTTTCCAATTCTCTTTCCACTTAGTCCGTTGGAATTAACTGATACTAGAAACTAAAGCACTTACATTAGGGACCATCGGAGCACCATAATACACTAAAGCATAAACTCCTAAAACACAGCATGGTATACTCGCGACCTCGAGTATTCGAATGACAACAAGCACTTCAACGATGCCACGGCCACCATAGCTAGCAACCCTAGCATTAGACTTTAGAAATTTACCAGGACCCGTAGTCAGAAGAGGATCTGGGGAATTCATGAAAGAAAGTCGAAATATAATCGATTAATGAGCGAGGAAACGTTGAGTTTATTATGTAACTAGATCGGGATTCTAAGAACAGGATCTAAGGATCTGGGGATTGTTGCAAGGAGGGTCGATGTTCGTTTAGCCCTGAAAGCGGGGCAAGAGCTACCCGCAGACACCACTTCCTCCGCTGACTTGGGGCTCCGGCTTATGGGGCTTAGTTCCCGTGCCCAGAGCTTGCAGCTGCGCCGCTCTGCGCCCTTGACCCGGCAATACTCTCATGTTAGTTCTTCGGGCCTGCATACGGCTAGCAGGTTGGACCGCTCCCAGTCTTAGTAGATTTGATACTTGCTGGTATAACATCTCCCACATGCCTATGAAATTAATAGGGGCTACATGTTCAAGGTAATCTCGGGGCTCCTCGGAACATCGGAGAAGCTTCTACCCAAGTCACTGCTAGTACTCCATGGTGAAGCCGAGTTTACAAGATCCTGAATCTGCAACACATCTTCAAAGCAAAACCAAGATCATATGCTAGCAGATCTGTGGAGAATGACTACAACGATCTTATATGGATGTAGCTAAATCTTGCAGATCAAGTTCGTCGGTTCTCGCATCGTCTAGATTGGGAAGAATGGGACGGCTTTATGCTGTACTAGAATCCGGTAGTTACACCCAACATGATCTTGACGACTTACGTGTCATCCTCCACCTAGACGACGTCGAATAGGGGGGAGAAATAACGAACATAGATTTTCCACGAATTATACGCTAATACCCCAGCACTACTGGAATTATTAATAGGAGTCTAATTCACCTTGTCCATTTCCACATCTGTACTACCTTTCGGCTCCTCTCTCGCCATGGCAGCTTCGATTGCCGAAGAAGTGATCTCTTGGATTGTGCTCCTGTGTTCATAATCGCTAACGTTCTGTCTCTTCGGCTACCTGGCAGACCGTTGTCTGTTTTTCGGACATAATATGTGAGGTCAGACGTCGGACCTCACCCTATCTGCGTGTGTAGGATTTCATTTGGCGCCATTCGGTAAAGGAGCAAATGTAGTCCGCCTGCGTCTCAATGACGATGAGCATAGGGCCACTCAAGACTACCTATCGTGTAAGGACCCAGGAGGGTACAAACACCCAAAGGCAAGTTTAGAATATCGGTATGGACTGACCTAGGACAACATTCCAACATAACTCTACAGACTTTGGAGGAAGCTTGTGTCGATGTTGTTTATTCTGAAGCCACGTCGTTCGCGGAATTTGGTTGGATTAGCGAAAACGGTCAGTCGCACGTAGGAGACATTATCATTTGCGCGACCGGTTTCAACACGTCTTACGTTCTCAATTATCCTAGGTATTATCTTGAAAGATCGTAACCTGCAGGAAATGTGGTAAGAATCGGTAATGAGGTACGTGGGAGTCGGCATATCCGAATTCTCCAATGCCATAACTTTAACGTGATCACACTTTTACATCCGACAGCAAAAGCGGGAGTCAATTTCCGTTCCATCTCTCATGTTAGAGAAGCTTTTTCGTCGTAACTATGAACAAGCTTCTACATTGTTTTCGTAGAACAGTATCCTTCATATATATGGCTACCGAAATCGTTAGTCCGATGTCGAGAATGCCAAGAAAAAGGGGTAAAGGGGTATGATCCGACTCATTGAATATACTACTTATAGTCCTCTCATTGTTCCAACACAGCGCTAATATTGACTGTGGATTTCTCAGAAACTCTTCGACTTGATGCAAATTACTTTCGCCACTCCTAGAGCTGATGTCGGATAAAATCCACGCAGGTGATCGAATGAAGATTTTTGCGCGCTTGACGAGCGGTTGGATCGCTGGTGATACTTGGATAACATAAGGTCTAGCTCTGGCTAGAAGAATGCTCTTGCATCCCAGAGACACGATTTCATCATATTTCGCGCTGTGGGGTCTAATTCCTTTGTAAGTCTCAATGCCTGGAATCCAAGGCCATGCTGGTTTATTCAAATAGCCTAACCATGATATGAGTCAAGATATGGCACCAGCCATGAAACGATATTCCCTATCAAAAGATCCGTCACGTTTACATCCCATTTTCCATTTTCCTCGTTGCACCGAGTGTCTTCTACATGGTGGAATGTCTTGATAGACTGATGTAGCTCATTCTTGGCTAGGTAAGTACCATAATAGCCTTTTGATGGTGAGTTTCCTTTACTTGTTCTACTTTGCTTTAAATACTCCGTAAAGTCATAATAGTTAGTTACAAATAGGCTACATATAACTCTGCTCTGGAAGGTTGGACTCGTCTTTCTATTTAATCTTGGATTCTTCTACATGCTTGCCGTGATTCTCCATTATGTACTAATATTCTATGTAAGTGTTAATCTATAACATACAGCTCTATGAGTTGCTCACTAATAAGTCATACTTAGTTGAACGAAACGGGGAATCCAGCTCTGGCCTATGCTTGAAGACTCCATGGGGATAGTGGTGGTCTAATTACACTTTGTTTCGCTGATTTCTAAACGAAATAGATACTGTCGCACTTATAACCATTATCATGAGGGTGGAAACGATGGTCACGAATTGGGATCTGGGCCATATGCTCAGGCTGGCGGAATAAAAGACTCGTGATCCGTATAGCTTAACGGCATCTGGTAGCGAGGAAGAAAGCGTTATTCCGAAGGCCAAGTCGGCCAAATAAGAAGATATAGTGCTCCTGACTGAAAAAGGGGAAACATGGTCGAACAAACAAGACACATTGAGAGAAGTCCCGATATGGCTGAGACCACGTCTGGTGCACAGAGGAAATTTACTTTAGTGCAGTTCAAGGACACTACTTTGGCATATGGTGTAAAAGGTCTATGTCACCACATGAAGAATATGCCTTCTGCAGCTAGTTGACATTATTAACAGCGGACCAATACCTACCTAGGTACCTCTTATTCAGCGATGGTTCGAGAGGGTACCTACCTGATTCTACCCCGCCTACCATAGACATCAGTCATCCTTTGCAGCTTGTGATTACATTAATTTTTCATAAAACACGATAGACTCAATGTGTTGATGAAAGAAGTTCTACCCGTGTCACACCCCTTTTCTCCTTATAAACATGGGGTAACCCGATGATTATCCGGCCGAGATTCAGCCAGCGGAGCTACCGTATTTGGACATACCTAATGCTCTCACAATAACACCATCTCCAAACTTCTTCACTTCCTCCAACATCCCTAGCTTCTCAGCCCTGCATGTGGAACCGCAAACAGGTTTGTCTATCCAATGGGGCTCGACACATACCACACATAGCTCTTAAAATGAGCTCTCAACTTGAGCTCTTGAGCTCATGAGCTTCACAACCGCGTGTGCAGGGGCATCGTTCCACGCTAACCCCGCTCTCGACCAGAAGCACTTCAGCTCTCCCCAGTCTCCGGTCATCGCAGTGGAGTTCGCGGACCAAGGTGAAAGAATATTTTTCTTTCTGTCCACGATCTGCCATGATTGGCAGATAAGACCCCGGGCCTCTAACCCTGGGCTTTCTCGATCACAAATGAGGAGATACCGGTCTGTTGGTGGCTGATCTGCTCGTAGAGCAAACTCACCGGTAGGATCGCGAACTCTCTACTTGAGCGTCATTTTATGGGTTCAGGAGGTATATTTTCCTTGTTGTGCACATCCATGGATACCTACCTAGGTAGTAACCATCCTTTGAGTAATAGATGGTTTCCCACACCACCACTGTTGAAAATTTGGTAATCAGCAGTAAAAACCCCCGATTTTCTTTTTTCCTCTTAAACCCCTATCCTTCCCCCTTCTCTATTCAGTCCATTTCATCCCATTTTTACCTTGCCCTCAAGGTTTCCGACCAGGTAATGAGATAAGTATCCAAGATGGAGTCATCGTTATTTGCGACTCTCGTCCAAGTCGAGTCGAACTCGCTCGCACGGGAACATACTCTCCCAGCAGCTCCACAGAGAGTACTATCTAGGACCTATCCTGCCGTTCCTCAGCAAGATCCAATTGAGTTAACATCCCTTCGATACTCTCGCAATGACAACAATTCCTCTAATGCCACAACTCCTCGAGAGGAGATTGATCTTGAGATGACCGCTCCGGGAACGCCAGCTGAGTCATCCGAGCCGGTAGATGCTGTCGATGCTTTACCAGGCTTAAACGACCCGCCCATGAACAAATTTCGACTGACATCGTGTTGCCTCCAAAATGTCATGGCGGGCTTGACTGATTCTGCCCCTGGTGCTCTAATTCCCTACATGGAAGCGTGAGTATAACCCCTTGACTCATGCTCATCTCTCTGTGTGTAAAGGTTAGGCGTAGGCTGATAATGGTCATTTTATCAGTGATTATGACATTGGATATGCCGTGGTATCTCTCATCTTCATAGGAAATGCTATGGGCTTTATCATGGCGGCGCCTTTCGTCGACCAGATCCGGCAGCGCCTTGGGCGGGCCAAGACCATTGCCCTCTCCCAGATTTGCATGGGCGTCGGGTACATTCCTTTTATTTGCACAGCGCCATTTCCCCTAGTGGCAATATCCTATTTCTTACTCGGCTTCGGATGCGCCATTCAGCTGGCTATCGGCAACGTGTTCTGCGCGAACCTACGCAATAACACGACGATGCTAGGGCTTATGCATGGTAGCTACGGCGTAGGTGGCATCGTCGGTCCCCTTGTTGCAACAGCCATTGTATCTAGTGGCGCGGTCTGGAGCCGGTATTATCTCCTGACCCTCGGATTCGCCATCTTCAACACCTGCTTCTCGACCTGGTCATTCTGGAATTATGAGAAGGAGCTTGGTGGCGTCGAATCGAACATACTAACCGAGACTAGCTCCCGCGGCGATATGTCCATGATGCTTCTGGCCTTCAAGTCTAAGGTTGTCATCTTAGGAGCCATCTTCATTTTCGCATATCAGGGAGCCGAGGTATCGATCTCCGGATGGGTTATCTCCTTCTTGATATCTGCCCGCAATGGTGAACCTTCATCTGTCGGATACGTGACGTCTGGTTTTTGGGCTGGCATTACCATCGGCCGATTCTGTCTCTCACCTATCAGCTCTAGGATCGGCGAGAAATTGTTCGTGTACTTCCTCGTCATCGGTGCTGCCGTCTTCCAGCTGTTAGTCTGGTTAGTCCCCAACATCGTCGGCGAGGCCGTGTCGTTGTCTATTGTCGGATTACTTCTCGGCCCCGTTTATCCGTGTGCTGCCGCCATATTTACGCGAAATCTGTCTCGCCGCGAGCAGGTGAGCGGCATGGGGATTATCAGTGCCTTTGGTAGTTCTGGTGGTGCCATGGCCCCGTTCACTACTGGTCTTCTCGCCCAGGCTGTTGGTACATTTGTTATGCATCCTGTTGCTATTGGCTTATTCACGGCCATGTTAGTGTGTTGGTTCGTCTTGCCTGATGCTAGGAAGAGGACGGAATAATGATGATGTTTTTTGGATGCTGCTTGGCTATTGATAGCGAGTGCAACGGCGTGGAAACTTTGTGGGTAAACACAGGCGGGTTATTCATATGGATGACGGAAAACTTGCTTTAGGAGGCTAGGTTGATATCTTGGGAAAATGGTGGTCTCTGATATACTAGTCAGTTAAAGGGAGGTAGGTAATTATTTATATGGTATGGTAGTTAGGTTATGGTACTTCCAGCGACCCAAAAGTCAATTTCAATTTATTTCTATCACTTCCCACCTTCTCTTGAGCACCCTTAACTCCTTTTGAAGCACGATAAAAATTGTAGCTAGGTGGTTAGGGCCTCATGATGCGTCAAAAAAGGTGGAGCACCAATGCTAGTAGATGGTATAGGGGTATTTCACATAATTACTGTTTAAACAGACTAGAATCGTGTCAATGAATATTCATTCCACTGGTTATGATGATTGTCTAAAACTCTAATAAGGCATGCTCACTACTGGAGACTGGGTCCTTAATGGACACCTGCTCATCCTTGAGGTCATATGAAACCGTTGCCCATCTGTCTATCCGTTCGTCTATAGATAATATCTATTATGCGGGTTAGGAATTCTGCCTAGACTGTATTGTCTAACCTGAATGATTGAGATGATGCGATGTTTCCTCTAGGGGTTTAGGGGGAAAAGGGGGAGCATTCGCCCTTCTAGGTAGGTCTGAAATGCCCGGATCTATAGCCTTCCCTTCGCTGCTTCCTTAACGCTAATCTTACCCTCGACTACGTCGGCAACGACCTTATGGATGTCGGAGAAGTCGTTGAAGGTGACGAAGGGTACCTTCTCATTCTCGCAGTAGGTGACGAGGTCTAATTGGTCAGTACTTTTCCACGCCATTTTCACTGGGGTTTTAAAACTAGAGAAAAGGGGCTCTCACCTCGTCCAGCCTTGGCAAACAGCAGGTCAGTCTCTTTCGCGGCAGAAAGATCAGACACACCATCTCCGGCGTAGAACATGATAGGCCGATTTGGTAGAGCAGCGTAAGGCTTGATTTCGAGGGACTTGTCATGTCCAAATTCACTGGAGAGCAAAAGAAACACGTATTAGTCATATATCGTTACCTATTCTAGCATAACTCATTTATGTCTTATTTTCGGCTGATTTTGTTGACAATTCGAGAAGAATTAAATCAAGGAAAATAGTTATATGATAGAAATAACAATAAGGGGTTCATGAAAACTCACCTGTCATCGTGGAACTTAATATTCCAGCCGTCCTCCTCATTGATGCTTTTACCCGGCCGGGGCTGAACATCATTGCTAACAATTTGCATATGCTCAACAGCGTCCTCGCCAACGAGGTGAGCGAGCAGAGCACGGATGATGGGCTGCATACCGCCGCTCAGCACAACGACGGGAACGTTGTTCTCGCGCGTCCACTTGAAGAACTCGGCGAAGCAGGGGTCGAGCTGCACGTTCTTGAGCAGAGTGGCAATGCACTGGTCGTAAGGGGTCTTGACGCTGTCCATCATCTCTTGGAAGCTGTCGCGGAACGTGCGCTTCCCGAACAGCACGTCCTGGTTCCCCTGCTTCCGGAGCTTCACGCCGAACCCCAGGTTGTCGGTCATGAAGTCGTTGCTGTCCTGTAGCGTGATGGTGCCGTCGAAGTCGGTGAAGAAGATGGCCTTGGGTTGTGTGCGCAGCGCGGGAAGTGTCCCGTTGACGCCATTGGTTCCATTTTGTTGAGCCATGTTGATGATGATATTCCCAAGGTCCTCGTGGCAATATCTCAATAATTTCGTCCGTGCTTCCCTCCTTTATATCTTATATCCTTGTCTCTCTCTTATGAGTTTATGAGGGACTTTGATCGGACCTGCTTAGAAAAAAGGGGTGACGTCACACACCAAACAATTGGTCTATATTTTCTACAGACTGCCTTGCGTTGTCTTGCGTCTAGCAAACTTTGGAGCAGAGACGACGAGATGCACAAATAACACAGATAGGGAGGTGAATATATGATACCGGTAAGATAGAAAAAGGAGGGATGAGCGAAAAAATAGGAAAAGGTAAAAAGGTTTCACAAAATGCAAAGAATGTAAGGTTCAGGGTCTGACCTGCGCCAATACTAACACCGACACCAAACACATGCGCCAGACAGGAGCGATCCGCGGGGCACTCTTCCAACTTATTGACCCCTCCATCTTTCCCATGCCCCCTCCATCAAATTTGTTGACGATCGTCGATGCTTTTCTGCTAAAATGGAAACCCCCACTGAGGCTTATTAGCGCTTCTTGGCAAGTACACCCTGGCAGCTGTGCTGTAGCATCGTATAGCTTATCCGACAGGGCGGTGGCCGGGTATTCTCCGGCGCTCTTTCATTTTTTTTCTAATTCTACGACCAAAGCAACCTTGCCCTTTTCTTCCCGGACCGACTAAGCAGCGTCATATCCAACCCTGCTTCTGTCCTACAACGAAATCTCACCCCCTCCAGATTTCGCGCAATTGAGGAAAAAGGGCATCCCACCCCCCCTTCTCTAGCCCGCCTCCTGACCGCCTCGATGTCGACTTCTCGGGCCCTGAAGCCCATATTCGGGCCTGGTCGTCGGCTCCTTTTCGATCAATTGGCTCCTCAACCGAGAAGGAAGTTCGTCCCGAGCCGGCCGTCCACTTCGGTATGCTCGAGCTGCCGGCACGGCCAGGTGCTAGGTCTGGGTCGGGCACAACTCCGGTTCTTCTCTTCTGACCCCCCTAAACCTCCCAATGGCGGTGACACGGGCGAGAAGAATGCAACCCCCGAACAACAACGTGAACCACCTCTCGTCTTCCACTTCCCCCCGCCGGCTTCCTCCCCGCCAGAACCCCCGCAACCAGACCCGGCAAAAGCACCGCCACCAGACCCGGAACCGACGCCCCAACCATCTCAACCACCGCCTTCGCCACCGCCCCCGGATTCGTCAACCTCAAGCTCAGACTCAAGCTCAACCTCCACTTCCACCTCCAGCTCGACCTCGACCCCCAACCCCGACCTCCCATCCACGCAAAACTCGCGGCGCTCGAACATGAACCGGCAGCTCTCCGCATTCATGGACCGCGCACAAACAACACTCTTCGCCGCCTCGCAGCGCATCAACGACCTAACAGGCTACTCCGGCATCGAAGTCCTCAAATCGCAAATCTCGGCCCTCGAATCCTCCCTGGCCTCCGCGCAGGCGAACCTGCACGCGGCGCGGTCCGCCTACAAGACCGCCGTATCCTCGCGGTCGGCCACGCAGCGCGAGGTCACGACGCTGCTCGCGCGCCAGAAGACCTGGTCGCCCGCCGACTTCGAGCGCTTCACCGCGCTGTACCGCCAGGACTACGAGCTCGAGGCGTCCGTGCACGAGAGGGCCGCCGAGCTCGAGGACGCGGAGCGCGAGGCCGAGCGCCTGGGCCGCGAGCTCAGCGCGGGGATCCTGTCCCGCTACCACGAGGAGCAGATCTGGAGCGACAAGATCCGCCGCATGAGCACCTGGGGCACGTGGGGCCTCATGGGCGTCAATATCCTGCTTTTCTTGGTCCTGCAGTTCGGCGCCGAGCCCTGGCGCAGGAGGAGGTTGGTCAAGGGGTTCGAGGAGAAGGTCCGTGAGGCGATGGAGGAGGAGAGGCGGTTGGAGCGCGAGATCAGGAGGCAAGAGGCTGAGATCGAGACTATGAGGAGGAGGGAGGAGTTGGCTGCTGCTACTGCCGCTGCCCCGGTCACGGTCGAGGCGGTTGCGGAAGGGGAGCCGAGTAAGGCCGGTAAGACGACGGCGGCGGAACCGGAAGAACAACCGACCGAGAGCTTCATACGGATAGACATGCCGCCGAAAGTCCCGTGGAGGGAATTCTTCTCGGACCCGGATTATTGGAAAGATATCTACGCCGAGCTATCAAGTGATAGGAAAGTCTTCATCAAGGTACGAGACGTATCCATATTAGCGCTCGAGAGCGCCGCCGCCGGTGCCGCGGTTGTAGGCACCATAGCCACCATCTTGTTGATTCGGAGGACATGAGCATAGAATAAAATAGAAGGCCGCCATCTATATGGCCCGTTAGGGATCTGTACGTATTGTCAAAAAAAGAAACTCCTAGGGATACTATATTGTATAATAAAAAAACACTACGATACCCAATCTTCTTATACCGACTCACTTATGTGACTTGTCGTACGGTACATGGTATATGGTACGTCTAACGTGGAAAAGAAGGGTGATGGTTGCATTATCAACTGGTCTAATTAACAGGGGGGCAAGCTATTATATGCCGGGGTAAACTGCGCGATAGCATCTGGTTATGCTGCTCCTCGACGAATTCTAGTAAAACGTGCTCAACGGTTTTGTCCGCTTGCCTTTTTGGAAAGATTCGCCCAGCGAATGACAATTCACGCGAAACGCCTCTGTGTAATGTGTCCCGTGGCCCGAAGACCCGTTAGTATTTTCGGTGACATCGAGCCCTGCAACAGTTCTCTTTTTTTTTGTTCAATGCGCCTCAAACTAGCAGAACACCTCGCCTCCGTACGCGGTTCCTATAGCTTAACAACAGAACGATTGAAAATCTCCATTCATCTCTTGGTTCTCTTGTTGTCACTCTCCGATGAAGATGAATTCTTAGACACTTCGGCTCTCGGCAACTAATCAAAATCCGCCGTGTACGAGAATCCGCGGAACTCTTCTTGCATTGATTGGGACAGCACTGTAATTATGTTAGCATATTCGAGATGTCCATATTGTACGCAGATGAAGGCGTCCTTACCTGATTGCACCGGCGTTAGCACTGGTGTGACGCTAGTAAATTCAGAATCAAAGTTGCTAGTATCCGTTGCGTTCTTGATGGTGGGCATGAATGGAGGCGCAACCCTCTTGTGGTAAATGTCGTCCCATACGATATTCCTAAAGAATGGCTGACTCATGACCTCCTGAGCATCGGTAGGCCCGCTTCCCAGACGTTGGTCAGGATCTCTTGTAAGAAGCTTCTGCAGAATCGAAACCGACTCCCTAGGCATGTGGATTGGATAAAGCGGCTCATCCGCGAGAATAGCGTCGTAGATTTCATCTTCATCTTCACCTCGGAAGGGAGACTGCTGTAAAAGCATCTGGTAGATCAGAACTCCAAAAGCCCACCAATCAACTGCTCTCCCATATTTCTTATCTAATAAGATCTATAATAACGTTAGAAAGGTACTCAATGGGGCTGGGACTAAGAACGCGCGCATACCTCGGGGGCCATGAATTCTGGTGTACCACAGAAGGTACTAGTGGTCGAACCGTACCACATGTCTTCTTTGCACAGACCGTAATCTGCAATCTTGATGTGACCGTCGAGGGTGAGTAGAATGTTGTCAAGTTTGAGATCACGATAAATAACACCGTTCTCGTGGAAGTACTTCAAAGCCAAACAGACTTCGGAAGCGTAAAACCTGTCGAAATTGTTAGCATATACTCAGCCTCATATTATGCTATATGGACTTACTGGGCACGTTTGGTGCCAAATTGACCACGCTGGATGTGCAACATCAGATCGCCACCGCTAATGTACTCCATGACAAAGTACACCCTCGTCTCCGTTTGGAAACACGCGTGTAGATTAGTCAAGAATGGATGTCGTTCCCTGTTCGCGATCAAGAACACCCTCTTCTCGGATCGGATACTCTCCACTTCGTCGTTTTCGATGATGAACTCCTTCTTTAGCACTTTTATGGCATAAAGACGGCGGGACTTCTTCGTTTCGGCCAACATAACTTTACCAAAGTTACCCTTTCCAAGGACTGCTAAGAAATTGAAGTGGTCCAAACCAATACGCTGGCCTGTGCCGGGATCCGTCGCAGAAGGCAGGGGTTTTCTCGAAGGGGGAGGTAGTGTCGAGCCGGTCGTTAGCGAAGGAGTCTCTTGTAACGGCTGTGGCTTAGCCACAGGTGCAATAGGAGGATACATCTGCTGCTGTAACTGGGGTCCGGGTGATTGGGTTTGGATCGGACGTTGCTGCGGTTGCTGCTGCGGTATTTGGGGCTGACTAGGAGGATAGTTGGCAACATTTGCATATGCTGCTGGGTTGTACTTAGGTTGTGTAGGCATATTGTATGCCTGGCTTGCAGCGTATGGATCCTCTTGAGCATCCAAACCTCCATAACCTACTCTGCCAGAAGAATAATCGGAAATCTGTCCCGGGCGACTCGATTGAGAGGCTATAGTGCCGCTCATTGCGGCCGTAGCAGCGGCGGCGGCGGCGGCGCTCGAACCGGATGAAGTGCGGTCTGGATGGATTGGTCTCGAGGGTGATGTCTGACTAGCATACATAGCCTTGGCAGCATCGGTCGCCTCTTGAGAAGCGATACTAGGCTGGTATGAAGGTCCTCCCTGGGAGCCGTAAGGTGACATGGGAGATGATGTACTCGTAGGACTCATCTTGCCTTGTCTTAGAGTCTTTTCACTCAAAGAAGTGGCCTTTTGTTGTCGTTGTTTTTGTGTCCTGATGCCTTCCAAGATTTGGTTAGCAACAGCCATGCTCATACCGCAAAAGTCCGGAACAAGGTGAACGCATTGCGCGTGTGCGGTAAGTCCACATTCTATTGAGGCGTTAGCTAGATGCACAAGGTTAAGGGGAGCCTAATTATCGTACCAGTACACTTTCTGCAGTTCTTCTTGCCGAAGGGCAGAATGTAACCACAGTGACAGCACCAGTTTGCGGTAACGTTTGAAAACGGCGAAAACCTGTGAGGGATGCGATGGTTGATCTTCTCTTCGTCCGGATCGGTTTCGGCGTTGCTTTTACTAATACACTTCGTGACCACGCTCGAATAACATTTCGTATGGCAGGTGTACTTGCAGTCTTCGCACTGCATTCCCGCGGAATACTTGAGAAAATCGCCGCAGAGAGCGCAACGCATGATGTTGTAGAATTGGTGCTGCACGAACTTGTGTCCGTACATCTCGTGAACTTCCTCCTTGCGCTGACGGATAGCGCCCTTTCGCCCCAATCCCAGATCCACGGGTCTGCGGTCCTTGTTCTGCTTTATGAAGTTAAGGGAGAGGTGGATGGCACCGGTAGGCTCCAAGTTAAACCACGCGTCGATCGGTTGCGATGTAACTTGCGGCACGGCTTGGGGAGCGAATGGCTGTTGAGCCGGGCCCGCGGAAGTCGGGGACGCAGGACCGGCGCCACCAAGTTGCGACTGTGCGGGATCCATGGGGAACTGAGGCGGAGGTGCACCCGGTCCTCCCATCCTATCGGCGGACACCCAGCCAGAATTATTAACCTCGGCCTCAATCCTCTTTCGTCGCATCTCTTCCACGATATCTGATATTCGTACCCATAGCATAGCTATGGGCAAAGCATGCTCGCCCGGCTTATCGTATACTGTGAGTTCGATCTCGTTCGCCTTATCTACCTCGATGTTGTGGTATTCGGCTTCCCATCGATCGTTCCGTGACACCCTCGTTCGTGCGACAACGTTATCCTCAACCTTCACGGCCACGAAGGTTTCCGGACCCCGCGAGAACCGCCCAGTACTAGCATGATCGACGTCCCTTACCTGAACGACGCGAATCGAAAGCTGTCCGGTTAGTGGTTTGCGCAAGTTCGGCATATTAATACTGTCATCTATAAGATAGCACGGTTAGCTGTACAAACGAGACAAGTATTTCCAAGGGGCGTAGCGAACCATCAGGAGAGTCGGCCGAATCCAAATCGTCTATGTGGAGCTCTTCATATCTCTTGAGTGCCTGTTTCAAGAGATGAATCTTCTGTTTGCTCTCAACCTTCCTAGCGGCGGCGTCCGCTTTGCTCTTGCGATCACCCTCCATGCCGTAGAGCTGCACCATCTTTTCTATTCCCTTGAGATATTGCTCCTCAACATTAAGCTTGAACTGGATCTGGGAGAGCATGAGTTGGATTCGGGGACCGAGGTACGGTGTGTCATATTTTATAAGATCTATAAGACGTTGGTTGAACGATTAGTCTAGCTTATTCAGAGGTGAAGGGATGGAAGCAGCATAGGATCGCGGCGAGTAGAAAAGGTGTGACAAACCTAACTTGGTAAAGTTCGGTCTCGGTTTTGGAATGGAAGAGGTCGGGCCTGGAGGGGGAAATGGATGTCGTGGCGGCATTAAATCTCCGTGGCCACCTATCTGACTATATGGCAACGAGCCATAGGATGTCCTATCGCCGCCTGACCAGTCGCCGGCATCCTTTGGGGGAGGCATAGGTGGCCCTTGACCATCGCTTCGCACATCACCACTAGGAGGACGTCCCGAACCGGTGGCAGTAGAGCTGGAACCAATACTCATGTTATCGACACCCTGTCCAATACGCTTCATCTGTAAGTCGCGAAGCTTTTCTTCGAAGAATTGGAGGTTCCGACGGCCCTCCCGCATTTGACTGTCGAGGCGGGATCTGACATCATCGTTGTTAGTCTGCTGTCGCATGGAATTGGCAGCATTGATCAGAGCCTTTTCGCGCTCGATCTTTTTATAGATGTTGGCCATGGCATCTTCGTCGTTCATGATGGACGATGGGTTGCGCGTCGTCACGCGCGGGACCGACGGTGGTGAGACTTTTTGTTGTGTGTTATTGTGTGGTATTGCGTGTTATTGTGTGGAGGAGAAGAAAGGACACAAGAAATGCGGAGCGACCCAAGATAAAGCTAGAGAGAAAGAGTAGAGTAGTAGAACAGCTCCAGATCTCACAACAAAAACAACTCTTAACAACTACTGATTATTAACTGCTCTCACTCCAACTCAACTCGACGCATAACATCCCTCTAACAAGAAACGTTAGCTCGCGACGGTCAGACAGATAACAGTATAACGGTAGTAGTATAGAGAAGCGCGGTGGGATTATGGGATTGGCAAGTTGCAGGTTACAAGTTGCGGGTTGCAAGGTGCAAGGTGCAAGTTGGCGGAGTGCGGGCAAGTTGGGTAAGTTCGGCAAGGTGGCCGCCTGATAGTCGGTGCTTGGTGCTTGGTGCCAGGTGAAAGTTTGGCCGAGCAAGATGATTAAAAGAATAAGGTATAGTGCGATGTCGTCAGTGTCGAGAAAAATGTGGTACGGCAAGCACCTGGACACGCTACAAGTTTGCACCTGTGCCTTTGTATCTTTTTCCTATCTAACTTTTTGTATGTATCAATGGCGGGGTTTTGTGTCTCGCATGGATGATGCGGGCGGGCGCAACTTCTGCTACCTTTGCAAGCCTGAATAAAGTTGAGTCGGGTGGTCTGTGTTGATACCCCACTCTGCTCGCTGCGTCTAGGACGGTAGGACCTAGGATACGGGTGGGTTGCAATGCAATAGTTGCTGCCGATAACCTGATGGTTCCTTCTTTGGTATTAGTGGCATTACTGTTCGGTAACCTTAGGGAATAGGGAACAACGGCCTAGTCCGGGGTAAGTACGACGTTTATATAACGGTTATTACTTCCAACTTCGTAGTGTGAGGTGGGCATATAATTACTCATATGCCGCAGCTTCATGTGATAACGGAAACAAATACTAACAACCAAAATGTGGACAGCTGAAAAGCGAGCTCCGATAAGACAGATTGATCGAGAAGGTGGTGCACACCTAACACATGAAAGCATGAAGTATGCAGTTTACTCATTTGTTTCGTCGGTGTCAGCCGTCTGTGTGTCATCAGTTCACGGTTTACCAGGTAGCCCAAGGTACTTTGAGATACGTTTGGTATTGCCAGGCCGTGTGCGATAAAGAATACAAGAAACAGCAGAGAAACTGTTTGTAACCTGATACCAAAGTTTAAAGTTCACATTTGGATATCAACACGTTTACATCATGTTCAAAGGCCGTTTAACAGACGGAACTGAGGTATGATGATGTATAAGACGGCAAGAAGGCAATAGGTGATATCGGACGAGGTGACATCAATCGATTGCAAAACAGCCCATGTTCCATTTGAGTAGGAACCAAACCCCTTCTCTTCTTGACTATTCAATCTTGATACTTACTTAGGATACTTTTGGTACATATGTTTCGCAGCTCTTTTTACTCATATTTCAGTCAATTATATGTATCACGAACAACTTCTACCTATCAACACATACCCATACGTAGGTAACATCGAGATATATTTGATAGCTCGAGGCTGGGGACAACAAACTGCAATGTCAGACGAGATCGGAAAAGATCGCTATGTGTATGCATCAAAATGCAGGATAGAAAGCTCCGGCACGCATAGAACCGTATCAACAATGTTTGATATTATCATTCTTGCCCTACGACATAAACAGCTGGGAAATCGAAGGCTCGGGCACGTAAACCATTGGGCATTACGAAAACTAATAAATACGCTCTATTCGTCAGCTGGGAAATATCGTTGCGCGTCACCGGAAGTTGGACAACTCAAAACTAGACTTATTAACCTAGGTACCTTTTAAGGAGGCGCTTCCGAAAGGGGTTGACCTACCAACTCAAGGTTCCATCCATTCCAATCATTCCAGGCGGGGAAGAAAATAATAAAAAACCCTACAGTAACCCCACGTCAGGGGTAATCATCGAGTCGTCATTGTCCATTATCAACATTAGAAATATATTGCGAGGGTTATGCAATGCACGATTCCATCGAACATAATACAGATTTCACTTTCACACGTGACAGACAATATCACTCGATCATACAATACCGTCGACTCCGCAAAGCGGAATGTATTCCCGAGTTAATAATAACCCTTGATGCCCAAGGTTGTACATTAACCTAATTAGTTCTGTAGACTCGCCTCCTAGTCCTCGCACGCAACGAATCAGGGGTATCTCCGACATCAACATTAACATCCGACATAGCCAATATTTATACCTATCAATAGACACATCTCGTCCCTAATCAAGCAAAAACGCTAAACATAAATGCAGAAAGCCTTCGGTTGACCCATTCCCATCATATCAGAATGCTTGCTAACCCGTTCTCCGACACAATATCCGTCCAGCTTATGCCGAGGTAGAAGGCACAACCTTTTCGTTGTTCGAGCCCGTCGGGACTTGCGCAGCCTGCGCCGGAGCGTACGTTGGTTGCGGTGGCACCGGTGCGTAAAACCCGGCGAAGTTTTGGTAGTTCTGCGCCGCCGGGTCCGTCCTCTGTCCCACAGCAACAGCACCAGGTACATTAGGCTGGCCAGCGAAGGGCCCCTGCTGAGGCGCCATGGGGGCCGGGTACGGGTAATAAGGCGCGACACCGGGCTGCGGAGGCGGGTAGTACATGCCAGCCTGAGGAGCCACGGGCGGTACGACCATGCCGGCCGGCTTCAACAGATTGCGCTTATGCGTGTCGACGCAAGCGAACACGAACAGGATAAAGTGGACGAGCAGCATCAGGCAGAAGAGCGCCGCCACCGCGCGCAGCATCGGCAGGTACCTGCCGGTCATGTCGATGCCGTCGTACTGGTCGCAGTAGCTGCTGTAATACGAGTACGTGCTGGTGGTGGTGGTCTCGTCCGCGCAGTCGCGCACGTCCGCGTTCACGGCGATGGCCTCGGTGACGGACAGCAGCACGGCGAACACGCAGGCGATCCAGAAGCACAGGTGCAGGCCCACGTGCGCGCCCGGGTGGATACCGCGCTTCTCGTTCTTGCGCGACCGCACCGCGAACGTGATCAGCTCCGCGCCATTCCACAGGATCGAGGCGATGGTGATCGGGAGCGCGTACGCCGCCACCCAGGATGCGTCGCCGGCTTCGGTCACGAAGACGCATGCCAACGCTACGATCACGATGGCGACGATGATGAGGGAGAGCGCGAGGATGAGCTTGCTGAATGTCCAGGATTTCGAGTACCGAGGTAGGAGGCGAACAGGTTGGGTATAGTATGCCTGCGGTGGGTATTGGTACGAAGGATAGGGGGCTTGAGACTGGGGGTATGGTTGCTGGCGCGTAGAGGGTGGCGGTTGGATAGTTGCGGGGTCTGCTGGTATAGTTGGCGACGACGGTGCGTCTCTGTTCACAGACCTTCGGGCGACACTTTCGTGACCTGCTCCCGCCGAATCCTCAACTGGCGAAATTCCATGCTCATTCCTCGTCCCAGTCATTGGCCGTGACGTCTCATTCGAAGCCATTTCTCGTAATTGCCACTCTTGTCTTGTTGACTAAAATAAGGTTATAATGAGGATAAGGATGATTTTAATTATTAAGAATTAAGTATATATTATATCAAAACGAACGACACGAAGTTGAAGAATTATGGTCAGTAATAACGAGTGAGGACCTGATGAGAACAATACGGGAAAGGATCGACGAGAAAGAAGCGGAAATCGAAAGGGGAGGCTATCGTCGAGATTTTATGGAAAATAAATGAGAGCCAAGCCTTTTTTACCCTGGTCTTCGTCAGAAAGCCCTTCTAGCTCGGGGCAAATTGCCATTAGCGGATCTAACTTCCATCATGACTCAAAATAGAACTAAGCGTCTACGGCGCAGTTTGCTTATTATTATTTTCCTTTCTTTCTGTCTGAAATCGAGGCACTAGGGTCTAGGCTACATCTATAGGTGTCCAATATACATACAACCTGTAGGTACGTTGTACTAGGTATTTTGCATCAAGTGACCAGTCTCATGATTAGAACAGACTCATTGATGGTTCGACTCAACATAGAGGCAGCCTAGCACGCTACATAGTATGCTAGCAAAAAGCCGGGCCTATTGCTACCTAGGTAAATTGGGTACGGCTGAGAAAATCTCGCTTCCATCTTCCGTACCCATGTCGGCCCTAAGCGATGTTCCAGGCTGCATAGGGCTTAGCAGTTCTAGATCGATTTAGATCAAATGAGTACCCGGCCTCTCAGGAACAAAACCGCCCGTTTTGAAGACAGATCGAATTATACGTACAGCTACTTAGAGTCAACGGGATGAGAAAATGGGACAAAATCTATGGATCATAGATATCATCTAAAGTGATAGATCAGGTTACTGATTGAATTTGTGGCTAGTGCACTACCGTCCATGGATGTCCCAGGGTTGCGGGTTGATACATACCTAAGTTGATTCGGAAGGGATACAGGATCCATCTTAGCTCCTATAAAACTGCATCGTTCAAGCCAAGAAGTTAATTTCGACTCAGAGTCTCATATATGTAGAAGCTCGCGGCACAGTTAGCAAGCTCCATTGAACTTCTTTAGCTAAGATAGCTTGCTCAAATGCATATTAGAACTGAGTTCATTCACGGCCGTAACCAGCGCGGAGGCGGAGAAACGTGCAAGGGACCAGGTTGCCAAGTTGAAGAAAGTCGTCCGCGGGGCAATTTTCCAGTCGCGATTCCGTCTAACAATGACCATACCTCGGTGATAAAAGTCAGGATATATATTATGAAGTCTAGAAGGGATTATGAATGTATGAGATATACATATTATTCTCCAACCCGATACTATTACATAAGTGGCACATTCTATATCATCTATTTAGCACGTGATACATTTGGGATTCTCAGGACAAGATAAAGTGTCTTGGCTGTTGAAGTTTGCCAAAATAGTTAAATGCCAATTCCAACATCAATTGCCAAGATATAGACAACCGTCGCTCAACTTCAATCACTTCTTCGCTAATTTTGACCAAGAACGAATCCTCGGACCAAGAAAGTACAAGACATATACTAATGCGACAAGGCTAAATGAGACGAATCCCAATATGGCCATCGCCCATTTGGTGCTTAGGTTCTCAAACATGACGATTCCTAGATGCCTTGATGTTAGACTCAACCTCGCGAACGCTTTCGAAGGAAAGCACTCACCAATATGACAGCAACCGGCCGCAATTAGGAAAGAGGGTATCAAAAAGGCTGCTATTGCCGACCCAGCGACGTTAGTGTAAGTATCAGCAATGTAGTTAAGCATTGCGAGCCAGAGAAGCGGGTCGCAGAAACCCAGCAAGCCACCGGCCACCACGGGTGACCAGTACGAAACACTTCCGTCGCTAGTGAATGCGAACCACAGAAGAGATATCGGGAACCCCCAGACGAATAGCAGCGAAGTCAAGAACCTTGCTTCCGGTCGGCCAACACCACCGTTTCTCTTTCGGTCACGCTTATAGAACCATGTTTGGACTGGAACGAAGGCAAACATGACAGTAACGCTGACGACGAAGTTGAGATACGTGAGATCGGCATCGATATACCTAGCCTTGTTAGATTGGTGGCTCTACAACGAAGGTAAGTAGCACTTACGACAACCCGTTGTTGATAGCGAATACGTCGAATACTCCATCCAAATACAAAAAGAGTAGCCCATAGGCGAATCCGTTGTAGATCCCCAGGAATGTGACGATCGGTTCGGTGAACATAATGCGAAAGGCCATCGAGGTGACGAATCGCATCTCCCGGAGGATATCTACATGTTCTTCTATGACGGCTAGTTCGGTCGGATCTGACGACTTATTTTTCCTTGCCGTTCTGCTGATAACAATTCTCGGGAGTGTTTCCGGAATGAAACACATGGCAATGGCAAAAGCACCGCCGATGATCACGCTACCCAAGGTTAAGCGTTGCCCTCTTATTACTCGAACGCAGACTTACTTGATCCAGAAAATCCACGGCAGTCCTAATTTTTCGTTTTCCGCGATCAGTTCTCCAATAGGAGAGCCTATACTTGGGCCATAATTGGCAGACATGACAAACATTGCCATTGGCTGGCCAGCTCCGTCCATGTCACCAAATAGGTCAGCGATGGTGCCAGCCACGTTGGAGAGAGCCGTGCTTCCAGCAGCTCCGCATAGGAATTGAAAAATGATAAGCATCGGCAAGTTGCGCGCCAGCGCGGTGCCAATGTTCAAAATCGCATAGATGCCGATAGATCCCACATACACCCATTTTCGTCCTCCTAGGTCACTACAAGGCAATCATTTAGCTATGGCAAAGCTTAACGTTGTCAAAACCGGCAACGTCCGGGATTACGTACGATAAAGGACCCAGAAAGGCTGGGCCAACTGCAGTCCCAACGATAAACATGGATTGACCAAGTGCTACGACTTGCGACGATCCTCCATACTTCTCTTGGACGAGGAACTCTGCACTGACATAGGTCGTGGTTGAGAGAGCGATGAAGGTTTGCAGCAAACAGTAGACGCTGATGATAGCCCATTTTTTCACCGGATTCCAGTGGATAGGGTGAGAGGCACTACCAGTCTCAACTTTCTGGAGCGCAGACAGAGCTACGTCCGCTCCTGCGTTAGGAGTATCCATTGTCGGTTGCGGCTGACCCTTCTCCTCCTCCATGTTCGTTGAGAGGACACCTTGGGAGTCGTTTAACATCCCGTTTGAATGTAAGGAAAGATTTTTTGATTGAAAGCTATCCCGAGGCTGAGCGCAATGCGCGAGATTAAGGTACCTACATATATCCCACATATCCTACACTAGCATCTAGTCCAAATCAACGAGCCCGCAAATCTTACTGGTTCTTGAGTAGTGTTATAGCATCGAGATAATGGAAAATTTTGTGGCTCGATGGAACGTTTCTAAATCCGCCACAGCGGATCCAATCAGAGATCTCGTATGCTTATCATTAGAATGGAAATCCCTGGCGATTACTTGAACGGGCAGATCGGGGGAACTCAATTCGGAACGCGGATGAAGTGTCGGATGACGTTTACGTTAGCAAAACTAGACCAATCACTTCTAGTTTGGTTTAGTCTAACAGGTTTTCAGATATTATTCCCATCGGGTTGTCGGGGCCTCCGGGTTGCGCTGACTCAAAACCCATGCCTCAGAATTGCTAGACTAGTAAAACTGTCGGGTGGAAGATAATATCTTTCAAACTTTGAGACTCTCGTCGCAAACGAATAAAGCCAAGTGCCATACAAGGCGAAACAAAGTCTAGATTTTTGCTCAATAGCACATTAATCATCAATACATCACCTGAGTTGCTATAGACGTATGGTATGGGTTCATGCAATTACCCTTTGACTTAGAAAACTGAAGAAACTATTTACCCCCTTTGAACCAAATTACGTAATCTAGAGAAGACCCAACGCCTTGAAATACTGCAAATGTTAGTTATTTTATATATCTACTCGCATAGAAACGCATGCCTCTCACCCTCGGCCCTGTTAACTACCTAGGTGATTTGTACAGGTATGTCTCTAGTGCCTGACAACGGTTAAGGAAATATATCAAGCCAAAACCACCCAGAACCCAAATCTTGTGCATTGATGAAAGTTTTTTTTAAATACCGACTGGATGATAGCCTACAAATCTTATCTCAGGATCAATTTACTTATGAAATACCTATCTAGAACGGGAATGCAAACCTGGGTTAACTCATTCCCCACTGGTATCAACACTCCGGAAGAGCTACTCATCTGTGCTAATAACATCGGCAAACAAGAAGTTTACGTTCCTTATACTGTTATAAATAAAATTTTGCTGTAGTTCGAGACGTTTCATGAAATCCGTATTTGAATACTTCGCTTGATATCATCTCGTCGCGCTTGGATATTATGACAATGAGGCACGGGACCGTGTCAAAACATTCACCAAATAACCCTTCAGTATTATGGAATCAATCTTCAACTCCCGAGATTTTAATATCAAAAAGACCTTGTTTGAAGAAAAAGAAAAAGCCTCCAAGTTCTAGTTATACATTAGAGTGAAAGGGGGGCTTTCGATCTCCTTTCTCATAAGTACCTACCTGATAATTAGAACCTGCTCGCTGGAATACTACCACTAATGAGCAGTGGGAAGTCCTCTCAGCTGCCCCTAAAAGTCTACAACTTCAAGAGGGTTCCGATGTAACTCCTAGTATCCTCACGTATTGTTTAGTTACTTGGTCCTTCTAGATATACCGTGGCTTCTCAAGATATCTGTCAAAAGGCTCTTCTCAAGACCTAAATTCAACAAAGAGATACTCTAAAAAGGACATTATAGCTATAAACGAAACGATGAACGTTAGGCGCGTGATAATGTAATCACCTAATCAAAGCATTCTAACCGACTATTCTTATATGGTGACGGTAATCCTAATTCGCTCATAGACTCTTAAATCCTGTTATGTGAATAAGTTCTTCCGCGGTTGCATTATGGAATATGCAGGTCTCATAAAAACATGCCCGGCGCATGTTAACCTTGTTTTCAGAATAAAAGTATGGTGGTAATGACCAATGATAAATAAACATCTTATGTCAGCGTAAGAGGACTCAGGAGCCACCTAGATGGCTTAGATCATTCCGGAGATAATATCGGGGATTAAGCCTCTTCTTTAGGCCGAGACTCGCGCTATTACTGTCGGATTTAAAATTCTGGAGATAATAAACCCGGAGGTGATTGCATAACACCTCCATCTGCCTACGATGTATTATTAGCATGCGAGATGCTATAGGGGGCTCTAGAGAATATATAAAGGATGTTGCTGTTGACTCGATATTCTAAATTTTGGCCAAAGCAGACCACCCGGATAACGAACTAAATCAACCTAGCAAATATATCAACGATCTTTTAAAGAGCAAGACACTTCTATACAAAAGCCCCAAGCTTCCTAACTGCACCCATCATACGACGAAGATGCCTCAGATTGCTGGCAAAGAAGTAGGCCCCATCGGCTTTGGCCTCATGGGATTCACCTGGCGTGCAAACCCGTGCTCTCAGGAACAGGCCTTCGAAGCTATGCGAACTGCGCTGAAAAGGGGGGGTATGTTCGCACGAATTCCTTATTTTCATCGCCTCTTGCTCAAGAAGACTTGCGCAATTCCAACTCTCCACCAACTAGTAGCTAACCATTACATCAGTGAACTTATGGAATGGCGGCGAGATGTATGGAGTGCCAGAGTACAACAGTCTAGTCCTCCTAGAAAGGTACTTGGAGCAGTACCCCGAAGACGCCGACAAGTTCGTTCTTACTATCAAGGGTGGCGCCGCCAAAGGTGGCAAGATGATAGACGGTTCTCCCGAGAACGCCCGCCGCAGTCTCGACGATTGCATTGCCCAGCTCAAGGGCCGCAAGAAGATCGACATGTTCGAATATGCCCGCATAGACCCGAAGTGGCCTATGGAGACTACTCTCGGTGTTATCCAAAAAGAGTATGTTGAGACGGGAAAGATTGGCGGCATCTCGTTGTCGGAAGTGCGAGCTGAGACCATCCACAAAGCCGTCAAAATCGTCAAGGTTGTCGCCGTAGAGGTTGAACTCTCGCTGTAAGTCACCCCAAAGGTAATAATCGGTGGACGCCTATGCTAACCATGCGGTAGGTTCTCCACTGATATCCTAGAAAATGGCGTTGCGGCCGCGTGTGCCCAATATGATATCCCGATCATCGCCTACTCGCCGCTCGGCAGAGGGTTGTTGACCGGCCAGATAAAGAAGTACACCGACATCCCGGAAGACTCCATGCTGCGATTCTTCCCTCGGTTTTCGCCTGAGAACTTTGACATCAACCTGCAGCTCGTCGCGCAGGTCGAGGAGTTGGCCAAGAAGAAAGGGGTCACGCCAGGTCAGCTTGCCATCAATTGGACGAGGATGATAGCCAGGCGTCCTGGGATGCCCACGATTATCCCGATCCCTGGTGCGACGACGGCGGCGCGAGTGGAAGAGAATAGCAAGCTAGTCGAACTCACGGATGAAGAGATGGCGCAGATCGATGCCACTTTGGCCAAATTCACACCAGCAGGCGAGCGCTATCCTGAGGGTATTGCTACGAACACTTAGGCCAGGGGAGCGTTAATTGGCATAGAACTTAGTAGTAGGGAACTTATTTATACTAAGCTTCCTTCTTCATTCAGAAGCTAGGCCTATGTCCTGTACTTGCAGGAAATCAATATAGAAACCATCTCCTTATGTATGGTGTATTCTGGTAACGGGTACCCTCCCTGTCTTATTATCTTGACATCCCAATGTAAGGTACTTAGGGGAAGCATAGGCCTCTCAAGTTGCCCCATGGAGTTGAGTGATAGTTAAACACGTACCTAATCATTTCCTTCCCTCTAGTTAGGTACCTGCGTAAGCAATAAAGCTATGTGGCTGAAATAAACATTGCTCGTACCACACAAATTGTAAAGTTTAGACTACTAGTTAGCGCATTACCCAAAACGTCAACTTGAGTCGGAATTCTTCGCAATGATTGGATGGTGGGGTAAGACCCTGCAAACTCTGGGCTTTCTGAAGTTGCACAATCTGAGAGAATCGGACGGTGAGGGTGGGTGCACTTGACGATGTGCCAATATCCTATTCCACATTTCTTCCGTCGTGTCACATATCCTAGGTACTATATGTCAATGAGATCACGTCAGTTTGATCGTAGAATACCTGCATACTACCATAATTGATTGCGCATGTCTACCAGACCCCCAAACAAATGCAAAAAGTCATAGCCGCGTCCAAACCAGAAGAAGCCCGTATAAATCGTCAAGCTGGCGAAGTAATGATCTTATAGAAATAGACAGCAAGGAACTCCTAAGCCCATGAATTATTCCGTGAAGATGCAACCGTTCATCCCTAATCGTCTTCCTTTTCAACGCCAATCTCGATGAGTTATATCCTATCAGTCCTCGCTACCCTATTGTATTATGCCAAAATGCCTCATCGCGTGGACTGTGACTTCTGTCGTTTCACCAGTTGTCTCGGTACCGGCAGCCTCGTGGGGGTTCGGGAAGTAGAACGCGGCGACAGCGATAGCAACATAAACAACAACGCACAGAAATCCTTCCAAGTAGTCGCTCTTCTGATCTCTGAGGACGTTTCCGACGGTAATGATAGCGAGAATCAACATGACGATGTCGAATATCTCAAATTCGAGGGCCATCTGACGCTTAGCGATCCACCCAACGATGGCAACTAATGGAGCATTGAGCATCGCCGTCTGAATGGTAGCGCCGATGCAGTGAGATAATGCAAAATTGATCTGGTTATCCCAAGCTTCGTCGATGGCTGTTAGGTGCTCGGCGGCTTTCTCAACCAGAGGGACCAAGATCAAACCCATGAACGGGTCAGAAATGTTGTGATTCTCCACGATGGCGGGGATTTCCCCCACAAGCGCAATGGCGATGAGCGTCACGAGGGCTACGGCAACCGCTAAGGCTAAGATACACTCGGTAAATGTGTACTTCTCTTTTGCCCTATCCTTGTGGCCATCCGCATCTCGCGCTTCGTCCAATTCGTAAAGCTCGTCGTAGATACCGTGATGCGTGTGCATCTGGAAGAAGATGAAAACAGCATAGGCGATAATCAACAGGACCGCTATAATGCGAGAGATATGCAGTACTCTGGTGCTGATTTCCTCGGTGGTCAAATTGAACCCCGAGTTTGTGACCGAGCGTTCGAAGACTGTAGGAATCGCTAGGCCGAGTCCACTGCAAGTTATTAGCCTTCCTAGAAATTTTAAAGAAAATGGTGAAATGGGTTGGGTAAAAACATACGCGATGAGCAAAAGGTTTGAGCCAACTTCACTGACAGCGGCGTGGAACGTAGACTCCTCTCGTCGTAAACCGGCAGCAAAGAAGCAGAGCCCCAAGCACAACAGCATGTTGGCCAAGATAGATCCAAGAATGGCAGCCTGTATGACATAGTATTCGTCGTGGAAAAGTAGAATCATGAATAGAATGATTTCCACTATGGATGCGATGGTGATCTCAGTCAGTACGCCAAACATGTGCGGCAACTTCCTCGCTAGCTCCTGGCCGGCAAAACCGATGAGATTTGCGCACGGTACCATCGCGACATAGGCCAAGCTGAACTTCAACACAGCATGATCTTCGATGGCCCAGTGGAGAGCAATGGCGGCGGGTACGAAAGGCCAAAGAATATTGACCATCCGCGATACCCAGTTGCTGGAACGCCAAGTGATGGCTAAGAATTTGAGGGGATGTATGCCGCTTCGCCCAGACTCTCCGGCGCTCTTGACTCGGAAAAGACCCTTCTTCTTCTCACTAGGGCCGTTCACGATCTCTTGTCGGGTCTTGGGGAGCGCCGGTTCGCGTTCGCCGTTGCGAGATCTTCGTGGGGCCTTCTCGCGGTCCCTGTGGCCGCTGCTACTACGGCGCGCTGCCATTGTCGAAGCTTAGTCCTCCTCGTCCGTATCAAGGGAGCGATAAAAACAGGAAACCGAGATTTTCGAAATGGAGAAAGAATGAAAGCGAACGAACGGGCGTCCGAAAGGTTATTATTCAACGCATTAACCTCAATCGGCCCCAGTACGACGAAACAGAATGGAAAGGAAGTAGGACGAGATGCATCTTTCAATTGGGGGAGAAATTTGAATAAGTATTGAAGCAGCCAAGAAGCCTACGGGCCAGGGCTATTCTTGATTCATCCACTTGGGAACCTGTGAGTTGGCATCGCCAAGACAAAGCTACGGGAGCGAGTAATCAAACGGCTTATTCCTTTGGTATATGCTGTCATCCAATAGAGTTATTCCGCAAGGGAGCACTACGTATCAGACGGTGAGTATTCTGTATCGTGATTCACAATGACAGCCACACAGCCAGAAGGTCCAAATCTCGTAAATGACTAGATAAGTTGGTAGGTACTAGGTGGCTGAAGACGTTCAATTCCATCTAGAAACTCCTATCAAGATGGAACTAAGGTGCGACTGACCTACTATTTTCGTCCAAGGTAGATGTCTAGGGGACTGCCGATCTGCAGCACTAGGCGGGCTGGGCCTGGCTGAGCTAGTGCTTTAGCGAGCGGTTAGCCAGTATGAACGTCAGCTCGCATGTCGCAGCATCTGAACCATTCTGCTATTCCAGTTTGGAACCCCTGCTCCCCGTGGGGGCAGGCGGCCTCAAGTCTGACTTACATAACGTCCGTAACTAAACCTGAATATCAAATGTAAGTTGACCTCCCTTATAACGTGGAAGTATATCTATATTTCTCCCATATAGTGTTTGAGGCATCATTTCGTGACTCGTACATAATTCGCGAGTCAATCATGAAGAAATGTCACCAGCAACCCAACACAGCTAAGTCAAAAGCCAGCCCTATGACTGATCGACACTAGATGATCATTCGCTCAGACTCATATCTTGCACATCGATGCCCACGTGCACTGTAAACATAGCCATTACAACCCTGAGAGTGTCCTAAGCCTCTGAACCATATAAAAATCTTAGTTGGAACCCCTCTTTCATTCGTTGCAATAGTCGCGATAGCCTCATTTTCACCCGTTTCAAGATATTTATTGTGTACTGTGCGAAATACATCAAGTTAACCAGGCAACATCTTCGCACTACCTAAGATCAGCTATGGGGCGAGGCTCAGCTACTCAGGGTCGCTTTACAGGGTCTCTTTTTGAAGATTCACTATTAATAAACAGTGATGGCAAATTAAATGCTTCAGTTGACCGCTCATGATGATCAATGCATGCATCGTATAACGTTACTATGAATCACCGCATAATAGATACCGCGCGGTTCGAAAAGAAGGGACCAGATCCAATTCACAATATTGTACGAAGTGGTTGAAGTTGGTTACCTCTTTTTGCGCCCAATAGCATGATGAATCCGTCACCATTCAGAGGTTAAGCCACAAAATTAATTCCAACTGGTGTTGAATGCTTTCCAACCTATGAGTCTACTTGGTATCATTTATTTCTAAACAGCATTAACAATTCCACTATTAGACGTTTCCAGTATACGGCAGTTTCATGATTGCTACCTAGCTCACATAACAGTCATACATATATTGAATATTTTAGGATTGTCTTATGAGTTTTATCATAAGTTTGGAAAACTATAACCAAATTGACGAATATCTTTTAAGAATCCAAGCTGTCTTTTTCCGGTTTTGCTATTCGCTAGCCCAGTTGATATAGATTCATGAAAAAAACCATACTCCGACTCTGTTTTGCTAACCAGATATGAAGAAATATTTCCCCGTTTTCTTACATCACAAAACAAATCTACATATCCTTTTTTCCCTTTTGAATAGATCTTTGTAATACTAGAATAAACAACAAGAACCTCCTTAGTACGCAAGAAGATGATTTGCTCTAGCCCACCTTCGACATAAACCTCAGCATGGAATAATTCACGAGTTGAGAGATCTCATCGATTTACTTTTCCTTGAGCAACCTCATGACAACAAACTTGATTCTAGTTGGCGCAATTCCCATAGAAGAAAGTAACTTAATTCCCATATTTTTCCGTGTCTGTTTTCTCAACGCTCTTCGTCCCTGCTGCGAATGTTTCAAAATTGCATCGTAAATATTTCCCTACCAGTCACTGGCTCACCTGCGCTGGCTGACTGTCTCAGGACACCTAGAGTCCAAAAGCTATCTATTACGGCTAGGAATCTTATAGTATAAATGGAACTCTAGTGATCTAATCACTCATTATACCCATCTGTCTATGATTTGTGGTTGAGTAGTAGCAATATAATGGGGACAACTCAAAAGGCCCCGCTACCTAGGTACTCATTCATGGGACGAGGAACGAAAATGATGTCCGTTAAGGATCTATGCCTTGTGAAATTATTGTACAAGAGATATATTGGTATAAATTATTTACACTTGTATGTGATGTGCATGAATTTGAAGATCCGAGGATATTCTGGTAACTCACCTCTCTTATGGTTGAGATTAGTGGCAACCGAATTCCCAGTGGAGACAAAGCTCAAGTCCCGCATACTGGTTGGAGACTGTGGGATGCCGTCTATGGTTTGGTGGTCTAGTGGTATGATTCTCGCTTAGGGAAAACCTATGCAAAGATGCGAGAGGTCCCGGGTTCAATCCCCGGCCAAACCCTTTATTTTTGCAATTTATATTGCTGTTGCTCTCTTGATTCCTTTTGCTCCTATGCATCTGTTGTTGTTGTGAAGCAATCCAATCTAGTAGGTTGTAAATAGGGGTTGTAGGGTTTTTACTTTTTAGAATGTGCGGGCGCTTTCAGCCACAACAGCCACAATGCCTAATTACCGGGGGTTACCCCATAATAATCAAGATTCTCTTTTCCAATCCTTGGTAATTTTCCGTCTTGAAATAGCCAACTGGTAGTACTATTTTCGCACATGCAACGTTAGTACATCATGTTAAATAAATGTCACCGTTACATTACTCTGTCTTGTAATGCCGTCACGGGCCCGAGCTGCTATGCCAACTTACCGGCACCCTGGGTCCTTACATGGCAAGGGTCTTCCCCGCACTACGGAGATGTGTCTGGGGGGCAACAAAAGGGTCAGCGAGGCGTCTTTGTTTCCTCGGCTTGAAGTATATGACAACTAGTCTTCGATCACTACGGCTCAGGTCAGTTTTACTACCAAAGGCAATCAGTCTAGCTAGACATGTGTTATGAATCTGGCTCCCTTGGCGCTGTTGTATTGTCATAAATTCGGTGTTAAAATCTAATGAAGCTTGTTGAGCTAGAAATTAATTTCATAAGATGATTTAAGTGAAGATAGCAATGGGTTATACGATTTCGCAGCGTATCCTCGGCCTCTGGGCCCTTCGCGTCTTAGCCTATCCTAGTCCGACAGGTGAAACAGAGAGAACAGCAGTTCCTCGGGAAAACAATAAATTGGGCTACCACGTCAATGCTGGCGTCCTCCAATACGTCAACCCAAAGATAGGAACATACGGCATATCGGCCGACGATAATGGGGGCATGATCCCGTCGGTGTCGGTGCCATTCGGTATGACACGATGGACGCCACAGACACGCGAGAACTACATATCGCAAGTACCATACTCAGACACGGATGGTTTCATTCATGGATTTCAAGCTACTCACCAACCAGCGATCTGGATGGGTGAGTTGGGGCAAGTGGTATTGACCCCCGGATGGACGCCGGAGGTGAAGCCGTTATTTGAACAACGCGGCCTAGCATTCCGCAAGGAGGACGAGTCTAGCACACCATATGTCTACGAAGTCCTCCTAGATGCGGACACGCAAGGGGAACACGATTGGGACTTAACGGAAGAAGCGGCGGGAGGAGGGCCTGTGCCCGGCGGTGCTGGTTCGGTCCCTGATAATGTCCGCGAAGGGGCGAACGGACGCATTAGAAAACGGAGTGAGCAAGTAGGGAACTACACCCGCCAAATCCAAGTTGCAATGAGCGCATCTGCCCATACGAGTCATCTACGGTTCGATTTCAATGCTACAGACGATTATCAGGCCGATCAACCAGTGAAACCTTACGTTTCTATCCAATTTACTCGTCAGAACTGGACTGGGCAAGTCCAGATCGATCCGGAGAAGAATGAGATTTCTGGCAGCAATCCGGAGCGCCAAGACTACCGACTCGGGCCTGATAAAGCTGCATCTTTCAGGGGCTATTTTGTCTCCCGCTTTTCTGAACCATTTGAATCATACGGAACTTCTCTTGGAGCTAACTTGTCAGAGGGGACCGAAAGCGCGTCGGGTGAGTTACTCGGTGCATACGTGAGGTTTCGCGAAAACGTTACGCGAGTCGAAGTACGGACCGCAGTATCCTTCGTCAGCATCGACCAAGCCCGGAGAAATCTAGATATCGAAAATCCCGACGATAGCACCTTCGAAGACACAGTTGAGAACGCGAAGTCGGCTTGGCTAGAGAAGCTTGGTCGGGTAACGATTGAGGGAGTCAACTCTACCGATAAGGAACATGATCCGCGCACTATCTGGTATACCGGTCTATTCCATGCTCTTCAGTACCCGAGCGACTTCTCTGAACCTGCCAGTAAAGATCCTCAAGGTAGCCGTACTTTCTACAGCGGCTATACTGACAGTGTTCATGAGACAAATGACTCGTACTATCAGTCCTGGTCTATCTGGGATACCTACCGGGCAGAGCACTCCCTCCTAACCATCTTTGCCCCCGAGCGAGTGAATAGCATGATGCGAACCCTGCTCCAAATATTTGACTGGACTGGGAGGTTACCCATGTGGGCCAACATGGTCGAAACGAATATTATGATCGCAACAAATGCCGATGCCGTGTTAGCGAACGCGATATCTCATGGGTTTCGCTCTTTCGACTTGCAGAAAGCATGGACCGCCGTGCGTAAGGACGCGTATGAACCTCCGGAAAATGATACGCAGTTGTTATACTACGACCGTGAACCAGACACGTCCTACGAAGTGCGGGCGGGGTTGACAAGCTATATGGACCACGGATGGGTCGACAACGACCGGTGGTCCGAATCAGCCTCGCGAACACTAGACTACTCCTTCAACGACGCCGCATGCGCCGTCGTCGCCCGCGTCGTCGGCAAGACAAACGAAGCCACAGCCCTCGAGAAACGCGCCAAGAACTACGCCAAAATCTGGGACACACAGACGCAGTTCATGCGCGCCCGGAACGAGAACGGCTCCTGGGCAAACGAAACCTGGGGCTGGACGGAAGGCGACAAATGGGTGTACACATTCGACGTGCTGCACGATGCGGACGGGCTCGCCGGCCTATTCACCGGCGGCCGCGCGGGCATGAAGGCCAAGCTGGACGCGCACTTCGACGGCGGCCACAACATGCACAGCAACGAGCCCTCGCACCACGTGCCGTACCTGTACTCGCTGATCGGGTACCCTCACGCGGCGGCGGCGCGCATCCGCGGCATCGCGTGGGATAATTATAATGCGACGAGCGCGGGGCTCAGCGGCAACGAGGATCTCGGGCAGATGAGCGCGTGGTACGTTTTCTCGGCTCTCGGGTTCTACCCTGCTAATCCGGCGAGCGACGAGTACGTCGTCGGCTCGCCGTTCTTTGAGAGGGTTACCTTGAGATTGCCTGCTGGGGCGGCTACGGGGGGTGAAGGGGGCCGCGCTGGTGGCGGGGAGAGGAGTTTGGTTATTGAGGCCCCTGGCGCGCCGGCGAAACCGTATGTGAAGAGTTTGAGTGTGGATGGTAGGTCGATTGATAGACCTGTGCTTCGACACGGCGATATTGTTGGCGCTAGCTTGATTAAGTTTGAGATGAGTGAGACGCCGACGGGATGGGGTGAGGATGGCGAGTTGTAGGTCGTCGTATTAGGTAACGCAGGTAACGTAGGATAATGAGGATGATGTTATAAAAAACCGCGGTTACGGTGCATGTAACAATTCCTGAGTTTTTGAGCTTCCCTGGTGAGCAAAAAGGAATATCCGAAAGGTTTTTTAATAGTTGGAATAGGGGCAAGGGGTAATATTGGTTGCAGGATCGACCCGCAATTATAAGGTTTAATGTTTGCAAGGGGCTTGTTTATTTATAGAACAGCAGACGACGTGCTGTTCCTGCAGTAAGGCAATAGTAATCCAGGGGTTCATACAATTCACGTGCCTACCTAGGTAAGTACGCTTTCTTTGGATCTTTTAGAGATACCTATTTAACGTCATCCTAGTAGCTCTCCCTTAAACTGGCTGTGTAATCAATGTACCTAAAGCTGGTGCCGCCTTGCCGGTCTAGAGGAGACGACTTTATTTAGGTTGAGCTTCACATTCAGAAATAGATCATGTACAGGATGAAAAGCCTGATGATAGAAATGCTGACTTATATTCGCCTGTATGTTGTCTGAACAACTACATCCGACATCTAGATTCTAACCGCGGTAGCAATGAACCCCAACCCAGCCAACTACAGTAGATAGGAAAGACCCCTTTTTGGTTTTTCTGGTAGCCCATCCTTTATACCAATGCCCATCTACCCAGACAGCCAGAGAAGAGAAGAGAAGAAGAAGGTAAGACTATGTACAGTGTGATAATATCTAGTGAGTTAATAACGAGAGTGAAACTTTTTACATGAATGGATAAGTGTATGAACGAGTGTTTTCAGATATGACCCCTGATTTAAATGTATTCCCAGGTGATGTCGATGCGGCCGGCATCGAGGGAAGCGACTTGCTCAAAGACGGCGGGGGAGGCGTCGATGCTGGTGGCAGCGCAGCCGGGGCATTTGTCCACAACCGTGGCGGTGGTCGTCTTGCCACCGTAGGTGATCTTGACTTGCTTGCCGCAGTGTCCGTCCTGGTCCGGAGACGACATAGCGACGACGGCGTCGCTCTCAGTGTTTGTCTGGCCGCAGGCACCGAGTCCGGGCGTGTACCAGGTCATCTCGCCAGAGAACGCGAGAGAGGGGGCGACGAGGGCGCCGAGAGCGATGACGATCTTGGTGATGGAGTACATTTTGACTGGAAGTTGGGTTTGCTTGTTGGCTTCTTGGGTCAGTTTCTAAAGTGGCGAATATATAGGAGTGAGGGCTTACGCTGATGAGAAGTTTTGAGCGTGATGATGTGTGTCTTTGCGGATTTTGCCTTGGTGTAATAGAAACTGTAGAGGACTGGTGGTGATTGTGATGATGATGTTGAGAAGACGAGAAAGGGGAGAGTATGGAGGGTTTATATACAATTTCAAGCAAGCCTGTCTCCTTCCCTTACTCTTCTATAAGCCACCTTCCCAGATGTACTTCACGACATGCATGGTGACTCTACCTGATGTTTTACATCACTAACAACCGTCCTTGCATCAGATCAGTGGACACTCAACCCACGTGCGACGCTACAGGGTCGTTGGATGAGTGCAACGTTGAAAACCATGTTTTCTTCTATGAAAGAGCCGCAGACCAGGATCGCAAAGTGCCGAACGTGGAAGGTCATCTATCAAGTGTGAGAATATTACATCCAACATGGTGCCGGTTGGCTTGGCCCCATTTGCAACTTACGTGAGGCGATGTGACACTCGAGGACATGGGCGTAAGGATGATAGAAACTCATTCAAGGCTCCTGGTCCATTGCCCTGCAAACACACATTCGGTACGGCATAAAGTGGACCTCCAGGAGTATACGCATGGCGGCGCCCCGAAACGCACGCTTTCTTCCGATGTAGGCAGGTCGGGGTAATGTACCTCAGAAGCCGGAAGTACGGATACCTGCTTTGGCCATTCAAGTTTTACTGGCGAAAGGATTAATAGCAAGACCATTGCAAGTTTCCCTGAAACCCAGACGCAACTATGGATATATTCAAGTTAATCGATCTTAGAGAAATAACTGGCTGGTTAACTTTGGTCGATTTTAGCTATACTGGGCATAGGGACAGCTTACCTATATTGCCAATGTGGGCCAATAAACAGAGTCAGCTTAACTGCCATAAATGCAGGAACGCGTCAGCGGAAATTTACGCCAGTAATCATCAAAATCACACAGACGATATGTACAGGAGAGAACGTTCCATTGTATTTCGCCAAAAAGCCACCAAAGGCTACGGAGGATGCAAAATGTCAAATCCTTCTTGTCTTCGGAGGCACAAGCCACTTATTCAAACACAATCCAGCCTACAGGTAATTTGAATCCTTCGGCCAGTTTAAGAAGTTAGCTATTGACAATTACAAGGGTTCGGAGTTTGCAACATTCGCTGGTAATGAGAATGAATTGACCAAAACGTATTCCTTCTCAATCTATCACCTTAAATGGCAGCTGTTTGCTACCGTCTTACGACCTGGTAGAATATCCTCCTAATCTCGTGGACCAACATTTTAAGAGAACGCGACATGGTACTACAGAAGCTAATCAAGGTATCTACGTGGTATTCGATGCAGCTTCACGCATGTATGGCTAGGTTGGAAGTATTTGACCCATAGCATAATACGTCGAAGCGTTACACAACGATGATGGCTCGTGTACTCCAATATAACATAATGTTGGAACAAGCCGGCGAACTCGTTTCACATATATAGCAACTTGCTTTTTGGGGGGACCTATAAGCCCTGAATGCAGGCTGTTTAATCCAGCCACCAAACATATTTAAGACAGTAAAACATAACTAAAAAGCCTGCATCGGACCCGGAGTTCTGCACTGGGTACGCCACGATGCTGTCCAACCTCATCCCCCTGATTCCTTGGAGCCGGGATCACCGCTCGGCCTGCTAAAAGTGCTGGCAGAAAGTGATATGTCCATAGGTAACTATCTGATGTATCAGATGAAATACTACTTAAGATCTGTAGTAATATAGATGTAGGCACGGTGTCACGTTTACTACTCCGTGCAACCATATTCTAATATGCCATGCCGTTATAAAGATATAGGATTGAAATGCGCATATAACTGCATTTCTGTTTCAGATGATCTTAAGTTTACCAAGCTGTAATTTCTGATATCGATGGCAAGTTGATACAACGTAATTATGGGAGAGTTACTAGTAAATGCAGACGTGTAACTATAGGATGATGGCCTACAAGTAAAACTTGGCTTTGGTTAGGATATCAACAGTACTTGCTTACAAAGTTCTAAGATTAGGCTTATTACAGCTGCTTAGATATATATTGATCAAGTGAGGATGCCTTATTGTTATTGATGAACCTGCGGTTGTTGTTCAAGCCAGGAACATCTTAGGATACAGCAATGATTGACAAGATTTAAAATTTTCGTAACGGAATAGGCAAGGAATTAACTATATCTAACGTTTTCCCCTACATCACATAAGCGCGATATCCATTCTCGGACTCCAGGCTGCTTAGCAATCTCCCATTTCGACCGCTTTGCTTACGTTACTTATTAGATGTAGCACTACTGGAAATAGATCATATTGTCTCTATTCAAACTCGGACCCCAACGGCGGAAGAGACGGTCTCTGCTTCCAGAAAGGAGTATCGCAAAGAAAACTGCACTACTAAAACCGAAACTAAATTTTGGAGGGTTGAATCCTTCAAATCATGATGTACTCGAAACTTCATATGCGCATTAGACTGATGTTTGTAACGTTTCTAAGTAGGGATATTAATAGTCTTGAGGAACCTGTCACAGACATGGTTCTTTCCATGCAAATCTGTTCTGGTTATATACCTATACATCAATTTAGAATACCAGGTCAGAGCCCTAAGTCCATATTGATGAGAAAGGTACTAATGACCTCGTTTTCTTTCCTAGGGCTTGAATGCAGTATGAGTTTGGAGAATTTCATCTATAAATTCAGATGAATCGGTAGTGAGGCTGAAACCATGAACTGTTGGTAACCTATGTTCGACATAATTATCAACCATAATTTGGATCAATCGATTGATGAATACCGGTACTTATTATAACATGGTATTGATGGAATAGTACGACTTATGCATGTATATGGTTATGAAATTGGATTTCGTTTGTCTAAGATATCAACTGATGGCAATTCATGTTCTTGAAAATAACAAGGTGTTTAGTGTCGACATGGGATTTTCGATGACATGACTTATGAAGGCATATGTATTATGCGTCCATTTCTTATACATATCAATGTCCAGTCCACAGTCCAGTTATACAAGTCAGATTCTAAACTGAAAACGAGTTATATCTCAGGCGTCACTTCTCAGCCTCAAAGTACGCCTAACAATATGAAGAAAAACCAATACATTAATGAGTTAAGTAATTAAGCAGTCTTATGATAAGCTCTACCTAATGATATTTTATAAAAGTTTTGAATTGTGAGCAGGCTTGCCGTCATCAAGATAATGTGCTACTCTCTGAGTTGATATTATGAGTTGTAGCTGAGGGTTACCGTTGCACTTAAAAGCTTCCCATGAGCTAAAGCATGCATTTAGGCAAGTCTTAATAGGAATGGATTATCTTGGACAAGTATTAGTCAGATTTAAGAATGCCCATTATCCGCTAAATAGACTGGGCACTAGGCAACAATCCCCCCGTCCGAGAACAATAGTCATTGTTCACTCATGATGCCCTCAGCACAACCTTCGTGTCTTCAATCATTATTTGAACAAGTCCTTATACATTTGTATACATAAAGAAGTATCGCATTGTATTCTTGAGTCATCTCCACCTGTCAAGTCAACAGATCTCACAACACCCCTCAAGACGTGATCATCAAAATGGCTTCAATGGAATCCCTAGGTCTTCAAGAATCCAATCTTGCGTTTCCTACCACTCATAATCGAGTTAGGAATTTCGCTCCTGATGTTATTCGAGAAGATGCGCTGGCAACTCGAATTATCGTCCACCAAGACTACCCAGATCTCGTTGAGAGGTTCCTAACGCTTAAGCGTGGGACCGCCGCGACCAGCAACACGCAGCAGCTGTATGCTCACCCGTGGACTTGGCAACAGCAAGTCAGAAGACTTATCGAGAAGCGGCCTTTAGCTTTTCTTAACGCCATAGACAGCACGTTCTTTCGTAATGGGCGTCGCCTGGCAAATGGAACAGCGTTTTGGGATGCGGTAGGCAAGGAAGGCACGAACTACTCGACATTGCGGGATTATCTGTCTTACGACGAGATCATGTTGGGAAGTTTGATAGGAGTCAGTGGTCCGAGCTACTTCATCAACGACGGTAACCGGTATAACCAGGGTAGACCGGGACGCCCAGGAACGTTTGAGCCCAGAGGTGTCATCATTGGTTTAGTCGGCCCGCGTTTCGAACGGCTTGACCAAATGGACTCTTGTCTGATTCTAAACGGGGTAGGACATAGCCAAATGCACCCGTCTATCGTGAATGCGTTTGCTCAGTACCTCAATACGGAAAAGTCGCAGGATCAGTTTGATAGATCTATGTACATGGCACGTGTAGGAAACACTCTTGAGATTCTACTGCTCGAAGCAAACGAACGTGCCAAAGAGGTCAGTCGAAAGGCGTTCGTACATGTCGTTGGCCTTGGTCTTGGAGTATGGATGTATGATTCTCGTCAGACAGACTACTATGTCAGAGCCCTCGGCGAAACCTTGACGAGACTGAGAGGAAGACTGGGACGGATAGGGACGATCTATTTGGCATGGATTGACGCATCAAGACAGAACCAGGAAATACTCACCAACATAGCCCAGCAACAAGGCATCAAGGTCGCGTTTGGGAGACGTAATCCTGCTGCTAAATTAACCGGCGACGACACTGGCAAGCTACTGGTGGTATCTTACGCATGGGATGGAAACTCCTTCCCAGGTAACGAATACTGGAACGGCTCCCTGTCTGCGAGCGGAGACCCGGCTGCGGCTTGCATGAGTACCATCCCAGAGCTGCACAACCCGATGGTCAATCCCAGGTTTCTAGATCGAGTCCACGTCCTTAAACGCGAATAGTCTCAGGAAGAGCAAACATATCGACCACGATAACTTAGGGCTTATGAATAGTAGCCCTAACCGTATGACCTAATAGGCCTTAATTATAGCACCTTATTACATATACTTGAAAATTATGCGCTTCGTGAAACTTTGTGATACCTGCGAATGCTTAGTAACCCGTGTTTAAGTCTGAATACTCCCTGGTAGTTATGTATGTTGTGGGTTGTGGTTTGAAATGGATAGGAAGGGATGAATTCTGATCAGAGAAGCTTAACTCCTCTTCGCCAAGCATGCGGAAGAAAATGTGTCGATCGAAGCCGAGCGCGAGTGATCGATGATAGCTAGCGTGGTAACCTGATAGCTTGGAAGAGGATCAGCTACTGAGTAAGTTTGCATGTGGCTTGCGTGATAGCGGATGATGCGAGTTCCCAAGTTCCAGGGTTCCAAGATTGATGCTGGTGCTTATCCGATGCATAGTAGTTAGGAAGAAACATCAATATGTATCTGTTACTCGACTATCTTCCCGTCGTGATGTCGTGATCCTGGTTGTGTAAACGTCAGACGGAATTGTGTTACCAGGATGGCAGCTCGTCACGTCGTTGTTAGATGTCTTCGACTGTAAGTGTGACCCTTCAGCTTTTTCAGCTTACTACACAGTGCTACCTGAGTATTCGACGTTGACATAGTGTATACTTCACATCGTCCGATCTCTAACAAGTTACCAACGGTCTGGAACGGGGACAACCCCGCAAAAGTGCGTAGGTGACCAAAGAAGGAATCGATGTTGTCTTTCGGGGAGCCTCGGGGATTGGAAACATTCGATTCAGTTTATCAATCTCGCTGTTTCAGGCTGACAGGCGGGGGCAGAAGGAGAATCCGGGGAAGCCTGGCTGTCTGGTAGGTCCCGAAAGTAAGAGAGAAGTGTTGAAGGATTGTGATATAAATACGGATCGGCGATTTGATCGAATGTTTTTCCTATTATTTGCTGGTTAGCCGACCGGAGGTACTGTACCGTAGTGGATTTTAGTGGGCGTTAGCTTTTACAGTTCAGTCAAGTTCGATTGGCAATTGCACATGCTCGCTGTAGCTAACCGAACCTTGGAAGCAAAGAACGAATCAGAGCCCCTCCATTTGCAAAATGATAACCCCACCACCCGCCTCCAGCGCTTTCCTAGGGTAACCGGTCGCGGGGGAAGGGGGAAGAGCGGATCGATAACACAACTCATGTTACCCGGGATTGGCCGAGCGAAGTTCTTGCCTTGCTCCTTGAAGTACATGTGCCTCTACGTCAGGATTATTTTTTAACTCGCACGCACATTTGAAGTACTACAACACACTACAACCCTTTTGACCTATCTCTTAACCTACACCATGCACACATCTAATACCGCGAATCAAAATTCATCGCCGGTTTGCCTTAAATAAGTTGACTTTTGAGGTCGAGTCACTTTGTATTTCCGCCCGATGACCATCTCATCCATCATCCTAACGCTAGTCATCAAAGTAGTTTGCGTTCATTACCTTTAATCGCCAATCCTCCGGTCCGTCACCGTACTGATCGCCTCGACCGCGACCATTTCACTCTACGCGATTTCACCCTTGGATCCTCAGAAATAAAGGAATTCTGACGCAATCATCCAGGACGGGACCAAGAGCATAGAAATAAATAGGATACCAACTGCCTAGGTCTAGGATTTATTCCAGCACGAATCGCGTATCCTCGGCCCATTAGTGATTGGGCATATCCACCGCCATTCGACCGGGTCATTTCGACAACTTCGAACCATCATTCCCGGCCCTCCTAAGTAACAGGTTGACTGATCCTGGTGTATACCAACACCTCTCTTCATCCTCAACCGAAGTTACCCTTCAACCCGCCTTCCATCTTTCCAAACGTCGCCAAGATGCCTTCATCTCAACGCCCGTTCTTCCTTTCTTCCTTCCTCGCCGCCTTCCGCCAACAAACACCTCCGGCGCTCTCGGCAGCCTCCCAAACGAACAAACATACCACCCAACCCTCGTCTAGTCCCTCCGCATCCGGAGCGCGGTCCATCTCATCTTCTTCCCAGAGCCAATCCCCATCACAACAACCACAGCAGCGGACAGGAGGAGTAATGAACCAGCTACCCCTACAATCTCAACAGCATAGACCCCATCAATCTCCGCAACCACATCGTCCTGGTATGCCCATCCCGGGGTCCGGCCGACGGCGAGGCAGTGACAGCAGTAGTGAGGGCTTCCGGGATGTGTTGGGCGCGGATAAGTGGTATATCGGAGGCCGGACAGCCGGCGGCGACGAACGATTCTTCAAACTGGGCGTCGTGAAGCGAGTACGGAGCCAAGATCGCTTGAGCTTAGATCGGTTAAGTTTGTGATCGGTCTCATGAACTTGGCCATACAAGGTCCGGATAGAAGATCATGTCAGACTGAGACTGATAGAGAAACCTAAAAAAAGACGACTCAAAACGTTGCCGCCCTTGGACGTGGTGGGAAAACGGCGCATAAAATACAGGGGATACTTTACCGTCATACCAAGGCCCTCCAAGAAAGGATGGAATGGGATGGGACCTTGGACATATACTATCGGGATTGGATGGATCGCTATACATGGCGCGGCGTTATGGTTTGCTCTTTGGTGAAAGGCGTTCGCGGGTCTTGGGTATCCGGATTCGAAGAAGACTTAAAAGAAATCCATTCGATACCGTCGGCTCGCAAATTGAGCTGGCGAGCCTCAACATCTCATCTCAACACACGACAACCCACACAATATCGACATTAACATAAAACATCATTGCATGACACGCGCGACACGACGAAAATGAGGAAGACATTAACTTTACATTCGCTGCATATTATTTTGGCGAGCCCTTGTACACCCGTAGAGCAGATTATCCTATGGATCCTACATATTTGCATACAAAACCCTATTTAATCTTCCTCGTCAGCTCGAGGTAGAAGTAGCAAGGTCACTATTTAGAGGATGAATATCAATACTAAAAGTTGAAGACCAAAATTGATTATACATGTTTCCACCGTCGTGATTGTGACTTGCTTTGAATATCACATAACTAATGAAAAAAAGTGAGAAAATTCATAACTTTATTGTACCTAGGGATTTAGCTATCTATCTATCTGCGTGCTAATTTCGCGGGGCATAGTCCTCAGATAGGGACGAACAAATCAGAATGCAGAGCTGAGATGGAAATCACCACATAAATCGTTGCACCCTTCCGCCGTCTAGCAGCTCGCCGTCCGGCGCCTTCCAGTAGAACGGGCGCGTGACAAATACGAACATGGTCGCCGCGTTGATGAGCAGGAACCAGATTGTCTCGAGGGCGGGCATCAAGCGCCACTCTGCCTCGGGAGCAAACGGCACGCCGAGATGGGCCGGGACGAGGAGCCGCCAAAATACCCACGGTAGGATGAAGTACCGCGGCTCGACTAGCGGGGCGGTGACGAGCGAAAGGGCGGTGGCTAGGAGAAGGATGAGGACGGAGGAGGTTGGCGGTGGTAGGGATGCGAATACGTCTGGTAGATCGGGTGGTTGCGAGAGCTGCGGTCGCGGTATGAGAGCAGGCGTAGGACCGTCGAACGGGGTTTGCATCCATTCGGGATGTCCGTGGTACTTGGAGGCGGGCTCCCCCTGAAGAGCGCCCCAGCACAGGGAGCCGCAGATGACGTACACGGGGACGAGGGCGTATCTGACCCACCACGCTCTGAGGATGGTGTATCGGAAGACGTAGAACATGTAGTGCCTATTGTCTGCCAGGGTGAAAGGGTGGATGATGGTGTTGAACTTCACGATCAGAGCTGCAGCTGCCAGAGCGCCGACGAGAAGTATGACGGTGAGGATGACGTGACTTGATCCAACTCGATTAAATATCTTTAGTTGGTTCGACTGCGTAGATTCAAGCGCTTCTTTTGGGGAAGGTCCCCCATTTGGCCGGCAATCGATCGTTTCTAGGGGCTTCGGGGGGAAGAGAGTGTGCCAGATATGGTTTAGGAGCTGTGGAATAAAAAGAGGTGCCGAGAAGAAGGCGAAGAGCGGCCAGATATAGAGCATCTGGGCTAGATGCAGGGTCGCCACATGGTTGGATTTATCCCCTTCGCTAAGTCAATCACTGTACGAGGGGAGAAGATATCGTCAGATGAGCTTACCAAGAACAACGCCGCCGTTCCAGGTGACGAAACACACGAAAGATCCAAGGACTACCAAATGTGGCCATATGCGCTGAAAAATGACCTTTGGAAGATTAGAGAGTACGGCAACGCCGATACTCGCGACGCAAAGAACCAAGTCTACCTAATTAGCGTATGCGATGTCGACCCGTTGGGGACTATACGTACCAATAGGGGATTTTGCGTATCCAACGTGAGGATCGTGTATATCACCGAGCGAATATCTCCAAGCATAGAAGCCGATCTGCTGTGATAACGTGGTGAAAGTCGGGGTATTAACAGGTTTTGGTCGTAATTCTTTGACTCCATGGACGACTTCTAAACCGCCCATGTAAACCACAACCCAGAAGATGTTGGTTTGTCTCATGCACAGAGCTAGAAGTCCGAGAAAGAGTGTGTAGGCATCATTGATCAAAGAGGTTCTATATTGACTCACACGGCTTAGATGGTTCGTATAAGCAAGCAATACGACAAATGTCGAAACGACATCCGTATAGTATAAGCCGGAGAAGAAGAATAGAACGGGAAACAGAGCGACGTTAATTCCCGTCCAAATAGCGTAGGCCGAGTATTTGAGTGGCACTTGAGGGTCTTCTTTTGATCTTAGTTGTTCAAGGCGAACTCTGGAAATCACCGCGGCTATGGCAAGATAGGAGATGACTTCAACATTAAACAGTCGGAGATAGTAAGCAGAGCACGGGAATCCGGATAGTTTGTTTGCTAAGAGCGTTAAGACGTAACTGTTCTAGTGTAAGTGAGGTGAATTTGGTAGAGGTTACGTCGAATTAACTGACAGACCAGGTGGCGTCGTAATCTTGTCATCCCACACATCATATTTCCCATCGCAGTAAACCTGGGCTTGGGGAATATGAAAGACTTCGTCCTAATTCTAGTTAGTCTTTGACATTTATATAAATTTTAGTGAGAGTATTTTACATACGAGATAAGGCTCCGGGGCATATTTTGTGACGAGTGATAGCCATTGACGAGCCAGTATTGTGAGGGTTGTAAGAGAGATAAATATGGCTGATCCGGCGTGTAGAGGTCCTATCTTACGTATGGTATATATGTGAAGAACCGCAGAGATGAGACTGTAGCGTACAAGCTGGGGGACCAACGACTGGTCTAGCCCCAGCCAAGGAGCCATTTTCATGTAACTGAATTTTGCATATGAGGTCGTTTAAGAATATCTAAGTATGTATAGATACCAAGAGGTGATTCCAAACCATCTTTGGCAAACGTGTACTAGGTAGGTATTGTCGTACCTATTGTTTAACATTGAAACTCACCTAATAGCCGTTTAGTGTTGGCAGCTAGATGCATAATGACACGCAATTGCCTTATTGGAACACCTGTATACTCAAACGGTAAACAGGGGTATTTAGCGGGTCTGCTGTACAGCCCACCAATCGGAAGGTCCCAAATCAAGGGAAGTTCCTACTGCTTAGCTTCAACGATCAACCGATCCCGTTAACTTTATCTCTCAAAGGTTTCTACGTACCTACATAGATTAATTCCTTCACACTTTGTAATTTTATTACAACCACGCGCCATTGAGGGCTACTATGCCCATCTCAACCCCATCACAATGGCATCTTCCCATAGACTAGCCTGGCGTTTCCTCTCCTCGCCAGCTCACCCACTTTCTACCCCCAAACGAATTCCCTCCCACCTTCGTCCTCGAATCGCCACACGCCATGCCTCTACCTCGTCGACAGACTCTCAGCCGATCTCCCGGTTAAGGCCGTGGCTTTACGCAACTACTGTCGCAGCAACCGGCTACGTAGTATACGTGTATACCACCGACACGCGCGCCTTCGTCCACCGCTACGTCGTGCCCCCGCTACTCCGCTTCGTCTACCCAGATGCCGAGGAAGCGCACAACGCAGCCGTCTACTCCATGAAGAACCTGTACAGCCTGGGCCTGCACCCACGAGAGCGTTCTCCCGCCGCCGGCACGCCCGAGCTCTCCGTCTCCGTCTTCGGCTCGCAGCTAGCGAACCCCGTCGGCATATCAGCGGGGCTGGACAAGCACGCCGAGATACCAGATGCGTTATTCGCGCTGGGCGCTGCCGTGGTCGAGGTCGGCGGCTGCACGCCGCGGCCCCAGGAGGGAAACCCCAAGCCGCGCATGTTCCGCATCCCCACTCTCGACGGGCTGATTAACCGGTACGGGTTGAACTCGCGCGGCGCCGATAATATGGCCATGCAACTGCGGGACCGGGTTCGGCGATTCGCGAAGAAGGTCGGGCTCGACGAGGCGAGCGTCCTGGACGGCGAGGCTAATGTGCCGCCGGGAAGCTTGCTGCCGGGTCGCATGTTGCTGGTGCAGATCGCCAAGAACAAGGAGACGGACGAGCGGGACGTGGACGCCGTGAAGAGGGATTACGTGTATTGCGTGCAGCGGTTGGCGCCGTACGCGGACGTGCTCGTGGTTAACGTGAGCAGCCCTAACACGCCGGGCTTGCGAGACCTGCAGGCCGTGGAGCCTTTGACGAGGATACTGGGCGCCGTGGTCGACGAGGCGAAGAAGACGAATCGGAAGGAGAAACCCAAGGTGATGGTCAAGGTCTCGCCTGACGAGGATGAAGATACCCAGATGGAAGGCATCGTGCAGGCGGTGTGGTCGAGTGGCGTTGATGGAGTTATTGTAGGAAATACTACTAAACGCCGGACGGGACTGATCCCGCCGAGAGTGAATATCACGGCAAAGGAACATGCCACATTGACGGAGACTGGTGGGTACTCCGGTCCGATGATGTTGGACCGGACTGTAGATTTGGTCAAGCGTTACCGAAGAATGCTAGATGGCCGGTCGTTTCAATCTACTGTGGCCAAGGTGACGGCAGACGAGGCTGCCGATGCAAGTATAGCGGCTATCGAGGGGACTATCACCGGATTCTCTGAGAACGAGCCGAAGACTAGCTCCAACCAGCACCCGGAGCAGAAGGTCATATTTGCTACCGGTGGAATTACCAATGGACGTGGGGCATTGGAGGTACTGAATGCCGGCGCAAGTATTGCCATGATCTACACGGGCCTCGTTTACGGGGGCGCTGGAACTGTAACACGTATGAAGCGGGAAATGAAGGAGGAAGTGGCGGCGTAAAAGTGAACATAAGTAGATGAAAAGGGGCTAGTAAGCGTATGAGGATTATTGTACTACTATCACCGTACATGCATCATAGACGATTAGATGGGATGGTCTAAATCAAGATGGGCCTACATTGGAACCTAATTATGCCGATTTTATTGTTTCTTTTTTAAAAGGTCATTGAAGGGTTTAAAGAGATCTATTCGGTGTCATGTTTGTACAGAAGCTCGCCATAGACGCTCTATCCCAGCCGGCATCGCGCTCCCCTTTTTTACGTCTAGTTAAATCAACAGTCCGGATCCGTTTAGAAGGGCTGTAATAGTGAGTTAGCGGATGCTTGAAAGGCAATTGGTGTAAACTCACGTTGTCTGAGGCGGGGATCTCCCTGATGAAGTAACTGCCAATGAAGGGGATCTTTTGTAGGATATCGCGCTGTACTCTGGGGATGCCGGATGCGTAGTAGATGACGGCGAAGAAGGCTACACCTCCGAAAGCGCCGGCCTTAAAGCCACTGTATATTGCTGTGTTAGTCGACCATCATCGCTAGTGTTGAAACAAGATTCGTATGGCGTAGACCGAACTTAAGTCTTGCGCATGTTCAAGATGAGGAGAGTGGTCAAGATGCTTACAGGCCGCCGAGTTGCTTGAACGTCCATCCCGCGACGTTTGGTTGGTAGTGGTACCTATTCGTTCGCCCGAGGTTAGCCATTTGTCCGAAATTGTCGATGTTCGAATCTGTGCGGCTCTTCTAATTTCCACATCCTGCACCATAAACTCTCCAGCTTCGATTTGAAGGTAAGGCATGGGTTGCTTTGGCACCGGGGCGCACTCACTTAGGCCCATATGGGCTCTTGTAAGACTGTCGTCGAATGGGAGTCTGCGGTTATTTGGGTTAGCAGAGCTTCTCGCACAATTCTAATTCAAGCTTGTGTGGATCGAGGAAGTGCAGTAATTCCATGTCATATGAACGTTAGAGAATAGCGGTTTCCGTACCTGGAACACCATGTTGGCTTGTAGTGGGAGAGAGTCGGTTCAATGGAAGGTGAACGTCAAGCGTTTAGTAGGGCTTTTGGTGACAGCTTCAATTCCGGATTTCAATGGGTTCGATCTCATTGGAGCTTGCGCGACATTCTTCGATGTTCGGAGGGACCCGGTAACTTTCTCAGCCACAAACGCCACATATCTTGAAGACTCCCGTAAAAACATAAATATGCAGTAAAGCATACTTCACATGCACCATGCACTAATTGAAGTTGGAACATCGAACTCTTTGCTGTATGTACCTGCGCAGCTTGCTTTATTGAAGCTTACCACGAACAACATCGAGAGCTCGCCTCCACCTCCTCTACACACTCAACGACCGCAGAAAAGCACATATTCTTCGGCAAGATGGACAAGCAGCTTGATGCCTGCTTCGACCGCGTCGAAAAAGCGTTGACTACGCTCGTCGACTCTATCTCTAAATACCATCCGTCCGTGAACCAGGTCCACGAATTAGGCCTCGCCGACGTCGAGCTTAACAAGGGCCTGGAAGACCGTACGTGCAGTTCCCTCTCTACGACTACAAATCACCCTACCTAGGCAGATAATATTAAAAAGTTGCTAATCACAATGGGACCTCAGTGCAAACCCACCAGTCCAACTACCGGCGGATCCAAGACCTGCGCGCGGCGACCGCCAGCTTCGACTCCCAGATCAAGGAGACGCTGCGCCTGCTAGCGAACACGCGGAAGGAGCTCGTCGGCGCGCCCGCCACCGTCTTCCCGTCCGACGTGCCCAGCTACGACATCAACTACGACGAGCTCCTCGCCTACGCGCGGCGTATCAGCAAGACCACGATGCCGCCCGCCGGCAGCGCGTCCGCAGACGCCACGCAAGCGAATTCCGGGGCCGAAACCGGCGTCGCGACACCCGCCGACGGCATAACTCCCAACGGCGCCGCTCCCGCAGCACCACCGCAACAAGCCAACGGCGTTACCGCGGACCCATCGTCCTCACAGCAACCGAACAACAACCCCAACGCCAGCATGACGACCATAACCGGGGCCGAAGCCAACCCCACAGCCCTACCAGAAGACATGCAATGGGAGCTCAACCCGTACCGGGGCTTCACATTCTTCCCCTGGCCCTCCGAAGAGCAAGTCCGCCAGGGCGCGCTCGTCTCCCTCGCCTTCCTCGCCGAGCAGGGCATCGACGCGGAGGACTACGACCCGGAGGCCGAGAAGCAGCGCAAGCAGCGCGAGGAAGAAGAGGCGAAGGCGGCGCAGGAGCGCGAGCGCTTGGAGAGGGAGGAGCGCGAGCGCAGGGCGCGCGAGGAGCAGGCGCGCTTGAGGGCCGAGCGCGAGAGGGAGCAACGGGAGGCTTGGCGGCGCGCGAGTATTTCCGGTGGCGCGGCGGGAGCGGGAGCTGCTGGGACGGCGAGTTCGCCGGTCGGCGGTGAGAAGAAGCAGTTTCAGTTTATGGCGGATGATGATGAGGATGATGATGAGTAGTGAGCTGGAGCTTGGGTGTTGACTACCTACGCAGCGGCTGTTGCTTGGTGGCTACGTGCTGAAGAAGGGGACCTGCGACGGTTGGTCTTGAAGGTGGGAGTAGGGGGTGGCCGGCATGTATATGGATCTGTCGGCATATGAATGGAACTGATTGCCTATCTATGATAGGTCGCCGCCGGCCAAGACATACGAAGCAAAAACAATTCCCAGAAATTCGGTTGATTTACAAGATTTTACCAAGCTCGGCAAAGATACATCTTCTTGTGAAAAGCCACTTCATGAGAGGCTTTCCAAATGAAAATGCTATAACATCCGGCGTCAGGTTGGGAAAGCCCATTGGATACGTGAATCGGAGATCCGGAACCGATTTTGATTTACGGAAAGTAGCCGGCCCCACTTTCCTACTCCGAAGTCTCTGGCCACTGCCGGAGTTTACAATTCGGCAGGTCTATCCCTACCAAGCAACCTAGTTCGACCTCCCAACAGCCGATCTTCTGAGACAACCGGATAAAGCCCTAGCAACTACCTGCAGCTTGTATACAGGTTTATAAGTAATGGTAATCAATAGAATTCCAGCCTACGGACAATCGAAAGTTAGCTCGACTGTACATTACGTTCCAACCAAAATGCTCCAACCAAAGTTTTTGCCATTTCGTTGTAGAAAACGCGAGTTCGAATCGAGCTCGAAGCAAGTTTTCCTTTTCTTTTTCCCTTCACTTGTTAGTAGCGCTCTAATTGCCTACTAGGTGTGTGGTTCAACCTGATTAATCACCGAAAGACGTAAAGGACTGAGTAACACCACGATCGACCGCGCATTTACAGCATCCCAATAGCGATTCCGGCAATTATGAAGTTTATTGATATTTTCCGAGTACTTAGGATGATCAAGCCGATGTCCACCCCAGCTCCACCAGGGCCGGCATAGACTTTTCCTCCCGTTCTATTCATGACATGTGAGAGCCCTCCTAAACCTGGAAGAACGCCTCCTAGAAACGCCGGGATCTTTTGGTACCCGTAGACCACTTATGCAACTCATCAAAATCTCATCTCGCCCCATGTGAGTATGTCGCAAAGACGGCGTGCGAAAAAAGAGACGCCGATTGTACATGTATATAGTACAGTGTTCGAATACGTCCCCGGATCCCCTACTTCGAACGGTGAAGCATCCTCACATACCTCCTCTCGTTACCCATTAAGCGACCTAGTCGATCTTGATGGATGCGTAAATTTTCTGTGTAAACCACCAACTCGAAAAGAATCCGATAGACCCTTGATGATGTCAGCACACTAAACAGTGATATCGGAAATTTGAATACATACCTGTCAAGATGAAAAATAAGAAGGAAAGTAGAGCGCTATATCCGATGTACAGAACTGTACCGGATAAACCGCCCAGAGATAACTTGCTGATCAAGTATATCAAGGCATTTGCGAAGATATAGCCGGCGCTCATACCGGCTGCTAGGAAGGATCGCCATTGCCAATGGTAGTTCTCGGCGCATAGTAAGAAATACACCATAAGTACAGTTACCGCAGCGCAGGTAATAATCATAAGGCCGTAGCATAGGAAGAGGAAGCCGAACATGTAGTAGATCTTGCTAAACCAGATCGAACTCATGATAAAATAGAGCTCGACAAAGATCGCGCCGAAAGGCAGAATGCCTACAAGCAACATGCTAGGGAGAGGCTTTAGGTAAGTCGTAGATGGAGGAATCTGTCGTGGAATCTGGTTGGTTCGAACGGGGGGTTCGACAGCCGGTGCGCGGAATCCGAGCCACGAACCGCTAACTGAAAGGGGGATCGAGATAATGAACCAAATACCGATGATAACTAGCATGGTAGTGAAGGGAACAGCGCCAGCAGCCCCGTTAGCCCAGAGGAACAAGTTTAGGAAGAAGAATGTCGAAAAGACAATCCCGGGAACGAGAAGAGGAGTCAACCCAATGTTCAACTTCCACTTCTCGCCGTTCATCGACTTGTAGACTCTTGCGGAGACATAGCCACCAACGAAACTGAGTAGGGTATATAGGATAATCATGATTGTTCCGAGAGAACCGCGGTTCGAGGGCGACAAGAATCCCAGCAGGGCGAAGCAGATGGTGAAGCCGGTCATAACAAATAGCTGAGCACCGTTGCCGAGGAAGACTGATAGGAGAAGAGGATGCGAGGGAGTTCGGAAAACATCGCCGTGAACTAGTTTCCAGCCAGAATCTTCTTGTACGCCATCTTCTAAAGCCGAGGTACCGGAGAGATCCTCAAGATTGATCTGATCTAGTCGGTTGTACCTTGCGATATCCTTCTTCAGAGCCCTGAATAGAACGGAGGTTACAGTGACGGTTAGGAAAATAACCACGACTGCCGAGTTGACCAGAGAGAACCAATGAATCTTCGGGTCAAATACATGCAAATATTTATCCCATCGCGTGGCCCAGGCAGTTGGTGACTCAGTCCAGTAAACGCTGTAGGTGAAGGTAACTTCGGTCTCGGCACCGGCGTCCTCCACCAGGACCACGGGCGGTGTCTGATTGTCGTTGCATTCCAGGTCATCACCCTTGTACGCCTTCGATGCGGGTTGGACAATGACACCAACAACTCTCAGCTGGTCCTCCTTCCCATTCACTTTATGGTATTCGATAACAATATCATAATGATTGTTGAAGAACGTCGGGCCGTCCGGATCGGTCGTCGAGATAGTGCCCATAGCAAACCCCGGACTATAGAACGTCGTTCCGGTAAGATCATCAAGGAGATGTTGACCTGCTGGTAAACCATCCACCAACCAGTTTAAAGCGTACCCCTGCATGATTCGTTTGTTGACGAAATGTGCTGAAGGCATGTCATATTTCGCGGAACATAACTTCTTGCATGTCTCGTTCTTCATCATATTCAGCTCGAATGGCGAAGTCATGATTCGGTCACCGAACAGGATACTTCCTAGGCTTTCGGATACGTAGGAGGGACCTCCTTCGGGCTGGCAGAACTGAAACCTCTCATTATAGTAATCGTACGACATGACGGAGTGAAGGAGCGCATCTTGGGCGGCCACAGGTTTGATGCTGTTTACATAGAGAGGAACCTTGTCGCCCTGTTTGTATGATGTTGGCGCGACACCAGGGAGGTAAAAGGAGGTCGCGAGTTGAGGGAGGGCCAACAGCGCAGAGCAGAACGCCCAAGACGGCGCAAACGTTCTCGACTTCATTGTGGACTGTTTAGGACATCGAGCCTTAATCAGGAGTTAACAGGCGTTCTCACAATTAGTGATCCGTCGAAGGAAATTGGTGGAGAGATTGGGAGTGATGTAACAAGTGAATGAACAGCGTAGGCAACGAATTTGTTGTCGTGAACTTACGTCTTACCGAAGGCCGTAAGAAAAGAAGGATTCAGGACCAATCACGGAGCACAAAGGCTCGTTGGCTAGATCGTATGAGGAGACTCAACCTTGGAAGTTAGAAGTGTCGAGGTTCAATGAAGATCTATTAAGACAAATGCAAATACAGTATCATGTCAAATGACGATTAGCGCGAAAGCGGCTCGGTAGAGAAAGTTTCGACGATGGTTTCAAGTTCCAAATGGCAAGGTAGCTCCAAAATATTTAATTATGCTGTACGATTCATAAAATTTAGAGCTCATTACATATGAGATTATGATGTGGATACTTCCGAGCCAGCTGTCCCCAAGAAATTGCCTTAGTCATTCAAAGTGGGGGCTAAAGTTTGGGTCCTTGAAGGTGCAGATAGTACGTATCCGGCAGGGAGTATCAACACTACCTAGGTATCCAATCAAATTGCCTGTATAAGCAAGGATGTCTTATCTTATCGCACGACCCAAAACTTTTTTCTAACCTGTTCCTGAGCCACGCCGCTTTAAACCTGAGTTTTACCTGAGCATAGCTGGAATTGTACTTTAGCATAAAATTTTGAACCGTGACACGGACGTGATGTTTTTAGCATTTTTATGTATAGGCATATATTATACCGTTAAGTAGTAATTAGTTTTACAGTTTCTATTACGGAGATTATCCGTTTAAAGCTTGTAGCTACGCTAATTGCTATTTTTGTATGTTAGTGGAATTTTGATTGGTCGTTTGGTCTAGTCCGTCGCCGTGGCCGATTCCGTACATCTCGGTTCGAGAGTAGCTTATGTAATGCACCGTAGCCGAGTCCGCAGAGTTCTCAGTTTCGTCAACGTCCCGTTCTTGCCATTCGACGAATATATCCATTGCGCTTTAGCAGTCGACCCGTTCCATTTTCTATGTCTCTAACCCGTCTTTTCCACTCTAGCCTTAAAATGGCATCCAACATAATAGGAAAGTCCGGTCGCGTGTACGTTCCGGGCGAGGTGCTCCAGCGCCATCATAAGGACCACAAGCTTAGCATCTTCAAAGCGCAGTAAGTCTCGAATTCGATGTATACGCGCCTCACAGCTAGCCATGAATTTCTCTCATTTGGGTCAGGTCCGGACATGAGGTTTTCGTCTTCAAGCGCGTACCCAGGCCGTTCTACGATTTGTCTCTACGTCTCGCAGCCGAGTTTGCAGGCTCCCGTCGGCTTCGAATGCACATCGATTGCAATCAGGAAGAATGCATTCTAATTTATCCCTATTTCAAAGGCACCCTCCTGTCCTTGATTCAGGACAAGCCGGACCTTCATGTGCTAGAACGAAAGAAAATCATGCGACATACAGGAGAAGCAATACAAGAACTTCATTCCAAAGACTGGATCCATATTGGTAAATTCTCCGTAACCGAAGTATTACCATGCAATGCGTCTGATTAATTAATCTAACGTGACAGATGTGAAGCCTGACAACATTTTGGTTAATTGGACCTGCGACGAACAGGGCAATACAACAGTCACTAATGTAGCCCTGGGTGATTTTGATATTGCTTATAAGTCGGAAAACGGAGAACCTCGTCAGACACCTTATGCAATAGGCAATGCGATGTGGCGAAGCCCAGAAGGACAGACTGGAATGGGTGTTACCAAGGCATCCGATATATTTTCGTTTGGACTCGTAGTAAGTATGTCACGTCGATTAGAAGGAGTTAGGCTGAGATCTGTGTTTAGTGCATATATGCCCTCGGGGGCGGAGAACTCCTGCTTTTAAATGATTACCAGGAGCTAGTAAAAAGGGGTATACCCCCAGAACAAGAGATTTTGACTCGACACTTTTCGTATTTTGGGCTAGTCCCCGAAGGGCTCCTTAAGCAAGTCAATAGTGATGTTTGGCGTGATGCTTTGATGGAAGCGTCAGCAGCGGCTGAGAACGCAGTCAAGGACCAGCCTGAGATGAAGTTTGAACATTGGGGGGAGGAAATTGGTCCCGAGGCACAGAGCATGATATCTACAATGATAAACCCAGATCCATCGGCCAGAGCAACGATAGATGAAGTCTTAGCGCATCCATGGTGGCAGGATGATTCTTAATTCGCTGTTCATGGTTGCTGCAAGGGCGGAAGCAATGAGAAATCGTAACCCCATAACTCCAAGTCGGTATCAATATTACCGTTACCATCTTCCATCAACTCGCCAATGTATCCGATGTCACAATTAGGTTCACGAACCAGCGGCCATTCATTGTTGATTGTTGACGAGCTGTAGTCCCCTCCAAATGACGGAGCAAAATTCCAGGTAGTGTCAGAAGTCGAGAGAATGTCGTGGATACCTGTAAATGCTGGCGCAGTCAAAGCCATAGTCGAATCATTGCCAGAAAGAAGATTTACAGTAGGCATAGTATGCTCCGCTTGCCCCATGCTGCTGTTTGGAATCTGGGGAGTGGTAGGTGTCAGGTTAGAAACTATCAAATGTCAGTCAAGCTCAAAAATTCTGACAATTCCTACACTCAAACGGTCCCATATCATATCCTCCGTTTAAAGCTTCCGTTTTTTAAGTCCGTTTCTTTTTTATATAACTACTTGATAAGTACATACTACCTACCTACATAAGTACTTAAAAGTTATGCATAGATACAGCTGCTTTTGGTATGTGGCTGAGGACCGACTGAGCCGAGCCTAAGCAAAAGCGGCAAATGCGCTAAGCCTAATTTGTCGGGGGACAAGGTCAATATATTCCTATAACCATCACTAAAAAAAAAAAAAAATCGAATTGGAGATTTTTGCGATTCGTATAAAGGCATCACCAACAAAGATTTGCCTTGCCCATCGCAACAATGGCAGCGCCTGCGTCACTGCCAGTCTTATTAGACTCACTAACGAATTCATTGACATCCGCCTTCGAAGCGACTCCCAAAATTTCCGGCATTGAGCCAACCAAAGACGGGGTGTCCCTCCTCGACGTCAAAAACGAGCTTCTCCTCTCCTACCTACAAAACCTCGTCTTCCTAATCCTCATCAAGATCCGAAATGCCAAGGATGCCGGCTCGGGAAGTTCAGAAGAGGAAGATAAGACAGACCTATCGGACGTGGTAGTGAAAAAACTCGTCGAGCTGCGGCTTTACTTGGACAAGGGAGTCAGGCCCCTCGAGGAGAAACTGCAATTCCAGCTCGACAAGATCCTGCGCGCGGTCGAGGACGCGGATCGCATCGCCTCGCAGGCCGCCAACGAGGCTGAGTCGGAGTCTGAATCAGACTCTGACTCAGGATCAGAGGACAGCGACGCTTCAGGGAGCGACGGCCCGCCCAAACCCGCTTTCGACATCTCAGCCAAGCGCTTCGCCCCAAGCTTCAGCAACTTCGCAGCGCCCGCCAAACCCGCCGGCATGGCCGCGGCCGCAGCCGCGACGACGCAAGACAAGACGGGCGCGTACCGGCCTCCCAAGATCACGCCTACGGTCATGCCGACGGCCGAGCGGCGGGAGCGCGGCGAGCGGCGGCCGATGAAGTCCGCCACCATGGACGAGTACATCTCGAACGAGCTGTCGACGATGCCCGTCGCCGAGCCCAGCGTCGGAACGACGATCGTGTCCGGCGGCCGGAAGATGAAGACCGCGTCGGAGCGGCGCGAGGAGGAGCACAGGCAGCAGTACGAAGAGTCGAACTTCGTGCGGTTGCCGAAGGAGAGCAAGAAGGAGCGCGCCAAGCGCAACCAGACCGAGGGCCGCAGTTCAAGGATGCAATTTGGTGGTGAGGAGTGGCGGGATCTGGGTGAGGGTGTGGACCGCATCAATCGTTTGACTAAGCAAAAGGAGGGCGGCAGAGGTACCAAGGCTCTACTAGAGAAGAGTAGGAAGAGGACTAGAGAGACGGTTGACAGCGCTCGTGGCAGCGGTCACAGCGTCAGCACTAAGGAAATAGGAGAACGATTTAACAAGCGTGTCAAGGTTATGGAAGGCGGGCGAAGAGATCGAGGCAAGCGTTGAAATCACGACACGGATCAATTCAATACCTTGGTAGGCGTGTATCGAGACCTCAAAGTCATTTATGGGCATACTGGATAGCTCCGTGGTTGAGCTATGGGTTATAAATACACTATGTGGGAATATCACCACTGCCTGCGGCTATTCAATAGATATTAGCCCTCTCTCTTTGCAAAACCATAAAGATGTTGTATCCTTCATCTCCATCTATTTTTGTATCCCACCAGCCCACGATTTTTAACCGAACACTATGAATTGTATTACACTGTGAATCAAGTTTCCACCTAACTCACAATCCGAATAGGAGATCGTCCCGGGTCGTCGCAATTGTCGGGCCGCGCGCGAGTTTTTAACGATTGGCGAAGACTATCAGACTCGTCCCACGAGGTTTTTCGCTCTCCCATGATCTTGTGGAGTTTCTCGCGAACTTGTCTTTCCAGGTCTGCGAGAAGAAAATCCTCATTGAAGCTCAGATCGGGGGTTGAATCTGAGGGACTACCGGCACCCAATTTCGCGACCTCGGGGGGTTTGTGGCACCATTCAGCGAAATCCATCCAGAACGCCTCCTCGTCCATCTCGCGAACCTCAGGAACGTCCTCCGAAATCGCCGATGACAAATGAGACCTTCCTCGATGCGGGAAAAACTTTTGAATCAAGCTTTCCTAGAAACTTCTTCCAACGTCTCTGCTTTCCTCGTCCGCTTCTGTGAATCCCATGCCATTACGAAGATGATCTTCGGCACCTACTACCCGCTTAGGTAGTGCAAATCCTAGACCGAAGAACACGAAGGTAGCCCACTTCCATCGGAATGGGTTGATGGTGACGCAAAAGAAGAACCACCAAAGTAGCTCAAGATAGGTGAAGAAATCGAAGGCGCCAGTTGGGGACGTAGCCTTGAGGATTTTAGTCATGTCAATCCATCGTTCCATCCAAAACGTAGACGGTCGGGTCAGAGGGTCAACGAGGAACATGAGAAGGATCCGCGTATAGATGCCGATATGCCAATTACCGACAGTGCCGATAGCTGATAAGTAGGTGCAATTGATAGCTGAAATAGAAGGGTGTTCAGGAGGGAAAGTCTGGAGGTACCAGTTCGGCGGCCCATACGATCCAGCGAAGCATTCATCAGGGAGGAAATTCAATGATGGCCTCTTATATCCAGTTGCCATGACCACCACGTCACCCTGGATTTCCGTCTTTCGACCTGGGCCTCCTTTCGGTACACCCTTGTCCCTCATGTTGACATAAACGCCCATTTCGGTGAAGTTCTCGATATCGCATCGAATCCATTCGGCTTTACCAGAGCGAAGCTTGTCCATAACGTCCGAGTTGACCATAGGCGTATCCATAAATATGCCCTTGTCGTCCGGTGCTATGTCTTGCAGATCCCGGTAAAAGAATTTCTTGAGGAGCGCTTCCGGAATTGCAGATAATAAAGTCTCCTGGCCCCAGATATTTAGAGAAAGGAGAATATCTACCATCCAGTTCCGGGGGATAATCCACTTGTCGCTACGTGAGAGGATGTATATCTTCGAAGCTCCCTCTTCCTACAAGGTATACAGTCAACGCCGGCTCTGTCAAGGGCATATTAAAAGCATTTACGGGAAATATACGTACGGAAGCATATTCAAGCGCCTCGACTGCAGACGCCCCACCGCCAATAATAATCATCGTCTTATCCTTGGCATCAACACTATGTTTCTATTAGCAGCAATTCGCAATGTCAGGAAGATGCTATATATACCCAGTTAATTTGCTCGAGTGGTAGATGTCTCCCTTGAAGTCCTGCATACCATCCATTCGAGGCATCTTCGGGTCTCCGCAGGTGCCTACGGCCGCAATGACACCTTCGAATCTACCATTGCTCGGACTGTTGACGACCCAGCGACCCTTCTCGTCTTGGTACACCTTCTCGACGTTTGTGTTGAATTTCGTCTTCGTATCTAAGCCGTATCGCTTCCATAGTTGCTTCACCTGGCTTATGATCTGCTGCCTATCCGGATAACCATGCTGCCATTTGACCGAAGGGTGAAAGCGATACATGAAAGAATGGATCTGTAGACTGGATGTGTTGTTGACTTTCTGTTATTCACATAATTGTCAGTGTTCAGGTACGGCATTACACGGGTATCAGCATGGAGCCAACCACGTACGCTCCATATACCCCCTAAGCTGTTTTTGTCCCCAGCTTCGAAAATGACAACGTCAAATCCGTGACCAATGCAATGAGCTGCCGATGTCACGCCGGTAATACCAGCTCCGATTATAGCGACTTTTGGTCTTCTCAACCGGGTACTCGGCCCAGGAGGCGTTGGAGAGAATAACTTGTCGGCGAACCATTGGAATACCCCGAAGACAAATAAGAACTGCCATTGCAGTATTTCAGATATGAACCGGATGGGATGACGAATAGGATTGTGTAGGGTCTTAATTGCGTTATTAGCACCAGCTCGAAGTTGATATAAAGCATCAGATACTATCTCTTGAACTGCCATGATGTCGTATAATCATATGCCAGGCTGACTTAGCACGACAAGATCAAACAAACTTGAATTCAAGTCTTCCTAAGGAGAGAGAAAGTATAGTCTTCAATAAAGAATTCAATTGAACCGATTTGAATTGTTTACATTCTAACATTTGACCTTTATGGAACGTCATGTCTATACTCTCTATAATTTACGTCTCAATGATTTCAATCAGTTAAGCAACCTTGTCAATTACGTCATGTAATGCACTTTGACAGCATCGAAGGCACGAACGAAGCTCCCATCTGGCATGTGAAGGAAACTGTCCAGGTGTGCACGGACCATAAACCTTGTGCCTGCATTAGGTAAATCTTATCTTCTTCCCTCGTCATCATCCTCCTTTTGTGTGACATGAAAGGTACATCATACATCGTATCCTAAAAAGCGTCAAGTCTCCCAAGTGGAGGTTAAATGAAGATAAAAAGAAAATATTACAAGATCGAATAGAATCCGCCCATCACTAACCATTACCCACTCATACCGGTACAGTAAACCACTCCCCTTACCAAGGATATCTCGGTCCTAGCAGGTGACCATTGGTACCCTCACTGATGGCCGATACCTCCACCTCATTATCCTCGTTCATGGCGACCTTGAATTTGGTTTCCGCTTGATCTTCGCTGAAGTCATCGCCCTCCTCCAAGTATCGACTTATTACTTGGTTCGCGATGGTCGCATCAACACCGTGAGATATGCTCTTAGCTCCGAGCTCGGGTAGATAGCTTTCCCGCGCAATTATAGAACAGACATTGGCGTTGTTCTTAATTTGCAGTCGAACATTGCCAACGAGCTTGTCTTCGTCCGGATTAGTTGACTGAGCGACCGGACCCGCAATCTCGTTCTCAAGCTCCATGATGTACTTGTCCGCGATGAGAGCTTGTTCTTCCAGATCGAAGTTCAGGAACGGGATGATTTCGGTAATTCGGCTGGCTAAGGGAGCCCCGAAACTGCTTATGCACTCGTCGCGGAGACGACGGTGAAGCTGCCTCCTGAGTGTGTATTGTTCTGACCGCAGATCGGAATCGTGTAGGAGCTTGCCATTCGCCTGACAGAAATCCGAGATAGTGTTGTCAAACTTGCTCGTCGCCAGAACCCAGATCGTTTGGGAACAGTCGACCTTCTGGCCACTCCGACGGTCCGTATACTCTCCTACTGGACATTAGCCTCAACCCACATCTACTCCAACTTTCAGATCAGCCTACCTTGGTCAAATGGGGAGAGAAGAGCTTTGTGGATCTCTCCGGTTGTCTTTCCGAACTCGTCCAGGTATACAATACTTCGTTGCTTAGTTTTTCTCGCGAGGAAGTTATGTAAAGGTGAGCCCAAATCGCTGTCCTCATCGGACTTGAGACTAGTGCCATCGACTTCTGAAAGTTCTACTGATAGAAGGTCCCCTAATCGATTCGCAAGAGTATGCTTGCCATGTCCCTTAGGTCCTGCAAAAAGGAGAACTAGCGGCTTCTTGCGCGGCATAGCGAGATGTCTGTCGGAGGTTAGACTGAGGAACCAAGGCCATGAACCAATACTTACACAAGGAAACTCTTTCTCAAAGTCCAGGTCGCTAGTCTCTGTCCAATGATGGTGTATTGCAGCCCAAGTATTTCTAAGGCATCCTTTCGGATGGCCAGAGTTCGTTCACGGCCGGATGCTGTTCCCGTTTCAGATGCTTGCCATAGTCGATAACGCTGAGTTAGGCTCAGCGCGGCAACGAGCCGAGGTCGAACCTCGGGCGTGTGCCAGAGCTTGTCACCATCTGCAATGACATACAAGTCACTTTCCTCAGGCCCGGAGTCCGGAAGATCACGGTCGAATTGCTTGTAATACGCTGTCGGGATAGCGTGGGGCGATGCGCCGAGTCTGAGCAATGTCTCGGTGATTTTCGTCGCTTGCGATCGTGAGCGAGTGCCGCGTATAACAGCAAAAGCTAGTAAGGGAAATCCGAGAGGTCCATGAGTGGCATTCGGATCACCACCAAATTTGATCCAGTAACGGATGAGCTCTGCATCGTTGGTCTCGGCGACGTAGAATGTTGCTGGGAATCCCTTAATCTCCGCATTAAGATTCTCTTTCAAGAGAGTCGTCTCCGCTTTATGGTAGTAGCTCAGGTAATCTCGCAATTCGGCCGCCGAATAACCGCTTTGAATAGCGCCAACAACTTTCTCGACATCAAATCGATCTCCTGGTGTTAGGGGTTCGGTAGGGGGTGGGATTCGAGGCAATTGATCATACTGTGAGAAGTCTGGGGCTCGCTCTTGAGGTTCTTGAGGCTCTTGGGACTCTTGGGGCTCTGGAGGCTCTACGGGCTCTGTGGGACTGACATTTCCATAGCCCTCATCAGCTGATTGTGTCGAGCCAGCGTTGAAATCGGCAGCTAGTACCTCGGAAGTGTTACGCTCGCTGTCCTCGAAAGATAACCGCGTAAAGCTCGAGTCGAAAAAATGGACTTGACTTTCTTTGTCATCAGCGCCATAAGGCTGCAATTTTATGAGTTATCTGCGTATTACGATATTTTCAACGGATCTAGAGCTAAACATACCCAGGCTTTGACAGTTTCTTCTGCGACGTTGTCGACATTGCTATCGTCTTGAACCTCCTAAGACATATTCGTCAGTCGGGCGTATCTTGGCACGGCCATCATGAGTCTAATTTACCTTTGACCAATCTTCCGGTATATCGACTGGCGGGCTCGGCTGTTGTTCTTCGTCTTTGAAGTGATTGAACGGGCTGACTGAGCTGACCGCCGGACTAGGCGGCTTGACCACGCTAGGTACCGGACTGGGCGACTTCACTGAGCTGGGAGGTTCTATTGGCTTAACCGGCTCGACCGGCTTCACAGGCTCAACTGGCTTCACAGGCTCGACTGTGTTGGCTGGAGTAGACGGACGGCCTTGGTTGTTAAGCAGGTTCGGGTCGGGAGGTTGGCGCAATTGTCCCCTCTTCTTCTTCTTTGCCATCTTCGGAACCATTGGTTTTGCTTCTCGTGAGTTAGAGCGAGGTTATATGCTAATGAGTCAAGGTCGGATGGGGTTTATCGGATATATAAACCGCTCTAGACGCTTCGGATTCGACTTGGGGTTGGAAACTATACGTACTGAATGTGTCTCCCAACAAGCGCGAGACACGCCTTAACATATCTAGTCTTCCGGCTCGTATAACGTCAATTCAATTTACTAACAATGGGCTCTTTCGACGAATTAATCAATAACCGCCAAGTAGCGTCACATAGACAGGGCGAGACACGTCGACCCAGATCGAGTCTTAAGGGGTATGCACGCTACACGTAAAATTGGGTTAAGGGCATATTCGCAGACGACTCCAACTTGACCCAAAGACCCCAAAGGCCGGAGTGACCTAAAGGCCAAAGTAGAGGCCGAGGGAGATGGCGGTCAAGTAGGTATCCAGTCGCTACACGTGTTGCGAAAAACCCATCTGAAATTCTCCGTACGGGTGGTCGGCCTGAGTCTAAGCAATTAGTCGCCTAAAAGACTCAGAACATCAGGCCTCGAACGCGACTTTAGGTTCTCCATCTTCATGCGTGTCGTCCGTCGACGAATGCGATCGACCTGTGTTACTATATAATACTATAAATATTCACGGCCCCCGATATTTACAGATGAATTCCTGCACGTGCGCGGCTGCCATAGGTAGATATTATGTTGGGAATCAATCCATCGATCTTACTTCGACACCCCGGCGCGGGCTGCCCGCCTCTCAGCTAGCACCGTTGTGCTGGAACGCACTACAGCACAGAACCAAATTGGAACTTCATAGGACCCACGACAACTGGAAAACGAATGACGTGGTTGCTGAGTTGGGATAGCGAACCGTTGAAGTTAGGCGCGATCCCCAACAACACTTATTGGTCTTTCGCTGGTAACTCGCTCTGATGGGCTCGGGTATATATGCATGATGACGATACTCCACAACTTCGACCAGACTTCCGCAACGAGCTAATAAAGAAGTGACAAGCGTGATTTCCGCCACTTCGGGAGCGGCCCGCGTCGAAGTAGTTAGATTTTGCTGTATGTCAACGAAGGTCATCGGCGACTCGCGTAGCTGTGGGATGAGATCGCAGAGGTCCAGACAACGATCACCCAATCTCGAATTATTGAACAACTAATCTGAAAGACCAATATACGGGACCGACAATCGAATGTCGTCAAAACGCGGGGTTTGGAAGAAATGGAGAAAGAATATGCGAAACATGACATGAACCCAGGTCGAATGAGACAGTTTCTTGACTAAGACGAATCTGGTGATTGTTTTCGACTAAGACCAGTCCTAGACCCGAATCCAAACTGCTAATGCCGATTTGATCTTCGGCAATCTAATGTCGTAGACAACATATGGGTATAGAGGGAAAAAAGCATTATCCTAACTTAATAACATGATGATATCTTCGAATACCCCAATTAATTAGGTACCCAGGCAAGCAAACCCACATAGAAGCTCAGCACCCATTCTCTAACTCTTAACCATCACAGACTCGCAAAAACTTAATTACTATTGAAGTAATTGAAAGCCAATACCGGACCTAACTTGATCTCCTTCGCCCACGCGTCCAAGTCGTATCGCATACGTCCTCCGTTGCCCATCTCCTTGCCTCCGGGCGGCGCATACTTCTTCGCATCCAGACCCTCGGGCTGCTCGTACAGGAAGAAGGTATACCGATGCGGCGCGCTGATCGGGGGCGGGGCGGGCCCGATCCAGTTAGATATGAACGGCTCCGTAGATTTGAGACTGAATCCGCCGCCCTCCTTGGGTTCCGCCTTGAAGCCGGGCTGGATCCAGTGCAGGATCGGGCCGAGCACGCCGAAGGACGGGAACGGAGCGTCGAGGTCTAGGCCCACTACCAGGTAAGTTTTCTCGGGCGACAGGTCCGAAAAGCTCAGCTCTGGAACGGCTTGTGCGTCTAGTGGAGATGGAAGGATTCGAGTTAGTCTAGGGTTATGAAACCCTCTTGAACTCTTTCCTGCCTTTCTGGGTGCTTACCGGCTTTCGGGATGTACTGCCCGGGTTGGATATTGGCGACCTTGCCAACGCTTACGCCCAGGACCTTAGACTTGTCATTTTCGATTAGCGACAGAGCCGCCTTGACGCTTTTTTGCGAGGGCATATTGTAGGTATGCAGGTGGCTTATATCCGAAGGATCGAATAACTAAATCCTAAGAAGAATCGGAACAAATATTGATGACGGGTTAAATCGATGTCTACAGTGCTAATAAGACAACACTAACCCAGCTTACATTGCAAAGAAATCAAAGAATCTAAGGGTTAAATCTTTGAGCTTTTATTTGTTTTCCCCCAATTGCTAAAGTCCTCAACTCCACGTTTAACCCCTCTATTCCGTTGTCTCAGTATATCTAAGGATCCGGGATAATTTAAAAAGAGGTTCGATAGGCGGAGATTAGCGACAAAGTCCGCCCAGATTGTAACACCAAGCAGGAGATCATTGGGCATAACGGAAGCTCAAAACTCGTGCTAGCATCTCCAACTGCCGTCTTTAGCTGCTGAGCCGCCGGCAGCGTAGCGCGATTCTTCGTACCCCATACCAATTACAACGTACGTACGTACTCTACTGAACTCTTACTCCATTTTAGATCACGGTGAGCGGAGCGGGGCATCGTAGCTTTTACCAATAAATATAATGCGAAAAGAGCAACTGCGACAAAGGCATCGAATCATTCAGACCGCTTCAAACTGCTCTTGTTTCGCCTGTCATAGTAGAGACTTCAACATGACGATGTTAGATCCGATACCTCCTTTATTCCGGTCTCTGCGGCGTAGAGACGCTGGGATATCCTAAGGTCAGGGCCATATCTTCGCCGCAGGCTTGCAGTCACCCTAGAACTGAATATTCAGCAAGTCTTCGCGATCGCAATCATGCGGCCACAATCACGATACCAGAGCAAGTTTGTCAAGTTTTCCTAATGATATTGTAATGGTCGGATCGCTTCTGAATGGACTTAGGACTGTATCCGGCACCCCGGACCTGGCATGGTTGGCCATAGCGGAGCCGATATGGACTTAGGTAAGCATCCGCTTGCTTATATAATACCTCCAGTGTGAAAAATGACCAAAGGGATGCTAAATAACAAGCCTGTTTCGGACATTAAAAGTAGGTAACTTGGAAGTTGAAAATCATAGCCCAAGTGGAGCCGCACACTTCCAGTGCTAGAGTTTATGTTGAGATTTCGATTCAGGGACGAGTACCTCTGCCCCTTAAGAAGGGGCAGTCTGTGTTGGTGTATCATCGTATTCTCATCTTAAGCAACTGCACTTTATCCCATACACGACACACAATTCAAAGACCACGATACAACTTGTCCGCGGCCCGTAGAATAGCAGCGAAACCCCTAGGTAGACGAGAATGTGCGTGACGTGTCTATTTTCATGTTTAAATGCTGGAAATGAGTGTAGGACAAGTTTCGGAAAGGATATTCTCGGCGTGTAATCTTTCGTGAGTTCTTAGCGTTCACTTTGTAAACTCCCAAAGCACTGGAAACAAAGGCGTGATACTAGGGATATATTGACAGCTGAATCTATGATCTTAAATAAGCGATCTTACTTGATCTAATGTCTAGCAACGAGGGCGGCGTTGATCCCCTCAATGATGTACAGGTAAGCCGCCAAGTCAAGACCGGACCCCCGAGAGGATTCTGCCGATCCCTTGCTAATATTAACCCAATTTTAGCTTCCCTTTGGTGAATAGCCAAGGATGTGGGAGTTGTCGCATATGTCTCGGCGTTGGAAGTAGGATCAGAGAATTGATCGTATGCATTGTATGGAAGAACTGTGAATGAAGGAGGTTGCGTACAGAAACGCGGTTGCGGTTTTAGTCAGAGGCTGGGTTATTCAATTAAGAGCTGCGTAATTACCTTTTACTTGAATATTGGCATTAGACAATCGCGATATATGAGTATACGTTCGAATAGATGCATATAAGCAAAGCCAATAACCGTAGTAAACACGGGTGGCGCTTCAAAGCTAAGGTCCTAATATGATGAGGCTCCTGCCTGGTCAAACCGTTGCCCAAGGCTGGGATTCAGTGAAGGGATGATCCCATAATTTACCCATTACTCACCTGTTTTACGGTGATGTTATGTATGCACACCTAGGTAACCACGACTGTAATCCCTAGACAATCGAATTAGGTTCCCAGTGCGAATCGGTCTGTTGCGAGAAGACCGGATGGGAAGGCTAAGCAACTTCACAGTTTGATAGGTGTGGAGTAGCTTACCCCTATTATTAGATAACTTAGCATCCTTCGACTACGCATTCTTGACGCCTAGGTTGTTTGTTTCCTTGAAACATGTTTCTATCACGCGAGGGCCATAAGCTAAAACCGAACAACATCCAAACAGGATCGAGGCTAGAAGCTAGATGATTCTTCGAAGGAGTCTAATAGTATCACCAACATCATTCACTAACTATGTATTTAAGAAAGGTATGATGAGAACTTATCTTCATTTTTAACTCAGTTTCCTTCATTAAGTGACTCATCTGGGATGCCAAGTTGCAAGTCAACCCAAATTTCGTTTCAATTCAATCATTAAGTACTCTCGTTAACCTTGACATTCGCGTCAATTTTGCTTTTTCGAAATGCCCTCTTTCTCTACTATACTTCTGGCGCTGGCAGCCGCAGGCGAAGTCTTCGGACATGGCCATGTCCGCAGAGTAATCGCCAATGGAGTAACATACAAGGGTTATGAGCGTTGGTCAAACGACGACCAGAGTCAGGTCGTTTCGTGGCATTTCACGACCGAAGACGAAGGCCCTGTTCCGGTATCCAGCGTCAATAATCCTGATATCATATGCCACGAAGGTGCAACTAACGCCCAAGCATCGGTCCCGGTGACTGCGGGCTCTCAGCTACAGATCGTGCGCTTCAACACGATAGGCGGCTTTGAACACCCGGGTCCTGAGATGCATTACCTCGCCCCGTGTGGCGATGCTGGCTGCGCTCAGGTTGACAAGAACAGCCTTCGATTCTTTAAGTTCTACGAGAATGGTCTAGTCCAGCCTGGCATGGCAGATAGTCCGACCTGGAACACCCAAAAGTGGGCCACTACGGAAGTCCACAAGCAAGTCCAGGCGGAGGGAGAGGGTTTCATCGACACATTCACCGTCAAAATCCCCTCGAACATTAAGCCTGGCGCTTATATCCTTCGACACGAAATCCTAGGGCTACATAAGGCTCACGAGGGCCAGGCCGAGTTCTATCCCCAGGTTAGTACAGCTTGAACCAGAACACACTCCTGAGGGTCAGATTCTCACAGAAGTAGTGTATCAACCTCGAGATTTCGGGCTCGGGTAGCCAACAGCCCGCAGGCGTATCTGCTACTGAGATGTACCATAGTACTGACCCTGGCGTTGCCCTCGATATCTGGGTAGATTTAAAGTCTTACACAATTCCTGGTCCGGCTGTTTCAAGCGCTTTCTCGAAGAGAGACCTTAAGAGCAATACCCCTAGGCGACACCCGCGGAACCTCAAGCTCCAAGACCTATAAGTTCGTTATTGAATGAAACTTTTTACCGGGTCTATCGAAGGAATGATTTGGATGTATATTATGGGCTAGGACTAGGTAACGTGTTTGACGAAATCACGAGACCAAAGCGGTCGAAGACGCTTTGCCTCCCCTACTTCCACATATATTCGCTTCTTATTGTATATACCTTTTAGCCAATGTCAACATGTTCGAATATTTAGCAATTTTGATGATTAACTGTTGTTCACGACCTGTGCTTACTTCTCTTAGCTATGAAACTTATCAGTACGGCTTGAGAACAATCTACAAAGTACTACGGCTTTATCAACTCACCGCCAAACTCATTCTTTGTGTATCTCAATAAAGAGCTTAGAGTGACTAGCATCTAACTAATTTACTTACCAATAGCAGTGGAAATTTATTTATGACGGGACACACGTTTCTTTGTCACAAATTCTTCTATTGTATTAAGGAAATGTGTTAGCTCAGGTTTACTAACAAAGATCTTGTAGGACCCTAGAGTCGGGATATTTATTCCGTCCATAGGTGTTTTTAAACCAAACCTCTTCAATCAAGAACAGCTTGCTCAACATAACTTAGAATATCTCATACCACCAATCTACCTACCTTCGAATTTCACCGAGTAACGGGTGGCAAGATGGGTTCGCCAAGCCGTCAGCAGCCTCGACGAGCTGTTCGAGACAACAAAGCCGCCTCCCCCACCCAACCGCAACATCCAAATAAACCTCATAAGTCGAGAGGCGGAATTACAAAGGCGAAGCTTAAACAAGGGGTGAAGCACGGAAAAAAGGGAGGGAAGTTTGTACCTGGGGCGCGAGCTCGAGCGACAAAAGCCCTAGAACGGAGGGTTTCGGCCATGGAGTCCGAGGTAGCACTGCTCGAGCAACGCGAACTTCTAGGCATCGCCGAGGAGTCGGAAGTCATCTCCCCGGGTATCCAAAGTGCACCGACGCCGAAACCGACCAAGCCCAACAAGAGAGGCCGCAAGAGGAGACAATCGGTGGATATGTACATGGACTACTTCCTCCTCTCAGACGAGGAGGGAGAAGGGGAGAAGAAGAAGCAAGGAGGGAAGGAGACCGAACAGTTGCGAAGAGGTGACCGTTGGATCCCGGATATGGAGCACCGAGGCCGTCTTTCCCGCAAGCCGAATGCCGTGCCTTACCAGATCTGGATGGCGTATTCTCTCATGGACGACTACATCTATCGACACTCGATAACGGATGCGGAGGTTCTAACCCACCCTCTCATGGACGACGTATATTCGTTCCAGAATGGTGGCCCGCAGCCGGTAACGCCGGCCGGCTTTCAGTGGGACGAAAGGAGGAATTTGGTACCGATCCAATTGAAGGGCGCGGAAAAGGTAGAGTTTTAGGAGGTTTGCTTTGGATTAATATGTACATGGATTCCTTACCTACCTAGATGTTCGGGTTGGAAAAAAATATGCTATATTTAGATAAAACAATGGTGTTTGAGAAGTTTAGGTGACTTTATACGGGTTTGTGAACTTGGCCCCTTTTACAAATGCTTGTGCGGAGGGGGCGATAGCTCTAACATTCGCCGTCCCACCAAAATTATTTTAATACTATATGCAAGCAATGCGTACAGAAAAGTGACTAATAGATGAATACGGACACTTACGGACATAAATATCAAAATTTATATTCAATCTAACGCTAAGGATATATTTGTTATCTGCATGTGCTAAATCATTTGGCGGGATAACAGCTGTTAAACTTATCGCTTATAGCATAGAGAGAGTAACCTATAATACCTCTAAATGATATGCGGACAAATGGAAAGACGATTCTAGATATAATACTATTCATGTGTCGGATTTTTGCCAGACCTCTCTTCCCCGATACCTCCAAAAGTTTCTCAGCCAAAGACTGGGCTGCTCATTCAACTTTCCTGCAGCTTCACTACTATATTCTTCGCCCATAACGATTTTCTCCAGCTTCGACTCCAGTTTGTTTATGATCGGTTGATATCCAGGAGCCATAATGTATGGATGGGTGGCAAGCCCGCTTGGGCAACTTAGTATGTGGACGAAGAAACGTTTCATGCCTTGCAGAGTCTTCAGAGAGCCAAGTACTTTGTTGTAGGTTAACATAGCTAAGGTATCGTCAACCCCTAAAATAGGCTGGAGCATGTACACAACGAGTGTTAATCTAGGTATATCTAAATGAGCTTTGAGGTGCTCCATAGCGAAGCATAAGTCGTGGGAAACTAGCTCATTATACGCGGTACCGGTTGTCGGGTAGAGAGCCGGTAATACGAAATCGAGCCTGCGCAGGTTGCGAAGGACATCTGGCCACATGTGTCTCGTGATGAATCTCGATGCATCTAATCGTGTCGCTGTGTTATCTAGCCGTAAGTATGATCTAAGTCCTCCAGAAGGAACGACGACGATGCGGTTGCGTGAGTAAAGAACCGGCAGCGCCTCTTGGTATAAGGCACGGCTTGTTAGAATTAGAGCCTTTGGGGGTGTCCAACATTGGCAACGAGATGAATACCCGCTCCGGCGTCGACAGCAAAGATACCCTGTCATCAAGGTAGGGCATGGCGCGCAAATTTGAACGAAAGAACCCGTGTCATGATGCGCAGCGCAATTGTCGGCTTTACACACTTCCGGAACGCAAGCGATTCGAAAACCTTCAGCTGAGGACCAATATACCTCTTTATGTGGTGTCACAAGGTCGGTATATTCGAGAATATGCCTTCGAATTTCTGTAGGAAGATCGAAGAAGCGGAAGGGGTGATTCCGTAGGTCAGGATCCAACCCTTTGGCACGGGCGCACGTCTCCCAAGCTATAGCGCAAAGCCGCTTATCCCCCGGCTGATGATAAAGTTGAAGCTCACAATCTTTCAGGACACCGGGAAAATCCTTCAGGGGCCACAGAACGGCGAAAGTTGTCTCGCCAAGACCTGTATCACAGAACAGTCGCAGACTCAGAGTTTGCGGTGTAGTATGTGATAGGATATGATTTGCGGTGGCTTGCCAGGAAGCGAGAAGACCTGGAGGGAGAAACCTAGGTGATGATTGCTGTTGTTGCGGAGGCCACACAGGACGTTCGAAGCAGCTAGGCACTGGCGCTTCCAGGTGGAGATGAACGAATAAATCAGTCAATACTGAACATTGCTGGGGATTAAGGCTACGAAGGAATGCAAGCCCAAACTCAACATGTTCATCAATCACGACCAAAGTGTTCTGGGAACAGATGTGGGTCTTTACTTCGGCGTTGATAGCCCGACATGTTTGTAGAATATTATATGTGAAGCGTAATGATGCGCGTGATGGCTCCAAGGGTAAAAAGTGACAGAGAGGGGACCTCCTTGGATTTAACCTCAAAATTGCTCCCACTACAAGACCTGCAGCTTCATAAATGCGCACCCTGATCTCAGGCGGGAGATCAAGAAAACAGCGCGCATGCCGCTGCGCGTTCGGGGGCATATTTGGAGGTGAGAAGTTGAAATCCACAGACTTAAAGCGTTAGACTGGACGAACGTTTTGTCTTACATCTACCTATTTAAGCGAGTATGCATATATTGAAAGCTGTGTAATTGCATGGGTAAATATTCTCGTAATTCTTTTGAGACTAAGAGCGCCCATAATAAGTAATTTAAGGATTCTAGATTGTACTTGCGAAATACTACCACTTAGAGCCGGTAAATCGACGTCGATGCGGGTAAATACCTAAAAAAGGGGTGCTAATTGCCCCACTACAACCACTGGCGCTCACGCTCATGAATAGAATTGCGTGATTGATCGACTCCGCTTCAACTTCAACTTCCCATTCAACAAGGTCTTCCGGGAAGGCATCGATCAATTGATCTAGCTGGCCCTGCGAAATGACATCGACATCAGAGACAGAGGATGGGGCCTCGAGACCTCTTCTAGCTGATCAGCGAGAGTCGCGGGACACTGGCTTAGCCGATGATGCTGCCCCGCTATCAGCTCCGGACCGCGAAAGTGGCACGTTCACCAAGAATCTTGGTGCTCTCGAAGCTTTTGCCATCGTCATCAGTATCGTCATCGGGAGTGGTATATTCACTTCCCCCGGCTCGATAGACACCAATGTACCGTCTCCCGGTTCTGCGTTGGTGGTCTGGTTGATCGGTGGCGTGCTCGCGTGGACTGGTGCTTCTACCATGGCGGAATTAGGAACCGCCATTCCTGGAGAGGGTGAGTGAAACCCATCTGCCAACTCCATCCGTCAACGCGGATGATAAAACAATATCTGATCCCATCACAGGCGGAGTACAGCCTTACCTCCAGTACATTTTTGGAGACGTCTTCGGCTTCTTAGCCGCTTGGACATGGATTGTGGCCGTGATGCCGGCTACCCTTGCTATTCTGAGCATCGTATTCGTCGAGAGCATCTACTCTTCGCTGGGAGTGACCGACCAAGCCGGAAGGATAGAACACAAGTTATTTTCTATCCTCATCCTGGTTGTTATTAGCGTCGCCAATTCCATCAGCACTAAAGCCAGCACTCGTCTGAACAACTTTTTCGTAGTAACGAAATTCGTCACCATTGCGGCTGTTGTGATTGCAGGCATAGTGGTCGCTATCCTTCAGGCTACTGACCCCGAGAGGGACATTGGGGGAAGAGACTGGTTCACGAAGTCCTGGTTTGCTAATCGTGTAGTTACTAACCCGGATGGGAGCAAGACAGACTGGAATCAATTGGGCGAATGGGAGATTCTCGGCCACTACTCCGCAGCGCTGTACGGCGCACTATGGGCCTATTCAGGGTGGGACAAGGTAAGTCCATATTCCACTAGAAACTGCTTATTACACATTGCTTAAAACATCTAGGCAATTTATATCTCTGCTGAATTGCAATCACCAGCGCGTCAGCTACCGCTCTCTATCAATACCGCCGTTCCAACCATCATTCTTTGCTTCATCACCGCCAACGCTGCCTATTACATCCTACTTCCATGGGACGTCGTCTCTACCACAGATAGCGTGGCTGTTGTAAGTTATACCCTACATGTTTCATGGAGCTTGATCTAATGTCAGTTCGTTAGACCGCGATAACCCGTATTCTTGGCGGTGGGTTTGGTATCTTGGCTGCAATTCTCATATGCCTAGTCGTCGCTGGTTCTCTTCTTGGCAACTCATTTGTTGCTGGTCGTATGGCAGTTGCTGCCGCTAGGCTGGATTGGTTTCCCCATCTATTCGCCTCGGTCGGCCATATCGGGTTGAAACCTCGAACGGAGGATGAGCCCACATCCCCTCATGATGAGCAGACAGCTCCTACTACGGCCCGCTCAGATGCTCCCATAAACGCCATCATACTTTCGGCCGTCCTCTCCGCTCTGTATATCCTCTTGGGCAATTTCCGCGCGCTCCTGACTTTCAATGGCTTGGGCGAGTATTCATTCTTCTTCTTGACGGTATTAGGTGCGATTGTCCTAAGATTCAGGGAGCCCGAATTACGACGACCGTATAAGCCGTTTATCCTAGTTCCGATAGTATTCGCTGTAGTCAGCGGGTTCGTGGTGATCAGGGGAGCTTTCTTCGCGCCCGTGCTAGCGCTAGTGGTTATCGTCGTTTGGATAATAGGTCTGGGATTTTACTGGGTCAGGAAACGGTTAGCTGCACGGCAGGTCGAATGATGACTGAGAAATACAGCTGAAATTATGTGCCTGGATAATAAGCAATGAGATCAAGATGCACAAATTCTCGCTGTTTTCGAATACGTACCTAGGTAACTACGAAAACGCTTTGGACCTAGTCGCAGCTTATGGGCTATCTGACTCGACCCCGACCCCCTCCAAACTGAGTCGCCGGGTACCTATTTTATAAAGGGGCTAACAGTCTCTCAGTCTTACGTAGTAATTGGACGTCAACTACTCTCCAAGAACTCTTACTACTTGGGAATCTGTCTTATTTTTGTAGTCCAGCTTTTCCAAGAATATTTCCGGAGCACAGATAGCATTCTTCTTAAGGCTTACATGGTAAGATTAAACTTGAAGCAACAATTGACTAATCAATACCTAGGTACCTACCTCATCTATACAGACATATCCAAAATTCAAAGTCCAAAATATCCAACTCGTCCTGCTAAGCTACCTATACAATTTTAGGGAGGAAAATCTCACCGGATGAACTACCTCCGGTGCCCGTACCCCCCATAACCCCTGTTATAGTTGTCGTAATCATACCTCGACGTCGAAGAATTGGTGTATGAAGGCCCAGCTTGACTGGACCCATATGGATCTTGCGGTGGGAAATACCCGGCATATCTCTGGTCCCCTTGCGGCGGCCTACGATAAGACATAGTGGAGTTTGCACTACTAGATCCAACTTGGAGAGATGCGTCTGCTGGATTATTGCGACGTCTCGCTGCACGAGCGCGCACATCTGCCATCTCTGGGCTAATGCCGCGCAGTCCATTGCGATCAGTCTCTGGGACGCTACTAGAGGTGCGGACTGGGAATAGGAAATCTAGGTAGGTTACCACGCGTTAGTATCCGATATCTTAGGATGATGCTATGCAAGCAGGTTTTGCCTTGTCCTGAGAAGCAGAATGAACTTACTTCCATTCAAAAAACGATTAATATAGTCCATAGAAACCATACGAGCCGATACGTTGTTCCGACCGTCCTGGATCAGCCATGGGACACCGGCTTGCCTTGCTTCCAGGGGATCGTTGCGATCCTGATAAAACTCGACTACGCCACCGAGGAGAATAGATTCCCAATAGCGTCCAGATTCGCCTGACACCGTGTTACCGAATGGCGTCAAGGTAACTCCCGGTGGTGTAGGTGGACTGTGACTTCCAGTTAGATAGCCAACAAGAAGATGGACCATCTCATGAGCAACTGAAATCACCATTTGAAACTTGAATCGTGAATAATTGAGTCGGGCAACGTTGGGCTCCAGTCGCCGAGCGTGTATCATGTTGTTAATGATCATTATCTGGAATTCGAAAAATCCAGCTTCTTTAGGGTCCCATCGGTTCATGTCGGTGCCCCAGGTTTTCTTCTGCGCCGCCGCTTCCCCGTCCGTCCGATTTAACCTTACGCCGGGAAAGTTGGCCCTCATCCTCCGGAGGAACACGTCAATCCAATGAGGCATCTCCTCGATCGGGTGGTTATATATATGGGGAACAGGTGGCTTTCCTTTTCCTGGGTGGTTTCGTTGTCTAACGACTTCGGTTGCAACTTGGACAAGTCTCCTCCTTCCTTCTGGGCTCTCGTGGACTGCCAATGCTAGGTGTGAAATAGCCTCTACTATCTGGAACCTTTCCGAGTTTTCGGGAACAGGTACATCATCTCCATTCTCATAGGTGTAAACTTCGAGGCCGTTGACTCTGGTCATTGTATAAAAGATAAATTTAAAGATAAATTTCGAGATGTTGTATCTAATATCTAGATAGATTTGGTTGGAAATATGAAATTTCAGGGCTGCGTCAACGAGTATAATGGGAAAAGGGGCAATGATCTTGTGGTGATTAGAACTGATAGACATAAACCTCGAGGAGGCAGCGAATACCAGATCTTATATGCAAACCTATACATGCTCATATTGTCGTCTAGGACTTTTGGCCTCGCCATGATATCTGTTTCAAACGAAACCAACAGTATGGAAATGGAAAATGAGCTCGCGCTTAGAAGATACTATTCTTAGAGTCTATAGGAGTATAATAACCTATTTCCAAGCGATCAGATGCTTGTTATCCTACGAAGAAGGCGTGTTGGTTACTCCTAGTCACTCATCGAATACCATCGTCTAGGTCATGGCCATGTCTAGCCTGCTCGTGAAACAACAAACAGCTCTGATCATTCCATTCATAGGCGGCTTCGTGCCAAGAAAACTGCCAAAAGAATAGAGGGGGGGGCGATAACTCGGGCCAGCATAGCCTTGATCATATTCAACATATCAGACAATATTGTGGCATAACACTAGTCTATTCAACATCGGGCCGCTTACATAGGGCATGTCGCACATCACCGAAGTCTCGGCCCGTACTATCATATAGTCGAGTTACTCAATACGCGCGCGGGTGAACGTTTTTTGCATAGTTCATGGGGCATGCGACTAACACTGACCCGACACTCTGGTACGCGATGTGATTGGCGCTCCTCGCTGGTACTAGTGTAACTTACCATGTTGGCTGTTGGGGAAGGATTCAATGACGAAGGACAAATGCAACAGGGGAAGAGGGAGGGTATTAACTAATAGGGCCCGTGCGCTATTGAGTGCTTTATGTCCTGCCAAATCCCAAGGTTCTATTTCTTCCCAGAAATCTCATCCATCTAACATTTCATATATTCGATTATTTTCAACCCATCATAATGAATTCTTACGAAAAATCTGTCCAAGAACATGAGGCGGAGCTAAATGACCATAATGCTGATGGCGATGCCAAGATTAGGAAATTGTCCATCGAGACACTAGACAGTCAACATTCTGATTTATTCGTCCGCGCTCTGGATCGAGTAATATCGACTGATCTTGCTAAACTCACATATGCGCAAATCGTTGATGGTCTTCCCCTGATCGATACAGTTAATGATAATATGGCTGGCGGTCTATCGAACGGCCACCCGTTATACGACATGCATGAAAGTCTATGTGACGGCGTAATGGAACGAACGGAAGAGATACGCGCGACATTCGATCCTAAAGAGCTCAAATTTGATTCTCGGGTACGTTACCCCTATACCCCATACGATGAGCTTAACAGTTGACAGCTAATACTTGGTAGCTCATATATGCGTATCAATCAGCCTCACCGGGATCACAAGTGTTCAGAATGCGGCTGATCGAAATTATCGCCATCGCAGTTCACCAGATTGCAGCAATCCTATTCAAGCGTGACACCAGTCTCCATAAGAATGATGGTATCACAGAATGGGTGCCTCCAAAAGAAGACATAGTTTTTTGGCAGTTCTTACCAAATGGCCCTCTTCCTACTCTATTTCACCATCCATGCTATACGGACTACGACCAGTACCCGGACGGTGTTGCGGACATGGTCGGGTACTGGGCGGAATCTCGTATCATAGGCGGAGTCGTCTTATTCGACAGGGGAACGCCTGATCGGAAACCTGACACAGACGCAGTCTTCCTCCACCCGGATCGAGAGGAGGTCACATATCGAATTTACCGGCTGCTTGAGAGCCAGAAAAAGCAGCTGCTAGATTTTCTTTTATCTGACACGCCGGGACCAAGCCCATTCCCTATTCTAGCAAGTATGGAGAACACTCATCGAGTGGATCCCGAGGACGACATTGACGAAACTGGTGTTTATCGTGATATATGGGAACGAAAGCCGCTCCCGCCTGATTGCCCGGATGGTCGACTACACTGCGTATGGGATCCATTCAACTTCCCGAGTTGGGATGAATGGCAAGAGGCTAAATGGAGGTGTAGAGAGCGAAGGAGCCGCCCCTATTACTAAGACTAACCTCAATCCCCCATAGCATACATTATGGGTACGGGCGGATGTTCGATAATTGAAGAGAAACATATTAGTTATTTAAATAACAAGGAGCTACGGTCTTAACTAGGAATTTACATCATGCACCGACTTCTAGGTAGAGTTCAATACTTGAAGTGTCAAGAAAACCATGAAGCATCCTCAATTTAGTTATAGCGGGGTACGCACAATACATGACCAAAGTCTAGGACTAAGGGTCTTCTCGTATACACGAATGAGGCCATCGTAGCTTAATGGGCGAAAGTATCGTTACAATCAACTCTACATGGTAATTATTATTATTAGACATTATGTATGCGAGTAGCGTTGCTATTCCAGCTAGGTACCGAGGGTCAGGTGTACGCTCGGTATTATTGGTAAAATTAGTACCAAGTTTACGGGGTAGAGTGCTTCTGTGTGACATTCCTCCTTTTCACAGCCAATCCATGAGCCTCGTTATCCTTCAACAACGGTGTCCCACCCTCTTCACCCTCATGATTCGCCTTTGGCTCCATCGTAATCACATTAAATTCCGGCTCTTCGTCCTCAGACCTATCGTCTTTGGCAATACCCAGGAAGATGAAGCGGTAAGCGTTGCGCAGCAAGCAGTAAAGCCAGAACAGGTTGAGGAGCTGAAGCGCCGCCAATAGTGCGAACGTGATAACCTGGGAGGTCAAGCCCTTGTACTGTTGGGTCTCCCAGTTTATGCCGTAAGGACCGATGGTGCTAAACTCGGTGAGGATGGAATAGAGGATGCGCAGGTTTATGTAGTGGCGTAGGTAGGCCCACATAATTATACAAGAGATGAAAGACGGCCCTTGTAAGGGGCTTCCTATGTAGTTCAGTGATTTGGACATCTGAAGAGGCAGTAATTGTGTCAGTAAATGTCTCCACGCCTAACATCTGAATACCACGAGGGAGGGACAATCTGACTTACAGCGAGAAAGAAATCACTGATATCATGACTGATATAGACAGCGATACCCATATACGTGAAATGAAACCGATAGCTAAGGCCGATAAGAGCTATAGTCACGATGTGATGCGCCACAAGTTCCCGAAAGTCCTTACGCTTCTGCTCCATGCCCAACAACATGACCAGGGCCTGCTGCGTCCAGAAAGCAGCTTGGAACAAATAGTAGAATTTAACCGCCGCATCGTGCGTCTTGTGAGGAAAGAACTCGTACATGCCTCGCGTGTTGAAGTACCACACCGGCGTCTGCTTCATACAGTACATGCCAAAAGGCCCCATGAAAGCAATGTACACGACCACATACATCTGCTCCAGGAAACGCGACTGCTTGCCTCGCGATTTGATACCGTAAAGACGAGCGAGTGGGCGCAGGACCTCCTCCATGAGAAACTCGCGCGCAAAGGTCAAGCAGATGGTGTAGAAACACACGAAGGCGAAATCCCAGGGACCTTTGCCATATTGCGTCGGACCCACGTCATCCTCTAGCTTATATGAAAGGAAGATAAAACGGTGAATGATATTGGACTCGGTTGGATTTATCGCGTAGAAGAATAGGACAGCCAATATAAGACCAAACGGTAAGGCCCATGTGCGGCGTAGAAGAGACCGACTCCCCTTGCGCTTCGAAGGTTTTTTCCGGTCGGTTCGCTTAGATGCGTAGGCGATATCAAGACTTGGCTTCCTTCGTCGATGTGATGTACCATTTCGTGCGGGCACGTGCAACCGGTCATCCAGTATATTTAAGAGTGAAGGGTCGTCAGGTACCGCCATCGTACGAGAACCTGAGGGGGTGGCGATGAATGGGACTTTCGGTGCTTGGCTCGAGGTTGGACTATGCGATAGAGGAATAGTACGATATTCGTAGAACCATTTTGAGATAGGTTCACGAGCTATAGGATATTTATGAGTGCTCCAATCGTTGAAAACCCATTAGCAACCTTTAACCTCTTCGGGTAATCGCATATCTTCGCGTGAAGGTGAGCCCGGGTCGGAGTCCGCGGACGGCGTCCTTGGCTTCCATCCTTTCCGATTGGCCTCCTCCAGTCAATTAACCCCTAGGTATTCATAGCTCAAGAGACGAGGATTTCTGAATTAATCTGTCGCGCCGCATCGTTTATCTATATTTTAGGTCTCTAATATTTCGAATTTATCTGAAGACATAGGCGGTGGTGCTTTATATGGACTCCTTCGTGTCATGGCTCCAATACTACCTAAAGGGATTAACGATTCGCCGCCAAGATCTCCAAGAGACCCTAGAAAGATGCTAGAAATGAAAGACCCAGACCTAGCATAACAATTGGTACCAAATGCTAGGTGTACTGGGTCGTGCTTGAATCTCACACCGGATTGAAAGTTGAGCAAGTTCAGGCTACGTAGAGCGATATTGACTACTCGAGATTCTCGTGTCACAACTGTAGGTAAGCTTTTTGATTAGACCTTAGAAAAATCTTAGGAGAGGACGGTTGCTTTTCAATTTACCTAGGTACCTCACAGGCTTACTAACCAGAGTACCCTAATGCAACCATGCCCACCCCATTCGCCGTACGGGCCTCCATGTACAAATGTGATATCCATGAATAAAATCGAGCCTCACCAAACATTACGGCCTCGGTACAGGCGAATTGACCCATAAGCCATAGATTCCGGCAGCCAGGGAACGATGCCACTTAGATGCGTGGCTCAGTCGATCTGCTTCTCGCATCCGACCCGATTTAACAACTCCTTCCGATCACTGTGTCCGGGCAAACTAAGGCCACTGGAATGCGAGACTTCCTTAACCCCAGCACGGCGCTTCCACACTTCGAAGTTGATAGACTCGACGCCGACTTCCTCTTCAAGAGCTTGTGGTCCGTCGTCCTCGACCTCTTCCTCCTCCTCTTCCTCGCCTTCGTCGTCGCTCCTTACATCCTCGGCGCCGTCTCCCCTGAGAACGCGAACGATGACTTGAATGATGAATGCAAACCACACCATCATCACGACCTGTAATAAGAGGAGGAATGATAGGAAGCCAAGTCTGATGTTATCATTCATACAGACGATGCCCTCGGTATCGCGAAAGGGTTCCAGTAAATGCGACCAGTCGTTAGGAACTGGGAAGGGACCTTCGAGATTACCCGTGGTGCCCCGGTAGCAGCCCGTCGGCATCACCTTAGGCATATCGGAGTACACGCTCCAGCAGGTCCTAAGGTACACCACATGACGTGTCAAGAGCCATGTGACGGCAAACACGCCAAAGATGACGTCGCAAACAGTAGTGTAACCAAGGCTTTTAAGGCATTTGGCAAGCTATTGAGATATTAGCGGATGGTCGCTCCCGTAGTTTGAGCGCCTTACGGGGAAGATTAACTCGATCACGTCCATCAGAACTAAGATCAAGTTAGCAACGCGAGAGTGATGATAGGCGTATGCTGAAGCGATCAGGGCGACGGTAGCAAAATGATGGACTATCATCTGCCAGTAATCCTTCCTGCGAGCTTCAATGTTCACGACGAGAAGCTGCTGCATCCAGTAAGACCACTGGGCAAGTATGTACCCCTTGACGAGCCCCTGGAGCTCCCTCTGGGGCCAATTCGTCCACAATTCTGTCATGTCGAGGAAATATGACGAATTGCAGTAGATGTACTAAAAAAAGTAAGTCACATACGACAAGGGCTATGGTGAAGGTGTAAAATACCATGCCCAAGGTCCAGAATACGGAGTTGTACATCAACATCCATCCCTGCTCGGCGAATCGAGTGGCGTCCTTCTTTTTGGTGACCCCCCAGTGCTTGGCCAGAGGGGCGAGGACGTGCTGCATCAGTGCTGCGCGGGTTGCGGTAAAGAGCAGGACGCAGAAGGTGAGAAAGTAGACATCTCCAGGGCCGGAAGCGTATTTCCCGGTGGCGGGGTTATAGTGGGATAGAGTAAAAAATTGAGACGTGAACGGTCTTACCCTAGGCACAAACATATGCGTGAGGAAGAGAGATGTGATTAGTGTGAAGGATACGGCTGTGCGGCAAGCCGTGTTGTTAGCGACGGCTCGATGTCTCGTGGAAGAGTTCTCGTGGAAGATGGATGTCTTTTTTTGCCTTATGCCTAACGCCTAGGCCTTGAAGAGACGAGCACCCGGGCAGCGACGACGACAACATTGGACGACGGATGACGTACCAGTCTGATTATTGAACAGCCAACTCGAGAAGCTGTTGGGTTGGCCATTGCCTTTCTTTGCTACATTCGTAGCGACGGTCTTCATGATGATGACCTGCTGGTATGGACCTATGGACCTGTATGTTTAACAGCACATTTGCCTGCAAAATATGTCGTTATATTGGCGGTCAGAAAAACGTGGGGAAGAAGGTTAAAATTGATAAGGGGTTTTTCTAATTAAACCCGGCACTAGATTGCTGCGCCACCCATCTGCGTTCCATCCTAACTCAACATGTTGAAAGTCTTGGCGCCGCTGTAGCCAATAAGACAGCAGCTAATAATGTATAATTTCATTACTTTGAACCTTACATAATTACAACTCTCAATCGTGTATAATATTCAATCGTCATACCGTAGTATGGTTTTGGAAAGAGAAACATTATCTATTGGGGTTTACTTCGTGTTTCTTCAATCGTTTCAAAGCAAACTCATAAAGTTTCATTTTTGCAATCATATTGTATATGTTATTTTGACTCTCAACAAATCTTCATGTCATGACATTCAACGCATCCAGGGTCATGAACACCTCATTTAACCAAAGCCAAAGCGCATTTCATAATACGCTCTATTAATCCTTAGTACGCCAAAAAGAGAATAATGACGATATGAAAAACGGACGATAACAACCAAAATTAACACTCGTCATGGATGATTATATTTATCCATTATAAGGTGGCATTCACAGCTATCAATTATGTGAGATCATGTAACATCATTGCGATAGTATTTTCTCATTCATCAAGGCTCACTCACCTACTACACATAGAACGCTTTACCGACAGGAAACAACGCAAAGCAGTGACACGACTTTAGTTGACAATTGATGAATCTGACTTGACTTAATCATGTAGAAAGATCTGCATAACCTAACACAATCAGACTTTCCTCCGTAAACCCATTCGAGACAGTCCTGTTGTTAAGCTGATTCATCCCGAGGATAGTCAGTGATTCTCACGCGGGTATCATCCCACAGGGCCGCTAGCACCGTTCTCTTACCAGTCCAAGGAGAACGAGAGTGCATGACAGCGTAGTTCTATGAAGTATGTCAATGACCCAGCCATATTTACAGCCAAGGCGTGAAAAGGGGTCGGGGGGTTATCTTACATCGAGCAACACAATATCTCCGACTTGCCACTTAACCAACACTTGAAGTGATTCGGCCAGCGCCAGAGCTAGATCAAGGTATTTCTTCTCAATCGGTGTTCCGTCACCGTATTCGGGAGGAGGGTGGTACGAGTCGTCGTCGCCTCGATAAGGTGGCTCTGTTGCTCCGTGATATGTGCTTCGGCCCCATGCGCTGGTGACGTTACCAAACCAAGTAGTTAAGCCAGTGTCGTCGTGCTTCCTGATAACTGCCGTTTATGTCAGTTACAGTTCAACGATCGTGAAATCTGCGGGCTTGAGTATCCTACTTGGGACAATATGCGTCACGCTCAGAGAGCCATCTTCGTGCCATTCAAACAAGTCACTATGCCGCCGAACCTCCTCTTCGATCTTCTTTCTAATCGTCTCTTTGTCATCGCCTGGTTGTACATGTTGCCCATATGCACCGATGACGCTTGTCCCCGTGTTTGATCGGACATCCTCCAACCCATATCTGTACACGTATTTCACACCCTTCTGAAGTAGCTTCTCGATAAACTCAGGGGCTTCTTCCTTGAGCGCTCTTGCTAGGCCAAGACTAGAAATAATTGGAGTTTCGCCCCCTGAATATGATGTCAGAATTCATCTAAGTTGAAGTGGGCTACATAAAAGGTTAAGTACCAGAGTCTGGCGTGTCTAGGCAAGAGAATGTCAACCAAGAAGGGTTTATTGTTGACCATCCGTATTCGTTGTGAGGCCAGATAGGAAGTTCTGGAGGCCTGTGAGATGTTAACGATATGGAAGGCAATGACAGAAACTGGAGACCATACCCTTCATTCGCGGTCTTGACGTTTTTCGCCAACACAGTTCGTATCGGTGGTCGACCAACCTCTTCATGAGCTGGAAACCCAAATGCGTGAGCTACCTCGCTATAATCTTGGGCAGTTTTGATAGGTAAACCGCGAATGAGGACTGCGCCTCCATGTCTTTGCACTCTTTCGAACAGCTCCCCGGACTCTGACAGTTTCTTGATAATCTCTATAGATTCTCCTAGTGTGGGATTCCAGGTCTGAGTCGGCTTAAGTGCCAGAGGAAACAATTCACCTGTGTCTAACCCGAAATTGGCCGTGTCTTGTTGGCCATCGAAGGTGAAAGCTTCAAAATACTGCAGTTCTGACATTCTCAAAGGTCTACATAGGTCTCCGCATTCTACGATCTCCCCAACTGAGTCCAGCCTTGGTGTATTTAATAGAGCTTTCAATATCGGCTGTCTTTCATCCGAATTCGGATGCCATCGGATTAGTTGCCGATTCGATGCCATAAAAGTCCATTTGGAGACGTAACGAACGATGATTTGAAAGACGTCAGTCACAGTCCAAATGTCGTGACCCTATATCCCCACAATTGACCCCTGATAGGACTGTTGATTGGTGGTTTGACACCCTGGTCAGGTATTGCACATTATCAGCTTTACTTAGTCTTGTCTATTAATTAACAGTTGATTCGATGACAACATTCAATTATTGGAAGCAAGTTCTTTAAGAGTGAAGTTTCGGTATTCGTTCCCGATTGCTATATAATCATCAATCGAGAATTGCTGGTATAGTCCTAGTAAAAATTCAAAGAAGGGGAGGATGAAAGCACGCCATTAGGTACTTATCTCCGATTAAGGGACTGTTCCGATGTTGAACTTATAGGACATGGTCTCCCGGAAGTAATATGGGTTACATGGGGGTTTGAGTGGGATCTTTATAAGAACCACGAGATCTCGAGTCTATCCAAGAAACACGCACCTTCACTAGAACCTGAGATAAATTTCTTGAAATCGTTTTCCATATGCCACCAGATAAAGATTCAACGGCAGAAGTCGTTGAGGAGGCACCGTCCTCCGGGGAGGAAGATATTGCAGGTAACCGGCCGAAGTACTTGTGGTACCGAGGAGTCTTTTTCAACGCAACCATTGTTGGGATATCCGCCTTTGCGGCGCCAGGATTATGGAACGCGATGAACTCGGTCGGTGCTGGTGGCCAGCAGACTCCTTATCTGGTCATGTGAGAGGAGGACTTTTCTTGTTCTGGTACTCCCTAGCTAAAGAATAACATAGGGCAGGAAACGCTATCCTATTCGCCATCATGACACTCACCTGCCTCACCGGAAGTATGATGGCTAACAGATTCGGCTTGCGGAATTCTCTGGTCGTGGGCACGGTGGGTTACGTCATCTATTCAGCAGCCTTATACACCAACAATCGTTATGGCACCGAGTGGTTCATATATCTGGGTTCGGCAGCTTGCGGTCTATCGGCAGGCATCTTTTGGGCGACGGAGGGCGCAATTATGCTGAGCTATCCCGAGCCCGAAAAGCGCGGGAGATACTTGGCTTATTGGCTAAGCTATCGGAACAGTGGTTCGATCCTCGGTGGTATCATTAACCTCGCTTTCAACTACCGAGGCCAGAGCACGGGAAAACTGGACTGGAGGACGTACATCGTCTTTGTTGTCCTTCGTAAGTCCTTAACCACTGCTCGTACGACTTCTCTTTCTGCGACTGATATCTTTCCTAGAGTGCCTAGGACCGGCATGTTCATTCCTGTTGACTCCACCGGAAAAGGTCGTACGAAGAAACGGATCGCGTGTTCAGTTATCCGAGCGGATACCGGACATTGAGGAGCTAAAAGCGTCAATAGGTGTTCTACTACGAAAGGACTTCCTCCTCGTGTAAGCCTATCTACTTAGATACCTACCTGCGCTTGAGAACATCGAGTCAACTAAACCCGTAACAGTCTACCTTACTTCATATACGTTGCGTGGGAACTCCCATATAACAGCGCTTATTTATCTCTGTACTTTTCGGTCCGTTCTCGAGCCCTGGCTTCTCTGGTTTCCGCAGTCGCCCAGGTTATAACGACCCTCTTATTCGGCTCCTTTCTTGACTGGACCAAAATAAGCCTCGAAAAGCGAGCTAAATACGGCTTTATCTTCATGATGTCTCTTATTGGAGGCTGCTGGATCTGGGGCGCAATCGTGCAGAATGAGTACACCCATCATAAACCAGCACTCGACTGGGATGATGACGGGTTTGGAAGGGGCTGGGCATTATATGTCTTCTGGCAGATTAATTTCTCCCTCGCGTACAACTTCGGCTTTTGGCTCATAAGTTTCCTCGCGAGAGAGCCTAAAGAAATCGTGAGATATATGTCGGTTGCTCGGGCTGCGGAAGCAGCCGGTCAGTGCATTTCGAGCGGCATCAGCTCGACAACAGCACCTGTACGTAATCTAGCAGCATATATATGCTATAGAGTCGATCTGCTAATTCGCTTCATAGTTGATATCTGCCCTAGGCGTTAACTTTGCATTATGGGGCATTGCTCTGATTCCTACCTACCTTGTAGTTCGTCAAATTGGAGTAATCCACTTCGGCCCCGAAAAGTTGGCATCGAATACCAGAGAAGATGACATTGATAAATCATAAAAGAGTTAGGCGAATGTATATCAGGGCTTAGATGTGCTGTAACTGATCACTCCACCAACAATTCGGGCGGGCCTTGGGTACGGGGGTACCTATAATGAGGGGTCAATATACCGTGAAGCGTTTAATTGCTTCCTTGACTGGACTCTAGATTTTCCAAATTAGAGGTTGTTTATTCATAACTTACTCTTCTCGAAAACATTTATTATAGATCGAATTTGAATGGTTTCAAGACCCCAACTTACCCAAACAATGGGTATTCTCGTTTAGGATTTCTACCTCAGACGGAGAAGTCCAACATCTTTGGCACATTTACCCCTTAGAGCTCTACAGGTATAATGAGCAGACCCTATTAGAAAAGCCATCTGGCTCGCTCTCGATGTCATAGCTCGATTCGGTTTCAACTCTCGAGGCGGCCCAAAATCCGTTTCTATTCTTAACCTCCATGGAGCACCTAGGATACTAGGATCGAGATGACTGCTCCTAAATTCTGAGCAATGTCTGCTACAGTGGCGGATAGGAGATATACCATCGTAATAAATTACCGACATTTTAGGGCCAGCACTTATGCTCCTCAGAAGAATGATCCCTAAAAGATGCCATCTCATTAAAGAAGGGTACTCCTCCTTCACAGATTGTCCTGTTTGACCAATATTTGGGAGACCGAAGTTAACACAGCTCCGGAGAATCGCTTGGCTGAAAAGTCGACCCGGTGCTATTCGACGTCGATTGGCTTTCTAGACGAGCCAGGCTTCTTAAGTCGTAGATGACCAGGTGATCTTCGACTAAGCATTTAGACCCAAGGTTGCCTCGATGATTTCAACCCTCTCTTCTAGCAGCTTGTCTAACGCATGATGAAATTGGGATGTTCCCCAGTGAAAAGGTATTCGAAGTTGCTGATAACATGTTTCCTGATGCTGCGCTAGAGTTGGTGAACTTGTCTAAGTTCATACGTGGTACAGTTATCATCCATAGATCTGAAAAGGGGTCAATCATTTAACCTTGGAAGTTCCCCAAGCACTGGAAAGACCCACTTCTAGCGCTAAACAGGTCATGTTTCGACTCAATAGCGCGGGAAGGTGCGATACGTTCCTGGCATCCACCCCTGTCAGATTCATCCATACAAGGGGCCCAGGGTAGCTACCAGGGTAGGTGCGTTGTAGTGTATGTACATAAGCGCCGATACCCGATCTCACTTTATACCGATTTCTCGAAGCTTCGCCTGACAAATGGCGCCTAAACCGGAACCACATTAACATCTTCTGACAATAACAGCGGCAACCAGCAAACAATAAGTTCGGCCGAACAACGATCAGCGAACAGGGCTGAGCGCTGAATCCCTCGAAACTGATGGAATCATGGACTGAAATTACCTACAATCACATCCGGCCTATGCGATACCACCTTTGCCTACCTTAGCCCTTTAATACCTAGTTAAATCCGCATTCTGCCACCAGAGCACCTCGTGGTCAGGTTAAGCTATTTCCTCCATCTAATGAATTCGTACCTTCAATAATAAATGCATGGACCGTTCTGGCATCCCTCTGCTTTGTAGTTCTATATCACTTATTAGCCACCTAAAGACAAAGAGCTTGTTACGCTGACACCGTTAATCCCGTCCTATCCAACTAAGCATCGCGACAGAGGAACGAACTCAAATAAGAACCTTACCGAATTACCAAACTCTAGCTACCTGTGACTAGTCTATACCAGTAGTCATGGCGAAAGACGTAGAGAAGTCAGCTAAGCTAAAGGAAGATGGGAACCATCATTACCAGGCCGGCGACTTCCCAGGTGCCGAGGCCCTTTACTCGAAAGCGTGAGTGACCAGCTAATGTATATAATCGTATACGCCGAAGACTAATTCCTATATTGTTTCTCAGCATCATTGCGGACGAAACGAACCCTTCTTTATATACGAACCGTGCTATGGCAAGAATACAACTAGGCTACTACGACTCTGCCATATCTGACTGCAACGAGTGTCTCAAGTTGAGCAAAGGCGAAAATCTCAAGGCCCACTTCATCCTCTCCAAGTGCCAATTGGCCATCAAGGACTGCGACGCCGCTCTAGAAAGCGCGCTGCAAGCCCACCGGCTGTGCGTCAAGACCAACGACAAGTCGCTGGGTCCCGTCACGGACCAGGTCCTACGTTGCAAGAAGGATCGCTGGGACGAGATGGAGAAGAGGAGGATCCGCGAAGGCCAGGAGCTCGAAGGCGAAATCATTGCCCTCATGGAGCGCGAACGCGAGGACATGGTCAATTCATGTACCACCGAACTCGACAGGAAGCAAGTCGGAGAGGAATGGGACCACAAGATCGCTACATTGCGCGAGACATTTGAGAAGTCTAGATCTGCGTCGGAACAGAAGCGCGAAGTACCTGATTGGGCCATTGACGAAATAAGTTTCGCAATTATGGTCGATCCGGTTATGGTAAGTCGCCCCTAAGTAAGAAGAGAAACGAGCAAGGTTATATTGAGGGGATGGATGACTAACAAGGCCTACAGACCAAGACTGGCAAGTCGTACGATAGATCATCTATCATGGAGCATCTTCGACGACATCCCATCGATCCCTTAACAAGAGAACCACTACATCCTAGCGAATTACGTCCAAATATTCAACTAAGGGAGGCCTGTCAAGAATTCTTAGACAAGAACGGATGGGCCGCAGATTGGTAGGCGAGATGAACTCGAGGGGGTCATTGAAGGGCCTGATATGGCCAGTCGAAACCGTCGATTAAAAGTCTCGACGGAATTTAATATTTGAAGAATCGGCATTACTGGTTTAAGCAAGCTTTGCATTACACGGCGTCTTGGGGGTTTAGTCCGGTCTCGCCCGGGTAGGATATCCGACTTAGCGTTATGATGAATGGGAATTCGAGGAAACGGTTATGAGTGATGAAGCGGTCTCCTTTTCCCTATATCAGTATCTGTATATCTCGATACGCCACTGCTTTCTCTGTAGATATACAGTATTCAAGATATTTAATATAAGATTATTAGAATCGGTTGTTCGTCATTGACACTACCCGGGCTTTTGAGCAAGCTTCAAGCGCCTAAGTAAGATGTGTTTCCCTCTTCATGGGATATCATATGAAAGGGGGGCATGGTAGGTAGATACCTCCTTACATCAAGTGCGAGAACTAGAACCAATTATGATATAATATGTACGACCTTGATTCTCACTTTTAGTATTGTTTTCTAGATCTATCAATGAGTGTATTTCGCGATTTTAATAAAGTTCTCTCTTGCATCTTGGTTTACATAGGTACCTAAGGAGTCAAACCTCCGATATAAGCCGATATAGACAAGTGGAGATACCCCAATTGACGAGGATGAGTATAACTCGGCATAGGTGAATGAATACCACCTTTGGACACAATTAACTTTCGTGCAACGTTTATACACCTAGATATCCATTCTACAAGATCCACTGTCCGCGACAAGCCCCAATCTAGACCAAGAGCGGCCCAAGTCCCGTATAGAAGTATCATAATCCTATTTCCTTTAAACAGATAAGATATCCGTGACTCACTATAAAAGCACATACCTACCTACTTCTCTACCTAGCTACACAATGACAATCATATACCAGCCCGAAAATGCAGATAAGCCCCAACCCGCAGCAATGACCTCTCCACCCTCACCCTCACCCTCACCCTTACCCCAAACCCCCTTCGGCGCCGCCTTCCGCAACCGGCACTTCTCCTTCAGCCCCGCGTACACGCCGCTGAACCACGGCTCCTACGGCGCCGTCCCGGCGGACGTGCAGGCCGCGCACGCGACCCTCCGCGCCGCGGTCGACGAGGCGCCCGACCCGTTCATCGCGCTGCGCTTCCATGAGCTGCTCGCGCCGCAACGCAAGCTCGTCGCCCGGCTCTTGGGTTTGGGTGCAGATGCGGACGAGCTCGTGTTCGCGCCCAACGCGACTACGGCGTCGGATACCGTGCTCAAGAACCTAAGGTGGGAAAAGGGAGATGTGGTTTTGTGCTATGAGCTTGTTTATGAGAGCGTGGATCACGGGTTAGCTTGGCTGGAGGAGGAGAGGGGTGTTGAGGTGTGTGTTGTGCGTGTGGCGTGGCCGGTGGCTGATGAGGAGCTCGTTGCCGCGATGGTGGATGCTGCGAGGAAGGTTAATGGCGAGGAGGGGCGTAGGGTGAGGTTGGCGGTCGTGGATACGATTGTGAGTATGCCCGGGGTGCGCGTGCCGTTTGAGAGATTGGTTCCTGCGCTGCAGGCTGAGGGGGTGCTGGTCTTGGTTGATGGCGCGCATGGGATTGGACATATTGATATCGATCTCGCGCGGCTTAAGCCGGATTTCTTCGTTACGAATTTGCATAAGTGGTTCTTTGTGCCTAGGGGTTGCGCCGCGCTGTACGTCCCGAAGAGGCATCAGCATTTGATCCGGACGACGCTGCCGACGGGGCATAGGTATCGGTCTAGGAAGACGATAGGGCGGGAGGGCGACGATAAGGGGTTTGTGGAGATGTTTGATTTTGTTGGTATGCTGAATACTGCTCCTTTTTGAATTTGTGGTTGGTAAAGGGATAAGTGCAAACCTAGATGCTTGCAAGTACTGATGCGTTTTCTACTGGAACAGCTACTGATGATACGACGGCTTGGTTGTGCGTTGAGGGTAAGTGCACTTTTCCGGTTTGATATGCTTAAATCAGGGGGTCTGCTAAAGTGTAATTCATAGCCGCTCGCAATTTCCGTAACGACGTCTGCGGTGGTGAGGCCGCCATCCAGGTATATTGTCACAGAGTAGCGCAGGAGAGCGCAGCTGTCGCCGCCGAGATCCTAGGAACATCTATCATGGACTGTCCTGGTTCATGTCTACGGGACTGTGCCTTCGCCAATGTGCGACTGCCACTCGACATAGGCACCGACGGCCCCGGCAAAGTCGACCCGGCGCATGCTAACAAGGTTTCGGACTGGTTTAAGAAGACGGGATATCGTGAGAATGGTATATACTTCCAGACGGTGCTTTATAGGGGTGTCTGGTGGTGGCGTATCAGCGGCATGATTTATGTCGAGGTAGAGGACTTTAGGAAGGGCGCCGAGATATTAAAGGGGCTTTGCGAGAGGGTTAGAAATGGTGAGCATGTTAAGGGGTAGGGCCTCCCTCGCACCAGTTGCGATTCTCTCAGGGTTAGCGACGTAGAGGAGAGGGGTGGATTAAGGATATATCAACCCAAATATCTTTTATAAATGGTTGATTACCTAAGATTATGATTGTCTGAGATCACATTTTGGAGTCAAGTTATAGATATAGTCATAAATCTCCTTGTCATAGAGTACATGAAAATGTTAGATATACCAATACCCCTCGATAATTGCTGAGCTTCTTAACTTGCGCTCCTAGGGAGTTGTTGCGATTTCAAACGGCAGCACTGAAGTGCGTCATAACTCCCAGTTGAGAAGTCCGCTGCCGACTTGGAAGCGTTGTGGGAGGGTGATTAGGACGGTCATGAAAGGGGGTCCTGTACAGAGCCCAAGTCAGCAATTTGGATTTTATGGGCTAGTCACTCACAGGATTAGGGCGCTGAATACGCGATCCTTCATCCGTCGAAGAGGAAAGATACCTAGGCTCTTGGGTTGCTCTCGGTCGATTTACGATCTTTTCACACGCAGCGAACCCAATGAGGAGTACTCCGCCAATTATTATAGTACTTAGGATGGCTCTGCTTTTCCAACTGTATTGAGACCCAGCTTCTTCAAGCCGAAAACGATCAAAACAGATAAGAAAAGTACCTGAGTGGCTCCGAGGACATCAAGCCGGCGAAGCGACGCCCGCATTATCTTAGTTCGAGATACCAATCTGACTGTTGGGTTCCAGTCAAGGTTTGGAAAATGAGTAGGCATGATGGAGGCAATCAGAACAGTTACTACCACGCCGAAAGGAGAGTTATTATCAAGTCAGTCGTCTCTACGGAGTCAATAATGCACGATGTGAGTTTGCTTTAAGGGGAATACCCATGGCCAGGAGGAGTGGTCGTTGATCACGCCGCCAAATATAGGGCCGAGGACTGGACTCAGGGCAGAAATCAGAGGGAAGACAGCAATGTAGTTACCCCATCTCTCAGGGGGCACTAACTCAGGTTGGATGACCGTCACCATTGCATATATTCTGAATGTGCCTACACCTTGCAAGAACCGAAACATAATCCTGTGTCACATTTAATGAGCCTTTATAATGTATCTTTACAATAAAATATAATATATTGACATACGGTTGAGTCATATTGAGATCGAATCGCATGCAATCGAGAAGATTGTATTAAAGAACGCAATGGCGACGACTAGTATTAATAACTTGCGTTGTAGCATGTCGCTGAACGTGGCATACACACGTAGGAAGCCTGGGTATCACGTATCCAGTAGTCAACTTCATACTCTGCCATTCTTACCCTTATGATCTTGCCTGGTGTAGTAAGTGATGAGATGCGCGGTGACAACCCAATCTCTTTGATCAGAGTCTCCTGAAGCGTTTGGAGATGTGCTACTATTGTCGTGTCTAGCGTGGATAAGAACAGAGGCATAATATACACGCGGTTGGGCGAGGGTTCCTAGATAGATGTAGATGGGCGACAATAGGGACAGTATGCGAAAGTTAGTAATATAATCCCCATCCTTTCAGATATTCCCGTGGGGGGTCTCTGTGGATATCTTGGGTAGTTGGCCATTGAGTTGAACGTGTTGGTGGCGAGGCTCTTTCGAATCGATCCGTCTAAGCACGGTATCCTCGCCATCGTCATCCCCTATAGCACCGGATGGCGTCTCACGTTCTTGAATTTGGGGAGTTGGCGCCATGCCTTCGGCTATGATCTATGATCATCGGTTTCTCGAAAGAACCGAAGCTAATGATATTAGCTCTGACACATGGTGTTTGAAATTTGATATATTCCTGAGCTGAAGGAGAGGACAGTTTGTATATTAACTATTGCGGCACAGCATTTTAATCCGCGGAGACAGGGGTTGACGATTGTGTATCTGTAGACGTAACGTTCTGACTTCCCAACCGATAGATGTCTCGCTTTGAAACTGGACTCTAATATAGCTTCACCTGGCACAGATTCGAAAGGGCGATTTCATAGAGCACTATATTCGAAGATCAGCCAAGTCGTCGGAAAGTAAGAACGTGTTATCGGCCTTTTTGGTCGTTCTTGAACACCTGCTGACGCTTGACCTAAGATTCAGTCAAATGTGGTCCTACATTCAGCCGCAGGAATACCTGGTTAATACGTCTGAAAGCGAGCTGACCAGGTTCTAGCTTCTCCCAAGTTTGAATAAAGTGAAACTGAGTGATACCTTCAATATATTATTAAGTAACTGGGTTTTCAGCCACATTTCTTACATTAGTTTTGCGCCACTCGGAGTGAACGCGTTGAGGCTTGCGCGTCTTGCTGTGGGCAGTTACCAATTCTTCGTATTCTCCACCAGCATAGCCGCAAACTTGCGGTTGCAATGAGGTTCTAGATTCAAAAACGAAACTCATAGCCTATTAACATTGTTGAATTTCAATGTACAAGAAACGAGTTCCAAGTGCATGTCTAAATATATCTATGCTATCCTTGGAATGGTAAGTTATGCGGAACTATGACCAAACAAGAATACCCCTTAAGGTACGTGACTAGTTGCTGGATTATGGGATCTTATTCATTGCTGACATTTGACTTTATTCATCAGTCGTTTTATATTCGACAAGTGCGTAACTGGCGTCCTGCTGTGAACTTATTTTATGCTTGACCGACTGATGTGAGGATACTATCTTATAACGAACTATATACCTACATGGTAGACTAATTATAGTGCTTATATGGTTAGAATGCCTGTCTACACAGATCGCTTCGGTGCGATCACACGTACAGGTTATTATGCCATTACATACCTAGTAGATATTAATGAGAACCGTACACTTTAGGTTATGACGGTGGGCCGTCATTTTCTCCCTGGTAGACAAGAATAAATAGTGTCGTCTGCAAATTATAATACATAGATGACCGACCTGAGATAATTTACTTTGAATCAGCCCCTGAGTGGCTCCGCCACGATCCGCTATCGAAGCTTATTGGATTGAAGACGCGCATTGGTCGAAATATTACCCATGTATTACAATAACCGACTTGGTTCTTTGTCTTCTTCCATGTCTTCTCGTATGTGCATGTATGTATGGTGCATGTGTGTGCTACTTCACATCGAAATTTCTAGAGGTAGTAGAGTTCTGAGTTCGTATTTGTATGACTTAGCATCTTTGCAAGCTGAAAAGTTGGACACATGAATATGTACATGTATTAAAAAGAACATTCATTTGAACATTGAACATTGAATCGAAGATGAGACCCACAACGGGTTGGGCGGAAGTGTCTTAATTCTGGAAACCGCGCATGTGCTACCCCGCCTTTGCATGTACATACCTACATACTTGGTATCTTCATCGTTTTATCGTACCCAGCTGCGTACCTAAAAGAGGGAAAATAGGGGCTCAAACTTCAATAGGAGCCCAGTAAGACACACCCCTAACTTTCGTCTCGGTAGGGGACTTACACGTCGTATCAGCCGCCTATGGTCTGTGATACAATACCCAGCTACTTACCTCCAGTGCTTACTACCTAAGAGTCACTGCGCAACACGCTTAAAGATCCGCCCCCCGATAGTCCGCGTCCGCCAAAACACCCCCCATGAACATTTGAACCCATTTGAACCGAAACGTTGACCTTGTCAACCTCAGGTCTTTGACCTTCTTTCTCTAATTGATTTGATGATCAACCCGACTCAATCCCGTCCTAGGTAGAAAATCGACATCATTGCATCTTCTTCCTCAGCCACCTTCTTCGCGTCCTTCCTTTTTCCTTTTTTTCTTCTTTCCTCATTCCATTTCCCGTCCGCCCACATCTATCTCCAGAAGTATCGCGACACCGACGCCGATAAGAGACACTCGTCTTGATACCAACCAACCAACCTATCGTCTCCTCTTTTTTTAGAATCCCTTGGTCGTGTTTACCAATCTTACCCTTTTGCGACCTTCACCGACTCCCTAACAACAGACATCATCTTTAGCCATTTGTTATAGGGGGATCGTTAGAAAATGTCGTGGAAGCTCACCAAGAGTAAGTATTGAACCTAATCGATCCAACTATTGATGCACCTGTAGCTACATGCTCCTCGTCTTTCTGCCGTCCTGTCTTCCTGTCTCTCCACTAGAAATGTGGGAGGCAACTATCGTAACATCACTACTCTACGGCCATGAAAGGTTTCACTAACGCGCTGCTATATTAGAGTTAAAGGACACCCATTTGGGTCCCCTTACCAACACCTTTTCACGAAACCCTTCTACGTCGACTATTACAGAAAAGGATGAGAAGTCTCCCATTCCTACCTCTGCCACCCCTACTCCCAGCGATAACGCAATCGGTTCGTATTCCCTACAATGAATTCTTGGAAGGCTCATATTTACATGCTGTCTTCTGTAGCTGCTTCGGAACATATGGTTCAAGAACCCGTCGTGAAGCCCCCGAAACCCGGTATCCTAGTGGTTACCCTCCACGAGGGTCAGAATTTCGCACTTCCCGAACAACATCGGAATGCCTTCTCCCAGCATGGACAGGGCTCTATGTCGACAGGGAACGCCCTGAATTCTGGCTCTTTGCGGCCAGGATCTTCTCAACGAACGGTGGCCGGTTCCTTTATGAATGGGAGGCCTCAAACCTCCGCAGGTGGTTTTACCGGAATACCCTCCAACCACGGCCGTATATCCAGCAAATATTTACCATACGCCCTTCTGGACTTCGATAAGGTGCAGGTTTTTGTGAACTCGGTCTCAGGCAATCCGGAGAACCCTCTATGGGCCGGTGACAACACCCAGTACAAGTTCGACGTGTCTCGAGTGACGGAGTTGAACGTGCACTTGTATATGCGCAATCCCATGGCGCCCCCAGGTTCGGGCCGAAGCCAAGATATCTTTCTAGGAGTTGTTCGAATTAACCCTAGGTTCGAGGAGAAGCATACTTTCGTTGAGGATCCTAAGGCTAGCAAGAAAGATCGCGAGAAGGCTGCTGCAGAGTTCCAAAACCGGGAGCGAGAGTTAGGCCACAGCGGTGTTGATTGGGTCGACGTGCAATATGGCGCCGGTAAGCTCAAGATTGGTGTGGAGTATGTCGAGAACCGCGCGGGCAAGCTTAAGATCGAAGACTTCGAACTGCTCAAGGTAGTCGGCAAAGGTAGTTTCGGCAAGGTTATGCAGGTTCGCAAGAAAGATACTAGCCGGATCTACGCCCTCAAGACGATTCGCAAGGCACACATCATCTCCAGATCCGAGGTCGCCCACACGTTGGCCGAGAGATCTGTGCTAGCACAGATTAACAACCCCTTTATCGTGCCTCTGAAATTTACCTTCCAGTCTCCGGAGAAGCTCTACTTTGTGTTGGCTTTTGTCAATGGCGGCGAGTTATTCCACCACCTTCAAAAAGAGCAGCGATTCGACGTCAACCGAGCGCGATTCTACACCGCCGAACTCCTCTGCGCTCTGGAATGTTTGCACGGTTTCAACGTTATCTACCGAGATCTGAAGCCCGAGAACATCCTTCTTGATTACCAAGGCCATATCGCGCTCTGCGATTTCGGTCTTTGCAAATTGGACATGAAGGACGAAGACCGAACAAATACTTTCTGCGGCACTCCCGAATATTTGGCTCCGGAACTTCTTATGGGCAAGGGCTATAACAAGACGGTGGATTGGTGGACCCTAGGAGTTCTCCTCTACGAGATGCTTACGGGTCTCCCGCCTTTCTACGACGAGAATACCAACGAGATGTATCGCAAGATTCTGTCCGAGCCTTTACATTTCCCTAGCGCGGACGTCGTGCCTCCCGCAGCCAAGGACCTTCTTTCGAAACTGCTGAACCGCAACCCCGAGGAGCGATTGGGAGCTGCAGGCAGCGCCGAGATCAAGGCTCATCCGTTCTTCCACGCCATAGATTGGCGGAAGTTGTTGCAACGAAAGTATGAGCCTACTTTCAAGCCCAGCGTGGTAAGTGTTTTAGTATTTGTATGTCGACGTCTCGACTACCGCTAACCAATGTGCAGGCCGATGCTCTCGATACCAAGAATTTCGACCCAGAATTTACGTCGGAAGCCCCGCAAGACTCGTATGTTGAGGGCCCGGTATTGTCAGAGACGATGCAGAACCAATTTGCGGGATTCAGTTACAACAGGCCAATTGCCGGATTAGGTGATGCCGGTGGCAGCGTTAAGGACCCTTCATTCGTAGGCAGCATCCAAGATCGGCGATAAACTAAGGAACATTGGAGTGGGGAGGCACATGCAAAGAGGTTTACGATTACAAGATTGGAAGACTCAAGATAGGGGGAGGTGAAGTGAGGCTGGGTAGAATAGGGGGCATATCGCATGGTGTGGCTGGGGAGTGCGCACGGCCTACTAGGCTACCAAGTACAACTACGGTGTGTCCTGTTGTGTTGCTTTGCTTTGCGGTTGCGGCTCGTTTGCCGGACTTTGGACCACAACAGGAAGCACTTCCATATGGAGTTTGGCATGAATTGTGGACGATGCCTCCGAGTTTGCACTTTCTGGGATCTCAAAAGGAGAGACAACCATGCTGTAGATAAAGACGGAGGCTAGCAAAAGAGAAAGATGCCTTTGCTGAACCGGATATCTTGATGTGTTATTTGTTTCCATCATCTATCAAGTGAAACTTGTCATGTGAGAAATCGGTTGCTTCTTTTGCAACCGAAGCTTACTGTGGAATTTGTTTCCCGGCGGCGATGGTTGAGCGAAATAATCTCGTCGGTGGATTAGGCTCTTCGATTAAAAGATAGGTAAGTCACCTATCGGGGATATATAGTTACATTGGACGCCACTGCGAGCTAAGCTGCATGGTTACATGGATTAGGGGCTGGGTTGGGAAGTACATGGATATGTGTTGTATCACTCTGCAGATGTATCTTCGTACCGGGTTCATACACAAAGCATCACGTCACTAGCGCGGGGTAGATGGGATGGATGGGATGAAGTTTGGGAGGAGCTTAGCAAACCGCGCAGCTTGGCTGCTTAGGAAGGAGGGAGAGCTGGAAATGGCGCTCACTCATCCCGGGTGCTTTCCACCATCACCCCACCTTGTCTCCCGAGACATTAAAAAGTAAAATCTTCAAACTTCCTTTTACACAGGTACCTACTACGTTGCCAGCCTCATATTGTCCAGCTTAAACATATCACAATCCGTCCTCAAACAGCATAAACCGTCTTCACCTTTGCTTGAGGTAAGTGAAACGCCGTTGTGACATACATATGCTTGCTGCCCCGCTGCCCGCATTGCGCATTGTCCGGTTTCCTACTCCGGCCATTATGACGATGTTTTAATACACGCATCTCACAGACTTAGACTTCTCAACTTGACCTCACTATTCTTCTATTCCATTTATTTCACATTTCATCTAATAGTAAAAACTAACTACAAATCTGCTTGACGCAGTATCAGTTTAGTTTAGTTTAGTTTCTTTCTCGCTTCCGCGAAACCTCACAAGTGAAGATGCCTCAAGCAGCTTCTTTGCCCACCTGGGCCGCCCTGGAAGACCACTACAAGACTGTTGGTAAGACCTTCGTCTTGAAAGAAGCTTTCGCCTCCGACTCGGCCCGTTTCAGCAAATTCAGCAAGACTTTTAAGAACACCCCCTCCGGTACTGATATTCTGTTCGACTTCAGCAAAAACCTCGTTACCGAAGAGACGATCAACCTCCTACTAAAGCTCGCGGAAGAGGCCGGCCTCGAGAAGAAGCGCGATGCTATGTTTGCGGGAGAGAAGATCAACTTCACCGAGCACCGTGCCGTCTATCACACTGCATTGCGCAACGTAGGCGGCTGGGAGATGAAGGTGGAGGGACAGGATGTCATGAACACCAAGGGCGGTGTCAACGAAGTTCTGCAGCACATGAAGGAATTCTCCGAGCAGGTCCGGAGCGGCGAGTGGAAGGGATTCACTGGCAAGAAGCTGACTACGATTATCAATATCGGCATCGGTGGTTCGGATCTGTAAGCGTCTTTTATGAAACGACGTACCCGCCTTCTAACAACGTAATAGGGGCCCGGTTATGGTCACTGAAGCTTTGAAGCACTATGGCGCAAAGGACACAACTCTACATTTTGTCTCGAATATCGATGGTACCCACATGGCCGAGGCCCTTGCTAACTCGGATCCCGAGACGACTCTCTTCCTTGTCGCTTCCAAGACCTTCACCACGGCAGAGACTACGACGAACGCCAACACTGCCAAATCGTGGTTCCTTGAGAAGACCGGCGGAAAGGGTGAAATTGCCAAACATTTTGTCGCTTTATCTACAAATGAGGCCGAGGTAACCAAATTCGGCATCGACAGCAAGAACATGTTCGGCTTCGAGAGCTGGGTCGGCGGTCGATATTCGGTATGGAGCGCCATCGGCCTCAGCGTTGCTCTGTATATCGGCTACGACAACTTCCATAAGTTCTTGTCTGGCGCGCATGCGATGGACAAGCACTTCCGCGAAACCCCCCTTAAAGACAACATCCCCGTCCTGGGAGGTTTGCTGAGTGTCTGGTACAGCGACTTTTTCGCCGCGCAGACGCATCTGGTCGCTCCGTAAGTTTCCTATATCACACGCCTGAAGATCCGACGAAGATCTCGTTAACATATGATAGTTTTGACCAATACCTGCACCGCTTCCCTGCCTACCTCCAACAACTCTCGATGGAGTCCAACGGCAAGACCATCACATCTGACGGCTCACCTGCTAAGTACACGACTGGGCCCATCCTCTTCGGTGAACCCTGCACCAATGCTCAGCACTCGTTCTTCCAGCTTGTGCATCAAGGCACCAAGCTGATCCCCACCGACTTCATCCTCGCCGCGAAGTCCCATAATCCTATCTCCGGTAACCTGCACCAGAAGATGTTGGCATCCAACTATTTTGCTCAGGCCGAAGCTCTCATGATCGGAAAGACTGCCGAGCAAGTCAAGAGCGAAGGCACCCCTGACGAGCTCATACCTCACAAGGTGTTCTTAGGCAACCGACCGACAACCAGCATCTTAGTTGGCGACGTGATCGGACCTGCCGAGCTAGGCGCTTTGATCGTCTACTATGAGCACCTAACATTCACCGAGGGTGCGATCTGGGATATCAACTCGTTTGACCAGTGGGGTGTCGAACTAGGCAAGGTGCTCGCCAAGAAGATTCTAAAGGAGTTAGACGAGCCAGGGAATGGTGAGGGCCACGATGCTAGCACAGGCAGCCTCATCGGCGCTTTCAAGAAATTCGCTAGCATTTGAAGGTTAGAAACGACTCAGGGGCTCGGAAAACAATCGAAGCTGTGAGTCGTAACTAATAGAAATGTGGCATGTACTGTGACGTGTTCAGGTAATTTGCAGAGACGGAGCCTGGGACTACTTTATACGTTCTGTGTCATGCTAATAGGGGGTTGGTAAAAGTAATAAGCAAGAAACTAGCATGATTTGTTTCATATTCTTATGAGAAAAACTGGCACTTCACAGAGACGACCGAGATGTGACTGCCATGATCATAGGTATTACATGGTACCAAACTGTTGGGCTTGTCGGAACTACCCTAACTGGACTACTGTACACAGCCCAACGTCCAACTACATGCTGAGATGAGGCTAGTTGCCCCAGGGCTGTGCATAGTAAATTTTGGTTGGCATAGGATGACTTGGTGTATCCACCTCCAGCTTCTACTAGAGCTTTTCCCTGCATCTCTACGGTAAGATTGCCAACTGAAGTAGGGGAGGGGTGGTCGCCTAGTCGCTAGGATTCTTACCTGCGAAGAGTCTATTCAAGAGTACTAAGCTGTCCACCCCCCTTACATCCCCACACCTTTCTCTGGGTTAAGTTAGGATTAGGCAAACACTGGCTCAATTTCTCGATATTATCTCACTATCTTTATTTCACTTTATTTTCATGTTTGCTCGGGTACTGAGATGAAGCAGATCAACGAGACTCAGTCATGAGTGGACCAACTCCTGCCAAACCTCCCACACCACCACCTCTCCCTCCACCATCCAAGAGAAGGCATATGGATCAAAGACCCTCACAATATCTTGCCAACTTAGAAGCAGCTGGCGACAATGTCTGGGAAACCACCACGACTACTTTGGCATCGCCGAAGCGGTATACGCCGATGGTCTACTTCTTCTACGGCACTCTCACGCGGCCCGACATTTTAAAGCGTATCCTGGACTTAGACCACGAACCCGTCCTGCGACCGGCCAAGATCATCGGATACTCGCTCACAAAATGGGGGGATTACAAGGCCCTTGTGGATGGCGAACCCGGCGAGGAAGTGGCGGGAATGGCGTACGAGGTTAGGTCGCCTGAGCACGAGTACAAGCTGGCGTACTACGAGACGAACGCGTACGAGCTCGTTCCTTGCCTTATTGACTTCACCGACGGGCGACAGCCGAGCCAGGTTTTCGGGAGCACTTTTAAGTACGCTGGTGATGCGGCGGCGCTGAGGGAAGGGAGGTTCGATAGGAAGTTGTGGGAGTTTCGTATGGGCTCTAGGTTGCCGGAAGAGAAAGGGGTGGCTAAGGCGGTCTAGGTCGGGGTAAGCGTTGAGTGAGGTCGTGTGCGTCCCGTTTCCGTGCCTTTAATCAACGCGTCCGTTCCTCTATACTACCTGACATTAGACGAGGCGAATCTATTTGGGACGTATTCCCTGAGTTTCGAATCTGGTTCGCCCGGTTCACGAGCTGCTCCGCAGCATTCTCGAAAGTAATCTGCGAAGCATCTGCGACTTGTCGTATAGATTTCCGAGCCGGCTGGGCAACATGGTACTTCTTCACGTGGTTTCTTAGAGCTTGTACTGAGACGAAGGGAGGATTCTGGCAACCGGGGAAATCGCACTGAAGCCGTGGTAAGTGAGTCATCTCGTGATCCACTCGAAGTACTTCAGATTCAAATCCCAATGTGGCTCGCGGACAAGAGGAGAGTCGACAAGTAAATGCAGATCCCCGAAATTGACTTTTGAATGATTCAAGCTCTTCGGTAGATACTCCAGGATAATCATTTTGAGAGAGGAGAAATTTGACGGACTCTTCATAAGCTGCTAGCATGAAAGATATCCCATCTTGCGGTGGTAAACTTGTTGAAGGAATGCTGTGATTAGAAAGTCCTTTTTTGCTATTAGTAATTTGACTCACTGGATGTGAGTAAGAAGGCTTACTATTGGTTTGAAGACCCGATTCAAGTCCCTTGGGTGACCTAGTCCATAAAGCCAGCTCCAGCTCTTTGCGAAGTAAAGGATTCTGCAAAGATACTAGTCGTCCATCCTGATGGGCTGGGTTGGGGGTATCTTATATATCCGTCGAATAGCTCCAGAGACGAGAAAGTTTCTCTGCTAATTGATCTGCAAGGTCGAATAGAACCGATGTACTGCGACAAGAAGGGGGTGTTGCATGAGACAATAGGTATTCAACCCAATATTCGGTAGAGTAGACATGAAACCCATGTAGACCTCTAGCCACCCGTACGTACCTAGCATTATCTTGGAATGGTTTTGTGAAGACATCCAATCCGGAGAGGAGACACGTAATTGTGGCTATACCGTGTTCCACAATGACTTCTTTTTTGTCAATAGCGAGGCCGCTCGAAGATGACTGGAGGAATCTAGGATCTCTATTAGTGAGTTTACTCTGTGTGTATTTATTCTAATATATGCTTACTCCTTAACTGATATGTGGATAAACGCCAACGTATTATCTCGACGTTCTTCAATCAAAGCCCCACAGATATCTAAAATGTACGTAGGAACGAGGTGAGTTATATCTGGGTCTCCAGCACTGAAAGATATTGCAGACAAGAACTCAATCTTTTTCAATGGCCGTCTCGCAAACGCAATCCAACAGAAAATAGATCGAACGCGATGGACTGATTGAGCGTCTAAACGGACAAGGATTTGCGTTAGAATCTTTCGGTAGCTGAGGACAAGTTAGCATTAAGCTATTTAATTAATAAGAAAAGTCGGGCTTACAAGTCGGACAACTCTTTGGGAAGCTCGTTCACAGACAATTTGACTTCAGAACCTTTGTAAAAGATTTTGTTCTCGAGGTAGTTAAGAACCAAGCGCGCGTAGAGGAACATCCCTAAAAAAGAGTTAGTTTCCTATGGTTAAAAGTGTATGAAATTGGCCTGACTTACCGTCTGACTTTTTTGTGATTTCATCTCCAATATCTTCTACCTCACCTGAATTCAGGTGGAGTTGATTGAACTTTTCTTGAAGGGATGGTAATCTCTGCGATATATAGCCCCTTACAGCCAATCGCATACTCTCTTTCTCTTCGGTGAGGGAAAGCACTTGCTTTTTTCGAAGACGGGAGGATAGAATAGGTGAGACTCGGCTAGAAATGAGAACTTTGCTAATTACTCGAGCGGAAGATAGAGTCCTTGAAGTGATTTGGTTTATCAAGGTAGCCACTCTAGCCTGTTTTTGTTCATCGCACTCGTTCAGGCCATCAATGACAATCCAGATGTACTTATCTTGGCGAGGCTCTTGAGATATGCTTGCAAAGAGAGTATGCAAAGTCTTTCGAGGGTGGGTATTGAAGGGACTTTCTTCTCGAAGACAAAATCTCCATAAACGTGAGCAACCAGGTCATAATCTTTTCGGAGGAGCTGAAGAAGCATAGATCTGAGGATCTGCTCATATGTAGTCGAAGAAGGGTATAGATGTGTGCAAAAATGAGAAATAACAAGCATATTCGCGCTCCTCATAAAGTTGACAAGTTGTGCCGATAAGACGCTTTTTCCAGATCCAGGACCGCCTTGCAACCAGAGCACGCGTGTTTCCGGCCTGTGCTGAAGAAACGAGGCGATTTTCTTATCCTTCAATGCCCAACTACATGTCCCCGGGTATTTGGATCCTTCGGCCGATATAGAATCGAAGGTAGTCAACTGATCCGATTCGTCTGCTTTCAGCCAAGATACAATAGACTGATATTGCCTAGCAGCTTGCTCTGCTTCAAAGCGGCTTGTTTTCTCTTGACTTTCTTCTTTCCACGCGTAAATGTCTTGCTGTAGTTGCTGAAAATCCGAGATATGATGGGCCTGCGCTTCCTTATCTATAAGTGTCCCATGGCGTTCCATATCTTCAAGGATATTGTTAAAACGTCTCTGAAAACGACCCCATGATGTGATGAATAACAGCTTCCAGCCTTGGAGGAGAGTTAGAGGTAATATACCTAGGTAAGAATCGGGATGAATCGTGATACTCACTGCTCCGGCGAACGAATATATAAGCATGTTTGTGGAACTCGAGTATGTCGGCGTAGTAGACAGCCAGAGTTTGCTGGAAATCTCTCTTGTTGCTAAAAGCGTTGCTGATAACTTCAAACCTTTTTAGTGACTCGGAAATCCTCGAATACCCTTTGATGATTTGTTCAAAGGCTTCGACATATTCTGAGGCGACTCGTAGAATCAAGGTGATTGGAGCCCATATCCAAGATAGATATGGAGTGCCATTGCATAGAACATCTACAACCTTGGCGTAGTGCTCGAGACCTTGGAAGAGAGGCCCAAGTCTTCGCATATTCCGGAGAGACTGTCTCGCAGCAAGCTGGTTTTCGATAACAAGGGCTGCTTTCCTGACATGATGAAGCGTTGAGTTAGGAAAATCACGAGAGTCGGCAGGAGTAATGGTACGTTCAAGCTCTTCAAATGCCGTTCTCATAGTTTGCCTAGCCAACGCCGAAACTGCTGGTTTTAGAGGCATTTCGAATATCCCTGGGACCTTACTAACCTCGGTGAGTTATAGTCCCACTAACATCTCATTAACATTAAGCTGGTGACTGCATTTACATTGCGAGGCTGCGAAGTTGATATATTGAGAATTAAATTACGGGGCTTAGCTGTCAGCCTACATGTATGCCTTGGCCACAATAAGGAGACAATGCTACCGCCATTAAAAAAATTGAATGTAACAGTCCCTTGACATTGACAATTTGTCGGCTCAAGCTGCACCGGAGTGGAAACTCTGCCACTACAAGTGGTTGAATTTATCATTCATCATCTGGCCCCTACCTGATACCTTCCTATGTACCTTACCTTTGAAGAATCCTGTAATCTACAGTTATAAGCCTCTACGAAAGGCACATTGCCATACTCACCGTCTAGATGGACCGTGATCACGAATCCGACTACCCTTCGAAGCGACCTCGGCTGAACTCGCCTCCAATTTCACGGGCAGTATCGACGCCAGAAGAGTTTAACTTCGAATTTGAGCAGCACCTTACTGCTAAAGCAGAACCATATCCTAATTTTATATCATTCGTACTACAGGATGCTAAACGCAATGAAAAATGGCTTTGTTGCGATAGCAATGCCCAAGTGGATGTCTCATGTAGTCCAGCTTCGAAGCAGAGTGAGACGGTTTGCTTTGGAATGGTTGGTTGATACGCCTCCTGTACTCCTCTAAACTAACATTCATGGAAGATATCACATATATCAGGCACATGTGAGCTATTGGGGATATTCGATATTCTACCCGAGTTTCCTGTTCAGCTTGACAGTTCAGATCGCTTTAGTATAAAAGGTGACGAGAAAATGGACGGTCGTATTCAGTCAATACACGGTCAGATGATACAGGGTTTACTTGATGAGCAAACCCTCGATCTCCACGTGAACTGCGTCCTGAATACGCAGCCAGCAAGGAGTAAATCATTCCGAAAACTCAACCTGCTACAATGTACATTGGAGATCACGATATATGGGCCAATGGATCTCTACGATGAAATCGGCAGTTGGTTTCAGGACTACGAAATTTACCTTCAGGATCCTCGTACATGCCATTTGGATGTTAAATACTACAATCCTCAAAGACTTTCATCGGACAATCTTGAATCCTGCCCTTTGGTTTCAGAGGTAATAAACATGACATCGTCATTAATCCCTCTCCAGCATGTCGCCGAGCAGACCGACATGCTAGATGTTCTTAGCAACAGAGCCGACTTAGAAGAGACACCACAACCAGAGGCTATCAGAACAACATTGAAGAGGTATTCTTCTTGCTTAACTTGGCGACTTTCCTTCCATACTAATGGCTCATATTTACCTAGACATCAAAAACAGGCTCTTACGTTCATACTTGGTCGAGAAAAGGGCTCGGTAAATGCTAAGGGATGCAAAGATATCTGGGAAACTGTTATCAATGACCAGGGACGAGTGTAAGTATTACACGGTGACATTTGTCTCCAAACAACCCAACCACTCCAATATTGGGCACTATTCCATGATTGAGCCAACTAATAGTACTCTAGATTCGTTAACACAATTGCAAATACTTGCCAGACCGAGGAGCCCCCGCAGTTCAACGGCGGCATTATTGCAGATCCAATGGGTCTTGGTAAAACTTTGGTGATGATCGCCTTAACGACCACTGATGTTGACCCTCGCTACGGACTCAGAGCTTTGGATACTGAGGAAGAAATAGAGAGGTTCAGCACACCGGCTACGCTCATCATCATTCCCCCGCCATGTAAGTTTTCCTTCATGTATTTAGGTATCACGCCTAGAAGAACTAACGAACGTTAGTGATTGGTAGCTGGGAGGAACAACTAACTGGGTATGCCATCATCCACCAAGTCACATCCTTATCTACGCTAACAATATAACAGGCACGTCTTCGGAGATCGTCTGAAGTTTTGCCGCCACCATGGCAAAACTAGACTAAGAAGTCTAGCAGAACTTCAAAACATGAACGTAGTATTAACAACATTCCATACCGTTTCCGCGGAGTGGAAGGGGAACGCGAGGGCGGACGACTCGATTTTATTCGCAGTTCGCTGGCGTAGGATCATATTAGACGAAGGTAAGCCCCTTTAGGTTTGTTATAGTGCACTCTATCTCACTGGTTGTCTAGCACATTTCATTAGAAATGGAAATTCAAGGATGTCCCAAGCTGTGTGCGCGCTCGAATCTGACTCTCGATGGGCTGTTACGGGTACTCCAATACAGAACCGGCTTACTGATCTGGCAACGCTACTAAAATTTATCCGAGCCCATCCATACGATGACCCTAGACGGTTTGAAGCAGATATCTCGAATCTTTGGAAGGTAGGAGAAGAGGAAGAGGCTGTTCGAAGGCTCAAGCGGCTTTCAACGTTCCTCCTATTCCGTCGACCTAAAGGAACCATCAACCTTCCTCCTCGGCGGGATCTACTTTTACCGATTGACTTCAACCAGGAGGAAAGGCAGGTCTATGATGGTATGCGGAATCAGGTTATCACCAGAATCGATGAAGCTCTGCACGACGCCACTAGAGCGCCCAGGACTGGTTCATATTGCAACGCCCTCCAGCAAATTGAGTCATTGCGACTCTTTAGCAACCTAGGATTGCACTACCACTCAAGAAATCAAAAGGACGGGAGTTTGCTTTCGGTTCCCGAAGAGTGGCCTAAGGTAGCCCAGCGCACCTTCGACTCCCAAAGAGAGATAACTCCCTTCGTCTGCATGCAGTGCTCTTCAGCAGTTGAACTAGCAGAAGAATGGTTGAATGGGTCGAACGTAATCCGGCAAAGCGGACAATTTTTCGAATGTTTGAAGTATGTCTGCGGTGATTGCGTGGATAAGATTCACCGGCGCAAGCGTCCGGTGAGCTGTGGTCATGTTCCCTCGTGTGCTGTAGCCCCTGTTTCGACGAACAGCACCACTCTAGAGGAGACGCCAGATCTTGTCGCAGCTGAAATGGGCTCGCCTTCGGCCGGTCTTTCCTCGAAGATTAAAGCTCTAGTAACAGATCTTAAGAGTGGATCCGTCGGTGTCAAATGGTATTTAGCCCATTCAAAGAAGTTCCTGCAAAATATTTGCTGACTGTTTATATCTAGTGTTGTATTCTCTACTTGGAGACTTACACTCGACATCGTTCAAGCCGGATTGAATGATGCGGGAATACGTAGCATCCGCTTCGACGGCAAGGTTCCTCAAAAAGATAGACAATCGGCCATAGACAGTTTCAGGACAGATCCGAGTATCAGGGTCATGCTGCTCACCCTCTCATGTGGCGCAGTTGGGTAAGCGTCCACCATTTCATTGACTCGCTCTTAAACCACTTAGTTACGAAACGACCACTAATATGTATCAGTCTCACCCTCACGGTAGCATCGCGTGCTTATCTAATGGAACCACATTGGTAAGATGCTTCACTCTATGTTATGTCTTATCGTTGCTGATGATCCAGGAACCCGACTCTCGAAGAGCAAGCCTTAGCACGAGTCCATCGGCTCGGACAGACGGAGGAAGTCACAACTGTGCGTCTCTATATACGCGACTCGTTTGAGGAGGTAGGTTAATTTCTATAGCACCTTTGAATATTTATATTAACGTTGCAATAGCAAGTTATGCAAGTGCAAGAGTCGAAGAAGCAGCTTGCTGGCGTCCTATTATCACCACATGATGGGAAGAACACGGATAACAGCCTGGCAGGGCTAGAGGTAAGATAAAAATATTCGGTGCTAATGTTCCTGACTAACGCTTGTACAGAAATTGCGCGCATTGCTTTGATGTTAGGTATCGAATAAGTGAGAGGGCGTAAGTAGATTGGTTGTAAGGGGGGTTCTCGTTGTTCTACGTATTATTAACACTGTCTGCACTGTGGGCTAGATAACCCCTATCTTTGTGACTGGCAGTTGTCTCCAGCCGCTAGTTAGGGATCAGGAGATAGGGTATAGCTTCGTATGACTTGATAGACCAGATCCAGAGTATAGAGCACGAATGATACATGATTTTATACCTGTTTTGTCTCGTACATTTGTACCATCAGTCCCTTAACAGAGCTTTGGCGTACACTTATGTAGATAGGGGTGCCTATATATTGCCTCATAATCCCCGAATGTTAACAATTTCCTTCTAGCCCCCAGAACCCCTATAAGAAAGTATTGCCACATCCGTAAGGTTGAGACATTCGGGATATTGTGATAACCTCCAGGAAACTTCGAGGCTTTAGTTTCATCAAGACTTGGCCAAGGCTGGCCGACCATTCTTCAAGCAATCTTGACACGTTCTACTAACAAAGCAGTCTTTTGCCCCCTTTTCCTTCTTCTTCCCGCATTCCCTGCAATGTAAGCGGCAGAGGTAGTAATTACAGCCCTTAACAGGACATTCAACCTTCCAACGGCAATCTTGAGTCAAATGTTGCTCCCCGCAAGGACATTTCTTTAAAGAGCATTTTCTCCCCGAGTGGCCTTTAATACCGCACATGCAACAACGGTAAGAGCACATCATGGCGTTTTGGTGCTTAAAATGGCCGGGGTGGTAGGGGCAACCACACACGCGAGAGCATCGAACGTAACATTCTTGAGCTATGTGATACTGCGGGAAGGGCCGACACTTACAGCGGTTTGACGACTTGACCTGACAACCGCTCGCCTTATGGAACGGCGACCCACAAAAGCCGCACTTTGACGGGCAGTGCTTTGTATGATGGGTATATTGGGCGCAATTATCGCACCGGTGGTTCATCGTTTTGGAAGCATCCTTTCCTTCAGGCTTTTTATAAAACAACTCCGGCTTATCCGTAAACATCTCTCGAATATGTGTTCGACTCAGACTCCTCCGGCGCGAAAGCTTGTCGAGCTCTGATAAACGCCGATGGGGGAAGTGGATGACAAATTTCTCTTCGAGATTGGAGCTGTTGAAGCCTTGGATCGATGCTGTGCCCCATGAACCAACTGGGGGCACACTGTTAGAGTGTCGAGGCCTTCCCCGATGTAAGCTTGTCATGTTTCCGAGTGGCGTTTTCCTGGACGACTTCACGGTTGCTTTGCGTCCTCGGCTAGAATGCGAGCGGAGTGGGCGTTTTAAAAGGGTATACCAAAGAGTACTAGTGAAACAAGGGTCTATACAGAATTGGGCCTCAGGGGAGACATTAATCGGTAGATAATGACCACCGGAATATAAATGATGTGTATATTGCGTTTCCGAGGCCGGCTGGGTATCTCGTAAATGTTCAACGACGTCTTTCTTCCAACCCGGACCATGTTTAGGCGCTGCATGTGAACAGTACGAGTGGAAGTGTCTAAGCCAAATACGCATGGAAGGGCCAGATTCGAGGTAGTGTCGTTCGACAAGCCCCAAGACTGCGCTGCCAATGTCAATCCCATCATCTGACATGATAAAGATATCTAAGCATTGTATCATTATGTTATAAGGGGACGCATATAGTTTTTGTATGTCTGCCGGCTTGAGCAGCCAATTGTAATCGGTCTGCAGTATTTTCGATAAAACTTGCACGTCAAGGCCTAAGAGTCTGTCTCGAGCTTTGATTTGACTGAATAGGCCACCGCGTATCGACTTTTTGTACACATCGGCTTTTACTCGTCTTGGGGCCATGTAGTCTTCCATAATTCGATTCACCATCACACCGCGGGCACCAAGGGGTTTATGTTCATAACGGCTGAAGCTAAGGTCAAGCCCGTTTAGAGGATAATGCAAAGCCATGTTATAAGATATTAAGGCTTCCTAAATCGTCGCAGATACATGGGGGTAGTAATATCGCATTTACCCCTTATGATTATGTAAGGTACCTGCTTATGAGTTTTGATTGGCCAGCTTTCAGACGTGGGTGACTTGTCGACCATGCCCTAGTGAACTATTTGGCTCATGGTAAGAATTCTTTAGTAAGCCCATTATATATGTGGGGTTTATAGTAAGAAATGATATATAGGGGTAACTAGATATGTACCGCAACTGAAGAATGTAGATGATGAATTGTCGAGGTTTTAGAGTTGAAGAGCATTCAATGTAGGTATTGTAAGAAAGGAAGTGTGGCAGGGCTAACTATGCTGCTACGGCGCCAGCTGTCCATGCTTATGTCAGATAGGGATGCATCGTGGCTTGATGTGGCAGATTGAAATAATAAGTTCCGGGGACTGGTTCACAAGGTTCGCAAGGTTCACATATCCGAGGCAGCTGTGAGTGCTATTCAAACTCGAGTGGATCCCTGGGAGCACTATACCCAATCACAAGCTGTAATCTCGCATCACCCCGCGCACCCAACTAACCCATGACGAAAGGAAAGTCTATTACGCCCTGAAGCAATCTTGAACGATCTACCCCGCCAAAATCTATTTGTCCCAACACTTAGTGCTGCTAATTGTACCTTAAACATATCAACAACATCATTGTCGACGAGATCCTACAGCCTTGTTCCCGCTTTTACCGTTGATACTAAATTTATAACAAGGTACCTGGTTCCCGGAAACCTTTAAACTCTCCCCCGTCCTATATCCGCAGGAGAGAAGAGAAACAATTTAGTTGTCGGCTAACACTAGACCGAGTTATTCAGCCTCTTCAGAAAACCAAAGTCTTAAACTCCGTCAAGATGGTCGAGATCAGCCCTGCTTTCGCTAAGGCCCAGGAGGATTCCAAGAAGCTTACCTCTAAGCCCAGCAACGAGGATCTCCTCGATCTCTATGGTACTCAATTCTTATTCTTTTTCTTACACCTAGGTCACCATTGCGTTACCACTCTCCATAATAGTTCACGAGGGTAGAGACTAATAAAAGTTATCTTCTTCCTATATAGCTCTATTCAAGGTCGGCAACGGCGAGGACTTCAGCAAGGCAGACAAGCCCGGCATGTTCGACCTCAAGGCCAAATACAAGTACCAGGCCTGGCAGAAGCTGGTCGACGACGGCATTACCCCCGAGGAGGCGCAGGACCGTTACGTCAAGAAGGTCGAGGAACTGAAGGAAAAGTATGGCTTCGACGAGAACAAGGTCCCCGAGGCCGTCAAGAGCTCCTAAGTCTATACTATCGCCAGTATTTGTCGTGTTGCCTCCGATCGATTAGCCCGTGTCTTGATAGCGATGTTATGCGATAGACAGCATTCCTAACTCTCGGTGAAACGATGGGATATTTGCGATTAAAATCTCCGGGTTGCAAGACGTTGCGGCATCATACAAGCACTAGATACCTTAGATACATATATAAACGACGTAAACCTGCTCTTTAACTGCTGTTGGTGAATATTGCCTATTTTACATTGGACATAAGTCTCGCTAGCTTTTTCAACTACTTGAAATTACTCATAAATTTTTCGAGATGATCATGTCCTAGCAAAGGTCTAGGCGACGATAGACCTCTAGTCGGCTTAAGGGTCCCGTGCAGTTTAATTCTTCACACCCACGATCGCCGTGTTGTTCCTACCCTTGGTGTTTAGCCCCAAACACACCCTTTCGAGTCAGGCTGGGTATAAGTTGCCGTGGCTACCCACGGGAGCTCGCTATCATCGTATTTCTGCAAGGGCAGGCTGTACGGGACCCTTAGACCGACTAGAGGCCCATCGCTGTCTAGTCCTTCGTCCGTGGGCATGTCCTTCATGAAGGTGCCCACCATGGTAGCATTAGCGTCGAATAGTTCAGGCCACATTAACACACCGATTTCCCAAGAGGCAATTCGTATCGTCGCGGTGCCATCTGTAGCCGCACCCCAGGCCTGATGCGAAACATTGGCAGATGTGAGCAAAGCCCAGTCGATAGACTTATTATCATTGTAGCGGATGTATGTCTTGATGTGTGGTGCAGCGCGGTTGCGCCCTCCGTCCCGCGATTCGCCTTCTTCCCCTAGTAGAATGATTAGCTAAAGAGTTTCATGAAAATGACTGAATTCCCAACATACTTTCTCCCTTCTCACAGTCATTTGCCCAATGGTGAAGCAAGGGTTTCATATAATGGAGCTGCTTGGTCTGCGTCGCCGACTGTATCTTCGTATGTATGGAGCCACCGGAAGCATAACCATCCAAGGACCGTCTTATCTCATCCGGGGTGGGGAATATTACTTTGAACGTTGGTCTTGGTGCTTTAGGTTTTGTGGGAGGCGATAATGAATCGAACAGAGTGCGCTGTAGCCATTTATCTGTCGGGGCTAAGGTTGCGATAGAAGATATCTGGACCACGATATCCGACTCTCCTGTGTGAACCGGGACGGACCGCAGAGCGTGTTTGATGCCTGCCCATCCCCAAAAAGTCGTGCTCGGGTCATCGTCATATAAATCATGCCTTCCAGGTATACTTGCAATTAGCGTTCCCCGTACGGCAGAGAAGTCATACTTCTTAAGCTCCTCGACCATAGATCTACAAATATTTCTTTTAGAATTATACGCTCGTAGGTAATTCAGCAAGTCATTCTTGAACCTTGATCCACTGCCAATCTTCAAGTCTGGTTCTGACGAATTTTGCGATTTCGTAAGTAGAGGAAGCTGAGGCGTTTGCCATACGCCATTCGTCAAGTTTGTCCAGTCCTTAGATATCATGTTGGCTGTGTGTATAATGACCTGGGCTGTATCATCATGTCTAAATAGCACGAGCATCTTTGAGTGATGAGTGCCGAATATTTCTGGCATATATGCTGTATGGAGGGTAACATTGTTGTGTTGTGCCGATTGTCGCTGTATCGATCATCAGCACTGGTTGGTTCCCTGGGAGCGAAACGAAGCAAAATGGTTGCTGCCATACCACTCAAGAGGTGTAAAACACATAAACATATAGATACGCACAATGATCTACTACTAATATTGGTGCTATACTACCAGCAAGGGGATATGAATATCAGCTGATAAGTAGTGAATTATCACCTTGAATTGTGCGACTGGATGACAACTCATCATAAGGCACAGAGTATATTACGATCCTATGAGGATTGTGGGGGGCTACGGTAATTTTCGCGTATACGGTTTCATAGATAAGAATACAAGGGAAAGAATGATGAAAATGCCTTACCTCTAGAGACAACCTATTGTTGTCGTCTTTCTTCCAGAACCCATGGACGATATGGACTTTTACAAGAGTTCTTGTATCCTCGTCAAAGTGGTTCATGAGAAAGTCCACATCATGTAAATAGTTAAACTCCCAACATTCTGAGATGAGCGGATCTCCGAGGAGGTCATGAAGTGATACGGCGTCGATGTTTGACTCTTCCGGAAGGTCTCTAATGGTGGTGAGCCGAATCGGAGAAGAAATAAGCTTCCGCTCACGGGCCACCGTTTTCCTGGGAGGGGGAGGACTGATCGGGTGCGAGAGTGACGTCGGAAGTTCACCGGACTTTTTTACGGTGTGATCCTCATCGGTATCACTCAAACGTCGTCTCTTCGATGGAGGCTCCGCCATGTTTGAGAAACGTGACTTGCAAGCATACAGATATTCTGTACGTCGGATGCAATCGAAGAAAAAGATGCGCGGAGTTGTGATTTTTAGCATCTAACCCTTACACCGCATACAGCGCATAGAGTTTATTGCTGCAGGCGCGTATGAAGATATGCATAGAGCCGATGTAGGTGTCAACCAAGTTTCAACAGTGAGTAGATTCCACAGGGCTGACGCGGACGGTTGATCTTATGTCTCGATGTTTTGCTGCCAATGTCGCGATGGCGTATCTTGGCATACGATTGATCGCCACAAACATCCACTATTTTCGGTTTTGTGCATAATATAATGGACAGCAAGATGAAAAATACGAGGATTGAAAGCTGCTTTTGTTGAAGTGTTTCTCGACCAAGATGTGGTTTAGCGAGTGAAGCTGTAAAATCGTAACTTTATATGAATTGGCCTCCCCTCAATTTATTTTCAAGAAATAGAAGCCTCAATACTTTGTTTTCGTCTTGATTCGCAATTGCCTGCTTAAGATGTAAGACTACCTATTAGGTGAGCCACACTTCATCCTATCCAGCTCATCGTGGCTGAGTAGGAATTTTTTGGTTTAGCTGGTTTAGTAAGTTCCAAAATTTAGTTGGTCGCCTTTTAGCAAGGTGTCGCTACTGTAAGGGGTCGAGGCAGAACGTTCTGATAGGGTCTAGATACACTGTACATATTAGTGGGGAAGTACCGTGCCGTAGCTCGTGTCGTGTTTTCGTTATGATTGGCCCTATCTAATTGGCTAATTTAAGACATGTACTTGTCGGTACTCAATCTTACGTACCCCATACAGTCTTTTGCACAGATAACATTGATGTGAACAAGAAGGAAGGCAGAAGGCAGTGCACTGTCCTCTTTTTTGCCCTGGTGCTTAGCAAGAAGACAGACAAGATCGTCTCGTTTCAACAATTCAATTTTCGCATCCTTTTCAACTAAAGTGTTTTTTATCATCTTAATCATAGAAGTGATACCGACGACTGGTAGCGAACTCGAGCCTCTTGAATTCTTTTTTTGCTCTGAGTTGGCTTTTTAATTTAGCAGAACGTCATCGTCTGCTTTTATTCCTGTTCTTTTTTTCCTTTTATTTTTCTTCCATTGAACATATTCCGATGCACTACAGCCGGTGACGCGACTCCCTTGCCCCTTTCTCCAAAATAGTGTGGAAAAGGTCGTCGCCAACTTTTTGCCTACCATCGACCTCCCTGTGTCGAGTCGCGCACTTGACCAAATCAATAATTATCTGATTTCCGATTTGTCACGATCCGATTCCCTCAACCTGCGTCGTCTTATTCGTTGCTTATCGGTATCCTTAATCGTCAACACGCTCGTTACTTGTTAATCGCAACAACAAATCGCACATTGCCTATCATGAGGCTCCTCGCCTCGCTCGCGCTATTCCTCAGCGCTGCTGCCCTCGGCACTGCGCAAGCAATTGGTGCGGAGACAAGTGATAGTCCAGACCGGGAAAACACATACTTTAATGGCAAGAGAGTACCCCCGTTACTCGAGTTAACCGCCGACAACTTCGATAAGGAGGTTAAGCTATCGAAATTCCTTGTTGTCAAATATTATAGGTAAGTTCCTCCTTATTTCTTATATTCAGCCCTAGAATGATATACGTTGGTTATCGTTACATGGAACAAAACTTGCCCTCGAAGATCTCTAGACCGCCTTTCAACAGTTTGCTTACGCTTGTGACAGTCCATACTGCCCTCATTGTATAGATTTTGCCCCAACTTACCAGACCTTGTACGAATACTACTACACCTCCAAAGCCCCCAGCGACTCCGAATCAGCGGCCTCTACGGCTTCCTTCGAGAAGTACTACGATATCCGATTTGCTGAGCTTAACTGCGTTGCTTATGGCGATTTGTGCACGAAGCATGACATTCAGTCGTACCCCCAGACTATAATCTACAAGGATGGCGAGAAAGCCGATTTCGTCAAGGGTGGAAAGGGAATGTCAGCTATTTCGGGAATGATCGAAGGTGTGCTGGAGAAGGAAAAGCCTGGTACTCGGCCCAAGGAACTTGCCCTTCCCGAACCTGGTGCGACTACCTTCCCGGCTACGTCATCTGAGACTGAACAAGGCGCCGAGAAGCCTGTGAAAGGTGAAAAGGAGGATGCCACGGCTATCACTAAGACCACGCCACAAAAAGTGGACAGCACGAAACCATCTAAGCCCACCAAGACTCCTAACGAGCAAGGAATTTCTGTCTCACTCACTGCTGAAAGCTTCCAGACTTTGGTTACAATGACCCAAGAACCATGGTTCATCAAATTCTACGCTCCTTGGTGCCACCATTGCCAAGCCATGGCTTCTAACTGGCAGCAATTAGCTAAAGAGATGAAGGGAAAGCTCAACGTTGGTGAAGTCAATTGCGATGCGGAGTCTAGACTATGCAAAGATGTCCACCTACGTGGATTTCCTACGATTCTTTTCTTCCGAGGAGGCGAGCGCGTTGAGTATAACGGCTTACGCGGGCTCGGCGACTTCATCCAGTATGCCGATAAAGCTTTGGATATTTGCAGCGGCGTCCAGGACGTTGATGCCACTTCTTTCGCTGCTCTCGAGGAGAAGGAAGATGTCATTTTCGTCTACTTCTATGATCATGCTACCACGACCGAGGATTTTATGGCTCTTGAGAGGCTACCTCTTAGTCTCATCGGACACGCCAAACTCGTGAAAACGAAGGACCCCGAGCTCTACAACAGGTTCAAGATCACGACGTGGCCTAGGCTACTGGTATCGCGGGAAGGAAGACCCACGTACTACAATCCTTTGACGCCAAGGGAGATGCGTGACACTCATCTAGTCCTTACCTGGATGAAGTCTGTGTGGTTACCTATCGTCCCGGAGCTTACTGCCTCAAACGCGCGTGAAATCATGGACGGAAAGATTGTTGTCTTAGGAATCTTGAACAGGGAAGACCAGGAGACATTCTTGAGCGCCAAACGTGAAATGAAGCGTGCTGCGAACGAGTGGATGGATAAGCAGATACAGCTTTTCCAGCTCGAACGACAGAACCTTCGAGACGCTAAGCAACTCCGTCTCGAGGAAGCCGAGGATCGCAATGACCAACGGGCTTTGCGGGCCGCGAAAAGCATCCGGATTAGCATGGACATGTCTGACCGTAAGGAGGTTACGTTTGCCTGGGTCGACGGTGTCTTCTGGCAAAGGTGGATTCGCACTACTTACGGTATCGACATCAAGGATGGTGAACGTGTTATAATCAACGACGAAGATGTAAGTTTGGAGAATCATGGCCATTTTATCTGGCTGCATTTTACTAATTGTTTTATAGAACCGACGTTACTGGGACATGACTATCACTGGCAGCCCTATTGTTCCTTCTCGAGTATCGATCCTAGAGACCATCTCGAAGGTCACTGCATCACCTCCCCTAATTAAACCTAAGCTCACGATCTCGAGTTTCGAGAAGATCTTCTTCGACATAAGAGTCACGTTCTCCGAACACCCGTACCTCTCTTTCGGCTGCATAGCAGGCATCGGTCTAGGCTGCGCGTCATGGTTCCGGGGCCGGCTGCGGAGGAATCGTGGACATTTTCGTCTCGAAGATAATCTCCCTATCAAGGAAATAAAGGAGGGTCTCCTTGGCAACACCGCCAACGGGAAGAAGGATTAAGTGAACAATTTCCTAGAGGAAGAACAAAGACTTGGAGCATCGGCATTGGGAAGTGATGGGTTACTGGAGTTATATCATCCAGCGGGAGTTCTGTATAATATTCGCTTGTGTCCTTGCGCTTGCACATGCCACCCATACAACTGTCCATTGTCGTTTTTTAAAATCGGTGTCTTGGCTAAGGATACGTTTATACCAGCTCAGAAAGCTACGGCGCGGCACGAAAGTTTGGGACTACGGGAACGAAATATAGGAGAGGGAATGAGGACCGTCGGTAGAAAAAAAGAGTGGTTATACCAAACCAACCTCTTCTGTTTTATCACGAAAGCAGAGACAAACGCATCAACATAATAATATTCCCTTGCTACTTTATATCTCTGCTGCCATGCTGATTCATATATCGTTGTCTTATGTGCCTACCATAGAATATGTGGGTTTAGGGAAAGGGGGTTCACCTATAAATCAGCGTCATAGTGTAAAATTGCCCAGGCTGATATTTTATATGCCTACGCATGCTATCTATCAACGTCACATACCTGTAACCGGAATATTCGTCAATATTGCTTAAAATTTCGTTCGAGTCTCCGTCTCACTGTTAAGCACGATCTTCTCCCCCTAAACAGTCAATTGGTCACTACCTAGGGGCGCTCATATTTAGCTCATTGGAAGATATAATACGGAGGCGTTTAGATATCATAAAGCATCAGCTCCATCTCACTAAGGATCCAGCAAAAAGCACAGTATCAGAAGTCATTCATTCAGGGAGCTGTCTATAAACAAGAACCTAGGTAGGTAAGCACACGAGACGAGCCTCAAGGTTTACAACCCCCCTGTCCACGAGTCTCGCCAAATCACCAGCCGACATACGACTACGCATAGGTACGCACACACTCAAGTGTAAATCTCATCCGTAAACGCATTCAGCGTAAGCCCATCCTTAGCCAGGTCCTCGACGTCGATCAGAAACTCCAGCGGCATCTCGACGAGGGTACCGCGGACGCGGCTAAGCCACTCCTTGACCTCCGCCACGCCGCCGGGGAACTCGTCGCGCACGACGTGTCCGTACTCGACCTTGCCCTCGCTATTCGCCTCTTCCTCCTCCTTCTTATCATCCTCTTTCTTATCATCGCCACCGGGAATGACGAAGTACCGACTAAAGAAATCCTTATACTGGTCCCAGGTACGTACGAGGTCGTTCGGGACGGGGTGGAACACTTTACTAAACACCTCGGTGTTCGTGCGCGCGGTTTCGGTCCACAGACGCCGGAAGTCCTCGCTCATCGGGTCCTCGACGAGCCGGTCCGCGCGCGAGCCCCAGTCGTACTGCTGCGGGTCGCGGTCGACGGGCGTCCAGTTGGCCGTCGGCTCGTCCCAGCGCTGGTCCGGGAGCAGGCCGAGGTGCTTGCGCCAGAGCTGGCGCCTTAGCGACGTCGCGAACCGGGACGCCGTGTACGGCCGCCCGTTCATCACGCTGTCGACGGGTTCCGGGTCCTCGATCACGACCGCGATTTCGGAATCGTGCGTGCCGAGCTGGCTGCGGTCGTTCAGGTTCGCCGACCCGCAGATCACGAGCCGGTCGTCCGCGATCAGCACTTTGCTGTGGATGTACAGTTCCTCCGACACGAAGGCGTCGAGTTCGGAGTCCTCGGACCCTTCCCAGGGTACGGAGCGGATGTCCGGGCCCCCGTCCATGTAGCACGCCGATACTGTGTCCCAGGTGCGGTCGTCGGTGCGGCGCGCCGCTTCTTGGTACCGGTCGTAACTGCCGTCGTACCTTCCGTCTTCGTTGCCGCCGCCGTACGGGTACCCGCCGACGCGGTCATCGTACTCGCGGCGCGCGTCCTCGTAATCGACGCCGGACTCGCGCTCGGCGCGGCGCAGGGTCGCGGACGCGTTGATGCGGTCGTAGTTGCGCAGGTTGTAGAAGCCGATGTAGCGACGCCAGTCCTCGATGCCTTGCTGCTGCAGGCACTCGATGATGCTGTGCCCGCCGCGGTTGATGCTGTTGTACTGGAACTCCATGATGGCTCGGGTACCTAGCGCGCCGTCCGAGTGCAGGTCTCCTGCGAAGGCGGGTACGGCGGGCATCAGGACGATGACTTGGAAGTCCTCGTTGTTGTTGTACGCGCGCACGATGCGCGAGACGATGGAGGCGCCGATTTTGTTCTCGACGGGCTTTTGCTCGTCGGAGGTCGCGGTGATGAAAAACTGGTTCTCGATGTAGATGAAGTGCTGGGCGTTCTCGATGGCGTTGATGTACGCGTTTGCAATCGAGTGCTCGGTGGGATGGCCGGCAGACCATTCACAGCAGCTAGGCGGTTATTAGTATATATAGTTCTGTTGCGACGACTTACTGGGACGAGGATTGACTAACCTTCGGCAAAGCTGGATCTTGACTTCGCCCGAACGTTCGTAATTGTTACGGCCACGATCGCGATGTTCAACGCCTTCTTCGCCGTCCCATCCGACGACATGTCTAAAGCCTCGGCCGACTTGGCCCTCGAAGTCACCCATGAAGTGGTGGTGATGTTCAGGAGCCCGGTCCCTGTGGCCACTAAAGCCAATCTTGTCATATTTGCCGGCATCTCTCTTGGTGTACTTCTCGTCAAATATGAAATTCCTAGAACAATGTTAGCCACATACATACCGGAACGACATAAAAACATACCATCGGTCTGTGAAGTGGTTGATCAGGCTACCGACAATGGGACCCTTTAGGGAGATGGCAATGTCAGACCAGCCCATTCTCGAGCTCTTCGTTCGGTCAACTAGGAGCCTGTTAAATACGTGCTGCATTTGAGGCTTATTGTTTCATGACTTACGCTTATTATGGTCCCAGTTGTTAACACCCTCGAAGTCGTAGACTCGGGCATTGTTGAAGTCCTGACCGGGGAATATAATCTCATCGAGGTTACCAGGATGAGCATCGGCGATAGGGTGACCTATTATTGTTTAGTACGTTTAGATGTGGTGTTGAATACTCCATCACAACTCACTGTTCGTGTCATATCTTCCAAAGCCTATGTCTCGTTAGCATGAGATTGGTGATTCAGGGACTTGAGATTTCATCATACACATATCCAGACCACCCATGAAGGCAATGCGTCGGTCAACAATGCATAGTTTCTCGTGGTGAGCCCAGTACAGGACAGTATCACCGAATGAACCGTACAGCTGCTTCAATGCATCTCCCGAGAACTTAGACAGGCTGAAATCGTCTAGCCTAAGCCTGTCTAGGGACAAGTCGGAAAAGGCTGTCTCGAGCTTTTTCGTGTCCGTTGGGGTATGGTCAGGATGTCTGAATACCTTGATATTGGGGTGCAAGGCCTCGAGGGCATGCTTGGTGTGCTAAAAAAGGCAATTAGTGAGATTCAGACACAGGGTTAGATCAAACGCATACCGCAGAATCCACTAAGCAAGACACGATATGTTAGTTAAACTTGAAATACCGCTGGCCAAAGGCGTACGTACGAGTCAAGGCCTGAGTAACCTCCTTATATACGATCACGCGAATCTCGACGCCTCTCTCAGCGGCGGCCCGCAGCATATTGTCGAGACGGTACTGTTCATTGCGCGAAGGAGGTCGACGTAGGTAAAGCTCAGGACTCAGCCACCAATCCAAGATATAAACACTCTCTCTGGCCTCTATATCACTCTTTAGTAAATGACAAATAGCAATACTCTAGTTTCATATATCTCATACCTTCAAGGGCTAGAGATACAGCGTAGAAATACGACGCTCCATCGACAAACCACTTTACGGCGCCGGAGGTCTCGGGAGCAAAGGATTGGAAACGATAGTTGCTGGTGTTGGTTTGCGGTTGGACATTCTCGCCGCTATCAGCGTGAGATTGCTCGGCCTGTGGGCGTTCCTCGTCGTCGTGATGATGTAAAGCCTCTTTCACTTCGTGGAAGACGTCTTCCGCCTTACGGAAAAGATCCATCCTGGAGATAACGAGGGGTTACGTATGCAAATATGTGGGTGTAGAAAATAGTTGTGTAGAGTTTTTGAATAGACGTCTAGACTACTAGATACAGAAAGGATAAAAAAGAGTAGAATTGAAGAACGTTAGAGAGGTAGATATATTCTTCATCTATCCGGTGTCTCGAATACGTATAAGTAAACAACTCTCCGTCCCAAGATGATAGCCTTTCTAGTCAGGTTGAATCACGGCTTATTATGGAGGGGTGATCGTGGGACCAAGACGGGACCAAGACGCTTTCTAGCTGAAGTCTTGGCTTGCATCAGCCCCTAATAGCGACTATTAACAAATCAGGTTTCGTTTCCAGGCTTAGCACGTCAGGGGAATCTTGCAACCAACTCCAGTAAATACGATCTTTCAATGGTCATTCAATGGTCATACCTGGAAGTGGTTTGCCAGTAAGCTGAGATGTTGATAGGATGTAGCTGGACGTAAATGGACCTATGAGTTGTAAATATACCCCTCCCCCGCTAAACGTGACGAAGTGAGCTGCATGGAATTATGCACTGTATGAAATACTGTAATTCTTAGGCACAATACGGCAAAAGAGTGACGGCTCTCCGTTGTGGTAGTGGGGTGCCAGCAATGTTTCAAGGAGTATTTCCGGGAGTACAACATTGTCGCGTGACACTGTGCAACTAGTCCAGCTATACATGATACCTGTGAGCGGTGCATCCCAACTGCCCTACCGCCTTCCAAAAAGCGGCAGAATTGTAGACCCACTAAATTTTTCGGCGGTCCCACTTTACAACTTTACCATTTTGCTGCTGTGCGCAAACCTTCAATTGATCGCAACTTCGAACAACAACATTTACCAAACCGGCCAGATCAATATGCCGAAGAAGCAGTCCAAGAAACAAGATGGCCCGTCAGCAGTTGCGAAAGGCGATTCGCGATTCACCAATTTCGAATCGGATCCACGTTTCCGCCTACCTTCGAAGCATCGCAACAAGACTACCCTCGACAAGCGCTTCTCGCGCATGCTGAAGGATGATGATTTCATCGCGAGCGCCAAGGTGGACAAGTACGGTCGAAAGCTGAAGTCGGACAGTAAGAGGAAGGCTCTTAAAAACATATATCAGGCCGACGATGATGACGACGAAATCGATGAGGACGATGTCGTCGAGCGGGAGCTTCAAAAGGCCGATGCCAAATACGATCCGGCTCGTGGTGGCGGTTTCTCCTCTTCCGAGTCAGAATCGGACTCTGAGCCCGATGCTGATGATGTAGAGGAGGAGGAAGCCAAGGTGGATACGTCTGGGAGCATGCAAAGACTGCGCGACGCCCAAGCAGATGTCGAAACAGGAGAGGTTACGAAGCGCCTAGCAATTGTCAACCTCGATTGGGATCACATAAAATCTGCCGATTTATTCTCACTTTTCTCTAGCTTCGTACCTAAAGGTGGACGGATCGAGCGGATTTCCATCTACCCCAGCGAGTTTGGCAAGGAACGTATGCAGCGAGAAGAGCTGGAAGGCCCCCCCAAAGAAATATTTAAGAGTTCGGATGCGCAAGACGAAGATTCTGAGTCGGACTCTGAAGAAGACAGCGACGATGACGAGGATGATGATGAGAAAATAAAAAATGAACTTCTCCAGGAAGGGAACGATCAGGATTTTGACAGCGACGCTCTCCGAGCTTACCAATTAGATCGGCTGCGATATTACTACGCTGTCATGATATGTTCAGACACAGCTACAGCGAATAAGATATATCAAGCCACCGATGGCACAGAATACCAAACTTCTTCGAATTTTATGGATCTAAGATTCATACCAGATGATGTCACCTTCGACGACGAGCCAAGAGACCAGTGCGATTCTATATCACCTGATTATAAACCAACTGAGTTTACCACCGCTGCCTTACAACACTCCAAAGTAAAACTCACATGGGACATCCATCCTGAAGAAACAACTCGGCAGGAGGACATCAAACGAGCATTCAGCGCTAGCCGCGCAGCAATCGAGGAAAACGATTTGCGCGCGTACCTTGCAAGCGATAGTGACGATGACGGCGCTCAGGATGATAATGATGGGGACAAGGGTGAGGGTGAGGATGAGGCGGAAGTGGCAGATGACCAGCCAAAGTTGACGAAAAAGGAGTTGAAAGCAAAGAAGCTTCGTGAAGCACTTGGCTTAAATTCCGAACCTTCGGCCAAACCTTCGAAATCTGGACCAGTCGGGGATATGCAAGTTACATTCTCCGCTGCGTTGATGGATGGCAATGATAAGAAGAAGGAACCGGATGCTGAAGAGACCACGTTGGAGAAGTACATGCGGAAGGAACGAGAGAGGAAAGCCAGGAGGAAGGAGAAGGCAGTCGCAAAGCGTAACGACACTGCCAACCAGGATGAAGCAGATGGTGATGATGCCGCCGAGCCTCAGGATGATCTCGGTTTTGATGATCCTTTTTTCACGACCGAAGAACCTGTTGGGAAGTCTAAGAATTTCGAAAAGAAGGAAGAACGCCGTAAGAGGCGAGAAGCCAAGGAAGCTGAGGCAGCCGAAAATGCCGCCCAAAAAGCTCATCTGGAGCGAATCATGGCAGATGATTCCAAGGAAGCTGCCGAGCATCTTGATCACTTCGACATGAACGAAATCGCCCGCGCGGAGAAACTGAAATCCAAGAAGTTCAAGAAGAAGGGGAAGAAAGAGGCTGAAGATCATGGTGGCCTCCAGCAAGGCTTTGAGATGGATGTCAAGGATGATCGGTTCAAAGCTGTGTTCGAAAGTCACGAATTTGCGATCGATCCATCAAATCCCAAGTTTAAGGCTACCCCGGGAATGAAGCAGTTGCTAGATGAGAGACGCAAAAAGCGGAAAAATGACCCGGATGGGGCCGATGGACAACAGCGACACAACGCTAAATCTAAGAAGCAAAGGAGATAGAGCCAAGAGGTTCTAATGAACAGATAATTCTACACCTTGGCGATACGCTTAATTCGAATTATCCAGGGCTACCAATCACAGATTCTATCCTTCGTAGCTCATGCTATTCTAATCAGACCCTTGACCATCGGCATCATTTTGAAGAACACTAGGGGTTAGATAACTTCCAACTCAGGTATCTAGTTGCTAACTATGTCGTAGAAATATTTCGTCTCACCAACCTACCTAATATGGTTCGCTACCTCTGCGCTAATGCCCACGATAACTCTTAGTATACAAAGAACGACGAAGGCCAAAGCCCAGTTTCAGATCAGAAGTGTCTATTGAATATTTATTCTACCAGTGCCGAGCAACGGCGGATGCAATCTTCGTTAATTTACCCAATGATTCTATCATGAGATTATACCCTGAACCCTTTATACCTAGCCGTCCTAAACTCATGAAATGCTACCTGAAATGCCCAATCTACCATTTATAAGAAATCATAATATCATTACCTCGTTTTTTATAGCGCTTCCTTCGAATTCTATACTTGCACCTGACACCTTGACTGATAAATCTGAGAAAAAATGGTTCCGAGCAAATAATGTCACTGTCATAGCACGATCCATCTATCCATAGACTCGAAGCCCTAAACACTGCTGTGACATAACATCCGGGGTCGACATAGGAACCAAACCTGACACGAATCAATGCATTATAGTTGGGCACGTTCCAGCTTCCTCGTTCCGCGAACCCGTTTTGGTCTTACCCGACACGTCGGCATCCATCGCGGAGCCACGGACATGTTTTCTAGGCACCCAAAAGAGCTGCACAATTCCAATCACGGCAACGCCGGCGCAGCTGAGCCAAGCAGCTGCGGACCCGCCGGCGCTGTAGATGATACCCACCAAGGGAGGAGACAGAGTCCGGGCCAAGCAGCAAGCCGACATGGCCAACCCGTTGACCTTCCCCAGCACCAGAGGCGACGGCGTAGCATCCTTCAATAAGATGAGGGCGCAAGGGATGACGACGATACCGAAGAAGCTCTGCAAGATCATCGAGAGGTATATGCTGGGAGACACCAAGGCCGACGGCACGGCGGACAGGAAGGGCATGAACACGTACGCGAGGGGGTAGAGCACGACGTTGCAGACAAACGACTTCCAGACCCCGACCTTGTCCACGAATATGGGGAATATGACGCCCTGGATGAATAATCCCAAGATGCCGTTGATGGAGAGATAGACGCCAACGTCGTGGACGGTGTATCCTAAGCCACCGATCAAATCGAGTTCGCCGGGGGCCGCAGCTGGTTTGTCCAGAAGGTGTGTGGGGAGGAGGGTGTTGAAGGCCATCTGGTGGTACGATACTAGGACAAGCGCGATTGTCACCATGATGATGGTGAAGTTGAAGGTTCGCCCGTTGAAGTTCTCGATTGGCTTGGGGCTTGTCGGGGGTAGCTTGATCGAACGCACGGTCCCGAAGGACGACCTCCTCAGATCGAAGTTCTGCTCAACGGGTAGCGGGAGGCTCTCCTCGATAAACAGCGGCCTATCGCCGGAAGCGCATGATCGACTTCTGATAGACGATTCTCGGTCCGTGGGGCGATGAAGCGGCGTGCGCTCATTGGCCATGTCATCATTATCCTCGAAAACGTCTTCGTGAGTAGCCTTCTTGCTTCGGGGGTTGGTCTCCTCGAGGAAGAGAATGCCCTGGATAATAGCTAGTATGATGACGACGACAGACACGAGGTTTGGCAAGAGGTATGGATATCTTCCGAAAAGACCGTCGGCGGGAAATATGGACGGGTAGAACCTCGCCGGTTGAGCTAAAAACCCGCCCATGGCAGAACCTATGATACCTCCAAGAGTCCAGACGAAGGGTTGCGAAGCATAAGCGGTCGGCTCATGCTCCGGTACCTTGACCATCTCGGCCACCATCGTTTGCATGACCTATGATAAAAGTAAGCTATTTTTTGCCCGCCCGCCAGTAAATAGACATCGTCTTTTAAATTTCGGAAAAACAAAATTTCAAACAAAGAACGGGAAAGGTTAAGAATTATATTTAGTAAGAAAAAAAAAGACAAGAAAAACTTCACCCACAGCAACATTCCCATTAAGCGCCCCACCGATAAACCTAGCGAGCAGGGCGACCCAGTACTCGGTAGCCAAGCCGAAGATGAGGCTCGAGATCGCCACGCCGCCGAGCCCGAACAGGACGACGGGCTTGCGGCCGTACCGGTCGCTCAGGGCGCCCCAGCCGATGGCCGTCATGGCCTCGGCGACGGCGTACGCCGAGACCAGCAGGCCCGCGTAGAAGGAGGCGTCGGTGTCGTCGCCGCCGTGCAGGTCCTGGACCATGACGTATGTGTACGCCAGGATGGAGTTGAAGGCTATGGGCTCGGAGAAGCGGCATATCGCTATTGGGATTGGGGTTAGGTTAGTTTGGTTTGGTTACGGGAGGAGACGGGCAACGGGGGGAAGACGGAAGAGAGAGATTTTCTCTCTTGCTGTGATAGGAGCGGCGAGTGCGTACCGAGTATGGTAAGTTGCTTGGTGGGAAAGGCATGTGAGACGGCGTCTCGCGTGCCGTCTGAAGGCATGGTAGTTTCAAGCCCGTAAAACTTCCTACCACTAAGACGATGGGATTGTGTGCCTTGCTTATGGTCTCTGTTTTCGTCTTATAACACCTGCTACCTCTGGATAGCTAATAGCCAGGTAAAGTTGTTGGAGAAGGTTGCTGATCCCACCACCCACCAACGAAGGAGTTTAGCTCTGAAAGAAACGGCCTTTTACAACAGCTTGTGCTGTGCGGGGAAGCGCCGCTTGCGACGTCGGCCAGAGTGGGTTGGGGCGGAAGGGGTGGGCGCGTCGATCGCTGTCTGTGCCTTTGGGGGGGTCTAATCGGCAGAGGGGTCCTTGCATATATAATAATTAGGTATACAGCGGTTTCGAGAGTACAACATCAGGTGAATGAAATACAGGAAAGTAAAGTGGTGGGGGTCGTGTGAAGCTTAACAGTCGGCAGATGCGTTTCTGAATATAGAATCCGCTATAGGGATCTGACAAGTCCAGACTCTAGTTGACAGCTCCACTTGTAGGCGAATTAGTTATGCAACTAGTTGTCGAAAGCTCAACGATTCTGTCCTATACAGTTTCCACAATTGTAAGGGTAATTGCCTAAATAGGCAGTGATGAAATTAGTGGCATCATGGTCTTTGAGTTTAAAATCATTCTCATCGGCTTTTGGAATGGGTCAATTCAAATGAAGAATAGTTGTGATACCTCCTGGTCTAACGTGCTAATCTAAAGAGATATGATTTGTGCTCGAGAAACTTCGATACACCCACCACCATAGCTATGAGATACGGTGTGCACGCTGTGGCGACCTAAAATAGGGGGTGGGTCAGAAAAAAAAAGAAAAAAAGAAAACGTACAACACTGGGGATTCGCTGGTCGTCACCGACCCAACTACTGATCCAGCGGTATCCAGCTTGTCTAGGGGAGAGCGGACGGGATCCCGAATTCTCTAGATCCTATGGTCGTATGTGACAGAAAGCCCTCTTATTATTGTATATAAGGCAGAAAACGTTAGGGGTGAGTAGAACTCCAACGGGAAGCGCTAACAAAGGGGTTCCGAGGTGATGAAGGGGGGAAATATTATTTATTAGCTAGATGTCTGAATGCCTGGGTATATTCTGTATCTGTTCTTTATGCGCCCGCGGGGAAATCAAAGTGCCTCGATCCGTTCTAGTTTGCGCGCCGAGAATTATGAAGATAGGTTCGATGCAATATATATATAAAGAGGGTAGTGTTCCGTCCTCAAGTCTTATCCTTCTACAAATCGTCGTCTTCTTCGTCTGAGTCGTCGTTGGTTTGGCTAAGAGGGCCGATCAGAATTGACTTAACAGGGCTAGACATAGTCTTGACATCGACGTTATCCCTGCGTAAGTTTACGAGTTAGCATTCTTGTACTCGTATGTCGCTATTCTTCAAGTGCCCAGCGAGTGAAATAGGGGGTCGCAAAAATGAGAAGGGGATAACTTACTGCTCATCGCGCCGGCCAAAACGATCTAGGTAGTTGAGGTATCTCTTCCCGTTCTCGCTATCGCCGAGCCGCACGAAGTGGAAGGATATATAATTCCTATCCAGGTTCCTTTTCGCTAGTTCTTTCCTCAACAGCTTAATGGATGTCTCCACGCCGCACGCTGCCGTGTCATCCCCACGCCAATTACCGTCGGTGAAAACGTAGATACTCGTAGGGCTTCTGGCGCGAATGTTAATGTTGAAACCGCGTATGTAGTTCGGTAGGCGTGGGATGATCACATCATCGATCAAGCGTCTAAAACGAATCTCCATCATATCTGGCTCGCGTTCATACTCTCGCCGTGCTACTAGCTTGGGCAATTTCTTGCTCCGACGACTGTAACACGGACGCCTAGGTCCTGACACGAAAGAGAGCTCAACTTTGTGTCCTTCGAGCCGCCTCGTTAGAGAGTAGAGTCCTAGAAAAGCATCCTCGATTGACTCTGCATGCTCCTTCATCGAGGTCGAGTCGTCGATGAAGAACATGTGATGCCTATCGGGAACGTTGACCTCGAGATTTTTCACGATTCTTTCGATTTCCATCTTCATAGAACTGTGATAGTCGCCTCTGTTGCGGCTTGTGGTGGACGGTCGTTTGCTCATATACTCTCCTAACTTCGCTAGAGACAGCCCTTGCCTTTTCGTTGGTGGCGGCGGCTCTGGTTGTAGCGTCCTAGGCGACGAGTTGAGTGACTCGTTGTTTGGACAGTCAAAGATCTGTTGAAACCTGTCTTGCATTTGCCTCGCGTTAGATCGATTGTTTGCATTGGACAACAACATATGCTTTTCTATGACGTCGATGACACGAGGTGTAATAAGGTCGTCGACGGATATGCAGTGTTCGCGGATGGTTGCGTGCATCTCGTCGACGACAGGGAGCCGTTTCAAACCGTCGTGGAAGCAACCTTCGTAATCGTTGCCGCGAAAAGCTCGTAGGGTTTGGTGATAAGCTTTCCGTCGCTCATAGTATTCGGTTATCTCACTAGGGCCCCCCATTACCCAAGCGGAAGCTTCGCTTAGGACGGTTCCAAAGGAGAAAATATCCGCCCGGGTGTTGATCGTATTGGGGATGTTCTCGTGATATAAGGCATGATGACTAGACTCAGGGGAGCCTGCTCAATGTTAGGATGGATAGAATAGAAATAGCTCGAGTAAAACTGACTGTAGAACTGATTCCCGATTCTATCGCGTCCCATCGCGTCGATGCTATTCGTTTTCGAACCCCTTACACGCGTGAAGAGCCCGAAGTCTGCGATCTTAGGGACGAAGTCATAAGGCGAACCCGAGGACCCTTTGAATAGTAAGATATTCTCGGGCTTGATATCTTCGTGAATCCTAATGAGTTTCAGCTAATTGAGATGCATGCGGGCGTTAAAACGCATGCCGCGTCTTACCCGTTAAGGTTATTACCGCCTGAATTTATCAAGTGGTGGATACAGTGCAGACCTGTGAAGCATAGAGACATGATTTTCCAGAACTGGATGACTTCATCCCCCTTCGGACTGGGAGTTTTCTTGAGAAACTCAGCTAGATCACCCCCATTGGCATATTCGAGTATTATGTTGCAAGTACCATTCTGCCGAAAGGAGCCATAGTAAGTAATGACGTTGGGAGAACGCGAGTTGTTGAGCGTCCGTAGAGCGTTAACTTCATTTTCGTATATCCGGTGGAATCTGGGATTATGGTACGTCTTTAGTACGAAGGTGTTCTGATTTGGTCGGCCTTCCTGCGCCTATTAGAAAGAGGAAGTCAATTTAAGGCACTGAGGGGCAAAGGGAGTTCCTTACGAGAGAATGGCTTGAATCGTCAAGAGTCATCTTTTGGATGATCGCCGCATCTCCCTGTGTAATGCGTTCGTGTGTGATTCTTTCCAGCTTGACGATTGGTAACACCTGGTTGGGGTTCAGGTGACAATCTTCTAGGTTGGTAGGTGTGAAGATCAGCGGGAAGAACATCCATTGGTTCCTGGAAACGCTGCCATATAAATTATCGTAGAAACTGCCCTTCCATTCATCCGGGCGTTTCTTGAGCGGCAGTACATTGTCGTGCAAGTTGTGCTTGGTGAAGTGTTCTAAGTTGGAGACTTGGCCGCAGTAGACAAGCATAGAAAACACACGAATGTAGCCGTCCCGAATAGTATCCACACAAAAGGGAAGCGGTGGGTTGGAAGCATTCAAGACGCTTGCGATTTTTCCTATTTTCCAATAGTCGCGTAATATAGGAAACGGAATAAAGCTCTTGTTATTCTCCGAGAACTCCTCAACATGCTGTTTAGCTTTCTGGGCCACAAAGTCAGAGAAGTCAGCAAAAGGCTTGTTGGTGCCAAAATTTGGGATGACTTTCGGTGGGCGCGTCAAGATACGGCGGTTCTTTTTCGGTGTCATGGTGAATTGATCGATTACGAAACGAAGTCTCTTGTGGACGGATAGTGATCACTCGACACATAAGCTGGTATAGAAGATCGCAAAGTGAGAAAAAATTAGTTCATGCCATGGTTGTGTTTATAGATAAACAGAAAGGACAAAAGACAATGGGTGCCATTATTTGTCAATGGACCCCAAACATAGCAATGGGAGCTGTAGGCAGATACTGAGGCCACCAGATAATCGCTCAGGGTTTTCTTCCCCCCCTTCAACCTTGCTATAAGCCTAGTTGCCTAGGTACGCTGTTTTCTATCAGAATTGCAATGCCTCTCATGGGTGTTATTCAGTCAGCCGTAGCGCATTAGGGCGGGTTGCCTTGGGGGTTATACATCGCTGAAAAGGGGCGCGAACCATTAGCAATTGCTGTGGTATGACCGATCTGGAATAATGACCTGGTAACCCCGCGTCGGCGAAGCAGGGGAAGCTCATTGGCATTGGGGGCCATTCTGACAAATGCAATCGCTGTAGGTAGTTCATCAGATTTCGCCTCTGGTATGACTTTGTGGGTTAAAGTGGCCTGACCTTTAGACCCATGAATATAACCAGACGTCTTATGGTTCCTAGATTTTGGTGGTGGAATGAAGTATTAGTAGGTAGGAATAGGACGAAAAGTTGATTTTCGGAGTCAGGGGCTTTAGATTTGGATGGTACATGGGTAGGTTATTTTATCTAATCTTATCAAACTGGTAACTTTCACGTGTTTTGCCAATTTGCAGTATGAATAATTCCTCGAGTTCAATACATTCAGCGCTGGCGATTCATTGGAGGCTATCACATGTAAAATATATGGTGGTCAGCTTTAATAAGGAGAGTGTAAAAATAAACCACCGATCAATTCAGCTGGGTACAAATTTCTTCTATAAATATCAATCGACCGAAGTAACCCCACTTTGCTGTGCTCCGAGATACCGGGACGATCCGCCGATAGCTCCACACATAGCCGTGCTGTAGTCCGGCCTCCTGAACTCTAAAGTGCCCCTTTCTTCTTTTCCCCTGTCTATAATAACCACTAACACCTCAAAAAACGCAGAATCGTACTTGGGTAGATACCCTATCCTACATTTGTAGGTTCTCCCCACGAATAACCATCCCACTGTTATCTCCGCCTGCTGCAGGTGGCTGCTGTTCTGTCACTGGCAACACCCATTTCCTCTCTTCGTCCTTCCGCTTGCGTCGCATATAAAAGTATAACACGGACCAGGCCGATAGAATAATAACCATCATAGGTAAAGATACAGAGAAGAATAGTTTTAGGGCACTGTCTCGGATGACCCATTCGGAGTCAAGATTCCCATCGTCGTTCCAGTTGAAAACGCCGCTGCTGAATAATGTCTGTGCTGATGTCAGAAGGTGTGGGAAAAGCCGTGGAAACTTTGTCCATACAGCAATAAACGTCCCCGGAAGGAAAATAAGCGTAAATATCGTAATCACATGCATGGATACCGTCTCTTGCTCCGTCCGAATAGCAATGCTGTGCATTTTCTGGGTCATCAACTCCATGCGATTAGATGAAGTCCTCGCGCTGTTTGCGAAATATTCAGATACTTTCTCGCTCTTGTACTGCAGCAGTGTAGTAAACTATGGCAACGCATCATTAGTGGCTTGTATCGGCCGACTCGTGAGTATATCCAACGTACCACTGTCTTCGCATTTTCTAGTGCCCGGGACAACGTCTGTATGCGACCGTAATGTCTGTCTAAATCCCTTTCGATACTTCGTATCTTGGCGAGGAAAGTTGTTAAATCGCTGTCGTAAAGGTCCTTCTTCATGTTAGTCGTAAACCCGTATGACTCGACAACCGAGCGATAATGTTCTCCTATCGCTTGAAGCACCCCTTTGTTCTGTTCGATGACTACCAGGGCCTGTTCTATATCTCGACCTAACAAGCTTAATTTTTGAAATTTCTCAAAGGAGAACTGCTTTTCAAGCTCAGCGAGCTTATCACCTTTATCTTCTTCTGATTCTGGTTCTACAACTAGACCAGCCGATGCTTCGACATCTTTCTCGCTTGGTTCATCCCTCGGGGAGGTGGATATGCCGGTCTCAAGCCCAGACATGCGCCGGATAATTGCCAACAGATCCGATGAAGAGCGAGGAAATGTCCGTCGTCTAGGGTTGGTCAAGGAGCTATCCGGTTGGCTTCCCCAAGTGTTCGTAGCCCTTGGGGAATGCAATGATTCGATTTCTTCGGGCCTAACCATCTTCTCAACTGGTGCGGCTTCCCCTTCCATGGTGTTTTGGGCAACCTCCGCCTCAAGATAGTCGATGTACTCGGCCCAGCTCTCAGAGCACCATTCAACCATCATCGTCTGTATCTGTAGCCCAGCGATAAATGATGTTTCAGGGCTTTCTATTTCTGAGGCCTTCAAGTGCCTATGGCTTTTCGTAGCGGCTAAGATACGGCGCGCCATTAACTGGTTTCCTTTAAGGATAATCCACAGCGACCGCCCGTTCGTGACGTCGAAAGAGTGATACATTGCGACTTGACGCAGAGGCCATTGGTTCATTTCGTCCTCGTTGCGAGTCCGCTCTATAGACAAGAGGTTGAAAGCATGTTGTATCTGGATTCCAGATCGCTTGAACTCCGGTAGAGCGAGTTCGGGACTATTCTTTTCGAGATAGTTCTCGTGCCTGAATGAGGCATGCGCCACAGGGGCCCCTCGGGTGCTAAAATTCAAAACGAAGTCCAGGAAAGAAGGCATTACTTGATAATAAGTGAGTAAATATGTGAGTTGCTCTTTGCTGCATCCTAATGCACCCCGAGACGATGCAGCTTGGACGAATCTATCTACGCGTTAGCTGGAAGCAATAGTTAAACAACCCGATTTTCATACACCATTCGCCATAATGGAGCGCCATCTTCTTCGTCGATATAACTGCTAAGTTTATCAACCGTGTTGAGATTCTTCGATAAATCAAAATTCTCGTAAAGATTGATACAGGCTAGCGATCGATATTTCTCGTCGAATATATTATTGCTATTGAGTCTTCTGCGATAAGATTCAAGAGTGTGGCCGAATGCTTCTGTCCTGAGAAGGTTCACGGGATAATCTGAAGTCCTGTTGACAGACTCCTCGAACCGAACCGCACAATCCATTGCGCTTTGTGAAGCCATGGCGACGGGACAGTGTGGATTTCGCTTCTATGTACGGTATTGAATTATTCGATTCGGGTCAAGGGGAAGGATTAGAGACGTCATATAACTAACTGGACATACATAAATACATCGTCAAAGTAGAAGTCGAAGTGGAAAAACTATTTTGCATTTGTATTGAACGAAGGCGTATTCCAGCTGTGCGACCTACACTGCCTTGTAATAGGCCTCCTGCGAGCTTTCGGCGCGTGCGACTCAGCCCGAAGAAACGTGGTAAGAATTTCCATGCCTAATCATAGACCAATGGAATCACGAAATGATTATTCCCCTCTCTCAAGTCATCCTGGCTACACGGGATTGGATGGCTCATATCTAACCAATCATGAATCACTACGGGCACATCTGACCCGAGAGTGCCTTGCTGCGTTTCTTCCAGCGTGCACGGCCTTATTTACCACATAGGATCTTCATCTTCGTTGTAACGGAGATTCCTGTAGATATACTCCTTCTCATCCTGAGTGCCTGGTTAGAAAATGTCGACAGTCAGACTCTAATTGGTATAATTCTTACTGGGCGAAGTTTGCGTGGTACGTTGAAATGGTAGAATGATCTGCCATCAACGGACGTCTATCTTCCCAGTCAGCCTAGACTTTAGCCACAGTACGTAAGAGGTAGGTAGTTCTTACAGAAACTGGAATCTCCTGGTTGAAAATTTGCCTCAAGTAGTCCCTGAGGGCCTGTGGTCGGAGGCGGTACGTCAAGACGGTGTCTCTTACGGGCATGATCGGTTATATGACAAAGTGCTTCTTCGGGTTGAAAAGCTGTGTGTTTTAGAGCATGGCAGACTCCATACTTCGCCCCCAAAATCTGCCTCGCGACGCTATTTATGATTCTGGGCTTCTTCGACGGACCCCACATGCGGCTCTTTCTTCATACTTAGGTACCTATCCTATCATCACGAACTTAGCACGAAGGAGGGGGCGCCATATTGTGATAGCCCCTGTTGTACAATGCCCATAGCGAAGATAATTCGTCCGATAATGAATCACTGTTTTATATACATCAAATATAGTAACACACCGAGTATCTCTCCAATCAGCCTGTGGATCCAGGGTAGGGTGATGTGTCTATCGGCCTCAGGGTCTAAGGGCTCCCCTCACGCCACTGAAGAAATCATTGGTTGCGAGGTATGCTTCTTCGGAACCGGGGCGAAAGCTCACGAGTACACTTCCTTCCTTATTGTGCGAAGAGGCGACCGACCTGGTAAGCTGACCACATCATGCAGCGAAGCAAACGGCATATGAAACATGAGACGGATCTTGAGTACTTGCGCAGCATCGAGTACGCGGAAGGCAATTGTTGGACAGGGCTTACCATGCATATCTAGCTGTTGTTGCAACTGCGCCAAAAGAGATTCCTATTTAGGATATCTTATTTTCGCTTACCTATATTTCAGCTATGCAGTAGTGGCTCAGAAACCACAGCCTCTTTGCCTCCATGGCATGAAGCCTACAAGTAGACCTTGTGGGCAAATGCGCAAGACTGTATTTTATCTGATGGTGGCTGTAATAGAGCATGGAAACATCCTTCGCCGATTACTTCAGAGTCGTGATTTTGACGCCTACGGAAACGTCTAAACCTCGCTTTGCTAACTTTGCCATTAAGCAGTCTTTATCTCTTCAGGTATAAAATCGCCGTTACCAACCGAACCCCGATCTCCTATTCATATCAACCCGTAGTAAGCCGAAACCCGGCATTTTGCTAGGTGAAGAAGAGAGTGTTTACTAGAGCGACACCAATAGCGCTGATAGGAATCGAACCTAAATATCCTAATAACTAGCCTCTCTTCCCAGTGGTGACTGGAGGGCATTGATCATTCTTTAAGAAATTATCAAGGCCGGAATGATAACCGGTCGGCACTTAAGTGGGTTCGCTTAATTAGGGCGTCCCCGTATGGACCCGTCGTCCACCTATCCAACGAGCCTCAGTTTTATCATTGGACATAACGAAGCCAAATTTTCATTCAGTAGGGATCCAACTCCTTATGAGTTCTGCCGTCAAACAACCTGAATGGGTTTAGAAATCGGGCTTGTGGTTTAGTGGTATAATACTCCCTTAGCAGGAACGATCCAATGGCGACGATCTACCTCACGATAGACTCGTTTCTAGGATTCGCCTACTGACTTGGGAGTGGTCCGGGGTTCGATTCCCCGCGAGTCCATCGCATAGAGGTTAAAGTCCTCTTGTACCACCCTTTTTGATCTTTTCAGTTCGAGATAATTGCGCCTCGGCAAGTTGAACATGTTGTATTATAAAAAACGGTGAATTAAACAACTGTCATCCATCACATTTATGCGTACTCCCAAGCATCTGGTCCAGAGGAAGTATACGTCCTGACCCCAGTATTCAAGCAACCCTCTCCTCCCACCCCGACGAACACCTGATACGTCCTCTCCCTCGGCTCTCCTTCGCTGACTGGGCAAATTGTCCAGGACTGATCGCTGTTAGCCAAAATAGTGGGAGCACCGAACGCCTGGCTTTGCTCGCGGCTCCAGCCGGTAGCAACAGCGCCCTCGGGCAACGCTCCCGAATGCGGGACCGTATACGACAGCGAACCGTCCGCGGCAATGTATACTACGATTTCACTCCGTTAATCACATATCCCTTAGGTACCTACACGGAGAGAGTCTAGTCATGATAAAGCACACTCACCTTGCTGGCCACCAGGTACCGCGACATCTAGAAATAAGGTGTCGTTTCCTCCCGTGAACACAGTTTTGGACCCGGGATAAGCAGAGCAATCGAGGTTTTCGACATCGTCCGGACAATACGCGGAAGTGTCCTTGTTTATGAAAAACTTCCCTCCGCTAGCATTGATAGCGACGCCGGTGAAAAAGATGTCGTCGGTCGTGGGCATTCTCCAGACTCCGGCTGTCCAAGGACCCTCGGGCGCGTCCCTCTTAGCGATTGCCGCCGCAAGGGCGACGACTGGAAAGACGAATGAAGTTGCGAAGGCCCTCATGGTGATGCGTTATTTGAAATGGTTGGCTGCGGTGATAGGCGCTTGATTGTAGTGAGTATTCAAAAGTGATTGATGATCACGATAACCTACCTAGCTAGGTAGCTTTACCTACTTATACCTCTGTTGGCGATGACAAACGACGTGGTCTGCTATCATCACACGTTACTTAGACACGATTATAACTTGGCATGTATCATGAGAATTTACGTATGCTGTCGTCTTGGCTGAATGCGACATCACAGCTTAGATCCAGTCGGGAAGTTATTCCCATAGTTCTAGAACCCAGATTCGCCAGCTAATATATCTAGCGTTCACGCAAGTAACATAGTTATTGATATTAATACGAGGAAACATGCACGGAGGAACCACATTGGTCCCGGAACCTCTCCAATCACGCATTGCTTAAAGATGGGTCAAGACTAATTATGGAAGCGGCAGCGGCGTTAGACTTGTATTGGTGGCCTCCGAAAAGCTCGTCATATTTCTATAGCTATTGGAATTTGAAATATATAAGCCATTACAGAATGTCCACAACGATAGTTTAAGAGCCTAAACACTATCTAGAGCTCAATCCTAATACCACTCATCATAAGAGCATCGACCTTCGTCCCTTTCTTGAGCGGTTCCTTGCCACTAGGCATGCACAGCAAAGAGTTAGCACCCCTTAAGCTACCAACCTTCGAACTCCGTTGTCCGCCAGTGCTAAAGGCAACCAGATTCCCATCTTTGCCGACTGAGACGACGGCGCGATGGTACTCGGGCCTCACCTTGTCTAAGGCGAAATCGTGAGATAAGGTGACCGGTACTTTCGTCAGGCCGACTGGCGAGATACCCGATATCTGGTGAAGAGAAGGTAGGACGAAAAGGTGAAACGTAACGATAGCCGACGCAGGGTTTCCTGGTAGGGAAAATATGACCTTCGTAACTCGTTCACCGGCATTGTTCTTAACGGGGACTGTAGCGAATGTCGTTGGTTTGCCCGGCTTCATGGCAACGCGACCAAAGTGAATAGTTCCACCTAGCGACCTCTCAATAGTCGGCTTCAACAGATCAAGTTCGCCCATCGAGACGCCTCCAGTTGTAATGATGAAGTCAACTTGTCGCAGACCGTCTCTCAGCGTCTCTTCCAAAGTACCAGGCTTGTCTGCTGCGATACCAAGATCAACGACATGATATCCACTTTCTTTTGCGGCGCACATTAATGTTATGCGATTAGTATCGCGTACTTCTCCCAATTGTAGATCACCGGGGCGATCGTGTTGAACGATCTCATCTCCCGTAGACAACACCCCTATAACAGGTTTGCGGTATACTTTTACCTCCGGAACCCCAACGGCAGCAAGGAGACCAATCTCTCCACCGACTGCTGATATTTGCTCGCCCTTGCTGAGGATGGTTGTCCCTACTTTGATATCGCTACCAACTTCGCGAATATTCTCTCCTTCCTGCACATCTTCAGCAAGGATCTCTACTTCTTTCTCTTCTTTACCGTCGTCAGTCATAGTCTTCAAAATCGTATCCTCAACCATGATAACAGAGGTAGCCCCGGGTGGTAGTGGTGCTCCGGTTGTTATTCTGGCGATTTCCCCTTCTTTGAGGGGTTTAACATGGCCTGGTGAAGCATGTGATACTGAGACGACAGGGTAAACGCCCTTCATATTTCCATTCTTGGGTACGACAACAGCGTAGCCATCGACGATACTCGCTCTGAAAGCAGGTACATTCTCTCTCGCTGGGATGTCTTCAGCCAGTACGTGACCGGGAAGTGACCTATCAACTTTTAAGGTAACAATTTCCGCTGCTGGCGTCTGTTCCTTGATCTTTCCTAAGGCATCATCAACCGAAAGCATAGGGTATGGGGACTCCCTATTTCTCCGACTAGGGCCAAGGCTAGGGTCATTGGACATGGGATTTGCGCTAGGTGCCGTGTGTCTGACTAAATTACCGTGGCCGTGACTATGCCCGTGACCATGGCTGTGTCCATGACTATGTCCATGGCTATGATGGTCGTGTGAGTGATCATGAGAATGTGATTGACTTCCGCCCGGTCTTAAACCAGCTTCTACTTCGAGCTTCTTAACCCCACCGGCATGTAATGTCCTCGAGTCCATACCAGCAGCTTGCAGGCATGCATGTGGCAGTGTTTTCAAAACTGCTTGTAAGTTTTCCCGAGCTCCTTTTGGTGAACCAGGAAGAGTGATAATTATGGAATTATTTCTGACACCCGCTACAGGGCGAGACATCATGGCAACTGGTAAATGTTAGCAATCATGTTCCTCTTATCGAATATAGGGGCTTATATACTAACATGGAGTGACATTAAGCGAAGCTGTAAGCATCCCGTGAACAATTCCGGGTGCAGTTTTATGGAGGAGAGCTGATACGGCCTCTGGAGTGTTATCCGCCACCGCAAAACCGGTGCCCCCGGTAGTTAGGATGAGGTTGATGATATCTGCGGCAATATCTGACCATAACGTGATCTGCCGTTGAATTTGAGTGACTACATCAGGGACAATCTTGGTGTCAACTAGACTCCACTTCCCATCCCCTTCTTTCTCAAATACCTCTCTTAATACATCTTGAGAAGCATCAGTTGAAGGGTCTTTGGCTGCAGTCGTAGAGACGATGAGTAAGGCGACCCTCAAGGTAGCATTAGACATGATTGCCGAGGAAAGACTTAGTCTTAGTAGCTATAAGAAACTTGAACCCAGTCGTGCAACTCTTACGATTTGAAAGCGGTATCGAACTGTGTTTAGTATACTGACAGCTTCAATAAGAGTGAAACTTTGGGTCGGCGTGATGCGTGATGTATGAGATAAACTTCATTTGTGCAGCGCAAATGCGGGGCGAGAACATATCTACCTACCTACACTTTATCATATAAGCAACTTATCCTTTATCAGATGAGAATATAAAGCCAAACGCATGACGACTAAAACAATGTAGAAGAAATGAATTGTTCCTCGATATAAGAATTAGGCTTCTTAACTTTTACGAGATCAAGTCCTAAGTCAGGTTAAGACAATGGGATTGTTCAGAGGGAGCAATCAATGCCATATATGTAGAACCCCCATATCTACAGACCCCATTTATTGCATTATACATTCTACTTTCACACATATATGCATATAGGAAGTTCCTACAGGGCTCCGATAAGATAAAGCTCCGATGGCCAGAGCTAAAATTTCATGGTTCAATGTGCGCCGGGTCTCAACTCTTCACTTATATACCCGAGTTTGGGTCCTTTCAGTTAGATGGGATGCGCAAAGCAAACAAATTGGAATATAACATATTCTTATCGAAACTGACACATTCCGAATGACGCCAGAATTAGATGGTCCTTCAGATCGGACAAGATGGTACGAATTAAAGAGCGCTATCTCCTAGTGAAGATCCTCTACCCAAATGAACTTGGCAGTCGACCTGATCTCCCCGATGTTGTAGTCATCAACCAACCCACGACCGACCAGCTCAACCAGGCATCTCTCCTCAGGGGCATACGCGCAGAAGTTGCTAATCTATTCGGGGACTATGGCTCAGGGGCCATCGAGGGCGGAAACTTAGGAGGTGAGTCAGCACCGCGGGTACTCTCGCCATTCATGCGAGGCTTACATTGATCTTTATAGTGAAGTACTTCTCTCACGCCACCTCAACATTCATTCTGCGTATTTCGCGATCGTCTTATCGCCTAGTTTGGACTGCTTTGACTTTTATGAACTCCATCCCTATCAAGAACGGGAAACCATGTGTCTTCCGTGTGGTTCACGTGAGCGGTACCATGCGCAAAGTCGAGGAAGAAGCTATTCGTCGTGCCCGGGATCTCATCTTTGCGGCGCAGAATGACCACAAAGAGAAGACTGATGACCCTCTCAGTAACTTATTTCGGAAATCAGAACCGGAAGCCGATGTCGCCATGGCAGACTTACTGAACGTCGAGGATGGTGATAGCGACGTAGAAATGGGAGAAATAGTTGATGATTGAGACAACTTCATTGCTTCTTTCGGACTACCTTGATTCCGCTATCTCCAGTCGGCGGGGGCATTCCATCGAACTCATCATCATCGTCATCAGGAATCAAGTCAGGGGTCGTAGCTCCAGTATCACCGCCGGCCCTCTTCTGCTGCTCTTCCCACTCTTTCTCCTCCGCCGCGTCGTACGCGTCTTTAGACTCGATCCATCGCTCTTGGATATCTTCAATTTCCATCATGGATCCCTCATTTCGCATGGCAACCTGCCACACAGTATCGTTGGCTCCTTCCGCGCCGCCGAACACGTATCCTCCGGCTCTATCGATCACTCTTAAAAGATGCGTCATGCTCTTCCTGTTCTCTACGGCAAGGACTTCAAATCTAACTAACGCGAAGTTTTCGACTAGATTAGCGACGGCTTCGTTCAATCGACGGAATTTGTCGCTCCGCATGGCAGGCGACTCCTCTTCTAGATATGACGTTAAGTATGATAGGTCCTGTACTTCGGTGTAGTAATCGAGATTGAAGGGTAACGGATCGTATGATGAGATCTTATCGATCTTAGTGAGGACGTTTATATGCGGGAGGTCCATCTGCAGCATGGCGCGGAGGGTAAGGAGTAAGTTGGAGATGTAGAGGGACGGCTGGGTGAGGCAGAAGCTGTCGGAGAGGTGTACGGCTACGAGCTGCGCGTTGTTAGCACCTAGATGATCAACCCTTGGCAAATACAATGATAAGGCATACCCGATAGCCCATCTTTTGCAGCTTAAAGAAAATGTTCCTGAGCGAATTGTGGTGTGTATATAGTTCGACCTGACCGGGACAATCGAAAAGGATATACGAGTCTCCTAGCTGCTTCAATCCATCCTCAAGCCACTCCATGTTGTTCTCTAGCTCTTCAAACGCATATAAGACGCCACCATTAGGACCAAGTTGATCGTCGCTCATAACCTCTTCTAATGTGATTAAGCTACGGATATCTAGGGCGCATGGGTAGTTGGTCTTGTCGTTGGCAGGATCGAGGTTGACGACGGAGCATTCGCGTCCTATGGCGCCCATAAACTGGTGCACTATAAATGATCAGCTTGTTGCTTGGGGAATGATCTGTCGGTGATGGGTATGTGTAACTTACTGCCATCGCAATAAGTGCTCTTCCCAGAGCCTGGACTTCCCAGGACAAGCTGAGCGAAAGGCATGTCCTGTGATTTGCACGCGAAAGGTAGTGACGACAGAAGGTTTGGAATGGAGGAGAGATCGACGACGTAGTTGCAGTTGGAGTCGCAGTTGCAGGAAGAAGACAAAGCTGGCCAGTTGCTAGGGAAAGCTGTAGGCGTATTGAATTAGCACTTGCCCCTCCATCCCACCTTCTATGAGCTTCGGGAAAATTACAGTGGAGCCACCTTATCACTGTGGTAATCTATACCCCTGTAAATTGATATTTACTTTACCGACTTGCACAGCTAGCCTAGCAAGTTAGCCATTCTTCAACAGAGCTTCTTTACATCACATCGCGAAATTTCCCAAAGCATCATGGCACCAACAGGTGAGTTACTAAGATTCTAACTGATGAGCAAGGCAAAACGACTGTGAAAACTCGAAAGCCATTGGTCATTATTAGCAGCACCCAAGCTAACAAGCATGCAAAAACCCAGCAACGCAATTCGAGCTCGCGCAGCCCCCCAACGACGCCATCTCGGCGCTCGCCTTCGCGCCGGACTCGCCGTCGCGGCTCCTGGCCGCTTCCTGGGACAAGAACATCTACCTGTACGACACGCTGCAGAGCAGCGACGACGACGAGAACAGCCACGGCACGCTGCTGCGGACGTACGAGCACCGCGCGCCCGTGATGGACGTGTGTTTCGGCCGCGACAGCAGCGAGGCCTTCAGCGCCGGCATGGACTGGCAGGTGCGCCACATCGACCTCGAGACCGGCGACCAGAGCACCGTGAGCAAGCACGCGGCGCCCGTGAGGCGGGTCGTGTATAGCCGAGAACACTGTAAGTCCTGCATACGGATATCCTTAACTTTTAAGGTATATATATCTATCGAATATAACTAATCCCACCATCAGCCCTCCTCATCTCTGCCTCCTGGGACATGACCCTGCACGTCCACGACCCGTCCAACCCATCCCTAGCCCCCCTCACCGTTCCGTTACCGGGCAAGCCTCACGCCATGGCCGCGAGCCCGTCAAAAGTAATCGTAGCCATGACCTCGCGGCTCGTGCACATCTACGACCTATCCACACTCTCCAGCGCGCTATCCTCACAGACCGACTCCGCGCCGGCGCCCTGGCAACAGCGCGAGTCATCCCTCAAATTCCTGACGCGCGCCGTGGCCGCCATGCCTTCCGACGCCGGGTACGCCACGTCCTCGATCGAGGGGCGCGTAGCAGTCGAATGGTTCGACGCGAGCGCCGAGTCGCAGGCGCGCAAGTACGCCTTCAAATGCCACCGAACGGCTACACCCACCGCCACCGACGGGCCCTCCTCCACCTCCACCCCCTCCGCGGACGTCGTATACCCCGTCAACGCGCTAGCCTTCCACCCCGTGCACGGCAGCACCTTCGCGTCGGGCGGCGGCGACGCCACCGTCGCCCTCTGGGACGCCGAGGCCAAGCGCCGCATGAAAGTCTACCAGAAATTCGCCGACAGCGTCGCCGCGCTGGCCTTCAGCGCCGACGGCCGCTACCTCGCCGTCGCCGTGTGCCCGGGCTTCGAGACGGGCATGGAGGACTACAGCGGCGAGGGGCGGACCAAGATTTTCGTCAGGGAGCTCGGCGAGAACGAGGCTTTGCCTAAGGGGAAAGGGAAGTGATAGATTTGAATTTGATTGGAATTCTAATTAAAAATTAAATGAAAAAAAATCGAGGTTATGTGGGATTCATTCTGGTTTTTGATTCTGTGTATCCATATATCGATTCCCTGCTGCAATTCTCAAGGACGGGCTTAGGCCCAAATTTGGCTGGCGTTAAAAGGAGATGGGGAATATGAATTCTATAAAAATTGCCCCTTTTTACTAACTTACACGTGGTGCTTATGAGTTCCGCGTGTTTCGTTATAACTGTTTTTATATACTTGATCTGCCACATCTTGGAAGCCCCTCAAAGAAATCGTCCCAGATTCCGAAATAGTCGCACCTGGGAAAATAATAAAATCAATCAGCAGTGAGTAAGAGCTATAGGTTTGTTTTCATTGAAATCTACGCCAGCTAATAGTTCTTCTTCCTCTCACGTTGTTACAATTATGATAGTTGAGTTGTTCTAATCTCTAACACCTTATCCCTCAGAACTTAACATCAGCTCGACTGAACTCGAAGACCCCCTAGCAATATCCCCTGATGCCATAATATTGTCATCATGTCGTTTCAGTTCTCGCAATCTACGCCTTATATCATTTAAAACAGCTATATCTGAATCTTCCATGTCAAACACCCAAGGCGTGGTTGCAAGTGTTTCACCACTGAGATTATATCTACCACTACCGTCGACCTCCATATCATTCCCCGTTGATATCATGGGCTCATATTCCTCTTCTTCCCCTTCTACTTCAGATACTTCGTCTGCTGCTTCGTCACCAAAGCCTTCCTCGTTCATCGACTCAGACTGCGTAATGTGACGAGTCGGGTCGATCTGGGTCTCAGCAATACGCGTGTTGCTTATCATATTGCCATTTCCGATGTGCCTTCCGAAATTCTCGAAATCCGAACTCCTCCTTTTCCGTGGCATGGGGATGGAGATTGAGTTGTACACTAACGTTTCCCTAGCTTGAGGTACTGGAGTTGGCTGTGGTCGCAGAGTCGAAGGAATAATCTTCTCGTTTGCTGGTACAGTGGGATTCCGTTTGCGTACTTCTAACTCTTCCGAAAAGTTATCTATGGTGGGCCAAACATCTTTCACCACACCACGGCGATGCTTCATCTCGTATCGAAGTAAACGTTGGTTCTTGAGGCGATCAACTCCTGATCGGTGTGGGTCTTCTTCATTCCCATCATAAGTTTCCAACTGGAGTTCTCCTACGCCAGGAGTTGATTTGGGCTTCATTTGCTTGTGTGTGCCAGTCATAGAGAACGCAAAGTTTGGTCTGGCTTCATTGACTGAGAATCCGTCACCTGCGCGCCATAATGGTTCTGGATGACTATGAGGCTTGGGGAAACGGAATTTATTGGGCCCCTTGTCCCTTTTCAGTTTGAATACGCCTTTTCGCTCATACGTTTTCTCGTCGTCTTTATCATCTTCTACGCCTTCAGGGAGTAACAGTGGTGGCACAACCAACTGCTTCGGGCCTTTAGTCACCTTGAGTGATTTCTTGATGCTTTCTGACTTATCGACGGCTGGCTTGTTAGGAATTTTGATCTTTCCATCTGCTTTCCTACGCTTTCTCCGTTCTATCTCATCGGCATGGGATGTTCTTCGATTTGTAGAGCGCTCGTGGGCGGGTTCTTTTTGTTGTGGGGTCACGGTCTCTTGAAATTGAGACTTCGACTCTGCTCCGCTGTGAAGCGATACACTGTTTCAGCCCGGAGACACGATTAGACTATGTCCCCATTAAATTGTGTCTCAGGCCTCTTTACCTTGATGGCTGTCGACCTTGAACATCTCCAGGGGCAGATACGACGGATCTTCTCCGCTTCACGTTCGCGCGAATGGGAGAGGCTGATCTACCTCTTCTCGTACCAGGTTTGTCATCTGAGCCTTCATCTCGTGCTAAGGCGAGCTTTCTATCGATGTTGAATACGCTGGCACGTTCTGGGAGAATTGCAGCAACCCTGGCGCTAGTCAAGGGTTGATTCATTGCGGAATTAGTGGATAAACGATCTGTAGAGTTCGCGCAATAGAAGGCAATCTGTCATGTCGCAGAAATTCTACTTATTGAGGCATAATTATAACGGGCTCAAATATAACGGCATGAGATTCGCATGGTCTTTGATGGAGGAAGACGCAGGGAAATTCTCGCCCACATTTCTAACGAGCTTGGAAAGTCGGAATCTAAGTAGATCCTTCTTGTCCAAGTTGCAATCCAGAGAAGGAATTGGACTAAGGTAACACGTACTTTCCATCTATACAACTTGTGGATGTTAGAGTTTACCAATAGAAAAGGGGGATAAATGGAAGGCACCAACAACCCCCCTAATCTGTTGGCTTCAGTCGGTACATTCAACTTTGCAAACCTTCGACATCAGAAAGTTCAAGGCAAGCACAGTACCGCATATGCGACTTCCTTTGATTTCCCGTGAATCAACCCCGATGGTGAGTTTTGTTGGGTGAGAATAGGTGCTCTAAGAAATTGATATCAATTATCCAATACCTGATGACGAACATTCCCTCTTTTCAACTTGACATTGAATTGGTATTGCTAACAATAACAAAATCTCAGTGCTGCTCATGTTGTTATCGTATGAATGAGGAATAACCTCTTATAGGGGCAACCGCCGAAATTTAGAAATATTACTTGCCCCTATATACGAACTAGCCACTCCGAGTCAGGTCCAATCACTCAACAAAGATGAGCCAGATCATTTCGGACTATGCTATACATCGCAGGGATGGATTACTACATGGATTACAGGTTGAAGCAACACGTCGTCCTTAAGACAATGTGTAGGTAAATAGCGCTATCAGCCTTCAAGAAGTTGATGACAAATCCTGCTCATCCTATAGGACGAACACTATCAGATTTCGTAGAGATAGTGTACATCCACTGCCGCGAACTTGCATAATGCGGCTCCGGTTGAATGATCCTTCGTCCTTACATACCTAATTCTAAGGGGCAGCCTGGACCAAAAATGGAACGCTACCTACATACCTACTTATACGAAACGTGCAGCAGATACTAGAATTAGTTCCCGCGTCCGCAGCCAGATGAGGAATTTTCCCCGGGGCAACATCCACGTATACGTGAACTAACTTGATTGAGTCGTTAATCTATCAAAGCCCATTCCTTACATGTAACCCATGCCTCAGTGTGGATATTTGAAGGTCGGTAAGCAGGTAGATATGCATGTTGAATGGGGAGGCATAAGCACTACTACCACTCTATTTTAACGACAAGACAATTTAAGGGTGAAGTATTGAGGCTCAACGCAGAGGCACTTTATGGCTCTTATGGCTAATATATATGTACTATGTTTTCACAATTCAAAAACCGGTCCTTGAGTATAAAAATATAGATATTCCTTCATTTTTATTTATTGTTATTTTTGGTGAAGTATATAGATACTCACTACCACATGCTTAATTCATCATCAAATCGTCCGCAATGCAGCATCTTCGAGCTTTATTTGAAACATAAACATCAATTTCCCTTGACACTTCCATAGGCAGCCAGCTACCTCCACCGCCTTCTATTCCGAGCTTGGTGATATCATCTCAATAGTATCTTCGAGTGAGCCACTTCCATGTCTCAGCGAAGGAGCCGCGAGTACTCTACTCTCCCGTCTTCCTCGGTGCGATTGGTTTCTGCTCAGCGACGTAATCGGTGGTACCTCCCATGTTCAACAACCATACCTTGCCTGGGTGATCGGGCATGGAGGGACCAAACAGGAAGGAGCTAGGGAAGCCGGGGTCGAAGGGGAGAGCGCTCTCGATCTCTTTGATATCATCTTCGTCAAGGCTCAGGGTAAGAGCCTCAATATTGGCCTTGAGTTGCTCCTTGGTTCGTCCACCGATGATGGGGAACACGTACGGCGCTTTGTGGGTGACGTACGCTTGAGCCACACTCGTAATGATGGTGTTCTTGCGTAAGGCAACGGCCTCTAATGCTCTGCTGATCTTTATGTCCTCCTCACTGACGTCGGCGGAACGTCCGCTTGTTCTGTTTTGACGCTGCTCATCCGTCTTGAATTTTCCTCCACCGAGCGCACCCCATGGAGCCAGAGCCATACCCTCGGCTTTCGCCATGGGAATGATCTCGCGCTCAAAGTCGCGCTGGGCGGCTGACCAGCGACCCTGGTACACGCTAAACTGACGCAAGCCGTGGTTGCGAGCGTACTCGTTGGCCTTGCTCACAACCCAGGCAGGAGTGTCGCTTACCCCAAGGTACAAGACCTTGCCGGCCAGCACAAGCTGGTTGAGGGCCTGCATGACCTCGGGAATGGAGGTGACACCATCCCACCAGTGAACATAAAGCTGTGTCTCGTCGTAAGTATAATTACGGTCACGAATAAATGGGGATATTATGCCATACCAGGTCAATGTAGTCTGTCTGTAGGTTTCTCAAGCTAGAATTAATAGATACGTGCAAGCTTTTAGTGCCATTTCCCTGGTTGTTGATCGTGATCTCGTCATAGTAGGGGCGGAAGCTGGTGCTGTACTTGGTAGCAATGACTGGGCGACGATTGATTAGTTTCCACAAAAGCCGTTTATGAAGCCTCACGCCATGAAGGTGCAGCCGCATTTATATAGTTCAACATGCAATGAACAGACACCATGATTATCATGACTAGAAGTCGCAGAAGTCATAAAGTGTATTATGTGAGGAAGGAGATTTAACGTACCCATCTGGTCACGATTGCCGCGCTTCTTCATCCATTCGCCGATCCATTGTTCCGACTGCTGGGCTTGGTAATTGTTGGCAGTGTCGATGAAGTTACCACCCTGCTCATAGAAGAAGTCCAGAATATCTTCCGTACTCTTCTGATCGCAAGCACCCATAAATTCCTTCCAGGCGTCACCGAAGTTCATAGCACCAAGGCATAAGGGACTAAGTCGGACAGAGGCTGAGGGAGAGAGGATACGGTAACGAGCCAAGGGGCTCTTGGGTGGGGGCGCCATCATCATCGCCATATTGACAAATAATAATTCTTAGTCGTAGAAATGAAATAAAATGTTACGTTGAGTACCGATGGTGACTTCCCGTCGATGTGAAGCGGTCTAAATAGATCTTGACGTCAAGTGCTGTATTAGGTTGAGCTGGTTTTATGGGATAGTGTCGTACTTGCTCAAAGTCTAGTCGTACAATTGCTTCTTGTGTTGCTCTTTCTCCAACATAGACAGTTACGTCGAGGCCCGGCTGCTCTTTATAGAGATCAGAAGCTCAGGGGGTATCGCCTACCGCCGATGCTCGAGTAATGACATCCATTACCAATTGGTTTAGCTGTCATACCATTGACTTCCCCCACGACCGTCTGGTACCCAGGTGGCCTCCGAATCGGTGGACAGCATACCTACGGATGATCTCATTCTTCCGGCAAATCCTACCTACCTACACTGTAGTAAGTTCAATGTTATCGATACCTAGCACCTATAGATCCGTAGATCCATAACTCTAAGTATGCATGCCATAGACAGGGCGAAGCCAAGCTAGACGTATTCGGATGGTGGTCTCCTATCTCCGCGTAAAGTTCATCCGTCTTGCATTACCGTCGTCACAGCCGTGAACACTACCTACCTACCTAGATCAACTTTGGCCCGAGCATTTTCTTACAACCAGGGCCTCAGCTGCACTACCTGTATTGTGAGGGTTTTAGTGGTTCTATCTCCGGCTACATCCGTATACCTGGCTAAGACAGTCAAATATGTACTAATGGAATAGTATTCGCTTACCCCCATATATTGTAAGCAGGCAAGCCCTATTTTGCCAAGCTTTATGAAACCTAATCAAGTAATTTTCGAGTCGTTCCTGTCTGTATGCTGTCTGTCTAGATCATGTCAGTCACTCGAGGTTCTGGTGTGAAACAGCGGAGACTCAATAATTCTCCGAATTCTGACTAACGGGCGCCTATGCTGCGCCGACTTCACGAACTCCATGGATACAATGGAAGTGCATTTTGACTTTTACGCCGAGTGAGATATTTTAGTTTAGGACTTAAGCATCGGCCATAAGACCTCTAGGGCTGTGAGCCTCAGCCTATATGCTTATGTAGTACCTGTTTAAAATACTTTTTATAATTCTGGAAGACAGCTTACTTCGGGTATAACAGTGTCATGAAGTGAGACGAAATGGTAAATTCTTTTGAGCCATGGCAATTATAGCATACCTCCAACATCGTCGAGAATTCAGAATTGCCAAAGAATCTAATCATGTTGAAAAACTTCCTTGTCTCGTGAAATGGAGAACCCCCCAAAGCATCGTCAGATAAAACTTAATTATACCCGTAAGAGGTGGGGCGATCTACGGATGAGACGGAGGGTAACCTGGAAGCTTTAGTGACGACAATCCGTACAAATACGACATACAGGGGAATAAAGCGGGGAAGAAAACGCAACGGAAGTTTGAGAGCAGCGGACCGTCTCGTGCTCGACCATGAGACGATGCACTCAAGTGGCGAGGTAGGTTTGCGCATGCATACAACCCAACTCATCCCAGGGTTTATAGATGAGATAAGTTGCGTAGTAACATTGACTATTCGCAAATATTCACATATGTACATACGATAAGGCACACCGGGATATGTTAACCTATTTAAGACTAACAAGCCCAAGCACCTACGATACCGTCGCGGCGTCCCTCGATAAGGTAGCCGTCTTGGATACGGACGTGCTCCACGATGGCCGGTGTCCTGCCCCCGTCCACCTCCGCGATGCCCGCGCCGCAGTCCCATTGCCGCGACTCCATCTTGTCGTAAACTTTCACTACGTCCTCGCCCGCTGCGCTGACGATGCGCCGGCTATCGAACATCATGCTCGTGACCGGGTTGTCGTATGCGTAGGCGTCGAATATAGACCCTGTGCGCAGGTCCCATATCTGCGTAGAATTGCATGTTAGCATGTCACAAGTTGTGGGTTACCTGCTTAGATAGATAAGTACTCACTCGTATACTTCGATCTAAACTGCCTGTCACAAGATGCACGTCGTCGAATTGCAGACAGGTTACCGGTCCGGTGTGTCCGACGAGGCTGCGATGAACCTGTCCGCTTCTCAGGTCCCATAACCTCACCATGCCATCGGCTGTACCGCAAGCGAGTGCGGACTCGAAGACTTGTAGGGCCCCAACAAAGTCGGCTGTTTGTGTCGTCGGCCGGTTAGTTTGCCTCCAAGTCCCCTCACCCGTACCGATAGAAACCGAGGCTTGTGCGGCCGCCCACATCACGTCGAGCGTTTGCACACACCGCCCCTTCACTAGATCCCACTGGCGAAGCGTTTTATCTGCAGAACCCGAAACAAGAACATCGCCCCTAAAGTGAAGAGCCGTGATCTCGTTCATGTGCGATTCTAGGGTAAAGAGCGGACAGTCCGACATGCTTCCTTCAGGAGGGTCTACCGGTTGATCATCGGGATTCTCGAAAGCCATGCCATCGTCATCCTCGTCATCTCTTCCGAACTGACTACCTTGCGGATCGTAATGAGCTTTGCTCAGATCCCATAACCGGATAGTGGCATCCATAGAACCCGTAGCGAGGATGTTATCCTCTACCTGTAAAGTCCGAACCGAAGCAGTGTGACCTTCGAGCAATCCGATGCAACGCCCAGCGTTAAGATCCCATACCTTGACCGAATCATCCATGGAAGCCGACACCAAAGTACCAAAAGGCACGTCAAAATCCAACGCCGTGACATGATCCGCGTGAGCCTTAATTTCCCGTATCATATAACCTGGTTCAAAATGTTCGTGTAATATTGGCATTGATTTTCGTTTAGTAGTTTTATGCCTCCTTTTTGATGGTGTACTGGTAGCGGACGGAAGCTTCTCATAGATGGATTTTGACATGAACTCATCCGCATCCTGGTCTGTTACTAGGTCATCATCATCTGACTTGGTTGGAGTGTCAGCAGCGGCGGCTATTGATTCGGCCTCCTCGACGAGAACCTGTGCGTCTTCTATCCGGCCTTCCATATCCACAACTATAATATGTCAGTAGGGCTTCTGTAGGGCATCAAAAGGGTCGCCTACTGTCATGTTCTAGTAAAGCTTCCTCTTGCTCTAGACCTGCTAATCTCTCAAGAATGATGCGTCTCATGCCAGCTAGATTAGCCATCTTATTATCTATTTCATGGATCTCGCTGCTTGCCATATTCTTCCGAATACCAAGCATCTCAAGCTCATGCATGAGCGAAGATCTCTCTTTTTTCAGTTTATTGAGGTGATGTGGGCTGTTGGGAGCCGACGGACTCTCGTCAATCATTTTTCTCCCTCTCGATGATTTTCTCCGGTGTTTCTTGCCCTCGTGCGTCAGCTCGGGGAAGGTTGCTTGGAAGCCCTGGAACAGAGAGTAGGCGTTGTCATTTTCGGGTAGGTTCTGAAGCATATCATCGGGCAAGTAAGATAGGGCGCGGGATTGAATTTCGGCAGTAGAAAACTTGGAGCGAACCAAGTCGGTTGGTGTGGTCCTAGCCATGGTGAACATGCCTCGTTGAATGCCGGGTTTCTTTAGCTGTCTGTGTACTTGAGCCATGGCATTATGATAATGATTCCCGGACGGATCCGCGCTGGGTCCTACTAAATGGCTCGCGGTAGTCGTCACCTTTCGGGTGAACGCTTCGAGGCCTCGGGGCTAAGAATTTTCTAGTTAGTTCGGACGTTCGCAGCGGCAAAGAAAGAGGCAACAATAGAACAAGGAGCAATATTATTAATACCGAGAGAATCGAATCTTCGCCCAACGGGCCATCATCGTGTGTAGCATTGTTTGGGTCTGAATCGGCCATGCGCGTTTCTATATGATCACTACTGAAAGCGAAGGAGTGGTGGCGTGGGCGGTCGCACGGTGCAAATGCCACACATCAAGGTAGTATAGAGAAAAGATTTTCCCGATAGGTATGGATCTCTCCTTCACAGAGCTATTTGGTAGGTCGGCATTGAGGAGCAAGACAGTGAAATACGCAAAGACGCAAATACGGAAAATAATGTGGATGGGTGAGCCAAAGATAAAAAAAGATACCTAAAAAAATGATAAAAGCGAGCGCAAGGCGAGGCTAACAATTGTCGTAGCTTCCGAGTGGACGAGTGGAAATCCCAAGAATTTTTAGCTCAAAAGCCCTTTCGGAATGCAGGTAGGTAACTATGTAGGTATTTGATGTAGGGAATGTACTTAGTCACATAACAATAACTTACATTTGAATCGGATAAGATTTGTTGCAGATACCGCGACTGCAAGGGTTGGGATGGGCAGGATCAATCAGTGTGGTGCTCTGCCCAAGATGGTGCCTTATCTCGAGATGCTTAACCGAGCATCCCAGCAGTAGCTTCTCTAGCCAGACTAGCGCATTCTACTCAACATGGAGCTGGAGGGGTTACACTAAAGAATAAGGTTTTCGTTGCCGCAACCGTCATCTCAATATTCTTACCCAACTTGCAGTATGTCATCGCGTGCGACATTGCGATTACCTTGATAGGTTCAAGCTAATGTTACTATTTTTTTTTCGGGTAACACTGGCAAGGAGGTAATAATTAAAGGAAGGTTGCAAACTCGTGGTCTCCCGAATATCGGCCGTCACACAAATAAATTCTTCTCTGGCCCAGGGCCACTTGGGAAGTGACGGCAACTACGCGATCATTACCTCAGTGCTTTTATTCATCCGAACCAGCTTTGCCCCTCTCTTCCATTGGAAGTTGGTCGTAGCTTTCCTTAGACCTTTCCCCGCTAATTTGGTAGTCAGTGGAGCATATGCCCTTTGTCCCCTGGCCTAGTAAAAGCGTGACAAAACTCCAGTCTTCCTAGGACGACACGTCCTACCTATCTAGATTCTTTCCAATATAAGGCCTAGAGGTTCCCCAGGTATCTAGTCTATAATAATATTCTGACACTTTCTAGCAATTTCTAAAGTTTAAACGGTCATGGATGCTATCATTGACCTCAAGGACGCCTCGAAGGCGCTAGATTTATCTAACATCCGCTTCCAGCTCATGTATGCAAGCCCATCTTCCTCGAGCAAAATTGGGCACAATGCTAACAAGCGCGTGTTCCAACCAGTCGGCTAGAGGACACAATCACCTTCCACCTAATTGAGCGAGTCCAGTTCCCCCTCAACAAGACCATCTATACCCCCGGCGCGATAAAGATCGGGCAAGATAGCAAACTCAGTTTCGTGGATTGGTATCTTAAAGAGCAAGAGAAGCTGCAGTCCCTAATCCGGCGGTACGAGGCGCCCGACGAGTACCCCTTCTTCCCCGAGGCGCTGCAGAAGCCCATATTAAAGCCCCTCGAATACCCCAAGATCCTGCACCCAAACACCGTCAACGTGAACGAGCAAATCAAGCGGTTCTACATCGAGAAATTCCTACCCGCGGTGTGCCCGAACTTCGGCCGCGAGGATAGCGGCGAGGCAGAAGAAAACTATGGGTCTTCCGCGACTTGCGACATCGCTTGCCTCCAGGCACTCTCTCGACGGATACACTTCGGCAAGTTCGTAGCAGAGTCGAAGTTTCAGTCGGACCCCGAGAAGTACACCAAGATGATCAAGGCGGGCGACCGAAACGGAATTGGCGAGTCTATCACGAACGCGGCGGTTGAGAAGCAGGTTCTGGCACGACTAGGGCTGAAGGCACGGACCTACGGCACGGATCCGTCTACGAACGACTCGGACAACACCGGTAAGATCAATGTGGAAGCCGTAGTGTCCATGTACAGGGACTTCGTCATCCCCATAACGAAAGAGGTCGAGGTCGAATATCTAATGCAGCGGCTGGGCTAAGCGGACCATATGGGCTAGACACGGAAAAGATAAAATAAAGGATCTGGTGGATATCTTTTTATTTGCGATTTGACTTATTTTTAAGACGGGGGACTCAAGTACTCGCTAATCGCCTTCGCCGCATCTGCGAACTTGCTAGCCTCAATTAATATCATAAAGCCACGCGGCATGACACCCATCTCCTGGAAGGCCCTCTTGCTATCCGCAATGGCCTCGTCAATCTTGGTGAAGTCGTAGCTGCCGTACGCCGCCGCGTGCTTTTGTAATACCTCGTCCTCCGGGTGGAAGTAGAACAGCGTCGCGTCTTGCTTCCCCTTCTTTCGTTTCCTCTCCTCGACGTCGAGCGTCGACTCGATCTCGTGGTAGGTCTTGGAGATGATCAAGTAGTGCGAGAACTCGTAGGGCTCCTTGTCTTCTACCGCGGCCTCGATCTCGTCGATCAGCATGCCGTACATAGGAGGCGCGATCTCCGAGGGCATGTTGATCAGGCGCTCCGAGAGCACGAGACCCACATGCTTTCCGGAAGACAGCAGCTCTGGTATGGCGGCCAGCGCCTGGTTCGTCCCGGCTTTCTGGGTGATGTAGCTCGTGAGGTCGGCGATCGGCTTCTTCTCGCGGTGCTCGTGCAGGTTCAGCGCGGTCAGGAAGGCGTACGCGTCGGTCTCCTTGCCGTCGACCTTCACGGTCGACCCGATCGTCGGCTGCGACAGGATTAGGTCGGCGAGCCCCGAGATGTCGAACAGCGCCGCGTCGACGTCGAGGAGCTGCCGCAGCAGCGATTTCGTCCCGTGGAAGTCGATCTCGGGGTCGAAGTTAAACCACTCGAAATCCACGTTGACCATGTCGAAGTCCTGAGTTTGGTGGTTTTATGTTAGCTTTACTACTGGGTTCCTTGTGGATGCGGCAAGCCGCGCGATGTAAAAGAAAGCTTCTGGTTTGATGAAAGTGCCCACTCACGTCATCGTCCGAGCTGTCGCCGTCCTCGACCATCTTGTCGGGCGCCGCAGCGGCGCCATCCGCTTCTCTTGCGCGCTTCTTTGCCATTATCGCCTCCCGAATCTTATTCAATGGGTACGACTGTTAAGTGAGCAGCGCCGGTAGCGTAAATGCGGAATGGTTGTAGCTGGTTCGTAAACGATAAAAATCAATATGGTCCGGGCGGTCAGGTACCAAGTAAAAAATTCTGCCGGCTATCTGCCCCTCACTAATCCATTTGTAGTCGATAAAGCTGTTAGCCCGCTTTCGATATCCAGCCCTACAATTAGCTAGGGCTTAACCTAGGAAGGAGCTTGAACAAGCTATAAATTTTAAGTAGGCACGGCGATTTTATTCGGTTATCGAATAGGGGATATTTACATATGGGTAATTCATCAAACTTGCTCATAGGTAAACCTTCCATTCCAAAGACCTGGCTGGGTTTGTGGAACTTAATTGATGCAAAATGTACGAAATATCTGCGGGAGATGGTCATCTAACTGCAATACGAAGCTCATCAGCATGCAAAGCTTTTCTCGGAAGCTAATGACTACCTTGATCCTCTTTCGACATAAAGCTAGTGCAGCTGTTGAGGCTATTGGATTTCCTGCAGTTAACTGTATGTGCTCTAATAAGCGGATGATCCATGTGGAATCTGTATGTGGGAAGATAAAGGTGACAGACATATTCACGTAATTAGGTAATTGTCTAATACTTGCCCTTGGATTGTGCTGCCTATACAGACATCCTTATGTAGTATGGAATAGCACATACATCATCTAATTGTTCCTATAGGGACTTAATAGCTCTTCCGGAAGCGTATCACTAGATACAAACTTGGATAGGAGGTAGGTACTTAGTAAATCAAGTTTCGCTCGTCCCTTAAGAGAGAAGGGTGAAAACTTTTAGGTAGTGGGCTTTAAGAACACAAGTTTCAACCATTAAACGGAATAGTCAAGAGAGTCGAAATATGAGAAAGCATGGGTGATTTAGAGACAACTGCCGTTCGCCTTGGCACTAAGGATTCGGATTTAGGAGAGTGGAAGCATTACACAGAAAACCACCTGTCAAAAAATTTCCCTCCAGTCTGAAGTCTGCCTGTATTGTGTCTACCTATTTAGCCAATTCCATTACTAAACGCGAACTCGTCCCCCCTGCTGATCCAATATCTCTCTTCGATCGAGATGCGACTAGCCCATGGCGTCTTAGATCTCGCAGCTTTGCGTGATCGCCGGGAAGAGAGGCGTACGCTGTTCCCGTGGCTCTGATCCCGATTGGCGAGGATGTGATATTTGTGTGTGGTTTGCGAGGGCAGCTTGGCCAACCAGCGACAGTGTTTTAACCCAACCAACCCTCCATTGGGTTGGGTGAATTATCGGTATATCCAGTTCTCCCTGTCTTGCCTATTGCGGACTTCTCGTGGCAACCTCATTGGCCACAAAATTTCCCGAGCCCTCCTTGTCCATGTGACATTTATACCTGAGATATATGTAGAAACCTGGGGTAGAAGGTGTGGTAGTAAATCTGTCCCAGTCTAGCAATGAATATCGGTCCGGACGTTCAGCCTGATGCGATATAAACAGGCCATGTACGAAATTATGTTATACCCAAGTAGCTTCTTCCCACTAAATAACAATCAGACTAGGCGTTGATGCCATCAGGTGTGCAGTAGATGCATGAAAGACCAATATATTACTAGTGGGTATAATTCCGTAGGACGCGTGTCCTCCCATATGTCAACTCCCCAAGTGAGGTTCAAGACCAGCACTTGACCCAAAATCCGGGCTTCCTTGAACTCCGTGACGCACAATTCCCTTGACCCGAATGGATGAATCAAATAAGAAAAACCCAAATAGAAACAAGACTGTCGAAACGCGATGGACGGGCCGAACGCAACCATAACCCCAGCTCCAATGCAAGTCCAACCAGGTCCGATCAAATCCACGCCACTAACATGCTATGCATATAAATGAATCAAAATGGTATCTTCGTTTACATCGAATCATTATCAGCTCGTGATTTCGATTCATTGAGGTCCGGTCGTCGATGGTATATGCAAATAATCCCGCGACAAGGTCGTGTTGTTGCTAAATGCTTCCAGAGTCTCTCGGTCGAGGCCCTGAATATGACTAAACGGAGCAGCCAATTCTGTTTCCACAGGGGTAAGCTGCATGCCCAAGCCCATCACGGCGTGCCCAGAGCTCATCGACTTCACGTGTTTGGCCATCTTGCTCTCGTCACTAATTTCGTTTTCCGCGTCGAGCAACTCCCTTCGTGCCATTTCGATATCGTGTCTCGCCTGTTTGATCGACTTCGCCTCCCACAGGGGCAAGATTCGATAGCTTAGGTTCTCCATGATGCAACGCTCGGTGAAATTAATCTGCTCGCATGTCCATTGATTTCGACCCCACGAAGAGCTGTAATATTGAGTTGTTTCCTGCAAGTCCTCCACGAACTTGTCCGCGATTATCAATGCGGCCAGAACGATAATCTCGGGGAATACATTGTCGATATGCACAGCTTGCACCACGCCAGATGGGAGCGTATGTCGTTTCGGCCCCAGTTCGTTTTGTTTGCCCAAGGGAAAAGAGATCCGCCAACTCCGAGAAAATCGAGAATTTAGCGAATCTAAAACGCAGACCGCCAAAGCAATGATATCCATTGGCAAGCTGGCACGTGCTAATATGCCCTGGATAATCGGGATAGACGGCGTCATAAAGGAAGCCCCCGGCGGTAGCATCCTCGCTAAATGGGCGGCAGGACCTTGAACCAACAATTAGAATTGAACATAGTCTGTTCGAGGGAGACGCCACTAACCTAAAAATTCCTGGCTGATACTTTCGACATCTTCGGCGTCGATGCGCGGGCTTTGCATAGCAGACGAATTTTTGGAAGACGGCGGCGGTGTGGGTAGGTTAGACAGTGGCTTATAAAACTGCCTAAAGTAGGCATCGTCGAATTCGAAGTCATCGTCGTAGGTGGAGAAGCACCTGGAGTGACCCATCTTGGCCATTTTAATGGGGTTAAGGCGACAAGATTTCAGGATACTAGATAACTAATAAACCACGATGGAAAGCGAGAAGGGCTGCTCATATTTGAACAAAACCACTCCCTAAGATATATTATCCCGAATTAGAAATATATCACGCGCCCAAGCTACTCAAACAGTCCGCTAGTGATCGAGTCGTGAATCAAGCCAGAACCCGATAGACCAGACAGCTAAGGGTTTCTTATATACGTAAGTGACAACGCTAACACAAGCGTCTCCGGGTATTCGGCGAGAAGCGAGGGTAAAAAGCAATCAATTCTCGGGAGAGTAGACGAACGAATATATAAACAGATTTATATGGAATAAAATGGATAGGTAGCTAGGCAGGTATTATAAGAAACCTGGGTGGATGAAGCCAGGGGGGTTCAGGTTTATTATGCAGAGAGGAACCGCACGGGTCAGAAGCAAAGCCGAGCACTCGCAGCCCTGTCCATGTAAGTACGAGGTTAGGTACCGCATATGCCCTAATGCATGCATAGCCATTATTGGTATTGTCCCAATTGGATGCGGTAACCTCATAGGGGGAATTTGTACACTAGGTACCTGAAGAAATAGCCTTAGAGACGTTGGGAGAGCTGAGGGCGGAAACAAATGAAGCTGAATCGCAAGTGCAATAGCTAAAACGTTAGCCGTGTCGTCTTGAACGTCTGTAGGAAGTATACTTCGCGGCGTCTCTACATTAGTATGTTTGCCATGCGGAATGGAGTTGGATGGTCGACAAAGTTGAGAGAGGGGAAGAACCAACTTGGAGATCACGCAAGCTTCCTTGTAACCACTGTACATACTATGTAGTTGATCTCCAAGTTGCTTTTCCCTTTCGGTGTGGGGGTCTGAATATCAAAATACATAGCTCTCGCCGGTCTGATGTCTGTGTTTATCATTCGAACCTTCGAGCCTTTGGCCAAAATGGTTGCGATGGATCAAATCGGCGAGATCCTCACCGACCAAGCATTAGGTATGTAGGCTAAGTTTGTGGGTAGAGTATAGAAGAACAGCAGATGGATAGAGAGATGATCGAGCGAACTCGGTCTAAACTCATAGATCCGATTGCCTACTGCGTAGTATGAACCTATCCGGGGAGTTCGTCACGTCTCGATGTCTCGGATCAGGCCATAAAAAAGACGTATTATGGTACTATATCAAGGTACAATAGCGGGTCTTGAGCTTGAGTCAATGGGGAATTCCAGATTTGCTGGTTTCTTTCGCCCATCGTGGATATTCGGCTAGGCAAACCCCACAGGCGGCATAGCACCACAACTAGACTGCTAAGAACGGCAAAATGGGGCGCCAGAGCTTGTCCAGAGCAGCCCTAGAGAAAAGAAGCAGGGATCCATTGGATTCGTCTAGGAAAAGGAAGAGAGAAAAACATGCTGGCGGTAGCGAGCTGGTGTGGCATCTGGTGTGGCATGGGCCAAGTCGTTCAGAAGGTTCAAGGGATGTTGGTGCAATGCGGCCGGGCTTCCAGCGGTGAGTTTTGCTTGATTTGCTGTTATAAACTTGTAACTGGTGAATGTAAACTTGATCTTGGTGAGTTTCATGGATTGGTGATGGCGGGGGAATGATGATGAGTTCAGCCCCACTCATTCACCCCTACCTCGAAGGCTCCTACCGTATGTATTACCTGCTGGTAGTGCACACTAGAAGCTACAGCTCTTTCTTGCTCAAGTTGCTTTCTGCATAAGGTTCATTCGTACAGCACTTAAGATAGTGCTGTACATAAGGTTAGGTACGTGGCTACATATTCGTTGTAGCTTAAATGCGATGTGCACATGTGGGTGTTGGTCCCTTACTGCATAAATGTGTGTACTTGAGTTTCCACGTTTCCACACAGAAAGATCTAGCACTGTCAGTATGGCCGATAGGCGTCAATCGCTCAGCCATTACCCCTATTAGCCTTATTGGCTCCTTACGAGCTATCCCAATAACACGATACCGTAACAACACCAGATCATTACCTTATTCTGCCACCATAGCCTACTTATATCCGTCTTACAAGCAGATCAGATCAGACCGAATCATCTATCTACCCAGCAACGTAGCAGTTGCCTAGCAGCTACATGCCTAGATAAATATTCCATACCATTTATTTCTTCTTTCTACCGCTCTGGTATTCGACTATTCTGTGCGCCAACGCGACGGAGCTCCTTGGGGATGCATAAGCACGTTCGCTAGCTCCGCCTACACCGCCTTCTATACTACCAGGTACAAGTAGGCTGGTAGGTAAGACTGGCAGGACGGTAAGTTAACGAGGAAGTGACGTGTAGGATGGCGTATCGCACAATCGCCGGCGCCTCTTCGGATTTAACTTATCGAACTTAGGCCTTGAACACCTCCATTGAGGCCGGTGGATCTCCTCATTTCCGCGTTTCCTAAAATAAATGTTAATAAATCCATGATATCCCATACGCCTAAGTCTACGCGTAAACGATGCTCGAGCGCTCCAATCCGATGCTCTGGTTAGGCCGGCATTTAGTATTCGCAAGATGGTCTCCTCTTTTACGAGGCCAGCGTGTCACCGCACCTGCTTCGAGACTCGTATGTTAAAATTATATCAAAATCGCCGACATGCATATCGCATCCGCTTTTCCGAGCTTACAATACATCGGCATAGGTCGAAAGGACGGAAGGACATGCGGCTGAAAATGACGACTACAATGATTGAGTTACCCTCGTAAAGATTAAAGATCTCTAAGCTCGAACGTTTTCTATCGAGATTTTCGAGATTTTCTCTTCCAAGTATTCCCGAAGCTTAAACACGGATTTATTTCGTCCACTTACAATCTGCCAACATTTACATCTTCAGTTACAACATGTATCATCATCTCGCGCTCACTTGACAGGAATCACCAATTCCCCAGAGTTGCGCGTACGTCGCATGTAACGTTTGACAATCAGTAGATGCATCAGTGATGAATGATCGTCAGGAACGGGAAAATCAGTTCTAGCCTCCTCCCCACATCCCACATCCCACACAGGCCACATACCGACATTGCGGTACTCTTTTCTCATTTCACACGTGAATCGACATCGCAGATGCGCAGATCCGAACACTTCTCACGACGTTACATGAATTGTGGCAAGTCGCAATAGCCATAGCCTATTCAACGCCGAGACGACGGAAGCTTTGAGGCTATCTAAATGACTTCCGCCTCCCAAGATATTTTAGTTGATCGTCCTTTTTCTCATTACTTTTCGGGTATATCAATGACGCTAGTCGAGCCACGGCTTGGCGGACATGGCCTCTTCAATTTATGAAGAACTATGGTGTTAACTAAACGCTGTCTATTACACTCTAAAGTCAGAACATACCAAAGCTATTGACCAACGCCTATCCCCTTCAGCCACGTGCACAATTTCGACAATTTTCAAGGGATGACAAAACGCCGCGTCAAGCTTTTTCCTTCGTGGCCGAATTCAGTTTGGATAAATATGTCTCGTACTAGAAGGGCCGATCACATCGCGAGGCAATTTCATCCGTGCTTTTATGTTGCTCAACAAGGCTAACGAGAACGGCGTCTCAGTAGACACACTAGCTCTGCCAGAAAGAAGCCTCCTTTTTCCCTTTACACGCGGCGACTTTGCGGACGTTGGAAGTCAAAAATCTCGGCTTGAGCCGTCCATTATGATGCAAGATGTAGTTAGGCGAACGACTAACGTAGGGTGTTGGTATATCCGTCCATCAGGTAACTTGCGACACCGAGCAAATTTAGATGCCGCTAGATGCCGCACGACTAATCGAGCTCCATATAGAAGAGGCATGGTGTCTAGTTGCTATAATGCCGAAGCGCCGATGAAATCAGCATTCTTGACACGCCAGAAAAGGAGCTCTCAAGATTTCGATTCACTTCCGGACTTTAAGGTGTTCAACCTTGATTCCAGGTTCTCAGATGAAAGCTTACCCAAGCTCGAGCCGTGCTCTAACGTTCATTTGATTTCCCCGCTATCATGACAGCAGATGCCTCGTCTCCTCCACGCGGCGTGATACCAAACCAACCGTAGTTAAACCATGTAAAAGATTGTTCACTGTTGTTTAAAGACACTTAGTCATAGCTTTTGTCACGGTAGTTGCAATGGCAAGATGTCCCCGGTATAAGAGCCGCTATACTAAGAGAATGAGACTATCTGATTAGTCCAGAATCTGCCCGGTTAGCTCAATCGGTAGAGCGTGAGACTCTTAATCTCAAGGTTGCGGGTTCGACCCCCGCATCGGGCTCAATTCCCGATGCATCTCTTCAAAGAGATACTTCGAATCTTCTTTTTTTCTTTCTTTTCTTCTTCTCGAATGCAGTGGATTTAAACCTGCGTAGATGTCCTCTGAAATAGGAATTTGCACCTGTCTAAACATCGAGGTTGCAAAAGTCTTCGCTTGATTAATACCTTGTAAAGACTCCACCTTCGTAATCTATAAAATTGAAATCTCAGTCTTCTTGTTTCAAGCATCACAATTTGAAGAACAGGTTCCACATCGTTCTAGTTACATGTGTTTCGAACCATCTTGAATAACCGCATCAATAAAGTTCTTTGGATTTCCTCAATGTTAGGTAATTACCACATGAGCTGGCAGTTAGCAACACGTCTACTACGATGAATACCAACTAATTGCAACGCCTTATATTGCCCTAGTTCACCAGAAGGAACTTGATACACTTATCTATCTTGAGTTACATGTAAGAAGCGTCTAATACATATGTAACTAATCATATAAGATAACATTCAACCTTATTGTTCGAACAGCTAAGTTGCTGGAAGAGCCGATATCAAGATTTGGTGGACTTGGGATAAACATCAATGTAAAATGCCTTTTGCTAGGATGTAGGTAAGCTATCCTCATGACATCTCGAAATTACTGATTTGAAAGCTACTTGACAAGTACCTACCTAGGTACTTTTACCATGGCCGTTTACTAAACAATAATATGGTGGATAAGGAATATGTAGCTCGTGTCTGCCATATGGCGTAACTGAACACCCCTTATATCGTAATCACTAGAAAATTCCAACTTTGGCCTATTGGAAGACTCCCTGTGATAAAATCAAGTAATTTAGAAAGCAAGAGATCATTATCTTTTATTATAAGACTTATAAATGATCCCGTCTCAACTCGCGGGTATGAGTCTCTAACAACAATAATCATAACGAGAGATAGCTAATATGTGTCGCGATAAAAATGGCAAGCCGGACTTCTATTCCGTGCTTCGTGTGACTCGTGATGCTAACGAAGCCGAGATAAAATCTGCATTTAGACGACTAAGCCTCAAGTATCACCCAGATAGGAAGGACTTGTCTTCCGAGGCCAGCAATGAGAATTTCGTTCAGTTGAGAGAAGCCTATGAAACTTTGAGTGATCTGACTCGTCGACAAATCTATGACAAACAGCTCCCTCGGCAGACGCGTGAAGAGTGTGAGATACCGCAAAAAGGTACAACGAGGCCTCAAACGTCAAGAGGAGAAGGGACACAGAACGAAGACGCTCAACGGGACGTGTTAAGAAAAAGATCAATATACCTTCAGGAGCAACTAGAGGAGCTCTGGACTACTTTCGATCACCTCCATCGGCCACGTATTACCAAACTTCCACCATTATATCTCTCATTTATGGAACTCCGGCAAGTAATTCTCGCAATGAAAGATGAGGGGACGAGATGGAAAAACAAGATAGGAATCATCACGAACGAAACAAGAGGACCAGTTACTGATTATGATGATTTAATTTATGAGAATCTTAGGTTTCAAACAAACATCTCTATTCTACATCAGGCGTTAGAAAGTATTTGCCATATTGATGATGTACTGCAGATATTTGAGGCACCCAATAAGGATGGTAACTCATTCTGGGAGCGTGAACTGGCTAGGCGCGTGACACATTTCTATTCGCTCCGGCACACCATCGATGACTTCTAACCACACATGGTATTACTGTTTTCAAAGAAAGTTGTCGTTAGATAGGGTTCGATCTCTTTTGTTCCTTATACTGCCATAGGACAAAGGGTTACCAAACTTATGAATAGTAACTTACCTACCTTAAAAGTTTATCGAGTTCCTAGCTAGTAATTATTTATGTAGCTATAGAAGTATATTAGAATGCCACTCTCTATGGGGCGTAAGAGACGAGCAAGATATAACTATGCTCGACTTACTTGGCGTGCTTTCCGGATCTAACGGTTCCAACGTCGTTTACTTATAACTAGAATCAATGTGTACCTAGTTGCTAAGTAGGAGTCTATACAGAACCAGCATCAATGTAGATTCTTAGAATGTCCCAAGAGACTCTTATGTGCCTTCCTACCTGGGTATCTACGTACTTAGGGCCGTCCAAGAGTCTGGGCATGTTGGCACTAAGCTTACATCTTGGCTAAACCACCACTAGGCCGCTTTTATCTTAAGATATCTCTTTCACGCCTGTTAGTATGACGGATATTTACGAACCAGAAGGTCCTTAAACCACGAATATCCATATATGTAGCGGCGCGGGCCAGTAAGGTTCACGATAAGCTTCACAAGCTTTCTAGGCATAGCAAGAGATAGATCCCTAGGACTAAGTCGTTCCTCTTCCGAATAGCGCCAAGATCTAAGATGTTCGTTCCTTGGCCGTTCAACGCGAGCCAAGTCCTTGTGCTGACCACGAAAAAAGGTAGCTAGAACATTTATAGCAGGTAAATAGACAATTCTTATACACATCCAATATCACGAATCAGCTCAACTCGATATTCAAGGGGGCGTGATGAGAAAAATATGGGTTGGTTCCATTTTCGGCCGAGTGTCATGTCCCAAGCCCGCGGACCCTGTACGGTAGAAGCTGGGGAAGACCTGCTTCTAGAACCGCGACCGCCTAAGGGCGTACGCGATTGGTAGCGAATATGTTATCATACCTCGATTCTTTGCAAGAATCCTACGTCGCACAGTCGCATCAGCAAAATATCCGATCTTATTTGTGGATCAGAAACATGGATTCTGCGTTATCATCAACGACCTACCTAAAACGGCATACGGCTAACCTCCCGACATCTTTTGCGATATGATAGATGATAGAACCTTGCTGGGTTGGGGAAAACGAGACCCCAAACTTACCAGGCAGATGGCAGAAGACGATCGCGAACCCGAAAAACGTGCCAGATTACCTAATTACTTACACTACAATCGGCAGTCCAGTGGTAGTATTATCTGAAGATATTGCTACTCGGCTTACATGAAACCTGCACTCGCAGAATAAGCCTAAAAACGTCGTCGATATGGACGTTGCCTAGGGTAGCCGGAGGAAGCGTCTGCATTTGAACTTACCCAATACCAAGGCGCTTGGCGCATTGCCGTAGACGCTGACAATCCCCGCGCATTGTGTGATCGGTCTGAGAGTTGAGAGAGGATAAGGAGCCAGGGAATCGGGTCGTGCCCCCACCGGTCTTGCGCTGTTACGGATAACCTCGTCTGGGATGCTAGGATAGCCAGGCGAAGGGCAGAGCTATAATATGCCGCCGATAAGCTAGGTACGATGATCTAGACAAGCCTTGACGAGTTGGAGGCGGGTGGTTATCGTGTTGTCTTGGCTCGGCCGGCTGTTCGAGAATGTTATATATCTCATGCTACGCGGCGTCACACCTACTCGCCTTTTTCTCTTATCTCAGGCGCGCATCCGAAACTAAGAATCATTATTGGTTTCGATCCAAGGCAATTATCTACGATGGGTGAGTTGCGTATATTTTCCGCAGGTTCATTGTTATTGCTTAATTATTAGATGCTTGGTCTTCTATATGTAAAAAGAAGACGAAGAAAGGAGAAAAAGTAAAGAACGTACCAATATGGACGAGAATCTCGCTTTTTAACTGATCATAAACCGAAATAGTGAGAAACTAATATACTTATCCTTAGATACCGCCACCACCATTCCCACCGTCGTTGCCCCTGTCAGCGCGGTACGGGCCTCCACGGATGAAAAAGCGCCCAACGAGAAGGTCCAACCTAGTTCTTCGGAACAAGGCGTCGCTGAAGATGGCCATGATACATTCCACGGTCTTGTCCTTCCGACAGAGGAGGAGAAGTCGACTCTAAGGCGCGTCGCCGGCAAGATGCCAGCAACTTGCTACTACCTATGCGCCGTCGAGTTCGCGGAGCGCGCTTCATACTACGGATGTACGTTTTGGCTTTTCTTTTCCCACTATGTACACCCTCGAAGCTGACGTTTTCCAAGGCAACCAAGTCTACAAGAACTTCATCCGTGCCCCTCTGCCAGCGGACGGTAACGGGGCCGGCGCCACGGCGCGGGGAAGTGAACTCACTGCGGGAGCGCTCGGGAAAGGCTCCGTAGTAGCCACTGCCATGACGGAGGCATTCAAGTTCTTGGCTTACGCACTACCAATCTACTTCGGATGGCTTGCGGATACGAAATATGGCCGTTTCAAGATGATATGCTGGGGTGTTGGAGTATGTGGCTTGGCTCACATTATCATGATCATCTCTGCGCTTCCACCTGTTCTTCAATCTGGCCATGCCATCGGCCCATTTGCTCTATCTCTTTGGTATGTATCAACCCCATACTAGGACTCCCCTATGATCTTGTCTGAACGTAAAGCTAACATTGTCACAGTACGTTGTTATATCTTCCACTCGCTTCGTTCTAGACGAAACAACTTCGGAGACCGGTTCGGTATTTGTATGACCTACTAACACATAACAGACATGCTCAGCATCGGCGCTGCTCAGTTTAAACCGAATATCTCGCCTACTGTGATCGACCAGAGCCCTCACAAGGTCGCTCACGTTATCACCGACAAAAATGGCGAGAAAGTCATCGTTGATCCAGAAGAGTCTGTTAACTCTGTGATGTTATGGTTTTGGTACGTATAAAACCATGAAAAATCACGATATATGCAATAGCTAACCTCGTGGCAGTAAGTGAAACTTAGCACCATTTTTACAGTATTTACGAACACGACTCCTCGAGACTAACACTCAAATTTAAAACCTAGATTTGCTCATCAACATCGGCGCCTGTTTCGGTATCCCGACAACATACTTGGCCAAGATCGTGGGCTACTGGGCCGCTTACTTAATTCCCACAATCCTCTACCTCCTGCTCCCGCCGCTGCTATGGTACCTTAACCCCCGTCTTGTCAAGCAGCCCCCCGGAGGCTCGGACCTGGGCAACGTGTTCAAAGTGCTAGGCGACATCTTCGCCAACGGCGGCCTGAAGCGCATCGGAAGGACGGGTTTCTGGGAGGCCGGCAAGCCGAGCGTGCGCAAGGCGGCTGGCAGCACAAAGGTCTACGAGTACGACGATAACTTCGTCAACGACGTGAGGAGGACCTTCCAGGCGTGCGGCATATTCCTCTTCTCGCCTATCTGGCAGATCAACGATGGTGGTCTGGGTGCCGCTGCGAATGCCCTTACTGCTGGAATGGATACCGACGGCTTACCGAACGATCTTCTTGATAACCTCAACTCTGTCTCGATCGTCATAAGTAAGTTTCAACTCCTACTTCTCCTACCTCTCAAAGCGAAACGATGGGACATCAAGTACTAATAAACTGCTCTAGTGGTGCCCTTCATGAACCACGTCATCTACCCGCTCCTTCGCAGACGGGGCATCAAATGGGGTCCCATCTCCCGAATGACCTTCGGCTTCGCGCTCGGCACATTCGGTTCCATCGGCTACTCCGTGCTGCAGTACTACGTCTACAAGACATCACCCTGCGGCTGGAACGCGACGACCTGCGCCGAGATCGTGCCCGAGGGCGAAGTCTCGGTGTCCACCGTGTCCTACGCGTGGTACGCCATCCCCGTGATCATCACCGCCATCTCCGAGATCTTCGTCAACGTGACCGCGTACGGCATCGCGTACTCGCGCGCGCCCAAGAACATGAAGGGCCTCGTCGCCTCGCTGAACCTCGCCATGACCGCCGTCTCCGCCGCCATCGGCCTCGCCACCGCCCCCGCCATCAGCGACCCCTACCTCATCTGGGCCTTCGCCGGCCCCACCATCGTCGGCGCCTCGCTCACCGTCATCTTCTGGTTCACCTTCAGGCATATCGATAAGGAGGAGTTCGTCCTCAACACCGACTTTGGTGATATGCGGAAGGACTCCGATCGTGAGAGCGACGAGGAGATTGCTCCTCAGCCAAAGACTATTGAGGAGAAGTCTTAAATCATAGATAGACGCTAAAATATGGAGTTCGCAGTGTCTTGCTTGGGGTATGAGTTATGTGGTAATTAGACACGAAAAGGGGGGCATATATTGACTTCTAGGTCTGTAGATGGACTAGGATATACCAATCAGGCTCAATCTTGAATATGTCTCTAAGAGATCAATACACATCTATACATTGCCGTTGTGCCTTAGCTTGAGTTTCGAGTTGAAGCTTTACGGATCTTTGCCGATTGATAGGTTGTTAACCGTCTTGACCTACTTTTGCAGCCGACCCCCCTTTGCAACGCAATTACACCAAAACGTTATCTTTCCATGTGAGCATAACTCAACGAATATCAAAGTTATGGAGGCCAAAAAAAACTTTGCAATGTAATTGAATGAATAAAATCTGGAATTGTATACTTTGGTAAAATTCCCCCCAAAAATGTTGATGTTGAAATCGCAACAATTCCACTGGTGTTCAAAAGATACGATGTCCCATATACAATATTCAGTGTGAAAGCATCAAGTATCACGATATCTGACACCTCAAAACACCTACCATTATTCATAACTCTACCAGTTACGTACCTAAACAAAGTCAAGGTAGGCATAGACAAATCACAAACACCGGCAAAGCACACACCACTAATCGACGAATTCAATCATTACACATTTCCGTATCTATTTGTGGTATCGGTATTATTACTACAAGCACCGCACAGCCATCCCCTCAAAATCCAGGACACCTCTTGTCGAAGGGGCTCTTCTGATTCTGCGGCGTGCATACCATCTCGTTCGCGAACGCCCTCCACCGATCCAACAAGTCAGTCTCCCGGACACCGTCATGTTGGGGATAAAAGCTCAGGTGTCCGACGACGCTGCGCGTGTCGATAACGAACGGCCTATGCGTCCGTTTCGGGATCGTTACAGTGATGTCCTCCTCGTCGTCCTCCGCGATCGGCAGCGCCGCCTTGATATCGTGACCCCATAGCGCCACGAAGTTGAGGTTGTACCGCTTGTACTGCGTGTTGTATAGCTGCTCTGCACCTGGGCCGCCCCTGTTCTCTGCCTGGTGCTTCAGTGCCACAGCCGATGTGTTTTTCCCGCTAGGAAATTCTTGCGGCGAACCGAAGAAGTAGTGCGCAATGGCATTGTCCTCGAGGTTCTTCAGTAACGAGTACTGTTGCTGACTCGCTATGGCCCAAGACTTCCATGCCTTTTCGTACATGGATTCAACACCTTTGTCTCCTCCATGCAGATAGTTCAGCCCCATTGGAGACTTCATTAGATCGAAGGGGTCATCTGATATCAAGAGGAATGGGTGGCCATAATACGGACGAGCAGGGAATATCTCATCATTGAACTCTATGCTGCGCAGGTCGCTTATGTTGAGCTGTGGTAAGCTCGATTCTGGGAAATGGCTCTTTTCAGATGGTCGCCATGACTCGGCAGCGGCGTGTGATGGCTTCTCACTCGGATCAGGCCTAAAGGCATGAATAGCGCCGACGCTATAGAAACGTCAGTACTGGTATATGATGAAATCAAGGACGCAGAAGCACTGACTGGAAATGTTCGTAACCCGTCAAGGGACTATTAACTAAGTTTGCCGACACAGCAAATGGATGAGGCGTGGCAATTCGGGTATGGACTAATTGGGGTATCGCATCTGGATGAATGAAAATCTAGAATGACGTTAGATAACCCCGAGTGATATGCTGTCCGTGAGAAGGCGACATACAATATCATCGTCAATCTTCACGTATATAGTATCGTCTTCAACAACGGAGTCCCAAATACAGCCGTATGAACTCCCCTCGCAGGTGTTGGCTTCTACGATGTGGTAGTGTTCTTCTCTTCGTGAGACGAGATCTTTCAAGTAGTCGAGGTCTTCATCATTATTCGTGTGCACCATAAATCGAATTTCGTCAACGTATCCTCCGTTCGCGGCCAGATTTTGCTGTAGATAGCAGTCCAGGAAGTCGACCGTTCTCTTGCGGCCGAAGAACACCAGCGCGACAATCTTGATACCTACGGGCTTCTTCCAGCCACCCTTAGGCGCGAAAGACTCAAGTCTTACCGTGTTGTTCCCTGGTTCGTGGGAAGGCGTGTATCGGCCTTTCCAATCGACAGGCCAAGTTGTGCATTGCCCGGGTACATCCGGTTCAGGTGCTAGAGGCGGGTTCTGGAAGGGGGCAAGTCTATATAATTCGTGATGGGTGACCTCAAAAATGACCATGGAAAGACCGAGGAAGACTATGACGGCGATTATCAGTCGCCGGAGGTCGATTTTCCGTCTCAGGAGGTTGTGGTTGACGTAGCGCAACCACCACTCGCGATCTGCACCCATAGCTTTCATATTCTCAGGTTGACTGTGCCGAAAATCTGACCGTTCCTCATCCCATCCCAAGTTTGCGCGCGTTGACGACGTTGCGGTCGACGATTTTCCCATGAACGATGATGCCCCAGCTACCCATTTAAGGGCAGGAAAGATGAAAAGGCATTGCCGAGCGCGAAGGGGAGCGGAGATTGCGAAAAAGCCGATTCTTATTTCTGCCGGACGGTTGGTGCCAAGATGATAAATGTATAAATTAGACCGACCAGAATGGAAGTACCAGTTGGTCGGTATGGGGTAGCGCAGCTTTGAGTCGGGAAATCCGCCATTGTCAGCTGGATGAGATGAGTCCAGGCCTATGCGCCCAATCAATTGGTCCTTGATTCAGCCAGTGGCTCATCTCGTCGGACGGATGAGTGGTAACTTGGTAAGCCGCAATAGGCCAAGCGAGCCGTCCCCTGAAATGCCAAGGGGCGCAGAGTGATCCGTTTAGGCCGTCAGCGAATCCTGCCGGACGGATCTGCTAGCATTGTGGAAAAGCGATTTGCAGGACTATTGGATGTATGTCGTCCCAAACATTGAGAGGATGAAACCAAGCTTATCCAAATAAATGTTTGCGTTAATGATGTCGGTGGACAAAGTTGTATTTTCGAAGTTTTGATTTGAGATAGCTCATAAATCATAAACCCAATCTCACGTTAAGAGTGAATGCCAAGACCGGTATAACTGTATATCCGCTATACTACGAAGTACATGCATTTTAATACCCATGCATAAATACCACCTGCTAAAAGAAGGGTGAATTCAGGATCTACACATGTATCTATGTACTATCTGCAAGGTATGTGAACTTGGTACAGGGGATTCGATCGACGCTGCCCTGAGCCCAACGTGCATGGAACATCGCAGCCGTACCAGGAGTCTTCGACCTGGAATTTTTAATTTTAGAATACGACTTCGTCTATCATGACAATGACATAGCGCATACCCAGTCTTCACATTTACATGATTTTTTATTTTATTTTTTTATGCATCATGAATTGGTATAAGCTTCTAACAAGTTTGAAACTGTCTCATCGGTGGCTTTACAAAGAAATAACTAGACTGTTTGCTGTTCTAAACTTGCAAACTAGACCCTGGTGGTACAAGTTCTGCTCTACAAGACAAACACCAAAAATCGTAACTCGGACTTTAAAATATGGGTAGGGCTGAGCATGACGAGGAATTAAGACATATGACGAAAGGGACAATTAAACTTTGTGAATCAAGCTTGCGACGTCTAACATCTGATGTGCGATGTAACCTATTATCCGACAGGAGGGATACATAAGGCTAGCCATCATGTTGGAAGCTACTCGTATACACACTTCTACAACACCCATCTCGTTAGATAGCTTGCCATCCCCATCGTCTATAACCACATAGTATAATACAGTCGTTTCCCCAGAAAAATCTAGGTCCCCTGTTAATGATGCAATCGCATGCTTATATGTGACCGTTATCCTATGCAACGTCTATACCGCGCCTTTGTCTTTCCCTCCTGACCCCAGCAAATATGTAATTCTATCCAACATGACCTGTGTATTCATACAAACCGGTCTGCCAACGAGGTATGTAAAAGTGTACCCATCATGATAAACCCAAAAAATGAAATATGCACATTATTCATGTCTCATCATCTTTTGCGTTACTCTTAGATGAAAGCCCCATCTCCACCACCACGGGGTGGGGCTCGTCCTGGGGGCCGCGGCGGCGAACTACGAGGTGTCGAATCCCTACTTTCACTACGGCCCCCATTCCAACCCCCTCGACTTGAGTCGTAGTCTTCGTACTCGGTCTCCTTGTCATAGGCTTCCCCCCTAGGCGGACTATGCGTTATGCCTCTGCCGTACCGCTCTGCTCTTTTATCGTCCGAGTATATATCGTCGTCGCTTTCATCGTCATCGTCATCGTCATTGTCGTAGGGAGGTTGCGCTGGCAATGTATGGGAATCACCCTTAACCAGGCCCAGTCTCTCCTCCTCGGTTGCATTCTTCACTTGGGTCTGGCGATCCGAGTGCCGTGACCCTATCCTATGGTGAGACGGCGGGTTCCTCGACGGCGGTAGCGCTTGTTCCTGTGTATTGTCAGCTTGATGCCGACGAAACACATTTTGGAACGAGAACTGCCGACGTGCTGAGTGAACCTCTCCGTGAGGTGGTGGTGTTGGCGGGGCCAGAGAGGTGACACTAGCGCTTGGCTTCGGTGTGTCCATGAACTGAATATGCCGTCTAGCACTAGTAGATGACATGCTACCGGCACCGCTATGCCCAGGCTTCCGTAGGCCGTCTGGCAGACCGTAAACATGGTCTCGGCTGGTGCCATACGGACTGGCTTCGTTTCCGTACTTTTGGCCAGGTACGGCAATATCAGTTAATTGCATCGGATGTATCGGGCTTTGAGCACGAGGATTTTGCTCTTGATGAAAATCGGGATGCCCAGGGAGCAAAACGCTCCTTGTTCGACTTCGAATTGTTCCAGCTATACTTGAAAGTATACTTGGAGACATCGGGCGATTGCGATCTTCCTCCAACTCCTCTGGGGTTGGAAATCTTGACCTGCCTAGGGGCGGGTGTGCCGGAGTGTTGACGGGGCTTGGTGACGCCACTGAACGACTTCTAAAACTCGAGGCTATTGTGGTTCTCCTTCGTCTCAATCCGTCCCATTCATACAGCTGTTGGCCATCTTCACTGACCGGCGCAAGACGTTCCATTTCCTTTTCTTCGCGGAGCCGTCGGAATTCTTCTTGTTCCATTCTCATCCGCGCTTGAGAAATTCGTCGTACAATGGCGGCAGTCCCACGAATAGCATCGGCTTTGGGTTCTGTTTCGGGTTGCTCTTGTTCGGCAATTGTGTGGATTTGATCCAAGTCCCCAGCAAAGACGGCAGAATCCGGTACGTCTTTCGCGGATTTAGACAACTGAAGCAAAACAACACCTGCGCAAATCGTAAGAAATCCCATGACAACCGTAACAATTTGCATAGCAGTGCCCTTGAACCCCTGGAAAAGGACAGCTGACGTTATGATAGTTGTACTGGTAAAATAGACATAATACGTCGGAGTGACCATGGCCGCATTAAACAAATTGAGCGCTTTCTATACGAACTGTCAGCAAACTAATCTCCGTACCATCTAATTAGTGTCAACTTACGTTCAAATAAATGATTTCCGTCAGTAGCGTGGCTATAACAAAGACGAGAACAACATATAAAAACCATTGGTTAAATTGGGGAGTGCCGCCGGCTTGGGCGACAATAGCGGCGCCTAGGCCTTGAGTAGCGACAACACTCAGCCCACCGATCCAGCTGCAGACTGAGATGTAAGGGAACATGTTCTTCTTGCCGTATCGTGGCCCAACCCAAAACGCAACGAACAGTGCCCCGACAATGATAACACCGGTATAACTCAGAAAGCCCGGGGTGACGACAAACTTCTGCAGCTCCTGGATATTTGCCACGGATGATTCTGTCGGGGCATTCAAGACGATGACGACGGATCCAACTATGCACAGAAAGCAGGCAACCTTGCCGACCATGCTGAGTCTCTCTTTCAAGAATATGGCCGAGAGAATGGCGGTGATAACAACCGATAAAGCTCCCAAGGACGTGACCAAGATTGCATCGGTAAAGGCGTAAGCGGCGAAATTGCAGATCTCGCCTGTGATCATCAGAGTCATACCAGTCCACCAGTATGCATTTTTAAGATAGCCATAACCTTCGCCAGCGACTTCATTGTATTTTTCGTTTGCTTTTAATAAGCCGACCTTCTTCAACACAAATGACACTCCGATAAAGCAGCCAGAAGCAATTGCCAAGGAGATACCAATGACCTTGTAAGTAGGTGGGCGAGTCTGTTGGTCGGCATCGCTGCTCGTCTCGTTCGCTCTGGCATATATCTGGTTGGCCGTGACGAGCAGTTGCGCCGTTTGGTCCATATTGGAACCGCGGAAACGGCGATAAGCCGCCGATCAGGAATGTATTCGGACTCAAGGCGTCTTCGGGTCGACGGTCTATTACTAAAGTGAAAGCGGATATCCGGGAGGATAGAGGAGATGGTGTCAAATGCAGCTGGCGGTTTATACAAGTTGTGCGGCGCAAATATTTCGGGCGTATAAAAGCATGTATACACAGAACATGAGTATTTTCGTTGTCGCAAATGTAGAATTATCGGTGAACCGTCGCCGTATCACACCCGATACAGAATTCAAAAATGCAGACAGTTCCTGATCAACAGAGTAACCGAACTCAGGATTGCGCAAACCTACAAACTCGGAGACCAGTGTCAGCGGAAAGATTGGAATGGTCTCGGTCCACCTGGATATGGATGGACCACAGGGATTATTGGGGATCAGTTCAACAGAAGCTAGTTGCCCTACGAGGATGAGGATGAACGGTACTGGTAACAAAACGTATGTGTTGCGAAGAAAAAGGTTGGGGGTTTGATATGAGACGGTTGTTGTGGGAGCAGAAGCTAGTAGTACAAGGTCGGTGCTGGTCGGCGCCGTATTTGGCTGGTTCATGAAACGGCGATAACAAGGGAAAGCAAATGTAGGATCCTCCAATCGTAAACCGCTATGCTCTTGGGGTCAAGGGAGTCTATTAACCGTTTTGTGTTGATTTATTGTGACATTGAAAGATTCGCAACAAGGCAATTCTCACATTGAAGTTTAGAGGTTTAGAGGTTCAGAGGTTCAGAGACAAAGAGTTTGATAAAGAGAAAAGAGTCGAGATCGGAAGTTGGGAAGGACTTTCCCCGTTGCTCTCACGAGGATTATTCAAGAGTTCATCGTCTGGACGACAGCCGTATCGCATCCGATAGCACTTACTGCATATGTGCATATGTAGCACGTAAGGTAGCAGCGTTGTACTAAATGGATGGCGCCTGTTAGTGCGGGACGTCCGGGAAGAGGAAGGTGTCCAAGATCTAGGCCATGTGCTCTTACCTGTCCTACTTAACTAAACTATATAATTAGGTACATCTCTAGGTACCTTTGCTACCTGGGTTACGTACTGGGTTGGGGCTGAGCTAGGTACATCTTAATACACTCTATATCTAATAGTGTGGAGGGACGACAAAGCAGCCCTGCAAATGTGGAGCACATGAGACATCCATTTGTGTTGCTAACAAAAAGTATATTGAACCCGCTAACCACCCTTTAACCCACCACGCAACTTCTTTTAAATAACATATTGGACAGCAACCAACAACTGTTCAATTTACAGCCCCGACTGGAGAAATCATCGGAGTCCAGTGCTCTCCCTACATGACGTGTCTCGGTACTTTTCCTTCCAAAGCTACGGACTCCGGATATCATTAAGTCCATATCCCCCACCAGCACATTGTTTACGTAGTACAACATCAGGGGCACAAAAACTTGGCTCTCATATTTACAACTTTTACGCCACACAAGTATCCTTGTTTTTACTGGCTCATATAGTCGCCATTGCCAAACTGCCCAGCTACCATTCCCAAGCTCTTACACATGCGGTCTCATGTATAGAATATCGAAGTTGAGGATATGTGCTGATTCTCGATCTGGATTGCCCAATTAGGCCTTGACCATCTTCTTGGAGGCCGATCGTTAACACTCAGCCATCTCAGGCGTTTCCCGCTTCCCTCCTAAAAACCCTGCATACAGACCTGCACAGTCACATCGCCTCCCCCGCGCTTAGAGAATGTGACAGCATGATGTTATTGGAAACCACTAAAAACTAGCAGATCGATTGATAGGCCGTCGACTTAGAGCCAAGACGTCGTATATGCTTCAAGATGACAACCCCGTTCTCTGTACGCTCACCAGTGACAGAGATAACTCGCCTCCATAATTTCTAGCGGAAGGACTGGCGGCCGATTGAGAGAGATGTAACTGACATACCTGTTTGCCCAACTACTTTACTAGCAGCGGCTGTGGCAGATCATATAGGTGCGCGGCAAATCACTGGCGACGGGGCTCATCTGTCAATGCGGTCGTAACTCCCCAACCCCAACCCCCACCCTCCACACTAAGGCTATTTTAATGAATATGCATTTCCACAGGCAATCAGCGATCTATGGCTAGCAGAAGTACCTGCCAACCTATCAATGGTCAACGATCAATACGGAAAGCTTGCTCTTAAGTTACAGCGAACATGAACTTTACGGTAGCACTACGATTCTTATTGTTGTTACACCTGCAACTAGGTACCTTTGTTTTTCCTTCGAGATTAGTAAGCATGTTTAGTCCTCCGGATTGATGGGGGGAGTAAATAATGTTGTTCTTCTTAAGTGTAATCTCTCAAACTAAATCAACAAAGTTTTCTTTTAAAACATTTGATTACGTCACCATTCCCACAGGATCTAAGTCAATATAATATCATACCCATACAAAGATAGCCTATAAAAACTCTTCAGGGGTAACGAAGTTTCCTATTCCACAACCACTTAATGTCTGAAGTTTAAAAGTCTTACTTAGGCACTCAAGCTTATGCTCATAATGACTTACCAATTTTTATAATATATATTTTCTATTCATAAACATGATTTACGAAACAATAAACAACATGGCAAACAAGTACGCCGGTCGTCAAGACAAACTAACTTACCTTCTAGTAAACTTAGGGGGGGGAATACTTTACGCAAATAACCAAAGAATACCTACTCATCCCACACGGCCATTTTGGACCACCACTCTCCAAACGAGTCCGTAGAGGACCCCTCGGACGGCGATTTTCCGTGGCTGGGGCCTGCTGTAGCTGGCGAGCTGGGGCCTGCTACAGCTGGCGTGCTGGGGCCCGCTGTAGCTGGCGAGCTGGGGAATCCAAAACCCATGCTAGTGAATGGTAATGGCGTTGGGCTTCCGAAGCGACCTCGGTCCTCAACTGAGCCGAAGGGAGCCGGGCCTTGTAGTGGTGAGCGCATAGCTGGGTCTAGCGGTGGTGAGCCGAAGAGAAATGCTGGGCCTGGCGGTGTGTCGGCGAGAGCCGGGTCTATTGGTGGCGAGTTGGGCGAGTCGGGTGAGTCTGGGTCTCCGGTAATGTGAGTAGCTGGCGTTACATATGAGCCGCTACGGTCACTATTTGGTGCGTATGAGCTAGGTGATGTTGAGCTCCCATAGTGACTGGATCCCGCTGGCGAGTTGGGGTCTCCGGGATGCAGACTCGCTGCTCCTGGTGAGGCTGGGCCTCCGGAGTGTTGACTAGCTGCTCCTGGTGAATTTGGGTCTACGGGATACGGACTAGTTGGTCCTGGTAAAGTTGGGTCGGGATACAGACTAGCTGCTCCGGGTGAGGCTGGGCCTCCGGAATGCTGACTGGCTGCTCCTGGTGAGACTGGGCCTCCGGAGTGCTGACTAATTGCTCCTGGTGAGACTAGGCCTCCGGAGTGTTGACTAGCTACACCTGGTGAGACTGGGCCTCCGGAGTGTTGACTAGCTGCTCCTGGTGAATTTGGGTCTACGGGATACGGACTAGTTGGTCCTGGTAAAGTTGGGTCGGGATACAGACTAGCTGCTCCGGGTGAGGCTGGGCCTCCGGAATGCTGACTGGCTGCTCCTGGTGAGACTGGGCCTCCGGAATGCTGACTACCTGCCGATGGTGAGCCCCCCGAACCAGGCGAGCCCCCGGCGGGTGAGAGATTCGGATGTATCGGCGACATATCCACCTGGCCGGGACCCACAAGCGTCGCGTTTGGATCCCCAGTAGCGCTAAAAGGTGACGAACCCTGGGAGGATGCCTGTCCGGCGGAAGCTGGGTCTGATGGCGGCAATATTGATTTCCCTAGCGTTATGGTAGGTAAACTTTCGGCTTGCGGAGTGACGCCCGCTTGTTGTCCACTGCCACTGGGACTGCCACCGCCACCGCCGAAGCTAGAACCTCCCGAGAAGGACGAGGAACCGGAGCCGGAGCCAGAGCCGGAGCCAGCATCCGGCACGAGGCCTCCGCCACAATACGTACTAAAGCGTGGCGCCTGTGGGACGTGGTTTCTCACTTGGGCTGTAGCTGGAATTGCCTCGAGCTTCGTGCCGGGAGGCGCGACGACGATGTCATGGCAGCCCTTGCACTGCCAAACAACAGGGAGGTCCGGGCTGCCGTTCTGGCCCTTACCTCCCCTCAGACCCTCGAAGTTGTACGCCTGGATGCTGGGATTCTTGTGACATGCCGGGCAGACGGTCGTCGTGCCGTAGGCCATATTCGCGTAGGCGTCGATGTTTTCCGCTTGCTGCCTCATGTTAATCGAGTGCTGGAGCCGGTGAGGGCTGCAGAGGTAGCGGCCCTGGAGCTTGGTCCCGCAGGCACATCCCGTGAACACAACACTTATGTCTCCCATGAAACCGCCGAGAGTGATGAAGGGAGCCACGTTGGAAACAAAGCCGGGGGTCGCGCCCCGGTACCCCCGCGCCATGCCCCAGATGCGCAAGCCGCTGCCGTGCAGGATCTCCGGCGTGTTGGAGATATCGTGGCAGCAGACGAAGCAGCAGAAGGCTCGCAGGTTCCCCGCCGAGCCGTTCATGTAAGGGAAGAAGCGGACCCGGCTCGCCATGTCGCATTCCTCGCAGACCGGGAACGCCGCGTGGCCGTGTGTGGTGTCCTCGCAACAGCTCCCCGTGGGCCTGCCGCATTCCTGGCCGTCCCTTTGCTCGCGGCATCTCAGAATCGGATTTGCCGCCAGTTTCCCGTCCTGCCAGATCCGGCTGACAGGGATGTTTGCTAAGGCGGGGCGAGGGTTGGGATGGTTGGGGATGGGGCGTTGGGCCTTTGCCATGTCCGGACGGTGGGGGTGACCCACGGGGAACTCATTGTACCACTCTTTTAGATTCTGGAACACTTTTTCGCCGTCATCGCCGCCATGGGTTGGCTGGGGTGGACCTGGCGAAGGGGGGCGGCAGATGGACTCCTGGGCTACGCTCCGAATTGGCGGGTTTCCCGGGCTGAGCTGATCCACAGCTCCCGGGTTTGCGGCGGCGTCGGGCGGGAGGTTAACAGGAAGTTCCGGCAAAAGCTGCTGGTTCGCGGCGTTCCAGCGGCTTTCTAAGAAATTTCTTATCCCTATTCCCACAAACGAATTGTCCCAATCAACCCCGTTCACCGCGTCCGCGATCAGGAAACGTCGTATGTTCTCTGCCGCGATGAGCTGGTGCTTGGTTCTGACGAGTTGCACTAGCCCATTCCACGTTTCGATGTATGTTTGCGCTCTAGCTGGGTCCCAAGGCAAATCCACACCCTCGAATAAATTGTCCGGCACCGGCATTGTCGGTTCTGGAATCCGTATTTCGAGTGGCATCTCAATGACCGCGGGCCCGATATCATGTCATGGAGCCGGTCCCGGCATCCCCGGAAACGGCAGCCCAGCGGGGTCTACTCCCGGTGGAAGCGGCTGGTATTGGAGGTGGTAGTCGGGCGGCATTTTCGGTCTTGGCCCCGCTAAAATGTAATTGACACCCCGTTGACCATCGCGATATATCTTCTCGTAATAAAGAGGCAGATTATCGCCGGGGGCGCCCCGCCAAAAGCAATTGGCCTGGTTACGTCCGCTGCATACCGGTTCCCCGTGTATGATACAATTATCGCACGGCCGTTTCCTGTCGCAGTTGCGTATCTGGTTCATACAGGGGTCACACCTACCGATAGCTTCCATCCTGTCCTGCTCCTCGGTGAGATCACGCGGCGGCAATGCTACGCCGTCGTGTACGCAGAAAAGGCCCCATCGGGTGCACTCGGTGCAGGCCCTGGGCGGGTTGGCACCGGGCTCCATATCGCACTTGTGCCATCCTCTACAACGCCTCACACACGTCTGGCACTTGGCCATCTTAAACGGAGACGGTTTTCCCTTGTTATGTCCGCCCCTGCCCTTGCGCTTGCCCGGGGCCTCTCCCTCGGGGGGCGGCGGCGGCGGCGGCGGCGGCGGCAGTGGACCAGGGGGCGGCGCTCCCTCAGCGGGCGGTAGTTTCCACTGCTTAGCCCGCAGGAATTCCCCGCGGCCACCATGGCCTGGTATACCGGCTTGGATGGGCACGGCATAGCTGGGCCCAGCAATGCCGGAAGGGCCTGCGACGGGGCCCGGGGCCGGAGCTAGAGGCCGAAGTCCAGGAGCAGGAGCAGGAGCTAGAGGTCGAAGTGCAGGAGCCGGAGCAAGAGCAGGAGGAAGAGCAGGAGCCGGAGCCGGGGCCGGAGCAGCAGGAGGAGGAGCAGGCCAGGCTTTAGGGGGAGGAGGAGGAGGAAACTTACTCGTATCGATAGGCTCTCCCGGGACGCGGCCGTATAAATCAAATTCGGGGTTCCAAATGGGGGGCCCGAACTCGCTTTTAGTGCACATCATGTTTTCGCTACGGCAAAACGGACAGGGACGGCCGCCCTGGCAATCTAGTCGGAGGATCAGACATTCGTTGCAGTAATGTGCGGCTTCGGGGGGCGCGTACCGTCTACGCCACTCGCCCACTTCGAAGGGGTGCGAGCGGAAGTATCGCCAGGCCTCCTCTGTGTCGTACCCGGGCCAGTAAGGGTTATATTTGTGGGGTTTGTTCATGAAATACTCCATTTTGGCTACCTACCGTAACTAGGAGATAGGGGGGGTAAAGGGAAAGGGGTAGTTCTATGTTGTGGAGGAAAGAAAAGGCCACTACTCTATAGTGGCTGATGTTTAAGATGCCCAAGGCTGAAATGTTTCAACTTTGGTTAGCGAAGAATCGATTTACTTGCTTTCGAAATGTCGACTGCTTTGGTGGATAAAATCTTCTTTGCAGGCGAGTGTATTTATCTTCGCGCCAGAATATCATGACAATATCATTGTTAGGGTGAGTTTATGGACAACGCCATTGAGCTAAAACACAACTTGCTTTGTATTGCCTTTTACGTTGCCATAAGTTTAATATATGGACTCGTTATCAGTGTTATGCTGAAACTAGTGTGGTCGGTTTAGCAGTACCTTTTATGCAGGTAACCTACATAGACAATACCCCTTTGTTAGAACGAGGTTATTTCAATAGCATTGTTTTCTACTTTCATGTTGTCTACGGCTCTTACCTCGAGACCCCGGGGGTTGATATCACATGGGCCTAATTCATTCTAATGATGGGTACCTACCTATATACCTAGAGATGCTGGTACCGTTCGACTCTCAGATCCAGCTTGACTAAATTCCCCTATCATGTGTGGACATCAAGGAGAAACGCATGCACTCTACGAACTTAGCATAGTAGATCCGGCTCCGGTGGCACATGGGACGATTCGTACATCGCCGCTCCTCATGTTTTGTCATGGCTTGAATTTAGGTCGTAATTTTGTAGCATTCGCGAACAAACATTGCACAAAGGATCTTCCGAGCCCGGATTTTATGAACTGAGACGCCTGAACTTGAGATGGGGGAATCTATGACATCAAACCACTGTAAAAGAAAAAAAAAGAAGAGGAAAATGAAGAACATTACAAGTAGTGAAATGACCAGCAGCAGACATCACCAACCCCCCCATCATCTGCGATGATCTGGACCCTGGGCAAGGGTCCGAGTGAAGTTATTCTGTGTAATCTTAAACGTCGTGCCACAAATCCACATAGACAGTGTTGTCTCTTCAGGTGGTAGCGAACTAGCCACTTGAATTTGCCCTTTATTCCATTTCAGATGCTGGTGGGTTTGCTCGGTTCCCGCGACGAGCTGCAAAATCCCGACTCCTATTACCAATGCAACAATTTTGCCTCACTGGACCCGGCATGTACGTTTCGAAACCGCCAATATCGTTCATCGAGCTCATGCCGGACGCACACACGGACACACATTCATATGTATTCGTGGCTAAGAGCCCACATCCTCTCGTATGCATAGCCCAAATCACCACAAAAACCTATTCGCTCCCGTGCCAATTTTCATGCCATCTCATAGGACTACGCACTTGGAACAACAGCCGGCCTCGGATTCGCCCTCGTTCATTTCGAACTTGTTGGCGGGTCCATTCAAACCGCCGTTGCCGCCGCTGTTTGTCGAGAGGCCTTGCATGTTACGGTTGTAGTGGCGAATTTCTCGTACGAGATCGAAGAATGCCTTGTCGACGTTCGTCCGGGTCTTAGCTGACGTCTCGACAAAGGGGCATCCGAATTGTTTTGCCAATGCCTCACCATCTAGATTGGATTACGCATTAGTAAGACGCAAACCAGATTCTAAACATAAAATTAATTTGAAAATAAAATGGAAAAAATTACCTTGTCGAGGAACCTCTCGCTCGCCCTCCAAATCGCACTTGTTACCAACTACAACCATGGGGAAATAGTCTGTGGGATCCTTGTCTTTGACTCGGAGAATCTGTTGTTGAAAGGTGCGAATTTCCTCGAAACTTTGATCGGAGGTGATAGAGTAAACTAGAAGAAATCCTTCGCCGGTGCGCATGTACTGTTCTCTCATTGCTGAGTATTCTTCTTGGCCAGCTGTGTCGAGCACGTCGAGAAGGGCAACTTCATCATCAATGACGCATTGCTTGCGGTACGAGTCTGTCGGGGAGAAATGCGTTAGTTCGGGAAAATGGCATAAAACTGGAAAATATTATGGAGGTTGGACGAACCTTCGATAGTAGGATCATACTCGTCGACGAAGTGGCTCTGTATCAATTGAATGGTCAAGCAGGATTTGCCTACGCCTCCTCCGCCGACTACGACCAACTTGTACTCTCGTAGAAACTAGCGGACGCATTAGCAATCAAGATGGCACGGAGACATCACGCGCAAGTTGCAAATACATACTTTGGAAGCCATTGTGAATTCACCAATTAGCAGCGATACGTTTCGTCTGCTGAAATGGATTGGATTGGGTTGAGTAGTAGTAAAAGGAGTTCGGCTAGATTAATCCGAGAGGAAGTGATTTTTAGTGAATCGCGACACAATTAAGATTATCTCGGCGATTTCGATGGGAGGACAAAGGGATTTGACGATGATAGATTCGGCGCAAGTCTAATTAGGACGAGCGAGATGGATGGATGGATGAATTTGCGATCAGCTAGGAGAAAGTCCGGTCAGAAATGTTGTTTTGACGTTTCTGACTGGTCGCTGATCGGATGTTGACGGTGATGAGGAGTTCGTCAGAAAGAAGGGCAAGAGAAAAGGGGGAAAATGAAAAATAAAATGGATTACAAAAGTAGAGATAATTGGAGGGGGAATCTCGATTGTACAAGGGAATAAAAAAAGAGAAAATATCCCGTCGCGTGCGTGTGATGCGTGTCTACGACCTACGACCGTGGACACTTTGAGATGCAGTGACGGCAAAGAAGGGGAGAGTTGACTCAACTAGAATCGATGGTCACTTTTTTTTCGAGGTAAAGAGGACTTTCGGGGCGCTTGGATTGATTTGGTTCAAATGGCTTCTTGGCCCACAGCCAAAGGGGGGTGGGCCCGATACAATGTACGAATGTACAAGGTGCTTAGGTGGGGCAAAGGAATGATTGACATTGGTTGTTAGAGTTCTCATACGATTCTGGCGCTTGGATTAACAGGCACGGGCCAGTCGATTAGCACCTCTTTCACTATCTAATTCTAAGAGTGGGCGACGCTAAGCTATAAGAGGCTATGGCCGCTAGCCACTTAGATACATAAACCTACAAAGATAAACCTGCCTGGCAGCTACCTTAGCAGCTTACCTGGTAACTATAGCTACAGCTACCGCAAGATTTGTATTGCTTTAGGTAATACGTTAATATGCGTCGGTAATACAAGTATGTATATACTGGGTACAATTACAGAATAGAATTAGGGGTACAAGAACACTAAGGGTAATGTCGTCAAATAAAGATAGGTAAAGTCTGTGCCGTTCGTTAAGCTGTATGTCTTGCGTCAGCTTCACGCATACATACCAGACATGCCTAGCATCATGTATTGATCGATGAATGATGCTAGATGGAGCTGATTTGCCGAGACAGAACACAACCACATAGTCACATAATCGTCTCTTTTTTTATCGATTCCAGCTGCCCGGTGCATGTGTGTGTGTGTAGATAGGTGTGTACTTGTATGTACATCGATAACGTTAAATGTACATATATATAATAGGGGAAGTAAAGAAACTCGCCTCGGCGACCACTTACACTTCGCTTTTAAGAGCTTCAGCAACCTTAAATTTGGAAATGGCAAGCCTCAGCAACTCAGGTACACCTAAATTCAGACCATTCCCTCCATCCTTCTTGCCACTCACCATAAGCTTTCCTAGCTTTTCTAGCCTTCATTTCACCTAATCTTTGAATTCCTACTACCACTAGCATTTATCAAGTATCAGGCTCGTCTTACTAGCTGAATCCAATCGAGTACTAATTTCTCTCAACCAATACTGAATATCGTCCGATATGCGCGTGATAGAGATATTAGCTTACATAGCTCCCAGGCTCCCCAGCCTCTGCCGTTGCAAGGGAGGAAATCGGAATCGTCATTGTTAAGATCCAAGTCATATATCACGTTCTATCTATCTTATTATCTCCATCCAAATCCTTCCTACAGAGTATTAATATGTACACGGTTTGTCCAGCAGCTATTATGCAGCTATGATTGCTTCTTTGAGGGGGAACCACACCGTTCTTTTACTCCAATACCCAATATCCACCAGCCACCTCCATACTTCCGTCAACCCCACCAGCGATGCTACCCTGAGCGGTGAACCGACTCGGAATGTCAACCTCGCTGGCCCATCATATTCCCATATTCCCATCTTCTCAATATCCTTCAAACGACATATCTAAGACGAGGCAGACCAGCTTCCCCATTGATCAGCCATTCCTACAGGCACCCCGGCCCTATCTATTGTGATAATTCGGCGGTGCCTACACTGTTCTTATAGCCCCATCACACCCTATTATTCCGCCCAGTCTGCCAACCCGCCTGAGCTCACAAATCCTCGGCCCGCAGATTTTTTTTGTATATCAGTTATGTGTAAAAGAGAAAACTAATCATAATAAAAACCCCGGTGATCTGAGTGGCTGCGAAGGCCCCTAAATGTTGCAATAGTAGCGCCTACTATATAAGTTAAACCACCAATTTACCATGTCCTTGTCTAATACAGTATTTACACATAGTGCTAACGGCTCTCGGTAAATACCGACGGGATGGCGTTACTAAACGGTAAACCAACCAAGAAACACCCTCTTAAATTTTAATCAACGACAATAATGTGACGCGGGTCTGGATTTTGAAATGAGCTTCATTTCCTTTCCCCAAGGAGAAAAAAAAGATAGCCGCCTCACGTTTTTTTACTACGTAGTAGTCACCCGTCACAAAACGCAGATCTATTACCTACCTGCCTACTAATCGTCGAACGCGATGCGCGATCGTGACGGGGGGTTTATGGTACAGTACAGTACCAACATACCTCCGTAGCTCGTTGTCCGTGATGGGTTCCTTCCTCCGTTCAATGTTCCCAAAAGCTAGAGAGAACCATTTTAAGCTTTTCTAGAAGCCTGGCGGAACCCTCAAATCTCCGTCCGCTAGCCATCCATGTACATACATGCCATGTACGTGCTAGCACTTCTTTTTAATGCATGTGAATTTCATGGGTGCGTGAGATTCTAACCGGAATTGTCGTCGACATCGTTAGTCCCAGGCAGGGATGTCTAACCCCGTGAACAGTAGTAAACCGTGCCGTCGCTGAAAACATCAACCAGAGCAATCCCGTGGAATCTTGACGCCGAGTAAGCTACTTCATAGCTCACGATATTCAAGGGGCCTTTGGAGTATAGTGGACGATGTCATCGCCTATGTATATTATGCAAGGCTAAAGTAGGTATCCTTTCCCCTGGTAATAAACGCGCATCACCAGGTAGACTTAACGATGACATGTCACTGCCAATTAGTATATTATTGCTAGGCGACTTCGGATTGACTGAATTGTCCAACTAGAACTGCAAGGGATCGGAATAGGGGTTTCGCATATTTAGTTACCTAGCCAGCTAGCTAGCAGGCTAGCGGAGCCCAGCGCGGTGGAGAGCAAAAGGACGGAGCCTTAAAACGGAGCCGCCGAACCACACTAGCCGCATGATCACCGAAGATCCCTTTTGGCACCTTCTCCATTCAAGGACAAAAGGCGTGGAGATCGCACCCCCGAACCGTCGGCCCCCCTCAAGGATTCTCTCTCACCGTCTCCGCGCGCAAGCATCCTATGACATAATAACTGGACATACTACGTCGGTAAGGCGGGCTATCGATAATTCACCTAGGTACCTAACCTAGGTAGCCGTCTCAGGCTCGTCATCCTCTCCCTCCACCGAAACTCGCTTTCCCCGGACGTTCTCGACGACCTCGGGCACGAGGCTCTCGAGGTACTCCGCGTCCCTGCCGACGAGGGTTACGGAATTATTCTTCGACCCCCAGCGGGGGTAGCTCCCGACCTTGACGCCCTTCGGCTCGACCCGCGCCGCCAGCTCCGTCAGGTACGCGGCCACGCTGCTCTCGGGCATCGGCGTCGAGATGATGATTCTGCTGATCCCTTTCCCCTCCGGGTCGACCAGCCGGTCGATTATGAATTGCTTGAGACCTCCTAACATTGGTTCGACTATGTAAGCTGCGGGTTAGCATTGTAAGTGCTAGCAAGGCCGGGGAGGTTTTTACATAATTTTGGTAGTCCCGGCAGAACGTAAACGTTTCCATTTACTACCGAAATGGGAACCCAGAGGGTATCGCTGACGAACAAGGCTTGCTTCGCCAGGTTTCGCGACGGGTCGATGGGCAATTGAACCATCCTAAGCTTTGCGTTTCTGGCCGGGGAGTCGACGTCCCAGTTAAACTCCGGCTCCCAGTGCTTGGGTTTGCTGAGCTTCTTCATGCGTTTGTACGCCCCTTCATGTAGGATGAGCTCTAAACCGAACGCTTTGGCGACGGATTGGTATGTGATGTCATCGTGCCTGATTATTCTAAGTAAGCTTTTAAATGTTACCACGGTAAGGTCGTCAGCTCACGTCGGACCTATGCCTCCGCTATTATGGAGTTAGCTTGTCTATGTAGATAAGGATGGGGCTTGCTTTTTGATAGATAGTGACCTACCTAGTCACAACCAGATCATAGCGATCACTCATTCTTCGCACAGCTTCTATGATTTCGGCTTCGTCATCTTCAATCACTTCAATTCTCTTTAAACTCTGCAAGAATTCAGCCTCAGTGCGGTTTCTATAATACCTATTTTTGATGAAAAATGTAGGTCTCTTACCATGCCTAATGAGAAGCACCATCTAGCCATATAACGCGAGTTTGTCTGCGATACCACGGGTTAGTCATTAGCATAGGCGTGACCAGCATAGGTTTATACATCTTTCGTCTAGATAAACACGTTAGCTACAGGTAGATCTCATAATACGGGTGAACTGGATGAGACATACCTTTCCTCCTAGCACCTCATCGCCAATGATTAAGCACGCCGCCGTGGTTATAGTTCTCGAGCTCCGCTCTTCCACGGAAGCCATGATTCCTGATGCCGGACCGCTAGACCTGGTCCCTGATATAGAAGCGGCAGGGATATGACCTAGAGCAGGGCGAGATCTAGAAAGATGTCGCGCAAGTTGGGACAAACGTGAGATCATTAGATAGACGTGATTCGGTGTATTATGTCACGCTGGATGTAGGATAATATAATGCAGATCCGACCTCCTGGGACATCAGAGAGTACTGTGATAGTAGTAAGCAAGGCGCAGGCTCGGTGACTATCTAAGAATACTGTAGGCGCTTATAGGCAGGACGTGAATGGGTGGGAAGGCGTGGATGGAACTCGGAGAACAAACGGGCAAGAAGTTCTTCATGAAGCTGGCTGGCTGTCCCCTCTGCTTTCCATCGGTTCCAACGTAACGGATTTGCCGAGCTAGGCAGGTACCACCCCGCCGGACCGGAGTATCCTCGGCCTACGAAAGCTGGCGTTCAAAGATAGAATGGAACATAGGACTTATTCTTATTCAACACCTAGGAACATATCTCAAAATATCAACTTAGATTCTGGGGGATTTAGTCAATTGATTAGGTATAGTATATAATGGGATACGCCGTATACCAAGAGCTTTTAGTCTACCCGTAACCCCGAGATACGCATGTAAAACAATTATATAACTCTCACCAACCCGCCCTGTCTCTTCCCTCACCGTTAACTCATTTACTAGCAAAGATCTTCAATTCTTCTCGCAACTCTTCTTCCCTTGCTTCCACCATCAACCTCTAAAATCACCTCTTAGTAAGTAGCCCCCTTTCTCACTTAGCCTTAGCCTTCTCCTTCCCCGCCACGCCGAACTTCTCCGCGATCTCGTCCTCGGTGAAGCGCCGCGTGCACCGCCGGAGCATGTCCGCGCGCTGCTCCATCGTCAGGCCGATCTGCTTCTCGCCGATCGGCACGAGGCAGCGCGCGAGGTGCGCGTAGTCGCGGAGCAGCAGCCGCACCGTGATCTCCAGGTAGTCGATGTTGTGGAACACGAGCGCGTGCTCCGCGCTGTACGTCCCCTTGTTCGCCAAGAAGTGCACCGGGTGCTCCCGCCAGTGGCGCCGCGGGTTCAGGTGGTGCGACGTGTGGTACCCGTCGTTGAAGCAGTACCTGTTGCTCTGTTTCGGAGTCGTGTTAGCGCGCTCGACGTTAATGCATACGGTGCTTTGTCTCTATTTATGATGGAGGCCAAAAACTTACAGGCACATCTATCAAGGTGATGCTAGAGCGGTAATCGGAATCGGGCTCGTCGGCGTCTACGAGGGCATGCTGACCCCAGTTACCAATCATCAAGCCGGCACGGAGCAGCATGAGCGGGAGCAAGAACACGAAAATCGTCGGGCGGCTGTTCAAAATGAACAACGTCAGGATCGTAGCATAGTTGGACAACTCCCAGAACGCCGTTTTGAGCGCAAATGTAGGGCGATCATTTCGGAGGAAATATATGGGTAAGTCGAGCCAGATCAGGACGTAGAAACGTCCGACATAATGCAGGAAGTGCCAGAGGTTGTCGCGCTGATAACGGATGGTGGATGAAAGGTCGTTAGGACCGTTTCCCTCGACGTGATGGTGCTTCACGTGGTGGTAATAGTATGAGTTCCAGGTATGTCCCATCAAAGGGTCAGTGATATACGGGAACAAGGTGTCAAACATATGAACCCAAGCACTTTTGCGCAACACGCCGCCGCCGTGTATATGTTGGTGCATCATCAGCGTATATGTGCCCACGTAGTAAACCTGCATGATGAAATGGATAACTCCATGGAGATAAGTGAAATGGTAGTAGAGCCAGATTGCGCTAGGCACGGAGCTGGTGAAGTATAGGATTAGGTGGGTGACCATAACCACATCACTACATGTTCGTTAGCATTCTTATGCCGAATTTTCAGTCCTAGTATCTGCCTGACTGCGGCCACCCCAAATATGACATAGTCAATGAACCAATGCTGTTGCAACGTACTGCAAATGTGTTAGTGTCTATTGAGAAAGGTAAAGCTCTCCGGCTATTTTAAGAGAGGGCGTCATGACACATACCCTTGGATGTCTAGCAACATTCTGAGCCCATTTCACGTACGGCAGCAAAATATGCTGGTAGATAAAGGGATGCAATCGAGAAGACAGATCTCGAAAATCAACTGTACAGAAGACGGTCGGCTCGAAGTCTTTGTTCGTCGGATCATTAACTGCCTTCATGGAGGTAAGGTCGCTTTCATCCCTAGATGCTGAGACATGATTGCCGACGGCTATAACCGAAAGTCCAGTTAACACGAAATCCAGATCCCGGGGGTAGCTCCTTGAGGTCTATCTCAACCTCCTCGTTCGAGTTCACGGAGTGGACCTACTTCCATTGGTAGCTTCTTGGCCGGGCGCGGAGGAGTCATGATTTACCGTCCTGCCGGAGGACTTGGCGGAGCCGTTAGTAGACGACCCGGGGTTCTGACACCGTTGAATATCGTCGGATAGGTTCCGTAGGAGTAAGACATCGTTCGGAGGTAACTCCGGGCTTATGATAATGGAATCCATGATAATCCTGTCCAGCAGAATAGGATATTAAAAATTTTTACAAGGAGAAAAGGTCATGGGAAATGACAGCTTTGAAAAAAGGAATGGGCAAAAGTAAGCTAAACAAGGAACGGTGTAGGCAAGGGGCTGTAGCCGATTAACATTAAGTGACTTGTTAATGTGCCTTGATCAAAGATAGATCTTCAGACAATTTGCAGAGAGAATCTGCAGAATTTACAGACGTTCGGACTAAGTCGATACTAAAGGAGCAAAACAGAAGTCTGTCGCATCTTGCATCTATGTAGCAGTAAGGTCTTGGAACTTAAAGACCTAATGCACTAACCAAGATACAATAGGGGTTTGTCCTGCGTATCGTATGGTAGAGATCAAAAACAGGACCAAAACAAGCTGGAAAGGTCATACTTTGAAAAGTTATCCCGGTTCAGATCCATTTCAAATTGGCGCTAAATTAGAAGCGGTATTAACAGTCCACACAGTCCACTGAAAACACATTAAGCTCGTCCTGCGCACGTTTCCTAAAGGGCGGTCGGCATGCGGTTCGCTTATCAATCGGTCTAAACGAAAATGGAATAGCCTACCGATAGGAGTCTAAAGTCTAGGACCCGAATGGGCGAAGCTGCTATTACCTGGTACGACCCTGAGCTTGAGCCGCAAACATCCAGTTTCGTTGAAGAATCGGAATCGGGAAAGCAAACTCGGAGATATCGGCCGTAATAATTCGAAATGAACAATTACCATAAAACACCAAGAAAAAGATATATGCAAAAATTTGAGCCACCGCGAGGGTGATCTGCGGTGAGAATCCCACCCACAAACCCCTTCTATTTCAATTTGGTCTTAACTGTTGAGAGTTAAAAGTGGAAGATGTCCTGAATGTTACTTATCCAATCCCATCCAACTCCGGTCCTCCTAAGTGGCAAAATATACCTTGTCTTTCTTCGTCGCCCGCATGCTTCCTTCAGACTGGTAACTTCGCTACCTCGACTTACTGAATGCTGCTCGACTAAATTCCCTTGGCCCAACATACCAAGAAAAGAGATTGGTATTCAAAAATCATCATCTGTCATTGCTGGGGGTATCGTTGAGATATGATGCAGCGCAGCCTCTTTTAAGCCTATCCCTTTTTCCGGGGTGCCGTTAAGCCCTAAACCTGTGCTCCGATTTTTTGTTGAAAAATCTGGACTCCATTTCCAAACGCCTTGGTATATGCTTGTTGTTGAAATAGTAACTCCCTTCGCCTGCCATCCAAATGCTTGTTGAAAAGTTCAATGACGCCGTTCCATATATCATCGCTAAGCTTATGCAGTTGCGACCGCTCCACTCCCATTAACAGCTGAAGTGCCGTTCGTCTCGTAAACTCCGTTAGACTGCTCCTGTCCCTGTAGAGGAGCCGTTACAGGTACATCGATATCCTTGACCGACAATCCGTCAAAGAGCTCAAAAATAGCCCGCGGTAGGTGGAAATCATTGTTTACTGTTCACAGTATCAGCATTGCTCCGTGCCAGGCTTCATGGAAACTTACCGATGTTGACCAAATACCACTCATTCATGATCTTCTCGATCAAAACGCGGCTAGGCGAGTTGGCTTCGTGGCAGTGAGCCCAGTCCATGCCAAGTCTGAAGGCCTCGTCTTTCCAAGCTAGGAAGCTAATGCTCTCGACGATTGTCGGCTGGACAATCTCTTTGCCCGGGAAAACTCCCCACGTGACAGCGTTGGGACCTTCGGATGAGGTGTTTGTCATGAATTTCCCGGATTGGGTGACGGCGTAGTACGATAGATCCGGGTTGGCATTGATTCTTCGAATAACCTCGGGGAATAGGTCAGGAGACACTAGTAATTCTAGATATGCTTTTTGATAGACATATCCGTTTTGTGGCCCCCATCCATACACGGGATGCGTAGACTTGACGCCGTCCACCGCGGGCTGAGAATTAATAGTTAGTAGACCACGTTGGTTGAGCTTGATGAGATCTTCCGTAATCGTATCGGACTCGCCGGTCAGGGGGGCTTCGCTCCATGGCAAAGAAGGGATGTCCCGTTGGATGTACTTCACGAACAAGGAAGCGATATCTTGGACGGATCTAGGCTCGCCCCATCTCTTGCGATTAAACTCATTGGTGCCGCCGAGGCCGACACCGTATGCATCCAATTCACCAAAAGCAGGGGAGCGCGAGTCACCCCATCTACCATTAGGGAATTCATCCCAGTCCTGGGTTCTCGAAATGTATGACTTGTTGCGATTACGCCAGAAAATAGGGCGGACGTCTTCTTCGCGTCGACCGAGAGCAAGAGATTGCTTCCATGGTAAGGCTTGTTTACGAGGACGTGTCGTAGTAGGCATCCAGTCCAGCTCTTCCAAAACCATGCGAGTTGCCTGAGCCAGGTTCATAGTGTAGAAGTGGAGATGAACGATGCCAGCAGACATGATCTTTCGGCACAGCTGGGCAACCAGCGTCTTTCCAACTTCCCTTACCGCAGCATCATCGTTCTTGATCGGTTCGAGAGCGGCCATCCATTCGTCGGGAACCTTGCAATTCATGTGGTTTACTCGTCGCAGAAAGCTTGCGTAAGTTGCGATAGGCATGATTCCAGGCACAATCGGGACAGTTATTCCCCTCTCCCGCACTTTTCCTACCCACCGCACGAAATTGTCGGCATCGTAGAACATCTGGGTAACAATAAAGGTGGCACCCATGTCGATTTTCTCCTTCAAGTGATCCAGCAGCAAGTCCTCATCTTTATTATCGTCACAACCCTCAGGATAACCGGCGACGCCAATGTCGAAATGGTTACCATATGTCTTTCGTATATGGGCGACGAGATCTCTCGCGTACTGGAAACCGCCATCGACGGCTACCCATTGCTCCTTTTCTCGCGGAGGGTCACCTCGCAGGGCCAATATATTGGTACAGCCAGCCTTGTATGCCCTCCTCAGCGCATCGTTGATCTTTTCCTCTCCCATATCGGTACACGTCAGGTGCATGCAGGTCTCAAGACCGAAGTAAGCCTGAGCCTGGACCACCATGTCGCAGGTTAGTTCGGCGATGCGTCCTCCTGCTCCCCATGTTATGTCGATAAATTTGGGACCAAAGTCGTACATACGTTCCATACGATCGTACAGATTTTGCACGCCTTGAGCTGTCTTCGGAGGGAAATACTCGAAGGAGAAGGACGGTTGGCCGGTCCTCTCGGCATCTGCGAGCATCTCCTTGATATGCATATTGGGCTAAATTGTATACCATAGGCAGATGACCTGTAGAAGATGCGAAGACGGAAGATATAACAAATGAAATCTGCGCATGGTATTTGGTTAGCACAACGTGTGACTTTTCACGAAGTGGGAATCAATACAAACTCTTCTATAGCTTTAAGAGAGTAGGGGAAAACAGAAACGGGTGTTACTTAGGAAGTAGAATATACGGTATGACATAGGGTAGAGAGTTAGAAGAGGAAAAGAAAAAAAAATAGTTAGCTTACCTAGCAGTCTTGCGTGAAGAAGCACATGAGAAACGACACTCCAAATGGAGAAGTCTATTACTATAAATTCGGAAATAAGTCTATTAAGACCAATTGGATAGAACAACTCCTTTCCCTCCGGCCAATTCGAACAGAAAAAAAAGAAGTTGCGAGGAGGAAAGGAAAGAAAGGCTCGGAAATTCTATGGAAAATGGATGGATCGAAATCCCAAGAGGTTCTTGAAAGTCTGGAAAGTCCCACCTTGCACCCACCAACACCTACCAACGCTACCTCCCGTCATTCCGAGTCTGGAGCGTGTCTAATTGGCTAAGCCTCTCAAGTCTAACCATTTTCAGCCAAGTCGAGATCCACCCATCGATGCTTGTTGCGGTAAACTGATACTCCGTCGGATGTACTGTACATCTCTCAATCCTCATCACGCATATATACATGTACGTATGTCTGCGGATTATGGAGATTCAGAGAATGTCCTGCCTATCAAGGTGTATGTGCATGCTATCTGCAGTGACATATCCATAGATGTATGTATGTAAGGATGATTATATGGGCAGAACGTGGCGTGCATGTTGGAGATGGTATTGTAGTACCTACGCCTTTGTACTTCGTGGTTCTGGATCCGTCAGTTCAACCAACTATCGGACCCTGAAATTCGGATTGCAACGCATCCAATCCGTGATAGTTAGAGTAGCGTCCCTTGCATTGGTATTCAAACATATTGCCACGCTCGATAAGAAAAGGCCGCTAGACATCGACTGTTATCATATATTAGCTTCCCTTCTCGAAGGTATATTTGACCAGGTTCTCGGGAGTTATCGAATTATGGTGAAGCAACTCTAAGCCCTGGAGGTTACCCCTCATCGCTACCCCTCCTTCAGGGCTGTCCTCCAGGTCGGAGTAGGTGAGTAGGTACCTGTAGTACCTGTAGCTTACACGGCACCGAATCGGCTAGACCCCGCTTTTCACCGCCAAATCAGCCAACTAACAAACTCTGTTCCTCTTTGCGAGCATCAGCTGACAGCTAGCACCGAGTGTCAGAAACTCAAACATGTGTTCATGCTGACTCCTTACGCGAGAACTTTGAAAGTCGTTCATGGCGTTTCCTTGCAAGTGTAATGCTTATGTACACGAGGAAACATGTAACCCAAAGTGCGCCTTTTCAATGACATTGGTACGTCGAAAATGACAACATTGCTGCCACTTGACCATGTGCAGTTTCCTATAATCCTTCGGCTCTCAAACACGAGACTCATCGCTGTGAGCGTTATGATCCAACTCCCAATATACTTGCTGTCATGTTGAAATAGTATGTTCGAACAGGAGATTTCGTATAGCTCGAGTAGCAACGCATGATAACTAATTCTGCCGAACGACGTAGAAAGGCTCTTAGGCGTCTTTTTGGAGACCGGTCTTCAACTGGGGCACCGAGTTGAAAGTAACTGGGTTTATCTCCTTTCTGTAGGAATTCTGATTAGAAAGCCGATGTGTCCGAATCAAGGCTCCTACATACCGAAACGGCGTCACCGCAAGTCTAAGAGCAAGAAACCTAATACAATAGGTAACTAATATGAGGCGTGTTCTATGGACTTGAAAAAATGACCCAAAATGCCAGACCAGATATAAAATTACAGGCTCTATCTATCGATGGCCTTACTAACGTCGTACCCCTTTTATATATGTACAGTTTTACACTCCTGCTTTATGAAACCCCAAACACCATACATTACATCTTTCACATGTTAAGGGAGTACATGCATTTGAGTGGACGTCCTAATCGCTACAGGAAGAAATACAAAGCAGTAGAATTACCATAATTAATAGGGCATAAATGTATGTTCCATTCGTTTAGAAGGATACTAGCATTTAGACTGGTTCTGTTTCCGGGGCCTTCCACAGCCTAACAATGCATATAGTTCAAGGACTAAGGCACTTTGGGCTTTACGTCTCTCGTATATTTCACTTAGCCTCGTATGCCATTGCTGTTGACAATATATCATTCCAGCCTTCTTGACACACAGAACGAGTGCTCATACAGCCTCTGAGCGAGCGGAGGCAGAAGCCCCTTATACTGCTACTAGATCGGCGATGCCTCCTGCTCCGCTGCTACATGACACTCATCCTCACCGAGATACAGATAAATATCGGCCATGATTACCGAACTAAGGATCTTCCCTCGCTTTAAGGAATAGGTATACACGCCCATAACGCGGATAGTGGTAATACGTACTTTCCCCTTTCCCATGTCGTTTCTGAGAGTACTTGCTTTAGCCCCAATAAATCCATTTAAGATATTGATATACTCCTAACTGTGGCATATCTTGGTTTCCGTATAACCAACTCAGCCCCTTAATGTACCAAGATACCATAGGTACAGAGTAATCCTAACAAACTGCGGTGGACCCCTTATCAGATAGATTAACAGCGTGATACTGGGCGCCGGAATGGGAATTGGCCGGTCAAGCCCCGTGTATCAGATAGTCGGCGACGGAAGATTCACGTGCGCCGCGACGTCCGGCTGTGCTATGGACCGCGAGCAGGCTACCTAGGTACCTAAGGAACCTCATTCTAATATCACGGCGATGAAGAAACCAACGTTTATTTCTAGCGATCCCTGATAAAATTTCTTTGGCGGAGGCGGTGGCGGGATCGGGGTCAGTTTGAGGGAGACTTGCCAGAGAACCCGCGGCGTTGATGAGAAGACTACTGGGGATCCTGATGTACGTAAAGTTAGCGGATGCTGCTATCATGTGTTTTTACTTGGTGTAGATAGCCCCCTTTATATACCTAGGTAGTACTGCTATCGTAACCTTTTACTTCCAAGGAAATGCCCCTGAAGAAGTAAATTTAGCATAACTTGTTGGAGAGGATTCAAGTTTGTGGGGGGGGGGGGGGGGGGGGGGGGGGGTTGAGAAAAAAAAAAAAAAAAAAAAAAAAAAAAAAAAAAAAAAAGTAATATTTATTTAAAAAAAAATT